ATTCGAAGAAAACAATCGTATATTGGAAGATATCCGTTTTAATTTTTCGGCAGAGTTCAACATTTTGATACGAAGCTAAACTTATATGATGTCAGCGCAAATAATTTCTAAAAGGACTGTAGTCTTCTTTCGTACCCTTTTATATACTTACAAACAAAATGAATATCTACAACGCCATAAGGTAAGAGGGCCGCTTGCCATATCACAGGACACTGCAACTTCACTTTGGGCGACGATATAACTTCGACACAGTTTTTTAAATATTTTGAAGAGGTGAGATTAAATCTACTGTATAGAGGTAATTTTTTTTGGCCTTATTTTAACTCAATCACATCGAAGGAAGTGACGAGGCACCACTACACTGGGACAGACACATTTGCAGGTAAACATGTAGGAGTAAAATGTGTCCTTACTTTTATTAGAGTAAGCATAATTTGGGCAAAGAATTTGGTACCAAGGTACCGCAGGTTTAGTGTCAAGAAACCGATTGATCCCAAAAGTTATTGCAAATGGTTGCAGGCATATATACAGGATGTCTTGGAAGATGAGCAAGAGTCTCTGCAGCCTGGAGAAAGACACTTGTTGTAGCATTTGTTATAAGCAGAGGTGCACGAGCTATAACATGCTGCGCAGTTTGACACACAAACAGCTGCAATTATAAATTATCAGAAATGTTAAGCAAGTAATCAATTTCGGGTAAACAGTACATAGGATACAAGTTTGCTTTACCTTCACTAGAGTATGTAAAGATGAACAAGACGATAGCTAGGAAAAACGCAACTTTTTGCATGATGATTTGACAGTATCAACACAAACTTTCGGGGGATATATGGCCACTTATATACTTTCCATTCAGCGGGTGAGAAAAATAGGATGTACCATGGTGAGTGAACCAAATCCACAAGGCTCCGATCACCTGTTCGCGCAACCTAAGATCTTAATAATTGCTTGCTCGTTGCGCAAATAAAAATGAGCCAATATGGTGTAATAGGAAAGGAATTGCCAATGGAGCTTCCATTTCGACGGAAGGACGTCCAGCCACCCTCTGCTACAGTTTCATTAGTCGCATCATCCCTGCTTTAATTCATATCAGAAATTAATCACGATATATCAGGAGGCTACAGAAGTCCTTCCAGACTTTCGACGCATTTTTATCTTCGCTGATGCCCCGGGACGAAGAGTAAGACTTGTGCCACATCCGCAGCAGAGTGTTTTGGCAATTTTCACGGAGGAAAACTGTTGTAGCCGGAATAAGAAATAGTTACCTTACGGTAAAACCGAGATACAACAATAACTTTCTAAATGTTCCTATGGCATAGCTGGTTCGGCAAATAGGTCCTCTTTAACCATCACTAGTATCTGATATCTATGTAATTGTCTACAACTTCTTCATATTGCTGTTGCCATATGTAAAGGACTTAATCCAAAGGGTAACCAAACAGTTGCATGCTGTACAACCTCTGATATCCGAGGACGCGAGTATCATTGTTACCTGCGGATCTAGACCAAACCAAGCCCACACCTCCTTGTAAACAAGAGCAGCAAAGTCAATGAACATGATTAATCTCTAGGCCAGCTGCATTGCCTCCTACTCATTGACGTAAAAATTTGAAAGAAAGTGAATGTTTATGGTACTGGAGTAAAAGATAACCGTTAAATGGTTGCAGTGTTGTGACATAAAGACTGCAGGGACCTGCTGTTCTTGCCGTCTCAAGCGTTCTATTTCCCCCGTCAATTGATCTACTTTGCATTTTTTTTAACAACATCAATAAAGAAATGGTAGTAATCGAGATCATTGACCATGTAATGAAGCAGTTGTTATGCTTGAATAGCTGGTTTAGATAACAAAAAGAAAGATGCTCAGTAAAATGCACGTAGAAATATGGCCAAGCATACAAGTCCTTCCGTCAAGCGAACGCCATTTTGGATAACTTATATTGTTATTGACAACATTTGTTTTTTAGAGGTGATCCTCATTGACAACGATCGAGATATATATGTCAATAGCAATTTGACCCACTGTATATTTTGTACGTGAGGAGTAAGCTGTGCGGAGAAATTAGAAAAGAGCAAGTTTTATCATCTCCTACGACGTCCCCTTGACGGCATCTTTCCTGCCCCTAAGTGAAGTCGGCTACGTCTCCTTTGCACTTCTCCATAATTTTTGGTCTAGAATTAGTAACTATGCATCTGCTAGCGCTTGGCTCACTCTCCTTCCTCACAGTTGGTCCCAATACAGATCGCCCAAGAGTATTATCTTTAGTAAACTTTGAGAAAAAAAAATTAACACCCTTTCACTTTCTTTTATTACTTTACCGTTCCCTCATATAATACAATCCTTTTAATACGCTCCACAATCCTTTAATTTGAGAGTATACATCATGATTCTTTTTGTTTCTACAGCATTGCTGTTGCTTTGGCAGATAGGATTGGTACTGGCAGGTATAACAGGAGATACTTAGTGTTGCATGCTCTTTATCTAAGTAAAACATAATGCCAACTGAACAAAAAAATACATGTATATTATTCTCTAGGATGTTGCTTTCAACAAAACTCTATTCAAGTATCTCCATATACTTGGAATATCAGCGTACTGGCCAGCGATAGCCGCTACAACCGTCAGCCCAGCACTTACTATACACTACTATCATTTCCGTCTACATTTCTGTTGACAGCAGATCCAACCTCTGGACAAAGTTTCAACTGTCAGTCAGTAAAAGCTTCTACGAAAGAGAACGGAATCAACACTATATCTTGCATATCTGATAACAATCCAAATTTTGTCGCCAATTTTGTTTTGACTTCAGCAAAGGCAATCAACGGCACCAATCCTACTTTTACAACATTGTCAGTTGACGAAGACAATTGTTCAATGCTGACAACTTGTAACGGTGAAAATACCATCAGCAGTAACGACATTATGATCGGATCTCAGATTTACCCAAAGTGGTCTATTGCTGTCGCCGCCATTGCTATTGCGGCGGCATTGCTAGCATTAGTTTCAGTTATCATCAAATGTAGTGTAAATCGCCAGAAAGCTATGGGACGCATACTGGAAACCAACACAGAATACTCAGATTATAGCAGAAGACCAACTGAACACAGTTATATGTCGCAAAATGAAAAGGCAGTCAGCCGTAATGGAACCATGACCAGTGATCAATACGCAACTGACACTGATTTGGGCCATGATATACATCAATACAAACGAGAATCCAACAAAATAACATATGACCGCCTATCTGATATCGAAAGCGCTGGAAGCCATATCCGCACCACCGGAAAGCTCCCTTCCATAAGTTCATTTCGAAGATTAAACCTGATCAGCTCCAGAACCTTGCTTACTTCGCTGCCTTCCATACCGTCACTTCCAAAGCTGCCATCTTTCAACAGCATGCCCTTCACCCTTCCGAGCAGTTCCACGTTTCAAGACAGCATAATGGAAGCAGAACCCTTCAGGCCGGCTACAGATTCTTCTTTTTCAGACCATATTTCAGAATCCACCATCTCCGTTAAAGGCAAATCGACCAATACTGTCAACAGTAGGGCTGCTGTTGAAGCTCACAAAGTCATCAGACATGCTTCGCGAAAATCGAAAACTAGATCAACCATTTTTACGGAGGAACACATCAACAAAATCTTTCATCTTGACGACGACGCAAAGCACAAAAGTCTAGCTGAGCTCTATCCTCAGTATGGTGATACTCGAAGCAAGAGTACATCGGCTTTGGGAACTTCGTCCGCCACAACCACCACTACCAGTTGCCCAAATTCAGTTCGACGTAAACACAGAGAACCTACCATGCTGGAAGGAATGCAAGCGGCGCTTATAGAGCGTTCTATGTCTGCTTCGAACGTCATAGGCGCACAATCAGACGGGAATGAATCACCGGAAGATGAGGAAGTTCCTTTTATAACCCTAGATCATGACGACTTGGTACTTAAAACAAGGAACCGATCAAGTTCATTGACCCAGCAATTGAGACACGCATGCGATGACTTTGGGATTAGTAGACCTAAGCGCCACTCAGGGTACAGCAACAGAAGTGTTGAATCACGCGGACGTAAACGACAAAGCGTTTGTTCTGTTGATGCAAAACGTCGGTCTCAATCTGCTACTCCAAGTGCTGCTTCAACAATTCGACCTCGATCTTTCCTCTTGCAACGATCAGTCTACGATGACGATAGCAGCAGCAGCGACGACAACAGTGATACTATTACACGCGCCAAATTTCAGCGTCGATACAGGTCTTTGACACATGCTGGAAGTCAGAAATTTGGAAGCCAAAAATCCGGAAGTCCTAAAAGACGCAGCCCTCCTACCTCATCCATGTCAAACACCAGTGATGTCGATACTATTCGGAAACATTTACAAGCGTCTTGGAAAGCAGAGATTACCGAAAGTCCATCTCACGATAGTCTCAACGTAGATTCCAGTATGAACATTGCTCCTATAAAGCAAAGACGCCCTCCACTTCCGGAAGGCTTCATGCGACATAGGTCTGATCGATTTTCCAGACCAACTTCCATGATCGAACAAATCCCCGAGCCTGAACCTCCGCATGACTTGACTAGTCAAGATTCATTAGCGACTCTCAGTAGCTTTGTTCCAGAACATGGATACACATCTGAAGATACTGAGTCCATGTCTTATTCGAACGCAGTATCTTTAGCTATTTTACAAAGAGATTCAATATCCAGCGGTCTCAGTGTTTTGTCCATTCTTAAAGGCAAACATGAAACGGAGAGCAGTGTATGCGGACTGAACGAGACCAATTCTGAGAGCAATCGATCTTTCCATTCACAGCAATCTTTGTCTGACCTGGCAATTGGTGACCCTAGACCATCTGACGTATCATTCTTTTAAACCAGAAGAAACAGCAATCCTGGGGATATTGCGGTGATAACTTTGTGAATTTTAAATACAATGTGTTTGTACGGTCCTGTCATGCTAAATAAAACTAATGTCTACAATTCCATAACAAGACTTCCTGTTGACGTTCGGTGGGTTTAATACATTGGATTTTTATTGATGGATGATTATATTCACAAGATGCTGGCAATTTTTTAAAGTGTTTCCATGTATAGTAACAGTTTATACAGTGTGTAGCTCGATGTTATAAGCTGTAGGCTGGTGCATTAAGTAATGAGGGTGATTAGCTATCAGGAGACACATTGCTAGTCCCGTAGAATGTTTCCTGTGACACATAGTTCGGTGTGGAAGGGTTAGAAGGATTTGGTCGGTACTCAGAGTTGGGTCGGTACTCAGATGGCGGCTAGAGAGAATTTTGGTCAGTCATATTAATATCTCTCCACATGTCAACAATTCCAGTAACATACCTTGCTCCCATTAGATATTTGTTGCCGTCTGGGTTGATTAACAATTAAATAATCTATGATTGCCGCCGCGACATCTAGCATATGCAGGTTAATTACTTGAAATCCAGGTTATAATTATGCACGCGGATGTCACTTACCATGTGCTTCTTCAAGATCTACACCAATCTGCGCCCAAGCTTGAGATGGCAGCTCTTCAGAGAGATATTGGTCAGCTAGCAGTAGAGCACCTGCCGCAATACACTCCGGTCGATAAAGCAAGCAGAGAGGCAAAAATAGACTATAAAAGTCAAAAGCATCACCATGTCATTTGTCAGTCTTCTACGACGATTTACATAATAGTTATACCAGGTCGTCCTTACCTATGCGTCAAAAAAGCCCATGCCTTTCTAATTGTTTGCTTGGAGACTGTTTTCAATGAATCAATGTGTTGGACATAATCCGAAAAGATTTCCCCTTATCCATTTGAACCTACCATCAATGACTGAAGAGAATTCAATAAGGCAAGTGTGTGGATGCTGCACAGTCATGTCGAAGCATATGGCCTCTAATAAGACACCCTCTCCAAATATGATCGTATTTCGCCATTTCTGAAAGTCCTGTAGTGATGGTACTATGTTAGCGGCATAGTGACCTCATATTTTGGATAATACCATTTTGCTGCTCGGGTTTACCTTTGAGTCTTCTGTCAATTGTAACTTTTCATTCTTCTGAGCCTTTTGTGCGCAAGCATTTATTATATCTCTAAGCTTCCTCGTGTTTTCCTCCACCTTAGTCGATAAGAACAAACATGTAGCGCCAATATCCTATATAATATGCAAAAAAGTTGAAAAAAAAACAGAGGTCGATTGACTGTATTCAATTTCATTGACTAGTTTCGCTGAATACTTACGTAAATATGATATTCCTTCATAGAGTGCCTCATATAAAACCTGTGAAAAAAGGTTGTCGCGGTGGCTAAAACAACTTGTGGCCTAACGTACTTTCACGTTAAAATGGATTCGCATATTTAGATTCGATCAATTCACTGCCTTACAGGCTTAATTTCGACCCAACGGCTATTATAAAGCTGCAGCCCTTGGCACGGTCATGCTGCTCTTGAGAGGTAGCAATCCCGTCTCTCACTGATGGAGTGTCCGAAAAGTCTTCCTTGTCGAACAGCCACTGATGCATTATTTAGATTAGCAAAATATTATATATTGCTACTTCCGATTTCGTGACATTACCTGATCCATAGTGGAGTTCTTGAGTCTGTTTTCTGAAATTTTTCCAAAAGAGCTATGCGCGTGTCACGTGATAGGCAAAAATAGCCCCAAAAACCACTTTGCAGATAACGCGTCAAGAAAGGCTATACCTGGTATAAGAGATACTATGTTTAATCAAAAATCCATCAAGTTGCTTTCTTGGAAGGGATTTCAGGTGAACGTCTGGTTACAAGGTTCCTGACCAACACATGCCAGAGCCCTTGACTTGAAAAATTAAGTGCCCGGCTCATTGTGGCGTTCTGCAATTTGATTGGCTACTTAATGTGGCAAAAGCTACCACCTCAATCAACTCGAGTCCGGGTCACGCTTTCCAATCTCCCTGAATCAACTGCGAAAGACCATGGCAGCAACCACTGCGCAGCAGTCTTTGGAGGTGTTCACAAAAGGAACCAAGGCCTGGTTCACTGATGAGAAAGAAGGATGGGTATCGGCCACTCTTACCTCCAAATCCGTGGATGGTGACAAGATTAAACTCCTGTTCCGAGACGACAACGATGACAAGGTGAGTTTTGGTTGATGAGCCATTTTCTTCGTACTAGAAAACAAAGAAGTGGCCTGGATACACCGATGAAGACCCAATGATCCGGCATTACCCCACAATCTGAACTCTTGATCCCGGCTCCCTTCCGCCGAATGTCCAAATATGTCCAGCACTTGAGGAAGTCAAAATTGCCATTCATGCAATCTTGGAGGACTGATGAAAGCACCATCTATTTACATTCTTGAATCGTCACCTAACGACATTTTAAAAAATCATATAGGAACATGTATTTGAATCAACACTTGCGCAAATCGAGAAGAGCAACGGCAGCAGCCTACCACCTCTTCGAAATCCACCGAAGATGGAATATACCGATGATTTGACGAATCTTAGCTATCTTAATGAACCTGCAGGTAGGGCAAATCATTCAAGAGAAGCCCCTTGTATGTTTCAACGTTGACGAATCCCTATTTGCTAGTTTTGAATACTATACGCACTCGATACCTGCAGCGTATCATTTATACATACTCGGGTATCGTTTTGATTGCTGTCAATCCTTTCGATAGAGTATCGCTCTATGAACCAGACATTATTCAGCAGTACTCTGGAAAACGACGCGGTGAGCTTGAGCCACACTTGTTCGCCATCGCTGAAGACGCTTATCGATGTATGATTCGCGAGCAGTCAAATCAAACCATCGTGGTTTCAGGTGAAAGGTATGGATTGCCGTGTAACCGCTGACAATGAATAACATTTGGATGGTGTTACTTAACTTGGTATACTTTGTTAGTGGTGCTGGTAAAACTGTTAGCGCAAAGTACATTATGCGATATTTCGCGACTGCAGATGGCAACGACAACGACCAAGTGAAAGCGAAAGCTGAAGGCTCTGGCATGACTGAGGTTGAAGAGCAGATATTAGGTAGGGAAACGCCACCAAGACTATTCCATATTGAGACAAAACCACATATTGATTTTTCTGTAAAGCGACGAATCCTATCATGGAAGCCTTTGGTAATGCCAAAACAACCAGGAACGACAACTCTTCTAGATTTGGAAAATACATTGAGGTATTTGAAAAACTACCGAAACAATACGCCTGCGCGTGGAGCAAATACTAACCTTTGGTATAGATCCAATTCAACGAGTCGGCTGATATTATCGGTGCCAAAATCAGAACATACCTTTTGGAACGTTCCAGATTAATTTTTCAACCTGAAACTGAACGAAACTATCACATTTTCTATCAGGTATGAATTCAAGAAGGGGTCTATGGCGTGTTATTTGCATGGACATTGATCATGGCTCTGTTGGTAGTTGTGTGCTGGTATTCCTTCAAATGAAAAGAAGGATTTCGAGCTTGGAGATTTCACGAAATTTCATTATTTGAACCAAAGTGGCACTGGAACTATACCCGGCGTCGATGATGCTTCTGAATTCGAAGTGACACAGCGTTCATTATCCACCATTGGTATCTCGGTTCAGGTCCAATGGCAGATATTCCGCGTATTAGCAGCACTATTGCATATCGGTAATATTCAGATTACTGGCCGTGGCGATGCGATGTTGAACGAAACAGATCAGTCACTGGTGACAGCTACACGTCTACTTGGAATCAAGGCTGCTGAGTTTCGTAAATGGGTTGTGCGCAAGCAAATCATAACTCGTTCTGAAAAGATTGTCACCAATCTGAATCCCACACAAGCAAATGTTGTGAAGGACTCAGTTGCCAAATACATCTATGCCAACTTATTCGAATGGCTTGTTGGTGTTATTAATGACAGTCTCTCATCACCTGATATATCGGCTATCTCAACATTTATTGGTGTACTCGATATTTATGGATTTGAACATTTCAAAAAGAACTCATTCGAGCAGTTTTGTATCAATTACGCAAACGAAAAGCTCCAGCAACAGTTCAACCAACATGTCTTCAAGCTGGAACAAGAGGTATGAGCGTACAACTGTGTGAAAATTTCAGCCGCCTAGATCTTTACACCTTTCATCACAGGAATACATTAGAGAGAAGATCAACTGGACCTTTATCGATTTTAGCGATAACCAGAAGTGTATTGAGATGATCGAAGGAAAGCTGGGTATTTTATCCCTTCTTGATGAGGTACGACTTTTGGCTTTACTCTGATCTAGCAAGGATGGTACTAAAATTGTACACCTTATACAGGAATCTCGCTTGCCTTCTGGTAACGACCAATCCTACTGCCAAAAGCTTTATACAAACTTTGATACTCCCGCATTCAAAGACTACTTCAAAAAGCCCCGATTTTCAAACGCAGCCTTTACCATTGTTCACTACGCGCATGATGTGCAATATGAATCGGATGGATTCTTGGACAAAAACAAGGATACTGTGCCAGATGAACATCTTAAGTTGCTACAAGATTCGGAGTTCGAGTTCCTTAGCGAAGTTTTGGAGAAGGCTGCGCTTGCTAACCCCCCACCACCAGTGAGTGAAAAACCTACTGAATGAATGAGATTTTTCTCCACTCAATCTAACCTGAAACCTTAATAGGTGGAGAATAAGCGTATGAGCATGATCGCCCGTAAGCCTACGTTAGGTTTCATCTTCAAGGTAATCGATCATCATTTATAGACTTCAGCCTCTCTTTGTTCGCCTATTGACTAACCGTGAATTTTCTCTGTTCTAGCAATCTTTGATCAGCCTTATGGATACAATTGGAGAAACAAATGTACATTACATTCGTTGTATCAAACCTAACGAAGCGAAGGTTGCCTGGGAGTTCGAACCGAACATGGTTTTGTCACAACTGCGAGCTTGCGGTGTCTTAGAAACAATTCGAATCAGTTGCGCAGGTTATCCCTCACGCTGGACATTTGAAGAGTTTGCAGACCGATATTATTCCTTGGTATCATCTCAACATTGGGACCCTAGCAACAGCCCCGATTTAATGAGCTTGTGTTCTGCCATTCTGAAAAAGTCTATCACCGATGAAGACAAGTACCAAATAGGTACAACCAAGATTTTCTTCCGTGCCGGACAGGTGAATATTTTCTCTTATACTTTGCTTCACTATCATACCGCTGATACTAAGTAATCTTCATAGCTCGCATACTTGGAGAAGCTGAGAGCGGATCGATGGAACGAATGTGCCATTGTGTTGCAGAAGAACATTAGAAGATATATTTACCGTTCTAGATACTTGCGTATCCGTGAGATGACTTTGAAATTACAGTGTGTTGCTCGTACCAGAATTGCAATCAAAGCATTGCAACGGATGCATGAGAACAAAGCTGCCATTGCTATCCAAACAAACTGGAGAAGACACAACGCTAGGAAACAGTATGTCGCCCAGAAACATGCAGCCGTCAAAATTCAAACGGGTGAGTGGAATGAAAAAGGGGTCCCATGAATTGCATGGTACACTGTCAGCATCATGACTAATATGATCTATGTAATGTAGCTTTCCGTGGATATAATGCACGTAAGGAGTTCACGCACCTACGACAGGAAGGTGCTGCGCTGAAAATTCAAAGAATGGCACGCGGATGGTACGTATATCTGTGTGTGAACGATGGATGCAAAGACGTTTTCTCACGGAATCGTTTCTTAAAGGTTGGCAAGGAAGAATTATCAAAAGCAACGCAGACAAATTGTACTTGTTCAATCTTGTGTCCGTCGCCGCCAAGCACGCAAGGCCTTACTAGCATTGAAGCTTGAAGCGAAATCAGTTACTCACTTCAAGGAAGTCTCGTATAAGCTTGAGAGCAAGGTGGTTGAGTTGACACAGAACCTCACTCAGCAGAAGGACGAGAAGAAGAAAATGGCAGATAAAGCCAGCCAGTTGGAGGTACAATTGAAGACATGGATGGATAAATATGAGAAAATGGAAAAGAAAGCAAAGGGATACGAAGCAACTCTACAAGAGCCAAAGGTACCCAAGGCCGACTGGGAAAAACTCCAGGGAGAAAAGGACGATTTGCATTCAGAGCATCAATCTGTTGTGCAAAAGCTGAAATCTCACGAACAGACAATTTCCAAGCTGCAGGAAGAGTTGGAGCAACAAAAGGTTGAAAATGAAAAACTGCGTGAAGAAGTAAAGGCCGCTATGGAGAAGCCTGTTGACGATGCCAATACGGAAGAGCTTAAGAGCCAGATAGCATCACTGAAGTCTCAGCTGGCACAGACTTTGAATGCACCACGACGACAGCCTTCCAACAACAATCTTCGGAGCCCATCACCTGCTCCAGATCGTATGCGCGGAATCTCACCTCCTCCCCCTGCCAGCTTTGAAAAGGAAACAGATAATTCTGGGCGAGGTCGCTCGCCATCTGGACTTCCAGTGTCTAGAAAAGTTCGCCGAAACAGCTCTGCAGAGCTTACCAAAGGAAAACCCAAGACATCCATTGACAATATTAGACAGACTGAACTACATCTCAAGAATCATAGACCAACCTCGGTTGATCACTTTAGTACTCTTTTGGGTAGCAAGCATGATCGTATTGTTGAAGAACCAGATGGTGATCCCGAAGAAGGCGTAAGTAGTCATGCATAAAAGACAATGCGTTTATTTGAAGGATGCCCATCCATTGACATTTTCTCATCCTTCTTTACAGATCCATACTATCCTTACAGAAGAAGAAAACCTATTGGAGGAAATTGTTGATGGTCTTATTAAGGAACTGAAAATGCCCTTACCAAGCCTTCAGAACCCTCCTTCGCAAAAGGAGGTTCTCTTCCCTGCTCATATGATTGGCTTATGTGTCACCCAAATGTGGAAGCTCGGATACACGCAACCGTCTGAGCGCTTGCTGTTGACGGTCATGGATACTATCCAAAAGCAATGCATGGTAAGCTACTTAGTATAGTTATCTGTGATATTTCACAAGTGACATTGTGCTAACTTTTCTACAGGCATTTTCTGGCGACGAGGCTGTTGTTCCATGTGCGTTCTGGCTCTCTAATGTTCACGAGCTTCTCTCTATCATCTGCAATACAGAACTTGCTATGGAGCAAGAAATGCGAAGCAATGGTAAACGTACATCAGCCTGGCAAGAATTTGAAAGGATGGTGTCCACTATTAAGTACGAATTGCAATGTCTTGAGGACAATGTCTTCCATGCATGGATGAAAGAGTTGAAGAAACGCCTGAGTAAGATGATTGTACCATCCATTGTTGAAAGCCAATCACTTCCGGGATTCATCACAAGTGACTCCGGCCGGTTCTTGAACAAACTCTTGGCCGGCGGATCCTCACCAACATATTCTATGGACGACTTGCTCAATTTCCTTAACAAGGTCTGGAGAGCCATGAAGTGCTATTATCTAGAACAGTCAGTGTCCCGACAGGTTTTGACCGAACTCTTGAAACTTCTCGGTGCATCTGCCTTCAACGACTTGCTAATGAGAAAGAACTTTTGTTCATGGAAGCGAGGTAAGATCGATTGCGTTGTTTACCACATACTGAACCATAACAAACAATCTAATAATTGTGCCTTATTAGCGATGCAAATTCAATATAATATCACACGAATTGAAGAATGGTGTAAAAGCCATGATATTCCTGAAGGTACTTTGCAATTAGAGCATTTGATGCAAGCAACCAAGCTGTTGCAGTTGAAGAAGGTAAGCATTTCTTGTTTTGTGTTTTCATTTACATACTACCAACGTTTGCATCGCTAAACAATACATATCGTCAACAGGCTACTCTAGGCGATATTGAGATCATATATGACGTCTGCTGGATGCTTACTCCAACACAGATACAAAAGTTGATATCACAATACTATGTAGCCGACTATGAGGTAAGTTTTTCCCTATAGGGGCACGGAATGGAAGATCTGAAATCCCAGGGACTGATATCTCATCCTTTTTTTTTTTTTTCAAAAGAACCCTATAAGTCACGAGATTCTGAAGGTGGTGGCATCCCATGTCATTACTGGGGATAAGAACGACATTCTTCTGCTAGACAGTGTCTCCATAGACGACACGACAACACCTTTTGATATACCACCAGCGCGCGAAGTGGTCGCTGAGCGCTTCTACCTTCCAGCCTGGGTATGTATTCAGGATAACGGTTTCCGAACCACATACGAAACCTTCTAACTTTTTTTTTTTTTTCATCTGTTTATCTACAGCTCAACCTCAGACGTCTTCGAAAACTTACTGTTCTAGTTCAGCAACAGCTCAAGCAACAGCAACAAAAATGAAAAGAAACGCTCTCGCATATAGATAATCAGCGGTATATCCTCCTTCATAAAACCTAACATTCGCTTCTTTCAACACTACGTTGTACTATAACTATCATTAAGAATAAGAGATTATGCATGAATTACAGAACCTTTTTGTTTGTGGTACTATCGCTTTGACTCTTGAGGTGCAAAGTAGTGCTGAGCATCTGTATTCCCTACGGTAAAATCAAATTTTTCACCCAATTTATGACGTTTTTGTCACTATTGAGTTTTAATTCACGCTTGGCCATGTATAAGTCACCCATACAGGTGTCGCTGACCTTTTCACATTCAGACTTTCACTTGAACTACGGCCATGACACAGCAGATTCCATTACCGTCAACAAATGATCTGGAAGCTACGTGGAAGTTTCTAGAGGACGGTATTGATCAGATTTATAACCGATTGGAGGAAGGTTTGACTCATGCCAGGTTCATGAATTTATACACGTATGTGTCATGTTGGCCCATTTACTTATCGTCTATTATGACATCGGACTAAACATTACCTTTTCGTCTTCAATAGAGTTGTGTACAATTATTGTACGAGTAGTAGAATTCAAACTGGTCAATATAGTACGGATTTGCAAAACCATCAGGCACAGCGCGGTAAGTCTTCAGAGCTACTGCGTAACATACACAACCACCTTCTAAATCCAGACTTGTTCCACCTTTTCTTAGGTGCCAGCTTAATGGGAAGCGACTTGTACAATCGTTTAATCAAATATCTGGAGGATCATCTCGCTGCTATCAGATTGGTAATTTACTCATATACTATGCCATACACTCTCCGCTATTGTAGTAGCTTACATATCATGCCATCTAGGAATCCGAGCAGTATATGGATGAGTCTTTGTTACATTACTACACAAAGCAATGGAAAAAGTTCACTGTTGCATCGAGCTATGTCCATCATGTGTTCAGCTACCTCAATCGCCATTGGGTAAAGCGAGAAATAGAAGAAGGCCGAAAGAATGATGTTTTTGAAGTGTATACTGTAAGTGATTTGTAGTATAAGGATTGATTTGACCTGAATATGATTCTCATTTCTTTTGAAGCTTGCATTGGTCAGTTGGAAGAGACACATGTTCAAATACGTCCACCATAATGTGAATGAAGCAGTGCTGAAGCTTATCGAACGTCAACGAAATGGAGAATATATTGAAACCAGCCTCATCAAAAGCATTGTTGAATCCTTTGGTAAGGGAAAAAATTATTGATATGAATCATCCATCGAGGCGATATTGAACCATTTCCAATTTTATTTTTTTTAGTCTCCCTGGGTTTGGACGATAACGATGCATCAAAATTGAGTCTGGACGTCTACAAGAATTGGTTCGAAGCTCCATTCGTGGAAGCTACAGAGGTCTACTACAAGACAGAATCTGAAAAATTCATCAGCGAAAACAGCATCCCTGACTACATGAAGAAGGTAGGCAGTTTGCAGGTGTGATCGTTTACTTTTTTTGTTGATCAGTCTAACACAATCATTGCCTTTAGGCTGAGAACCGCCTTGCTGAAGAAGAAGCCCGTGTACAGATGTACCTGCACCCAACCACGCATCAGCCAGTAAGTTTGACAGCATATGCCGCTTTGTATCGAAAAGTGTCACATACTCACACTATGCCCATTTCAGCTCATTTCCAAGTGCGAGACAGTGTTGGTCAGAAACCATGCGGAGGTCATCTGGGAAGAGTTCCAAAATCTTCTTAACTATGATAAACAAGAAGGTTAGTGTAATATGTGCAATTCAATATCGGTCGAATTTCAAAACTCTTGACTGACTTCGCGAGTTGAATAGATTTGCATAGAATGTACTCTTTGTTAGCTCGGATACCAGATGGCCTTAACCCATTGCGTAGCCGGTTTGAATTGCATGTTAAAAAGGCTGGCCTCAGTGCAATTGAGAAGATTGCGGAGCAAGAAGGCGAGACTGTGGTATGTGGTTTCGTATGAACTCGTATATCTACTGCCCAGCCCCGATTACTAAAAAATACTCCTTCTCAATACTCTAGGAACCTAAAACATATGTTGATGCACTTCTGGAAGTCCATAGAAAGTACAACGAATTGGTACAAACTGCATTCTCTGGTGAAGCTGGCTTTGTTGCCTCTCTAGATAAGGCTTGCAGAGAATTTGTGAATCGCAACAAAGTTTGCAAGACATCCACTTCCAAATCTCCGGAACTTCTTGCTCGATTTTGTGATTCTTTATTAAAGAAAAGCGCCAAAAACCCGGAAGAAAATGAGTTGGAAGATGTTTTGAACGGAACGGTAAGTCTCTTAGAGATGATTTAAGTTGTCAGTAACTCCATACTAATCAAGATGTACGAAGATGACCGTCTTCAAATACGTTGAGGATAAGGATGTCTTCCAGAAGTTTTATTCCAAGATGCTTGCCAAACGTCTGGTTAACGGGTCATCAGCGTCTGATGATGCTGAGGCTAGCATGATTTCAAAACTCAAAGAGGCCTGCGGTTATGAGTACACATCTAAGCTGCAGAGAATGTTCACCGACATGTCTTTAAGCAAAGAACTCAACGACAACTTTAAGGAAAGAATGCAGCAAGGGCACGATCCAAGCGATCTCAACGGTAAGCTACCATACCCTAACGACGATATCGACGCGATGACTTATTTTATTTTAATGCTATAGACTTCAACATCTTGGTTTTGAGTGCTGGATCATGGCCACTTACCGCACCTACCACTGCGTTTAATATTCCGGAAGATGTAAGCAGAAAAGTTTGCTCAACCAGCATTGATTCACATATTAGCAATATTTAACCTAATTATATTGTTTTGCAGGTGGTCAAAACTTACGATCGATTCCAAAAGTTCTATCAAAGCAAACATTCAGGTCGCAAGCTTAATTGGCTGTTCCAACTTTCAAAGGCTGAACTCAAGGCTACTTGTTTCAAGGCATCGAAAACTGGCTACACGTTACAGGTAACATTTACGTCCACTTCCACCTGGGTAACAGAATTGTTTTAGACGAGATATTGATATGGGCTTCGTCAACAGGTCTCTGCGTACCAAATGGGCATTCTTTTGCAATACAACAATGGAGATACCTATACCTTTGAAGAACTCAGAGATGTTACCAATCTGGCACTTGAAGCAATCATTCCTGCTCTCAGTATTCTAGTGAAAGCTAAAATTCTACTGTTGTCCAATGGGACTAAAGTTGGTGATAGCGGATCCAAATATAGCTTGAATACTGACTTTAAGAGGTAAATGTTGTTGACATAACAGCGCCGATCTGCTAGTGTAAACGAATGAAAACTTACAACTGTGATGACTTTTTTCTAGCAAAAAAATCAAGATAAACCTCAACATGCAAATGAAAACGGAACAGAAAGTCGAGTCCGACGAAACTCATAAAACTATTGAAGAGGATCGCAAGTTGCTTATGCAGGTTTGTATTTAATCCCTCTTCAACAGCTAGCGGCGGCAAGGGATATATGTTTTGACCACCTTATTTTGTCTATGTAGGCTGCTATCGTTCGCATCATGAAAACCAGGAAAGCTATGAAGCACGTTACGCTTATGGACGAGGTTATAACGCAGCTCCAATCGAGATTCAAGCCGCGTATACCAGACATCAAAAAATGCATAGATATCTTATTGGTGAGTACTTTTTTTTTCTTTAAGGAGAAACGACAACAACCTAGCATACATCAACTGAGTCACTTGTATGTTGTTTACTGAACGACTTTATTTGTACTTTTAGGAGAAGGAGTATATTGAACGTGTAGAAGGACAGAAGGATATGTTTAGTTACGTAGCGTAGAAAGTTGTTTATACTATCACCTTTGGTCTTTCTACAATATCTGATGAATACTATACCAGTTTGCATGGGATTTAGTACGATAATATGTTGTTGAGATTTAATTGATGTTGTGTACACGGCAGGGCTAAGTGTTTGACGCTAGATGGAGGTGTTGTGTATCAACAAACTAAACAGTTGTGGCTTCCTTCCACCAGTTCGAGGGTGCGATCGGTGATCTTCCCCTTAAGCACTGTTCTGTTTCAGATAGCTATTCTGCTGATTAGGACGCGCATAAGCAAAGTTGCCATGGATATCTGGCGGGTAATATGTATAGATATCCTCCATCTTTATGTATTGTCTTCATAAGTGAAGATAGCAATTCGAATATAATCGTGCAACTTGGAAGGTACCGTGAAATCATCCTGACGTACGCCGAAACACCGGAACAAAATAAAAGAGGCTGTAAGAGGCTGTAACGAACAACCTAAATACTGGGGATTGATAAAAAATATTGTACTTTTTTTGTATACGGAGAGCTGATATTACTCATTTGTTAGTAAATTTAAGTTGAATATGCTATGCTGTGCTGCCCTACATCTTTGTTATCAGGGCAGTACTACTTCTTTGCGAGCAATTACAAAAAGATGTATATTGCTCACGTGACTCGCGCACTGAGCAGCAAGTGGGTAAACTTTTTTGGCTTTGTCCGCCGTCGATGAGGTAAGTTATTTTTTGACACTTTTAAACGATTAAAAAACTTCCCTCTCCTTCTTACTTGGGCCGCACTACACTTGTTCCTCACCGAGAAATCTCAATCGCCAGCAACTGGCATACTAGACTGACATAATGGACGAAACTCAACCATTACTTCAACCTCCAACGGCCCAACCGAGACAACCTTGGTATCGACTTAGTATTTCGCAATCGCCAGCAAAAGCTTACTATGTCATTCCACTATGTGCCGCCCTTGGTATGCTTGTGGGGATGGTTCAAGCCCCCCTGGTTCAATTCGTCGTCAGCCTTGTCTGTAGCCGAGAAGCGAAGACTCTGCAGGACACCTTTCATATACCGAGCACTGCTGTATTCGACGATATCTTCGCCCTCAGCCGGCCAAGAGAAGAATGTGATGCAGATGCGACTGTACAGGCAATAAGCTCTCGAGTTCTGCTCATCATTCAACTCTGTTCTGCGTTGCTGTGTAATTATTTTCGTATCTGTACTTTATCTATCAGCCTGACCTGTAATTTTGACTAAACTTTATCTCGTCATCAAGCACTATGCACAACAGGATTTTACTCTGCACTATCAGACAGACATGGTCGACGTTTCGTCTTCATGATCAATGCTTTGGTGAGGAATTTTTTTTTTCGGTATACGCAATGACATTGGAATGAAAGGATGAGCCACTAATTTCATAACACTCGCTCATAGTTCTTTATGTTGGAAGCTGCCCTCAATATCTTTATCGCAAGAAACGCAGCTTCTTTACCCATCGCCATGCTTTTCCTTTCGGCCATTATACAAGGAAGCGGTGGTGCCGGTATGTATCTGTATTTGTCATCTATGTCTTTCAATGAAACTAAATTTCTCGCTCTAGCAAGCACGGTCCTGATGTGCACACATGCCTACGTGGCTGACACCACGTCTCCTCAAAAACGGTAATTTGATTTAGCCATGACCTTCATATCAATTCTATTTTCCTTTACTGAAATTTCTTGATACTTTATAGAAACATTCTCTTTGGCCGATTGATAGCAGCGGTAATAACTTAATGCAGGGATTTGAATGTTGATGTACCGATGCTTATGATTACATCAGCTCTTTAGTGGCATGTCTGTTGGCCCAGCTGTTGGCGCTTTCATCATGGAGGTACACTATTTACTTTATAACAATAATACGTGTGATTATGAATTAACTTCTTTATCTCTTCTCGCTTTGGCATTTCTGCAGAAATTTCAAACTATTCAAGTTATTTTCACTGTCAACTTCATTGTTTTCACGACATGGCTCCTGGTTGTCATTTTCATCCTACCAGAATCCAACAAAAATGTCGAACAGCGACAAGTACTGGAACCCCATGCTAGTACATCCACAGATACCGTCGCTCAAACAGACAGCTCACCCAAAGTCGGCGTCCTTGCTGCGTTTTCCATTTTTTTCGTTTCGAGAGGTCCAAACACATCAAGATTTACATTACCCGCCCTCGTTATTGCTCACTGGTTGATGATGATGCAAGCTATGGGAATTCAAGTGGTAATTGTACTCTCTGCTACATACAGGTTCCATTGGACACCAGGAAACGTCGGCGCTTTCCTTAGTACAGCTAATGCGGCCAGGCTGCTTGGCCTACTAGTCCTGCTTCCAGCCCTTTCTCGCCTTAATAAACGACTTGTAAAGCGTCGAGGTGAGAGAAGAAAGGGACAAGACATGAACACGGATCAGCACATTAGCTTTGATGTTTGGCTCGTTCAATTTGGTCTTGGTTTGGATTGCATCGCCTTGCTGTTACAAGGACTGGCGAAATCAGGTTGGACCATGTATTTTGCCTTGATATTTCAGTCTTCTGCTGTTGTGTATGCTGCAGCCATCAAGTCTTTACTTTTGCACTTGGTTCCTCCGTCACAAGCTGGTACTGTTCTCGGTGCAGGTAAAATTTATTAACGTTTTGTCTTCTTTTCTCATCGTCTCTGAACTAAAACATTTTGTGTCTTTGTAGCTGGAATGGTGGAGGCTTCAGCACAATTAGTTGGTCCTATCATTATGGGTACAGCTTATTCCGCCTTTGTAAAAACTATTCCTAGCATGCCATTCTACATCGCCGCCTGTGCCTTGCTTATCGGATTTGGCTTAGTATTGACCGTAAGACCAGAGAAGCAAGCAGTCAGAGATGTAGCGCATGATACCCATGTAGTCGTATGACGCTTATTAGCAGGCAAAGCTCAAAAATGAGAAAATACAATTTATACTATGTAATATATTAAAAGAACTGTTTAAAATGGATGGCAATATGCATGTACAAAGGACCGGTATTGCGAAAAAAGTTTTTCGAACTACAAGACATTCTTGAGCACAATTGCGACGTGCAAACCCATTAATCTCTTGTCACATACAACTTTCACAATTCCCATTTACAGTTTCAAAAATTTCAAGATAGGTATCTTATTTCTTTAACAACCCTTTTGATAGCCATTTTGGTACAGCTTTGGATACACTGTCTTTGATAGTACTAGCTGGGGTGCTGCTGGAGGATGCTTGTGAATCACCGCTGTTTGTCATGTCCAGCGGTCGTGGCATCTGCTGTACTTGCTTTAGATATTGCTCGGACAATTCAGATTGGCCTGTAATAAGTTAGATTTCATTCTCCCGAACAAATTTCATTACAGGAAAGCATCCTTACCTTTATTATTTGGCGTTATAGCTCCAACAAATGTCACCTTGGATTGTGGTGCGAGGCCAGCTTTGAAAAGCGTCTCATTCATATCAACTAATTGCCTTCTAGGCGGAAGGCAAAGAATGAATTCTCGATCCGAATTCCGAAGTGTTGACCTTATTACACTATACAATGTACTAACTATGAAGATAGCCTATAAATATCAAGAGTGCTTTCGTAATTTGAAGTGTAGACGGCTTGACTTACTTTTTTCACTGGAAAGAAAATTGATTTGTAAAATGAGACCATCCGGGAATGTCACTCGAATAGTGGTTTTTGGGTATTTCTTCATACGCTCCTTCTCCTCTTGGTTTCTCATTTGCTTCGTCTTCAATGGACTGCGGATATCAGTCGGTTTAGTAGTGACTATAATCCTCGCGTTTGATATTATCTAGAGTGCCAATGTACTTACGCATTATCTAAAGCCTGTCGCTTGTTAACTTGTGATTGATATAATTGTTTGATTTCGGCCGGTGTTAACTTATAAAAGGACTCAGGGACTGGTACTATCAGTAGAATATGAATGATTCAGCCTTAAGATTCGTGTGCTTGGCATTTTATTATGTCAATTCTTTTTAGTTATTACCTTGACTGGGTGCACCTCCTTGATAAGGTGACATCACCTTAATGTCGCGGTCTATCGCTGGAGCTGCATTGATTTGTTCGGTCGTTGACATTTGCTGGAGGAGGGACAAGGACGTAATGGCGAAGGGATCCACGTCGCTGTTCTAATCTTATGGTTGGTGTTTTTATGGTACAAATTCAGTTGCATCAAATATCCCAACTTTCTACGATTCAGCTTGAGCTATGGTTTTGTAGAGCTAATATATAATATTGATTGGTTCTTTTTTGTAGTTTGAATATCATTCATCGGTGTGGCCGTTATGTTATCAAAATCCTGTACTGATATATCAAAATATAACAACAAGATTGGTTTGGCTCACAGTTCGTACAGTTAGTAAGCTTTCATATACTCTACAAAGGCACACATCATAGCAATGATGCGATTGTGCATTTTTAAATAAGATGACAGATGTAAAAATAGAGCTACATCTTGTTCTCTCTCTTGTTTCAGTCCAACCCAAAAAGATGATTGCTCAAGTTACCAGGCACATCTTATTTACGTCCTTCGCGTACTAAAGTCGCTAAGATGAAATTCAATAGTGGAAGTATATTGATCACCATAGCAGACGTTAGAAAAATTATAGACCTTGCAAGTCGTGTGATGGTGGTAATCCAGTTTTATTACTATAAATCAAATTCTTTGGCAATGTACAACATTTCTATAGATTTTTGAAAAAACGGTTAAATAACTTGTGACATAGAGCATTAAGTACGCATTTCAAAATTACCTTTCATTGTTAACAATGTATTGTCTATGCTTCCGTAGCGGGCTTCTTACGGAAACCTTCAACCTTGTTCTCCTTGACAGCCTTCAAGTACATGTCTGCAAGTTCTCGGCAGTTTTGGTCTGGCATTAAAGCACACAATTAGCATTTACTGTTCTTTCAATCGACATTTAATGTCATCTAGTCAGCTTACAGTGGTTGACGCCTTCTGTCTTGTAGCATTTTGAAAGTTGGTCACGGATGATGCGAGCTTCCATTGCCTTAACCCAGTCATCGCGAATCTTCTGTTCACGAGCGGCATAGACGGCTAAGAAATGGGAAATAAGAAACATCAGTCTCTACATGTTATATGTACAGTGATTATATGCTGAAATGAGACCTACCTTTGCGGTCATTGGAGTCAACTTGATCGAGAGTTGGAACGCTGTTGGTTATTACATGATGCAAATTGAAAGGGAGGAATCGTTAGAAGTCGAGAAGTCGCTAATTCTACATAAATCTCTGTTTGCTCATACCGCTCGAATTGTCTGTGCTCGGGGTATTCCCAATCTGCCGCTGAAGAACTCATTGCTAGGTTGTATATATCTCAATAGAATTCTGTTTAGGGTTGATAGCTGATGGCCTAACAACTTGGAAGTGTGATGTCAGCATGTCACGTGATTAGATGGGCGCGTTTTGACAGTTTTCACGGCTTAGCTTTGATTGGCTGTCAATTAGTTTTGGGCTAGGGTTCAATCTGTCAATCAAAAAATCTGATGGTGAGTCAATTTGCTAGCATCAGTCCAAATACTTCTTGTACGTGGATATTCTGACAAATTCAGATACCACTCATCTCGGCGATAATGAGTACTGTACACGCTCCTTCAGAGCCTTCGGTATGCAAGGTCTCCATCCTCGGATCAGAGTCCATTATTCTTGGCTTCCACTTGACTGAGTATGTGCTCAAGGACGTCCTGAACAACATTCCCGCCTCCAACTATGTGATCATTACCGACACAAACCTGGCACCCATCTATCTTCCTGGATTGGTGGAACGCTTCAATGCCATAAGTTCAGAGATAAGCGAAAAGCGTGGAGAAAAGGCCCCTCGTTTGTTTACTCGCGCACTTCCTCCCGGCGAACTGTCCAAGTCAAGACAAACCAAGGCTGACATCGAGGACTGGCTCCTTTCAAATGCTGTCACTCGCGACACCTGCTTTATTGCTGTAGGAGGTGGTGTTATCGGAGATCTGGTCGGATTTGTCGCTGCTACCTTTATGCGCGGTGTCCCTGTCGTGCAGATGCCCACCACTCTACTTGCCATGGTTGATTCTGCTATTGGAGGCAAAACCGCCATCGACACTCCCCAAGGCAAAAACCTTGTTGGTGCATTCTGGCAGCCCAAGCGCATCTTCATCGATTTGGCTTTCCTCCAAACTTTGCCTGAAAGAGAGTTCTCTAATGGTATGGCCGAAATCATTAAGGTAAAGAACAAAAATATGAAAATGTACCGAAACAGCATAAGCTCACTATACTAACAATGCATATATTAGACTGCTGCTATCTGGAACGAGCAGGATTTCGTCAAATTGGAGAACGGCGTTGAAAAAATCAGAGAAGCCGTTCTTGGAAAGTCTGAGAGTACTCAGTTTCAAGGAGCTACACTCGATACTCGCACAGAAGGCCAAAATCTTCTACTTGATGTCGTTCTAGCATCAGCAAACGTCAAGGCTCATGTCGTCACTGAAGATGAAAAGGAAGGAGGTTTGCGTGGATTGTTGAATTTTGGCCATTCCATTGGTCACGGTATCGAAGCCCTCGTTTCACCTATGATGCTTCATGGCGAATGTGTCTCAGTTGGTATCATGAAAGAGGCCGAATTGTCCCGCAATCTTGGTCACTTGAACCAAGTTGCCGTTGGAAGACTTAGCCGCTGCTTGTCCGCCTACGGCTTACCTATTAGCATGGATGAAAAGAAAGTGAAAGATTTGATCGGATCCACCTATTGCCATGTTGACGATATCATGGAAGTCATGAAGGTCGACAAGAAAAACCAAGGTGACAAGAAGAGAATTGTTCTTTTGGCTGCCATCGGAAAGACCCTCGAACCTCGTGCCTCTGTTGTCGCTGATAGCGACATTCACAAAGTCCTCAGCCCAGAACAGCTTGTTTTGCCTGTTACTGAATCCCCTAAGGGCCCAAAGACTGATATTGTCTTGTCTACTCCTGGCTCCAAATCCATTTCTAACAGAGTCCTCCTCATCGCTTCTCTTGGACAAGGAACAACTCGTATCAAGGGACTTTTGCATTCTGACGATACGCAGTTTATGCTTGCTGCTTTGAAGTCTCTTGGTGCAGCTGAGTTCGACTGGGAAGACAACGGTGAAACTCTTCTCGTAAAGGGAGCTGGAGGAAAGCTCAGAGTTCCAGATAAGGAGCTCTATGTCGGCAATGCTGGTACTGCTTCCAGATTCCTCACCACCGTTTTGACATTGATCAAGGACACCAGCAATAGCAAGCAAGAGGCTGCTATTTTGACCGGAAATGCTCGCATGAAGCAACGCCCTATCGCCCCATTGCTCACTGCTTTGATGGCCAATGGTGCCGAAATCAAGTCCATTGAGAAGGAAGGTTTCTTGCCTATTGCTGTTAAGCCTACCGGTGGATTCAAGGGTGGCCGTATTGAACTCGCTGCATCCATTTCATCTCAATATGTCTCTTCCATTCTCTTATGCGCACCCTATGCTCAGGAACCCGTTGAACTTGTGTTGACCGGCGGACAAGTCATTTCTCAACCTTACATCGACATGACTATCGCCATGATGGAATCCTTCGGTGTCAATGTCGACCGTTTGCCCAATAACACCTATCGCATTGCTCAGGCCGTTTACCAAAACCCCGACGTTTATGTTGTTGAATCTGACGCTAGCTCTGCCACTTATCCTTTGGCCATTGCTGCTATTACTGGAACGACTTGTACTGTTTCCAACATTGGTTCAAGCTCCCTTCAAGGCGATGCTACATTTGCTATCAACATTCTTAGACCAATGGGTTGTAAGGTGACGCAAACCGAAACATCCACCACCGTTTCTGGACCTCCCGTCGGCCAACTTCGCCCTCTTCCCACTGTTGATATGGAGACTATGACTGATGCTTTCTTAACTGCTTCGGTTCTTGCTGCAGTCACTCAAGCACCTGAAGGCGTTGAAAACATTACTCGCATCACTGGTATTGCTAATCAGCGCGTAAAGGAATGCAACCGCATTGCTGCTATGGTTCATGAATTGACCAAGTTTGGTGTTGTCTGCTCTGAGCTTCCCGATGGTATCCAAATCCATGGAAAAGCTATTCGTGAATTGAAGGCACCTGCTGAAGGCGTCCACTGCTATGATGATCATCGTGTTGCCATGAGTTTCGCTGTTTTGTCTACCATTGTTCCTAACGGTACCATCATTCAAGAGAAGAAGTGCGTTGAAAAGACTTGGCCACAATGGTGGGACGATCTTGAGAACAAGCTTGGAGTCAGTCTGCGTGGAGTCGATCAAGGTAACAAGCTGCAAGCACTGAACAGCCAGCTCGGCACTTCAGCCAGCAGAAAATCAAAGAATGCTGACCACTCAAAGTCTGTCTTCATTATTGGAATGCGCGGTGTTGGCAAGACTACTTTGGGTCAATATGCTGCAAAAGTACTCGGATTTAATTTTGTTGACGTTGATCAATATTTGGAGGAGACTCGCAAGACCACTATTCCAGAAATCGTCAATACCCGAGGATGGCCATATTACCGCGTTGAGGAAGCAAACTGCCTCAATGAAATTTTGGCTCCAGGATCCCAATATGCCAAGAACTACATTATTTCCTGCGGTGGAGGTATTGTGGAGACAGAAGCTTCTAGACAGATTCTTCAACAATATTGCAAGGATGGTGGAAAGGTCCTCCATATTGTTCGTGATATGGATCAAGTGGTTAGATACCTCAACCAAGACACAACTCGACCTATGTACGGTGAAGACATGCTTAACGTCTGGAGACGCCGAAAGCCATGGTACCATGACACTTGCAACTATGAATTTGTTGCCTACGCCGAGAGCATGGTTCAAGACAAATGGGTTGACCCTGTTGAGTGGCAGTCAATTCAAAAGGAACTGAAACGCTACCTTCTGTTCATTACTGGCCAAAAAACGAATCACGTGTCTGAAGTTAGAAGAGTATCTGGTCCTGCTACTACCTTCGTCTCTCTTACCATGAGTGATCTCAGGAATGCTAAGGACAAGCTTGTAGAAATTTGCGAAGGCGCTGATGCTGTTGAACTTCGAGTGGATTTATTGCGTCAAGCAAATCAAACTGCGTCCATTGCGGATCGTGACTACGTCGGTGAACAAGTTGCTATTCTTCGTCGCTATGTTGACCTCCCTATCGTGTTCACTGTTCGATCAAAGGGCCAAGCTGGAGCCTTCCCCGATGATGCTGAAGCTGAGATGTTCGAACTTCTTAGATGGGGACAAAAGTGGGCCTGCGAGTACATTGATATGGAAATCATTTGGTCTCAAGCCGTCATTGACAATATCATTGCACACTGTGGTGAGAGCAAGATCGTTGCATCTTGGCATGATCTTAGCGGATTGACTCCATGGGGCTCACGAAGTCTGACGGATAGATATGAAAGTGCTTATAAGTTTGGCGACATCATCAAGTTGATCGGCACTGCTCAGTCTGTTGCTGATAACATTGCTTTGGAACAATTCCGAGCAAAGAAGCAACATGATAAGCCTTTGATCGCCATGAACATGGGCCCACTTGGTCAGATGTCTCGTGTCCTAAACACATTCTTGACTCCAATCACTCATGCTGCTTTGCCCACCAAGGCGGCCCCAGGTCAACTCACGCTGAAGGAGATCAACCATGCCAGACATTTGCTAGGTCTCATTCCATCCAAGAACTTCTACCTCTTGGGGACACCAATTGCTCATTCCATGTCACCTACGCTTCACAACACTGGTTTCCAGACTCTCGGTCTGCCATACAAGTACCATTTGCTAGAATGCAGCTCAGTCGCCTACGCTGAAGAAGCCCTCTCATCAGCCGATTTTGGTGGTGCTTCTGTGACCATTCCTCACAAGATTGCCATTATGAAGTACCTGGATCAAGTTACTGAAAATGTCGATGCTATTGGTGCTGTTAATACAGTTTATCCAGTATATGTCAAAGATGATAATGGTGAAGTGAAACGAGAACTTCATGGCGAGAATACTGACTACCTCGGCATTTATGGCTGTGTCAAAAAGCTGATCCTTGATGCCGATAACTCTCCACCTGCGCAGGGTCTTGTCATTGGTAGCGGTGGTACCTCTCGTGCGGCTTTGTATGCCCTTCATACTATTGGTATCAAGAAGATCTACTTGTGGAACCGTACCATTAGCAAGGCTTACGAGCTCCGAGATCACTTTGCCAAGTACTTTGAAGTGACTGTTATCGAGTCACTCGAGTCTGACATTCAAGTTGAAGTCATCGTCTCCACCATTCCAGCTGAAAATGGCCTTAAGGTTCCAGACACCCTATTCGGAGGCATCAAGGGAGTTTGCTGTGATATGGCCTACAAGCCTAGACGTACAGAGCTTCTCAAACAAGCCGAAAAACATGGATGGTCAACCGTTGAAGGCATCGAAGTCTTGATTGAACAAGGATATGGTCAGTTCCAAATTTGGACTCAAAAGCAAGCCCCAAAGCAAGCTATGGCCATAGAAGTAAACAAGAAGTACGACTTATAATCGATTCAATTGATGAATAATTCAATTTAAAGTCTCGATAGTTTTAAAATAAATGTATTTCAATCGTACTCATCGTGTTTTCTACTGTAACGGCACACCTGGAGCGGAAGCTGAGGGCTTTAATGTGACTGCTAACCTCGTGGGGGCGATTTCAGCTCACTTCTTGCCGCTGTGACAAGTGGAATTGTCAGTCTTTTACGCAATGATTGAAGACGAAACCAACCCAGAACTAGACTCACTCTTTGAAGACGATCCGGGATCGCTAGCAGAAATTGGAGAAGAAGATGCAGACGATTTAAACATATCCAATATTGCCACAAAGATATGGCTCGTCAAGGTACTGTGGCAGGCCCGTAGAGCCAAGCGCATCACCAAAGATCTGCCAATATATTCAACTTATCATTGTCAATTATAAGGTACCAAACTTTTTGGCAGAAAAGTGGAAGAATGTAGACCAAGATAGTATGAATCTTGGAACCGTTCGAATATACAATAGGTACTGTAATATGCTCTTTTCTCACCACCATAGGCAACTGCGAGACTAGAAAACTAATGCTTATGTTTCTTACAGAAATCCAGAGGGAAGCAATAGTCATGTGAGAAAACCTCTTTCTTGTGAAGTCCGCATGTTGTTATTATACTGATGCTTTGTTTTCAGGTCAAACTTATACTACCAGAAAACGAAATGACAAGCGATATTCCCAAAGAATATTCAATAAAAATACCGGCAGGAGAGGTGGAAAACAAATATGTATTCGGCAGCAATGATCACGGAGGTATGAAGCATTTCTCAACATATATCAATTGGCCATGTCATTAGGACTTTTTCTGACCATGTGCATTCTCTTCTACCACAGCGGCTACTAGAGTGGTTGGTAAGATACACCATGAATGTCACGTCTCACCGGCAAACTGGACAGCATACCGTGATATTATGCGAAAGCGAGTTCATGAAGCCGACCGACCAACTCGATCTGTACAAGAAATTGAACAAAGACATCAGCCTGTATTTGCTCCAGGAGCTAGTAGTGGCATGCCAGTCAGTGATTTCTCATCGTTCATTGTAAGTAAACCCATTTTGTACATCGGTAGATAGCCACTTTTATTAACAGCAGCGTTTAATCCGATGTGTAGCCATCCAAGAAACCTCGGATCGACAAGGAGAAAGCCACACGCATGCCAAGAAACGAACTTATGGATATGCTATTTGCTGCATTTGAACAGTACCCTTATTGGTCACTCAAAGGAATTGCTGAACATACAAAGCAGCCAATGCAATATCTCAAAGAAATCCTCAGCGAGATTTGCATTTTGAACAAACGCGGACCGTACACCTCAATGTATCAACTGAAAGCGGAATACAAAGTGCGGGGGAATGACAATAGACCCAAGGTTGAAGGCAATTCAGAAGCAGGAAGTGGAGATGGTTTGGACGGCGAGCTCAGCTCGGATGATGAAGAGAATGAAGATGACATGGAAATGGTTCAGTAATGAGCTGCACCCTCCTGTGTGAAAGTATTATATTTTTTCTCGTAAAATAAAAATAAGAAAAAAAAATTGCCCTCTTTCCTTTCTCAAAGTCTTGCACCGAGCCCTTCAAACCCATTCCTTCCTTTTCCCACCTTCACGGCTATGAAGGTCCAACGATTACATCTGGGCAAATCTGCCGCAGGGACACCTTTCTACATGTATCAAATACCGACAATGTCCTCATCTGAAAACTTGAGAAATTCTTTCTACCAAGTTGACATCATCGAAGCACTTTTCTTCGACCAGGAATCTCGACTTGTTGACTACGTACCACCACAATATTTTCAAAGCGAGGGATGCTATTACTACAAAAATGAACAAGGCGACAAATATCTTTTAGCGCAAGCCATTGGTGAAGCTGCTGTAAAACTCAATAAGTACCTTCTGGCTGAAATCTGCAAGTTGAAGCGAGAAGACGTTTTGACTGGCGTAGCAGACAAGCTACTAGAAAGTGTTACACGATTAACGAAAGCTGAGCAGCATATGGAAGACGATTATGATATGTCGCTCATACCAGCAAGCCCTCCTTTTGATCTACATCCAGTCAAGCCTGAGCCTGAATCGCCACCGCCCAATCATCTCGGAACTCCACCAGCAGAAAGAACACCTAAGCGGCGGCTTAATAATCCCATGTCACTCGATCAATTAGTATCTGAACAGGCGCAAGACAGGTATAACTTTGTTCATTATATCAGATTGAAACATATGACTCATTCTAAATTGAATTTAAATTTATGGTTTTGCAGCGATGATGATACCCTCAAACGACGAAGATTAGCCCCAGATTCAAATGAAAGACCACAGAATGGTCGTTTCAAGCAGACGAAAAGCGAAGAGAGGATCGCAAACGGATACCAAACCCACAATGATCATCATGCAAACGGCGATTCGCCTGCTTTAGCACATCCACAGCCCTTGTTACCCCGCCCAAGCAATCCAGGAACAGCAACTTTATTATCTAAACGTTTAACTCCACGAAGTAACAAAAACGCTCGCAACCTAACCATTTACGCACCTTCATATGCTGAGCAGCATGCGTTGGGTATCAAATCTGCCCCACTACATGCAACCCATCAACAAAGTGCTCGCCACAATCCAAACAAAAACTCAACAGACTCATTACATCCCAGACACGGTCACACATTGGCACCTTTACTCTCGCCAAGGGCCCCCATAGTCGCATCACAGCGAGGATTGCGTGGTTATGGGCATTCAGAAAGTCTTGCTCCCAAGTCAGCGGCCAATGCTGGTACCTTTCCATCGATTCTCACATCATCCACTTCTTCACCACGAAAAGCCGAATTTCCCATACCACCCGTCGTTCCTTCTCAACAAGTGCAACATTATCAAAATATAGTCCCAATTCCCTCTGTGTACGGACCTATGTCAGCAAGATCCGCCAGTGATCATACTCCCAATGCAATCCCAGCGGTGTCCACTCCCGGGACCGCAGCAGCCGCTAATATGCCACCGAAAACCCCTACTACTAATTCATTTGCGTCTCTCCAAAAACAGTCTTTCCTACAACCCTTTGAACACCTCTTCGAAAATATTGAAATCACTCGAAGTTTGAAATCCACTCTGGATGATCAAGTACGACGCTCCAGCTCCTTAATGCAATCTTTGCAATCTCATAACAGTGCGGTGGAAAATATGGTCAAGACTCATATGAAGGAAATTCAACGAGAAATATCTGATAAAATCGACCAACGCTTTGACGAGGTCATACAACGTATATCAGCTCTTGAGTCCACCGCTCCAGATCATCGTGAATCTTCAGCAAATTCGTCGACCTCGTCCGCCTCCAATACTTCCCGAACACTTCCATTTGATGCAAGTCGTCAACCAGATACCACCCATAGGAAAAAGAAATAGTTTATAGTTACTTGCTTGATTGATCTAGCGAGTGTTTGAATGTAGTATGTCTCTCTTCGTTTCTTGATTCCCCAATTTCTTGTAATCATTAGTTTATCTTTCCATTTGCTTTCTTCGTTATCTATCTTCTCCTTAAAAAAAAACCTATCAACTCATCGCTCTAGCCGTCCAGGTATTGATACCAGCCGAGTAAAATCAATGATGTACGAGTATATCCATAGTTTTCATTCCTCACCGAGAATCGGACGTGTGTGAGTGGACAATAGAACCTGAAACTCCTTACAAACTCAGAAACACAGAGTCCGCCGTTGGCACTGCTGCTGGCCAGAATTAAAAATAATAAGAATAAAAATTCGAGTCATTGCTGACAACGGTAATTTGAACATTGTCCCTGGCTCAGGCCTATCAGTGAAGCAGTTTTGCAAGTTCATCCTGTTTACTTAGTTGCCAATGTATAAACAACATTAATAATCAACCCCTTTCAGTATCTCCGTTGAATCGGGATGGAAGCTGTGCTTGTATTTGTTCTGGTTGTCTTACTTTTTTTTTTTATATAATGTGGATATAAAAATACATAATATATATTTCTCTCTGTCTTCCCTTTAATACTACTACCATTCCCCCAAAAATCGATAGGCAACATGGCAAATAAAGGCTTACGGGTGCGATCATTTCAATCCGGGGATTACGATATCATAAAAAAATACTTTTCTTCTTGCTTGTTAGAGCCGGCTCCATCAGCGTTTTTACACGTATTGAATCATCCAATTCCATGGACAATTTGGGGAACTGGTGTTGCATTCGTTGCAGGCGGATTGACCCTCTTCACAAAGCAACATCCGCCACCAACGAAATATATTGTGGCCGCAACCTCGATCTGGTCCGCAGCAGTTGTGACCTGGCTTCATAGAATATCCATGGGTGCCTACTACAACTACACTCAATGGTCACTCACCCAAGATATGGGACACATCCCAGAATACTATCAATTGGAGCCAATTGACGAATCAAACAAAAACAATATTATATACGCACCTAAAGGAGAGAAGAATTTTTTCGTTTGCGAAGACAGCACTGGTGCTATCGCTGGATTCGTTGCATTAGACTATCACCCTGAACGACCCAAGCGTACTGGAGAGCTTCGAAGAATGATTGTTTCGCCTACCCATCGTCGACGAGGTGTCGCTGAATTCCTAATCCAGGCATTGATTAAACATGCCAAAAAGAATGACCTTCAAGTCATTGAATTAGGAACCAGCGATGTCCAGTATGGAGCCAAAAAGTTGTATCAAAAATTAGGATGGAAAGAACATCATAGAGTATTCGACGAAATTTATTTTATAGATGTTATCAAATACGAGTTGAACTTGGAAAACGCTATGCAAGTATCACCAGCAAGCTGAAGGTTGAATCAGCGTGCCAATACCCAGTAGAACTTTAAAAAATAAAAACTATTTCATCAAGACTGCTTTTTTTTGAGCTTGTTTTGATATTGAAAAGGCGCCACTCTTTGCACATTTTCCCTATCGCCACCAAATTTCATCAGCATGAACAGAGGACCTATTGTATTGTACGTGTTCAAAACAGCTCTTTCTGAAAGTATTAGAGTCTAACATTGATGATGTCAGAACCATTGATGAGGCAGAGTGTCTATTGGACCAGCTACCTCCTCCTAGCAAGGACGACGATGCCTTGGTAACAAAGGTAAAACGCAAACCGGTTCTTTCATTCATCAAATGCAATAATCATAAAGTGTACTAAAGGCTATCCGTAAAGCTTAGAGAAAAGCTGAGTATGCTACTTTCTGAGCTCCGTAAAGGCGCGGAAGGCTCGCAGTAATCGTATGTCAAACTTCCTCCACTTGCGCCAACAAGGTTGGGATCATAGTTTAGCACATTTTACTTCATGTTCATAACTCCATTCATATCATGCAAATCATCTCATGTAAACGCGCCAGTCATAATAACCAATAAATGGTACGCATGGATATATACACAGTTGCTTTATTACGTAATGGTGTTAAATCATCCTTCAATTGTATGATAGTGGTCCAGTGAGCACACCGGTTTGCGGCTTTTGCTAGTCAAGTATTTCTTGGGCTGATTACACCCTTTAACCGCACAGGAAATCACTTTTTTCAAGTCGATTTTCCTATTTAAGAGAGAAGTACATTAGTAACAGCCTAGTCATCGTAGAATCTCACACAGTTACATACTTTGAGGAGGCGATCACATCGTTTAAATCCATAGTACTTGGGATTGAAAGCAAACTGCCTTCTTTGTTGTTGACATAGCGTATCTGCGTAGGCATCTCAGGGATACGGGGCTGTTGTCTACCATTATCACCAATAGCGGAATCAGTACCGTCACCACCATCGTCCTTGATAGCCTTCTTGCTCTTGGACGCTTGCTTTTTAAGCAATCTGTTGATAGTGTCGGCCTATGCATATACATTAGTTCTTGGTCAAGATGAATGAGCTCCTATTCGCTTGAGAAAACGTTACCTTGTCCTTTTCTGCTCTCTGAATGCTTTGATTTTTTCGGCGTCTAGCAACTTCTGATCGACGCAAAGCTTGTTCCTCTACAGTCAAATGCTTCTTCTTTCCTGAGTCTATCAACATTATCACTGGTATTAGTTGTGTATGCAGCAATCCAATCAACAACATTTACGTACCCATTGGAAGCTCTAGGTAATCTTCCTCTGCACCATCATTCAATTTTGCTCTCTGACGCTTTGTCAGCGGTCGGTTAGGTACCACTTCAGTTTCCGACATTTCTTCATCACTACAATCAAAAAGGGCCATCAAGACAAGCTTAGAGATAACAGTAACTTCACGCGAATGACTCGTTAATTATACCTTGATAAAACAGCCGCTGTAAATGTGTGTTAGAATCAAATAAATTAAGCTCCATAGTATATTATATACGCGTACCTTGACGTTTCCGTTTATTAGTAGCAGTACGCTTTGTATCCTTTCGTGGTGTAACGATTTCTTGCTCTTCTTCGTCTTCCTGATCATCCTCCTCCTCTTCGTCTTCATCTTCTTCATCTTCTTCGTCTTCTTCTTGTGATAACAATTCGTCGTCCTCGTCTCCGGAATCGGCGTTTTCTTCGTCCAGAACTGGATCCTCGTCAGCTTCCAGATCTTCGTCTTCTTTATCAACGTCTTCAGGCATTTCGTCTTCGACTTCAAGACTATCGCTACCAGATTCGCTCAACATATCTTCGTCTTCATCTGGTGTGGGGCTTTTTACCACTTTTCTCCTTGGTCGTGTGGATGGCATGGTGAAAGAAATGATCTTTCGGTGTTAAACCCGTGACTTGTCATTTTAAGGTGAGTTTGGAACAGCGGCACACTGGTCGAGCTGTCTTGTTCGTGACTTATCATTAGGTAATGAACTTCAATTTTGAAGGAAACTACAAGGCAAAGCGAAATATCAACCTTGGTGGTGTAAGAGCCCAAGAGGACAAAAAAAGGCTACTGGAAAAGGCTCAACGGGAGCGAAAAGCTAGAGAAGCTGAACGGTTACGTAACAAGACCGCTACAAAGATTCAGGTAAGCAGGCGATCATTCGCTTCACAGCCGTTGCATTTAGAATTCAATTGCTGACTCTTCAATGGAAGGCATTTTATCGAGGTCGACAAGAAGCATCCCGAAATCGCACAGCTTTACGCCAGGACTTTGAAGGAAGCTTCTCGAAACTCCAACAATTGTTGCAGGAACAATGTACACCAGATGATATAGCCCAGAGTGAGGTACAAACTTTGCGACTACTACTCGGATTGATGAAAGAGGATGGTCCAAACACTCGTCACGTAGTAACGCAGTTCCTTGAATGGCTTCTAATACCGCACAATAACGCTATTGTATTACCATGGCTTTCGGATGACGAAGAACTCGGTGATATATGGGAATGGCAGATAAGGCTACTGTTGTCAAGAATGACCCTTACGTTTGATAAAAGTGCACCGGTGGATAATCTCACTCGGTTACACTTTATGCAACTGCTATTGTCCAAAGAAACCTATTCGACAAAGGGCATTTCGACCGAAGTTGCAGATAGCATCCGGCAGTCCGTAGCAAAGCACTTGCTAATAAGGAAAAACATTTACAATACCATTCACACCTATTTTTCGGAACATGACCAAGACGAAATGGAGCAAATTGAAGCCCTGGTTGGACTTTTGATCAATATCTTGAAAATTGAATATCAAACACCTGGCTTCAGCACTGGCGGAGAGGATATGACGAGAACGTTTGTCATGCAAATCTTGACTATTCGATCACTTGCGCAAAGAATCTCGCCACATCATTATGCAAGTGTTTTGCAAGTGATTGGTATAGAGCGTGTGCTACGGGCAATTTTGGAAGTTGGTCAGGAACAGAGTTTAGAACCTACGAAACTGATTGGATTGTTGGAAAATATGATTTCAATGAAGTCAAGTGCGAAATTGACTCTGTCATCCAAAGACATGGTAAAGAAAATTTTCAGGAATTTAAGCTTTAGGCGTCCATTAAAGCTCACATCATTTTTTTTTTTCATATAGATTTGTTTCGCACAAGTATTGGTACTCATTCTTCAACAATCGTCTCCGCACTTTTTTGTCGAAAGCGAAGAGACAAATGAGACACAAATGATTGAAAACGAGAGTGATGAAAGTGATGAAGAAGACAGAGACATTGATATGGATGCCCAAGATAACAAAGGAGACGAGTTTAAATGGAAGGATCTGGATACCAATGAGCAAAAGTGCTTATCTGAACTTCATGACGAAGCATTTTTAACAGACATTGTCAATTCTTTATTCTCACATGACCAGCCAAATGGTATTGATCGCCATACAGCTATTACACTGCTTTCTGAGATATTCAATCTGTTGATCATTCGATGGCCCATGTACAAAATCAAGATATTCGGTCTACTGTTGTATAATTTGACTATACCTGACAGTACTACTGGCACGCATAATTTTGTGCAAGAGCTTTGGTCAGTATGGAAATCTGGAACGGTCTCGCAAGAAATTGGTAAATTACCACTCGCCAGTTCAAGCTCACGGATCGTATCCTACATCTTGAGTAAGTCAATGAATATATGGTATGAAATAAGTCCCATATGCTTGCTAATCAAAGCCATTTGTAGACCCGGTTTATCGTGGCGAATGGAACATTTTGATGATGTTATGTGAGCTTTACCACCGATCACTTGTAACCATCGGTGATGATGAGTTCTTCAACTCACAAGAAGGCAAAAATCCATTGGACACTCAAGAAATTCTAGATCTGAGCTTAGATCTCAAGGTAAGATGAATCGTTGGGCTTTTTTGCTACTGCGTAAGGACGCATGTATTTACCTCTAGTGATCAACAGAGCATTACCTTTGCTCTCTTTTGGAACGCCTCACTTTTAGATGTTGATACGAGCAATACAGGAACAGTTGATTTAAATGCATTGAGAAGCAGCGTTACTAGACTCATTCAGCACTTGCATGCTCGAGAGTAAGCACTTTTCCAACCATATCTGATTTATCACCTTGAATATATAACTCATATGCGTTAATCTAGTTCTCGCCGACCGTTCTGCCCACCTGATTTTTGGTTTATCGTTGGCCTTGATATTGCAACTTTCCGTGAAACAGCGATTGCAGACGAGTTCTCCATGGGAACGGAAGTTCAAGACAATCGAACCCCACGCAAAGCACCATCAAAACTACGAATGGCAAGGATTAGCCCTCACCTTGGTATACTCAACAACATACCATTTGTTCTGCCCTTTGAAGATCGAGTAGAGGTGTTTAGGATGTTTATTAGGAATGACAGGAGGTCACTATATGGCGGTATGATGCAAGTGCCAGATGATGCGGATATAGACTTTTCATTCTTGCCACCTGTAGCCAGAGTAACCATACGGCGAGACCATGTCTTTGAAGATGGCTTTACGCATCTGTATGGACTTGGTAAGTGCTTTAATAACGTATGGTAGTATTCATGAACCCCTTCAGTCTCAGTTACTGAGATACAACTGTAGGTGCAGACTTGAGACGGAAGATCGCTATATCGTTTGTTGACGAATTTGGGCTCTTGGAAGCTGGTGTTGATGGTGGAGGTGTATTTAAGGAGTTTCTCACAACGTAGGTGACCCCACTTGCTGTTTGATTGCATCAACACCCAATAAGCTGATCCATTTTGTATCTTTGATTTACGCAGCCTTGCACGTCAGGCGTTCGATGTCAATTACGGCCTCTTTATGGTTACTGAAGATCAGCTGCTATACCCAAATTCAAGCAAATATGCTAGGGAGAGTGAGTATCTTTCATTGCAAACAGTGCAAAAAATGAATAAGTGCTGATCAACAACGCTCGCAGCTGCCCAACTTGCATACTTTGAATTTTTGGGGCTCATCATTGGAAAGGCACTATACGAAGGTATCCTCGTAGAGGTTGCATTTGCAGGATTTTTCCTCAGCAAGTGCCTTGGTAAAATGAATTATCGTAAGTAGTCCATGCTATAATTATACCCCAAGTGAAATGTCGCACCCTAAAAATTGCTTCTAGTTGATGACCTTCCATCCCTGGACTATGAACTCTATAAAGGACTGATTAATCTAAAAAATTATGACGGCAACGTGGAGGACCTTTGTCTTGACTTTTCTATAACCGACAATAGTAAGTGGAGCCCCAATAATCATGCCATAATATGCTGAGAATATGTACTAAGATCACGTTCTTCTTGCCTATAGATGTCGAGTCTTCTGAGATCATCGACTTGATACCCAACGGACGTAATGTCCCGGTTACCAACGAGAATCGGATTCGTTACATATACCTGGTAGCCAATTATAGGCTTAATATTCAAATAGGAAGGCAGTGTAAAGCGTTTTTCCGGGGTTTATCGACCATCATCGATCCAAAATGGATACGGATGTTCAATCAGGTAAAAACTTTAATACGAAAGAGGGGAGAGGGACGGCAACTAGTGACTGACATTGTAAGTTCACGTTTTTAGAAAGAGCTGCAGGTCCTATTGGGAGGTGCTTCCATTCCTATAGACATTGAAGATCTACGCGCCAATACTGTATACTCCGGGTACACCGAAGACGAAGACATCATAGAGAACTTCTGGACGGTGTTGCGTGAGATCGACAACGAGCAAAGGAGCAAGTTTGTAAAATTTGTTACCTCTTGTTCACGGCCCCCTCTCCTTGGGTTCAAGGGGTTGAACCCGCAGTTTTGTATTCGAAATGCCGGCGGGTTTGACTCAAGACTTCCCACTAGTTCTACCTGTGTCAATCTCCTCAAGCTGCCGAGGTACAGTAACCTCGACATCCTCAAACAGTAAGTTGTTATTTTGGCTTTATTTGTTACCTGAATCCCCGATCATCTGACGTCCCTTCTTTTCATTGGCAGGAAACTGCTGTATGCAATTAACGCTGAGGCTGGATTCGATTTATCGTAGTCGTAAACACTTGTGGAGAAAAAGTAAATAAAACAAGTGCTACCATATACAATGTATCTTTATGTTTGATTTATGCTTCATCGCGATATCATCCGGATGTTGGAGCCCGTCAGCTAGCCAGACAAGATACACATTGAATTGAGCCACAACGAGCCAAGGTGCGGCGGCTGCACGGTATCTGATCTCCGCATCCCATCCTCGTGATTATGGAAGCTTGGTGGTTTTTAATAAACTGTAACAGAAAGACATGGTATTTTCTCGAACATGTCGCCACTATAGGCAGAGTTACCTTGTTCTTACTTCTTCAAACCCAAATCTTGTTGGCAAAAAAAAAAAGGAGAAGTAGTGTTTGATCTTCCCAAGGGGAGAGAGGGGATCGGATGACTTGCCAAGCCTTCGTTAGATAAAAATACTCTGGAGTTATAACGCTTGACAGGGTTCCATTTGCAAAAAAGCTCAGAATTTCAAGAAACCGAAAGGCTAATTTCGCTTTAACCGCATTTTTTCATTCAGTTCTTGGCTCAATTGCTTTTCAGAAATCGGCAACCGACGTTTACTTTGGGCTATGTGTATTGCGATCCCCGTTCCGGCTTGCCACTAATGGAATATGAACGTGAAGTTGCTGCCCTTTTACGGTCTAGGTGGCTGAATCTTCCAGACGGCTTATTCATAGCAAACTTGCGGTATTAATGTTTGAAGACGAGAAAGGAGGAAATAAACGCGCACATTTAAAAAGTCGCAGAACCATGAGCGACAGGTTACAAACTGTCTCACAGCAGGTGATAAATGTGTTAACATATTTTAACTTTGAAGGAAAAGCCTCTCACACATAACCTGGGTCCTAAGGGAGCAGGTGTAGACTTTGCCAAAACTAGATGGCGGTGATGTGCCACTGTCCGTCTAAGAAGATGATGGCAGCAGTGCAGTAATTCTTACTAAATTAGGAGATATCCGCAACAAAGTTCAATAGCAGTCCCCGCGAGAATTGAGGCCACGATCAAAACGTATAAAAGGAAGCCATCATCGCTTGACGCCCAAGTATTATCAACTATCTATCATCCATAATGTCATACAACAGAGAAGCTTACGAACAAGTCCATGCCGTTGAACAGCCCACCGAGGAGCACAAGGCTACCTGGTCCCACGAGTTGATTGTAAGTCACGGAAGCTGTTACTCGGTGTGAACTTCATGAACATCCCTAACCTGCATTCGTTTACTTTAGGGTGGTGCCGCTGCTTTCGAGGCCATGCGTCTTTACGAACAGAAGGCCGCTAAGGAGGGAAAGCAAGACGACCACGCTTTCGCCAAGGAGATTTTGGCTGGTATTGCTGGTGCCTCCGTTGACGGTAAGTTTATCCTACGCACATGTGTGCTCTGACGCGTCCAAACATACTAAATCAGCCCACGCCTTTTTACAGGTCTCATCGAGTCTAAGGGTCTTAACTTCATTGATCGCGAGAAGGCCAAGCGTCACGCTACCCAGGAAGCCGAGAAGTTGTACAAAGAGCGCACTGGATACACTGGCGGTTTCTAAGTAACCCATCTTTAGCTGTACATTATTTTTTCCCAAGTACACCGCCCTTTGCAAAAATAAAATTCTTGAAATGAAACATCTACAGTGAATTGTAATTTGATGAGAAAGTGGGGCGGATGGCGGAGTTGTAGCACTCTGGTCCGGGCAGGTTATTAAGTGGTGTGATTGGTGAAGGACGTAATGAGTGGGGTACGGTCATAGTCGTAAACCCTAGAAGTCTCTTATTAATCATATATTGTATGCTGTAGCGACTTTTTTGTTTCTGCTACACCTTGTTGCGCTGTGGAAGGGTAGAACTTATAAGAAAGCCAAGAACACTGCGCGTAAATAGAGTCTATTATCCCATCGCCATTATGAAAAGCTAATATGTCAAACTGTTATATAATACTTCATATCACCAACTCTACGCTCTAGAAATAGCATATTTACCTATCGAGTGCAAGGTCAGCCGTTAGCAAGCTGCTCTTTGTTGGCTATGGAAGTACGCATCCCTGCAGGCAAACCAACGTAATATGACTACTAGATGACTTCCATTATGAAATGATCGCGTTAGTGTTTGGCCACCAAGGCAACACTTGTAACGAATTATGCTCGGATCATGATAATACTTTGTATCAATCCAGATATCTTTATTTTATTATCCAAAAATGCTTGACACATGCATATATCATGTAAAAGTTGTGTATAACGCGATGGAAGAGGTTGATCATATGGCTCCTTTTATTCAAGTAGCCGCTTCGTACCGTATATTCCATATCACAGATACTTCGTCAAAGCGGTAGACGGGAATTTCGCAATCTATCACATAGTTAGTCTTCAAATACGTCGAACATTATCTTTTTTTTTCTTTAATGCTTGAATTTTCACCACCTACTGTCCTATCTTGTATTTCAGTCTCCTTCACAGTGCTTTCGAATTTTACGTGGCCAGCTCTCTGCGTTTTGATGTCACGAAAAATTGCTGGCCAATCAGGACGCTCCAGCTGAATTGCAAGCATTTTGACGGGGTCAATTTTGTAGCTTGGTTGATCACCGCTCTTGTCATCATGGCTCAATATACTTATGACGAGCAAGGCGTCACCTTCAACTACTTTGTATTGTCGGTGTTAGCGCTCTTCTTAGTACCACTTACCTTGCAATGGATTTACCAAACATTTAAGGACGCCAAAGGTAATGGATCAGATTGAGCAACATCAGGGGAACACCTAGCACATCGCGATCAGACACTAACACACTTTCTCCTCTTTCCTAGCAAAAGCTGGAAAAACATATTGTAATTGCGAGCCATGTAAAAGCAAATCCGCACGACTAGCAGCAGCAAGGAAACGTAGTGCTGTCAGACATGTTGCTAACGCTAGGTAAGCTTTTAGAAGGCGTTCTCAAACCTAACAGGGGCCAATTAACCAAACGAATATTTATCTAGAATACTGTTCATTGTATTGGGATGGATTCTATTTTCCTTCCTCGCCTACAAGATTTCCATGACTGAAGTTCACAAGGTGGTTTGGGATCCTTATGATATTCTTCAAATACCTGAGGTAAGTTGTGTCCAGCGCAAGCGAGTCAGAATACCTTGACGTAGGCATCTATACTGACTGGCCAATCATTGAAGGGCACCGAGCTTTCGGATATCAAGAAAACTTACAGAAAACTTTCCTTGGTGTATCATCCTGATAAAGCTCCCAAGGATCAGGCTGAAGAGTACGAAGCCAAGTTTGTGGAAATCACAAAGGCATATAAAGTGTAAGACTACAGTGTACGATGGATTGCTTGGAATCTGATTGAAAGATGTGCTCAACTATGCCAATATCTTTTTAGACTTACCGATGAAGATACTCGTAAAAACTATGAAGAATATGGTCACCCTGACGGAAAGCAATCATATACCATGGGAATCGCTCTACCTAAATGGCTCGTAGAAGGCAGCAACTCTTACTTCACACTCGCTTTCTATGGCTTGTTGTTTGGTATCTTGCTCCCTACTCACATCGTAAGTTCTCTTGAAAGGAAAGAGATTCACTGACTTTATTATAACACATCGCATTTACAGGCAAGATGGTGGTATCGTTCACGAAGATTGACCAAGGATAGAATTCTCAATGGTTCAATGGCTTTATTCTTCAAAGAGTTGAAAGAGAACTCCACTCATCGCGGTGAGTGATACTAATCCACCGATAGTATACATCGAATAACGACGAGAACATATGAGCTGATATATTTGTCACCTACACTTAGACCTCATTGATATTCTCTCCACATCCGTCGAATTCAAGGAAAAGCTCACTATCCGTCCCTCTGATGAAGCCAGCCTTGTTCCCATCGTAACCATCATAAAGGAAGAAATGGAGAACCGATATGGTCAAAAGTTTGAAAAGAGCAAGAGAGTAAGTCTGGCACTTCTCAGGAGTCGAAAGTGATAATATATGCAGCTAACGGTTTCTCATCGCGCGTTTTTGAAGCAGTTCTCGGCGCCATATTGCTACAAGGTTAAGGTTCTAATTTATGCTCATCTATTGAGAGTTGAGGTAACAGATGCCGGACTGATCAAGGGTAAGTTTATTGTGGTATTGGTTTGCAAAGGTAAACCGCAAAGTTTCGTTGACCGTATGCTCTTTCCAATAGATCAACAATTCATCGTTGAAACGTCTGTCCATCTTCTCAACGGTTTGCTTCAAATTGCTTTGGTTAAGCTATGGTTACAATCATCCTCCCGTATTATGGATCTATCTCAATCACTTGTCCAAGCTATCTTTCCTGGAGAGTCAGCACTTTTGCAGCTACCATACGTTAATAACGCACTTCTTCGACAATACTACCGATCCAAGAAACGCACTTTCCCCAGTGTTCAAAAGTTCTTGGATGCCCCTGAGGATCAACGCAAAGCATTACTCAAGCCATTATCAAACGACCAATACTTGGACTGCATGGAGGTTGCTAAAGCTATTCCTCAGTTGCATACATTAAAGGCGGAATTTAGAGGTAAGGGCACAAAGAAGACACGATGTCAGAGATGGAATGTTGAGACTAATGAGCTCAAATTATAGTTGCCGGCGACAGTATTCTTACCGTTGGGGCCATTGTGACCTTTATTTTGAAACTGCAAAATGGTGTTGTTGTTGGTGTTGAATCAGCAAAGACAAATGGCAAGGGTGTTGAGCAAAGCGAAATCAATGAAAAGGAGGACGAGGACGATGAAGCATTAGATGCTGTTGATGCTATCATAGAAGGCAAGAAAGAAATCAAGGAATCTGACGAACGCATCAGTCCTGCCCACGCTCCTTACTTCCCTGGTGTAAGTTTTGAAATTTACTATGAAACATTCATTCTTAGTCGACTGTATTGACCATCTTTGTAAACAGGAAAAGAAGCCATACTGGTGGGTATACCTCGGTGACCCCAAGGTCAATCGCATCATCGTGCCCCCACAAAAGATCACCGACATCGTCACCAAGAAAACTATTAAGATTCAATTCCCTGGACCACCCAAAGCTGGCACATACACTTTCTCATACTTTGTCCGCTCCGACTCATTTGTGGGCACCGATTTACGTCAAGACATTAAGCTCGTTATTCAGGAACCTTCTGATCTCCCACCGGAGGATGACATCGACGACACTATCTCGGAACCTGATGAGGATAGTATTGCTGGACAAATGAAGTTGATGCGCGAACAAGGTATCAGTGGAGCTATTTCTGGTCCACCAAAACCCCAGACCAATCAAAAACCCAAAGCTGATGATAACGACAGCGATACCGACAGTGATAGCGACGATGACTAGTCAACTACTCTCTCAAATCAAGTTATACTAAGAGTAAGAAACAAAAATCCGCACAACCACTTTGACTTGTATTTTCCTACATTTTTGAATTTTTTTTTTTCACTTTCTTTATTGATATAAGGTGTGTCTTAAACCTTTTTCATTCCCTCGCATACATCTAAAGCTGTGATTACTCATTCACTTCATAAAAAATCATCTTGGTGTAAAGAAAAAGAAGTGAAAAGGGGCAGCCATAGAAGCATTAACTTGATTCGATCGTAGTCTACTTTTTATAGATATTGAAAAAGTGTACATGAATGCTAACATTTGTGACTAAATCCGAAAAGCTGTTGTTCTATTTCTTTTTTGCTGTAACTGATGGAGAGGGAACATGAGATTTTTTCAGTATGTATTGAGGTCAGAGGACACTGAATATAGCACTTACCATTAAACTACAATGTCGAAAACAGTATCCAGAGAGAAAGAAATTTATATGAGTTGTTGAAAAGCAAGCGGATGGTTAGTCAACGAGATGTACTTTGACAGGCTCTTCCTCGCAACTCAGTCTTTTACCTTGAAATATATAATATCGCCATCTTCAACTTTATAGTCTTTGCCCTTTTGTAAATATTTACCTGCTGCCTTAACAGCATTCTCTGATCCTAGTTTCTCTAGATCGTTGAACTTCATGACTTCAGCCATAATGAAGCCTCTTTCAAAATCAGTACTGTTGGAGAAAAAACGGTTACGCCAAAATTACGAAGGAGAACTACCAAAGCACTTAGATTCTTACTGTATGACACCGGCGGCTTGTGGTGCTTTCGTATTGTTCTTTTGAAAGCAAGTAACGTTGTTAATAAATCATTTTGCTCGGATCATACCTCCGGTTCTATCTTACCCTAACAGTCCACGCTCGAACTTCTGTTGGACCAGCGGTAAAATAATGAATAAGATTCAAACACTTGTAACCTTCAAGGATGATGTGCTCCAATTGAGACTCAAGACCAACATCTTTGCAAAATTCCGTTCGTTCCTCTAAGCTCATTTGCGATAGCTGGGAAGCATGTTAGCTTTAGACCATTCAAGGCTTCTCATTGCCAATAGAATGAAACATAGATTACCGTGGATTCCAAAGCAATAGAGACAGGTATAATAGTATCAGTAGGATTATTCTCTTGCACCCATTTTTTGACTTGCGTCAACCTACAAATTTTGATTAGTGATGAATTCCATCCTTCCAAAAGCGACAACCATCCCATACACACCTTTTGCTTTCGTTTTGTTTCAAATAGTCATCTTGACTGACATTCGCCAGATAGATCATTGGCTTTGCGGTCAACAGATGCAAAGTATTGATGAATTCAATTTCTGAGTTGGTCCAATCCACTTTACGCACATCCGAGCCCTCTGCCAACAACTGTGCAGCCCTCTCAGCCGTTTCCAGGTTCTTCTTGAGAATTTCAGAGATATTTGCGCCACCTTTACCTGATTTGCTCAAGTCAGCAATGACTTTTTCCAAAGTTTCCTCGTCCTTGAGTCGCAGTTCCTCATGGATGATTTCTAAATCGCGTGCTGGGTCTACGACGTCTTCCACATGTTGAACATCCTCGTTATCAAATGCCCTAACTAGATGGAACACAGCATCGACCGATCGAACATGGGACAAGAAGGCATTTCCAAGTCCAGCACCTGATGCCGCGCCTCGTACCAGACCAGCGATATCTATAACGGTGAGCTTGGAACAACATGAATTCAGCCATTGAAACAGGTGGAGAGAGGATAATTTTAAAAAGCTCCCTTACAAATGCCGGAGTGATTTTTTCCGGAGAGTACTGTTTGCAAAGCCAATCGAACCGTTCGTCAGGCACAGTGACACGAGCTTCTTCAGGATCTGAACGCAAACCATCAGACGCCTTCAAAAGAAAAAGAAAAAAAAATCTGCCACATGTTTTGACATGTCAAATCGAGCTTGTTCATACCTATTGTACAGAAAGGATAATTCTCGGCAGCCACTGCGCTGCTGGTCAGTGCATTAAACAAGGATGATTTTCCAATGTTGGGCATGCCAACGACACCGATTCGAAGGTTGTTGGAAGGTCGCCCGAGCAGTAGCTTTTCTTCGGTTTCGGCAGCCTTTTGTTTCTTCTTTTTGGCTGCACAAACGGACGACGTCTGAAACGATCGCATTATCGTTCGAGAAATGCCGTTGCATTCACCCACACTCTTGGCATGCTTCCAGGTCATACACCATAACCTGGTATTCATTGCCATGTTTGAATGCCAAAAAAGTTTGAGGAGTGGAAAATTTACCCGACTTCATTTCAAGCACCGGTGCAGTGCAGGGGCAAGGATGGGGGACATATTGTTGACGCGACAAAAAAAATTTATTTGAACGTCAATGATCATTAGGTAGGCTGCATGTATCTACGTGATATACGAATTAACAAAAAGGATAATGCGTGTTGATGTGGACAGGGGGATTATTATTTTTTTTACAAACGCTCGATGATAATAGCAGAAGCACCGCCTCCACCATTGCAAATACCAGCAGCACCAATCTTAGCTTCCTTGTGGGTCAAGACACTGAGAAGAGTGGCAATGACGCGAGCACCGCTGCATCCGAGAGGATGGCCCATTGCGACGGCACCACCAAAGACGTTGCTATAAATGTAACGATGAATTAGACATATTGTGGTGACACCAAATGCTATTTGGAGGTGGGGGAATAAAAGACTTACACTTTGTCAGCGCTAAGGTTCAAGATCTTCATGTTGGCGCAAGCAACAACGGAGAAGGCTTCGTTGATTTCATAGAACTCAACTTCCTCAGCAGAAACACCAGCATGCTTCAAGGCCTTGGGAATGGCAAGGGAGGGAGTGGTAGTGAAGCGCTCGGGAGCTTGCTCAGCATCACCCCAACCGCGGATACGGGCGAGCAAAGGAAGGTTGTACTTCTCAGCGGCTTCCTTGCTGACGAGAACGATGGCAGCAGCACCATCAGAAAGGGGAGACGAGTTGGGAGCAGTAACAGTACCGTTCTTGGGCTGGAAAGCGGGACGGACAGCACGGAGCTTCTCCTCGTTCAACTTGCCACACTCATCATCAACCTCAACGACACGGTCAGGCTTACCACGTCCACCAGAGACAGTGACGGGAACGATTTCACCCTTGTAATGACCAGCGGCGTGAGCAGCTTGTGCCTTCTTGTAGGACTCAATAGCATAGTCGTCTTGTTGTTCACGGGTAATTTCATACTCGGTAGCGCACTCCTCAGCGGCGACACCCATCAAGTATTGGTTGGCGAAATCAGTCAAACCATCAGCAACAATACCGTCAACGACTTCAGCGTTACCATAGGTGGAACCGAAACGCTGCTTGGGGAGGTAGTAAGGGACATTGCTCATGGACTCCATACCACCAGCAACAACAATCTCGGCGTTGCCAAGAATGATGGTCTGAGCAGCAAGTTGGACGGCTGAATAATGCATTGAAAGAAATTTGTGAGCAAAACGAACGTTACACCCGATTTGATTTGGTTGATTAGTGATTAAGGAATTTGAGTCACTTACCCTTCATTCCAGAAGCGCAAACTTTGTTGACGGTGGTAGAGATGGTGGTGTTCTTAAGACCGGCACCAAGGGCAGCTTGGCGGGCAGGGTTTTGTCCCTGGTTAGCGGGGAGAACACAACCAAAGATGACTTCCTCGACAGCTTCAGCGGGCAAGTTAGCCTTCTTGATAGCAGCTATATGAACAAGTCATGAGTTACAGTAGAACTTGACGGAGTGAAAATCTCTTGGGGGCTGCAATCTCCCCAAGTATACGGTTTTTACTTACCTTCAATAGCGATGGAGCCAAGCTTGGTGGCGGGCAAGGAGGAAAGAGATCCGTTGAAGCCACCCATAGGAGTACGGGCAACAGCTGAGATGTAGACGTCTAGAAACAAGGTAATTAGTTAAAGTCATTGGGCTAGACATACGCGAGATGCTTTTCGAAAGTATCAACATCTGGTCTGTAAAGTACTCCGTGCCCACATGGAAGTGTCCATGCGCAGTGTTTGCAGGCAACAGCGTGACATTTGACCTTCTGGACGCCTTCCAACGTTAATTCGTATAAAGAGTAACTTGTAGATGAAACTTACCGCGTTGGGTCATGTTTGAGGATTACTTTATGAAAGGAGGTAAGAGATTAGCGGACGTGGTTCCTTGTTCAATAAAAAAAAAATGTTGAGCGGCTATTGAATTATGTTCGCTGTTCACGTCCGCCCAAATGTGAGCTGATCTGATTTACGCCTTCCCCAAAACTGCATTCTGCAAATCAAAACGTGCGCTCTGTTTGTTTTCATATAGAGCATCATTCATTTGAAACCACTTTGCTGGTGGTTACTGACTGTTTTGAAAATTTATTTGTGTAATATTGGAAAGAGGATCCGATAGATGCTAGGAGATTTGAAGTTGTGCTAAGCGTGGCATTTTGACCGGAAGACAACATTCGGTATTTTGTAGACAGAACACAAGGAGATCGAAATGTTCGAGCTTATACAATAAGAAAGTCGTATGGGAGGTACAACATGACGGCTGCATTGGAGAAATACATCAGGTACAATGTTTACACTTTTGAGACAAAAGTTGTCATAAACATATTAAGAGGGACAGGCAGAGTAAAAAACCTGCTGTGGGGGAAGTCGGCGCAAAGCCTAAGAGGCGAAAGATATACTCTGCTGGTTTTAATACTCGTTGGTTTTGAGGCTGAGTTTAAGTTGGATTCGATAACAGCCATCGCTCTTCCAGTAAAGGCAACATAATACCTATATGATTTTGTGGGTTACCATAACATCTTATAAGAATAAATCATTCAATGAATGGAACAGTTATTATGTGATAAATTGAAATCGAACAATGAATATCATCCCAGACTGTCAAACGGCACGAAAGATAATTGAATATCAGAAATAAGCTGTGCCATTGGCAGAAGCATAACAGACTGTAGCGAAAAGCATACTCAAGCGACAGGAGTATCCAGTCCGTTGGGAAATGATCCGCAACCCTTCATACCCGGGTTTTATTCTCATGTTCTCAGCTATCGGCGTTGGCAAATCCAAGTTACGACAGGAAATCCATGCCATCTATCAGCCAATCAAAGGCGGTCATTGAGGTTGGTCAGAAGGATCGGAATTGGATATTCTACAGGAAGGAAAGCACGAGGATGAATAAATGATCAACTCAGGTGAATCGCAAACATAGCTATTTCTACGCTGCTACATTGGAAGAATGACGACTTCTCAGCGGCTAAACCTACCCTTACTTACGTTGACTTTTTCTGGGTATTGACGGCGCACAGCCAGCCACTAAATGTATACATTATTTCGGCATTTATGGCATCAACTCGCGCTGTTCGGTACCTCGGATATTTCGCCTGCCGAATAAGCTGATTGACAAGCGTCGACGATGGCTTTTCTGTTATGGCGACCCACATATTGAGTCATGTGCATATGGACGAAGAATGCGTACGTCAATAATATAGATAGAAGCTAGGTTTGAATAGTAAAGTGAGGGAAAATGCGGTTTTCTGTTAGTAATCCACAAGGCGCGCAATGGACTGGTAGTCCATGTGAGAAAGCGAACAAATAACCAATCCTTTGGACGAGTCATGCCTTAGGAAAGATCCACACACGGGACCACTCTCAGGCAATATATTAATGCAGCATTTCTCTTTCTTCATGTAATGCATAGTCAATTTACATTGTTCTTACAATGGCATTGGATGACATTATATCTCTAAACCTGTCGGTTGCCAAGGATAGGAAAAGACATCGTAGCCACCATTAAGCGATTTAGGAAGATCTGTCGGACCTTCGGGGGTGAACTGATGGGCCGAAAAAGCGTTGTGAATTTAGAAATCGGGCCCTCAGTTGGACCGAAGGAAACGCCTCATTTTCGATGAACGTTTATAAATACAGAATAGGTTGATCCTGCACAGAGGTTTCTTCCCTTATTTCTTTCTTCTGCTGTTGCTCTACAATGGATACAGAGAACACCACTCATTCGAATGGCGCAGCCAGTGACACTTTGCGAGACGAAACGTCAGATCACGAATCCATTAAGATGGTTCCCACCCGCCATGAAGAGCTTCAAAAAATAAATAGCCATCGACCCACTATCCTCAGTATTCAAGACATGGAAGGAGCCAAAAAAAACTTATCCACTGCAACTATTTATGTTGGTCTTTCCGTGTCGATGTTCATGGCATCGTTGAATTCAACCGTCATTGCCCCTGCTATGGGCAAGATTTCTTCTCAGTTGAATGACATCGAGGATGCTACCTGGATCGCTACAGCATACCTTGTAGCCTTTAATGCCACGCAACCTCTTTACGGAAAAGTAAGTTACGAGAGGATCTCAGCATTTCGCTTTTGTGATCCGCTATTATTATTATTTTTTTTAGAGTTGGGGAATGTCCGACTTGTGTATTACATTTTACTGATTTATTCGGTTTTTTTTTTCCACTTCCGATATTTTCTCTAGTTTTCAGACATCTTTGGCCGAAAAGTCGTTATTCAGGTCGCCATCTTTCTCTTCTTCATTGGATCCATTGTCAATGCACTCGCAACCTCTATGGGTATGCTCATCGCTGGTCGAACTGTGCAAGGCTTGGGTGGTGGTGGTGTGATTTCAATCTGCTACATCATCATTGCCGATATCTCTCCTGTGGATATGCGCCCTAGATACCAGGCTCTCATGATGGTCATTTACGGTGTCGCTAGTGTAGTTGGACCTTTGATTGGTACGCTAAATGTCCGCTTAGTCTTTCTCCATGCTGTGCTATGTAATCCTAATGCACAATATTTTTCACAGGCGGCGCTTTTGTTGATCACGTTTCATGGAGATGGGATTTCTGGTAAGTTGCACCTACCAACAAAAAATGTCTCCGTACAATTTACTAATTTCATACAATAATTTTTCAAGGCTAAACGTCATTCTATCAGTCGTCGCTTTCACCATCATTACTGTCTTTTTGAAACTGCCAGTGGAAGGACCTTCATCGTTCCGAGACAAGATGAAGCGAATTGACTGGCTTGGTATTGCTTTCTCTATTCTGTTCGTCGTCTTGCTTCTCCTTGCTTTGAGCTGGGGTGGTGTCAAGTATGCCTGGAACAGCCCTCATGTCATTGCATGCTTTGTTGCTTCCGGTGTTTCGCTCATTATCCTCGGATTTGTTGAAGGCTACGTTGCCAAAGAACCTGTATGTCTTTTCCTTCCAGAAAAATGTAGAAGAATTGCAAAGCCAAATACCCTGGTCAGATATGCTAATTTGTTCTTGTTTCCAGCTCATTCCGTTCCCTGTACTTCTCAATCCTGCTATAGCCATCATCTATATATTCACTTTCTTTGTCGCCTTTGGATTCATCGGAACACTTTATTTCGGTCCTGTCATCTTCCAATCTGTGTATGGTGCCGATAGTACGACATCGGGTCTCCGACTTCTTCCCTACATGGTAAATATAATTTTGGTTACAGCCCCAAGTGTCATTCGGTGATACCAATTTGTTAACTTATTTCTTCAATTTTTAGATTTGCATGATTGCTGCTTCTATTGGAAGTGGATTTTTCATCCCTATTGTCAAGCGTGTCAAGCCTTTCATTGTCGCAGGAGCTGCTCTTAACCTTCTAGGCTACGGTTTGTTCTATACCCTAAACCCCGGCTCAAACTATGGTCAGCAAACTGGATATCTCAGCTTTGCCGGCTTGGGCTTCGGCTTTACTATGCAGAACTGCATTGTTGCTGTCCAGAACTCTTCAGAGAAAAAGTATCTAGCTGTCGCTACAAGTTTGAATTCCTTCTTTATGACCTTGGCTTCTGCTATCGGTATCGCCATCTATCAAACTGCTATGAATGTCATCATCGCCGGAGAACTGGAGTCTGCTGATCCTGCCGCTGTACAAGCTGCTGAAGCCATTGGTGCCATTGCCAACTACACCGCTATTGGACTCCTTCCAGAACAATTCCGCAAAATCATTGTCGATGTGTTCTCAGTCACCTTACACAAGGTGTTCATCATCCCTCTTGTTACTGCCGGCGGCGCTTTTATTGTCTCCCTGTTCATTAAGAATGATAGATTTGGTGGACCCATTGCAAAGGAGGAGGTCAACGTAAGCGAACCTACCGCAGCTGCAGACCATAAGGAAGAGGTTGTTGATGAGGAAAAGGCTATTGCCTCCAATGAAGCATAAAGAGAGGGACATTACCTCGATATGTAAATTTGTACATTTCATTGTACGTTCTACTTAAAACACATTGGATAGATTTTATTTTTTTTTCTTTTTACTAGTTATTAGCTGACATTCGCGACTTATCTGTCTATCGAACGTTTTGCTGATTCAAATCTTTACAATTATTTCCTCGCATTGAACTCCACTCTACTTATATGTAATTATAACAGCCCTAAACTTATAAATCGCTATTGCTATGACATTAACCTACTGCTGTCCCATGTAACCAAAAAATTTAATAGCTTGTCCGAAAGTTAAATCTCCCACTGCAAATTTATCGGTTGAGTCATTCACGTCCGACCGGTTACTGTTTCCTTACCGCTCCACATGATCCCTAGATTGCCACCATTATTGCTAATTGCTCTAGGAGGAGCTACTGTTTACGGTATACAAAACGTACTGAACCGATTAGAGCAGCGTGCCCTCGCAGCACCAGGTGGAAAAACTAGAATCCCTTTCAAAATCCAGCATGCTGGTGCTTTAAGAATGACTCGAGCTGGCGTCATAGGAGCTACTATAGCATACACAGGCTATTGGAGTAAGTCGCTTGTGATGAAAAGGTTAACCTAGATGGACCCCGATTTTAATTATACTCTTAATGCTTTAGTATACGATAAACGATCATCAAGACCCACACCAGCGTCTCAAAGACATGGTGAACAAAAAACTTTCCACGCTGATCAATATGCCGATAGAGATCGCTCACAACGACAGTACGTTGAGGAGATGCGAGCCCAGCAGCGACTATCAGAAGAAGAGCGCCGTGCACAGCTGCGTGGTGAAGTTGAAATGATGGAACGTTCCTCCCACTAGGTGTCAGTAGGATATCCATTGTCGAAAAATCGCCTCTGTAATTTTTGGATGTCGCACTTTGTCACCCCCTCATATACTATCTGCAAATTGGCTGTTTCTAGCTATAGGGTCAGCGATGGCTGATTCCCCCACTTGAGTCAATACGACTAAGTGGTATGTATACATCATGTACTGTACCTACTAACCACCTCCTCGCACCTGTTAAACTTGTACGCAATTAAAAAATACCGGGGATTTGAAAATGTTTACATGATGTACAGAATTGTTTGGGCTTGTATGATGATACCAGGAAAATCAATTCAGCGCGATGGTGATACTGAAGCATAGAGCAAAAGGCAGCTCACTGGTCACGGGTCATACTGTATGGTCTAAGGATACTCACAGGCGAATAGTCGGTATTTCAGCTTAGAGGGCGAGACCTAATTTAACTTTCACTTTCAACAAGTATCTCTGCATTGTTATCAAACTGCTCATTACCGTTTATGTTAATATTTCCGAATACATCCCCACCCCCGGTTTATATTTGGCTAACATTGATATCGACGCATATTTATTTGGTGGAGATTTTGAAGACGATTGCGACAAAGGAAGCCTTGTCAAGCTCTCTATGAATAGCTTTGGATGCAAACACCATCTCAGTATGTTCTAGGTCGCAGGTTATGAAGTTTGGATTAGCCAGATTTTCCACAATTTAGGATTATATTATGTGAAGAAAGTCTTCAGCACAATGCTCTCAAATGTAATATCTTTCGGACCGAATTTTTCTCGCATCCCAGTACAATGAGTAAATAACTAAGTAAACACATGCAAATATCTGACAAAGACAGAGCAAAATCTTACGGAAAATACAATAGTTAGTGAGTAACTATGGGTATTCTCATCAGTTGAACCTAGTTATAATATTTTTAGTGAGGAGTGATCTGGCATGCTGCCGATGGTATTATGTGTATGTAGACGAGAGACCAAGAAATTAACAATGATGGGTGAACAAAAAGGCTATGGAAGTATCTTTAAGAACAAAACAGTGCATGAGATATACCAAAGGACGATCGTATATCCACAACAAAAATGGGAGAATATAGCGTATAGTATTTCTTGGTATCAAGCTTCAAACATGCAAGTGGTTGAGTACGTCTTGCCTTGAATGACGGCTTCCACGCGTAATTCAACCTCGCCAAAATACATCTGAAACAAGGCGTCAGCAACCACCATAATGTTCACAGTGAGCATTCATCGTTGGTTACTTACCTTTATCAACAAATCTATTCTTTCTCCATACTGAACGTCAGGCAGCTTAGGCATAGGAATAGTGAAATTGGCTATTCTTCTGACTCCCAAAGTTGGAGCACATGTATAACGAGGCTCTTCCTCTGTGTCAGCAGCGAATAATGAGCACACCGTCTGATTAGGATAAAATGCATAGTACTTCTTCACTACGCAATCATTGATATCTAAATAAATAACAAGTTAGAGGACTGCTCTTATCATCCATTTTTGGGGAATTCGCTATCTATTGCTTTCTTACCTAGTGGTTCACCACGTCTGACAAACACTGAAAACCGATTGTCGGCTCTAACATATCTCGCAGTGTTAAATAAAGTCTAACACCTTCACATAATTAAACACCTGTCTTACCGAATGCTTCCATCTGAACGGATGATTTTGAACTCAGGAGGATCTACGCCCTCAATAAACTTGTTGGTTGAATCGATTCCATACCAGTAACGGCTGAAAAATTGAACGATGGTAAGCATCCCTTTCTTTCATGTTCCCGCATTTGCTTATATAATATTGTACTTACGGGACTCTGGTGGTTACGAGATTAGGATTTTTTCCAAAGAATACCGCGCCACGCGTAACAGCGAGTTCTGTGTTTTTTCGATTAATGTTAGATCATAAATCGTAACAGCTTATGATAAAGTGAGGCAAATAATGACCTGCTCTAGGCGGCATGGCGACTAGGCCAACGTCTCTACCAAATTCTTGTTGGACTCTCTTGAAAAGGTAATTGCTAGATCCGAATCCGCCAACCAAAAAGATGGCTTCCAAACGATTAACTGTCTTCATCTGCTGACGGATGAGATTGAGAACGTCTTGTACCACAGGCTCAAATACATCATCACGGAGTTCCTGCATGGTCAAGCATAAAACACCTTCGTCAAGACCAATCTCTTCATTCGTTAATGAGGCCAATTCCAATGATGCTGGAAGCTGGATGAAATGATCGTCCGTGCCATCAAATTCCGGCTTGACGGTATTGATGAATGTATCCATCATATGTTCAAATGCGTATGGCGGTACGGATTTCGTAGCCGACTTGAGTTTTTTCTTCAATAATTTGCGCATACGTTTATCAATGAATATGGATCCACATGATTCACCATGTCCCTTTGTATCTTCCTTGAATTTTCGAGTCCCTTGGAAAGTCGACTCCACCTGAAAAACAATTAAGTCGACCGTACCGCCTGGAAAGATTGGTTCATCAATACAAATCTTGATCATTCTGTATCCGGATGGAAGTGCTTACTCACCTCCAGCATCACAGATCATGAACTTGTCGCCACCTCTCAAATTAAATTGTTCACACTTTTTCTCACAGTAGATGGCAGCTGCCTCTGGTTCCGATATAAGCATCAACCTGTCTCGATGATCTCCCTCCTTGACCAAGCCAGCTCGTATTGCTGACTCTCTCATCAATGCCTTGGCTCTATCAGACCACATTGCTGGAACAGTTAAGCAGTATCTGAAAGAATCTTGTTTGAAGTCACGAGCGATTCCACGACTCATTTCGAACAACAAGTGTTCATGGAATTCTCGTAAAAAGTCTGCGGCAAAAAAAAAAAAATTCAACTCAATGTTAGATTCTCAAAAGGGTTTGGAACACTTATGGGATGTCATTCATGTATGTCAATGTACCAGATATCACATCCACAATCGTCAGATCATTGGGCAGCGGCACTAAATCTTTGCTCAATGCTTCGTCTAGATAGAGCTTGTACTGCTTGAGAAGCACAGCATCTCGATTGATAGGCCGTAACAGTTCCAAGCGCGCAGCATTTCCCCACTGTACCATTTTCTATAACCATTTTCCAGACGATCAGCCGAAATGCCCTATCTCTGCATAAGATCGCACGCATTTTGCATCCTGACGGCTTACCTTGGAATCACCTCTGTACAGCTTCGTGCCCGGTGGCAATTATTTAGTAACACCTCCCTTACAAATGACATAGTCCATAAGCCTACTCACATTCATTGTTGGTGTCTACAGATGCAGAAGTAGTTAGCCGATATGTAAGCGTTGGTTGGGCAGCGAACAAAAGCGGAGAAGAACAAACCTTGCAATACACACTACTTGATTGTCTCGGCCTGATATGATTCGTCCGAGCATTACTTAGCTTAGGATAGAAGGAATACACTCAAACGCCTATATTCTTACCATCTTACGATATCCTCAATGTCTTCCTGATTAGCCAATGAGTAAGCTGCACCAGAATAGGTTGTGCCTTTTCGGATTCAGGAACGAGGGGTCAAGATTTGACGTGAACGAGATTCGCACATTGCAACTATTGCCAACATACCAAAATCAATGCCAACGATGACGGGATAATCTCGTTCGTTGAACGCTCTCTGGTCCGCCATGAGCCAATATCACGATCTTGGTTTGAACAGCCTCGGACTTGAGTCCGAAGCTTTTTTTTTTTTTGGGTGTAGTGTGGCTGTGTAGCCACACCTTCGTATCACATCAAGCTTTTTCATTGTAGTGCCTGTGATTGCTGGGAGCATCAAGTCCACCGAAGCATCCAGTAAAGCATAAAAAAAGGTGTGATAGCTGGAGTCTTAATACAGGGCAAAAGAAAAAGGTAGAAGCTGGCTTTTATCTTCGTTAAATACAGGAAAGGATCAGCTTATTTAATTGCAGAGCATGTAATTCCCTTCGAGCAGCTAAAGCATGTAAAGTATTCCCATTATACAATGATACTGAAATTAACATTAGCTGTCGAATCAACGCCTTTTCCATCTATATAACGAAACGACAGGCTATGTGCGATTTATGTATGCTACAATTATGACACGCGACTATGTAAAAATCTCTCGATTAATGTGCCGAACGGAATGAAGGACTACACCTTTTTCCTATGTTAAATTTCCCATCAAGTCTGTACCGTGCTCATGACGATTTTTCTTGGATGGAGTCACTTCTTACGCTTCAAATTACGATCTGTCGACCCGTAAGCTTCCGGGTACATTTCATCTCGCGTAGGATGATTATCTTGTCGTCGCCTTGTGGGGTGTGGTAACGGTCTATGTAAGTCAAAAGTACTAGGATGTATACGTGGGTAGTCATATACCGGATATCGTACGATATTCTCATCCCTTGCAGTGGCAAACCCCTGCTGAGGCAAGTTCGACGATCGAGGCGAGTGTAAACTGGGATAGCTGTGGGAGGATATGTACGAAGTATTACTTGACTGATTAGCACTTATTGGCGGTAATGAAATCTTTTGGTCTGCGTTCTGCCACGGTATAAGGCTCATTCCGTGGGTGTCCAAGATATTACGAGGCAAGGTAACTGTGGGTGACGAATGAGAAGTGGATGCGCCGCCCGTATGCAAGGGGGCAGCTATTATTTGATTCCGTTTATCCGGTGGGCTGTTTGACCTAATGAGGCTTTCCTCTTGACTACGGTTTGGTTCACTTGAGGTAGCGAGATCATGACTTTCAGTTTCCAACTGTGCAACTGCGTTTTCGACCAATTGTCGCCTTCGACTAGGTTTTCGCCTCGTGCGTACGTCTTTCCGTATCCGAATCTTTAAGCCCTGTTCAGCAAAGAGCCTAGATAAGGATGTTGATTCTTCCATACCTGGAAACTGTATAGAGGACGATTAGGCATTGGCTACCAGAGAATCATTTTTTTTTTCCAATAAAAGCAATAAACCCAAAATAAGCGGGCATATTACCTTTTTAGCGGGGTATACAGTGAAAGGGTCCGTATCAATGGAGTTTAGGCAATGGACCCCATCCCTGGCATATCAGATGGATGTGTGAATGCAGGAGTTAAATAGACAACGTAGTATTGATCAATGCTCCATACCTTGCAATTTCAAAAAGGGTCATACGAAATCTATATTTGCCCTCCACACGAACCGATATGTCTGGAAACACAAAAAAGGCGCCATTTTCATTGTTCAGGTTCTTCAGCTGGTTCAGAGACGAAACCATGCACCCTGTTGCTGATCGAAGGGTTGTATTGAGTTGAAATTTATTATTGCCAGTGTCGTCTTCCGGTAGTAAAGTAGCGCACATGAATAGCCATGGGCTTTCAAAGATTAAGCTGTTGTACAAATTGACATCATCAGTGGCGTGTAGAGATTTGACATAATGAGAAAATGTGTATTGCTTACCTTTCAGACTGTTTTGAGCCGTCTTTACTTGACATTACCAGCTGTATGATAGGAGGAGGATCAACAGGCCTTCGATCAACTAAAAGATGTAACAGAGATAGGAAAGGAGGCGTTAAAAAAACTTGTCAGTCGGAATCAGAAATATCAAAACACATTGGTGGTCAATGGTATGTACTATTGTCAACTCGATTACATCCATGTTGAGTGATGTGAAGCGTTCGATCACTGTCTCCACATTGGTAAACGGCATCGGAGTATTAGATCCAGAGACATGATGATATTTCTGTCCTTTCTAATGAATCATAGTGTGGGCGTTTCTGTTGAACTCAATAACGTAGTCTACTCTCTACTCTATGGCACAGGCTCGAGAATATGCCGCAAGCTGATGAAGAAACAAGAGTGGTATTTACATACACCTTTCGCCTACACCGCACATACGGGACTGTTTAGGTTGCTGTTTTGCGATCAATTTGAACGTACTAAACAATGAAAAACAGTATAGCAAGTTAGTTATCCATCGTCTGGGGGTATACGCGAGGTCAAGTATGCAAAAATGATGGTTTTGGCCATGGCTATGAATTCAGACTAAGGAATACACTCACAAAGAGCAGTGAATATTATCCATTGATTGAAGCGATGCCAACGCTGGTTCTGTATGATGGTCGCGTAAATGAGCAGCATTAGCGATCTCAGTGTTCATTCCGTGACTACGAAAGTATCAGCCAGGATGAGCGGGTAATTTTGAAATCCAAAAAATTTTGTTTCCTAACGTGGTAAATTTCTAATTCTTTCATCTCAGCCCACGAACTACTACTGGTGGGGCGGCCGCCGGCATCAAGCACAGTTAAACTGAATACCAGATCCTTGATTTTTTTTAAGAAAAAGATTTGGTATGCAGATAGTCTTTTTGTATTTCTGTTTTACCATTGACTTTATATGGGGCATTTGTAAAAGTAAGAATTAATTATGGTACAGGAAATGCTACAAATAAGAGGGACGGGGGATACAGGCATGTCTATTCAATGTGAATTCCAAGTTCAGAAAGCGATCGAACCATTGATTCCCACATAATGTATAAGGCGGGAGAGGGGCAGCTATCATACAATGGCAAAGTCACAAGATGTTTGTCTGGCTTTTGGCCCACAACCAACTTATCAGGTACCGAAGTCATGTCTTGAAACATCGTCATTCGTACGAGAGTGAAGCATTTTTTCACATAAATACTAGCCTCTTTCGCAATGAATTGGTCATTGGATGCGGTGAGCACTGCCAGTGCTTCCAAAATGCCCATTAAAAATCCATAATCAACTAAACAGGGATGACAAAATTTTCAAAATCAGATCAAGAAATTGACCACCGATGGATGGTCCGTTAGACAAAATTAGCAAACTTACATCGACAAATGTCATCTAATTGATAAATCTTTTCGGAGATGTCCAACAACATTTTACTGCTATTGAGACAAACTCTCATGGATTGATAGTATATAGCGTTAGCTTGTTCGCTACATGTGGATTGCTTCTCTTGATCAAGGTAATCGTTTTCACCAGAAATGAAGCATGAATGGACGGAAATTTGAAATGCATGAAAAGCTAACAAAGCCATGAACTGATGAGAGTGTTGAACTTTGTCAAAATCGCCTCTCTCTACCTTGATTTCAAATGGATTAAGAAAAACACGTTCTTCCAGTGGCGTATCTTTCCACCAATTTTGAATCAAATGTTGCAGTCTGATAAATGCGTCTGCTGAAAACTCTGTGATTTCTCCGGAATGTGCGTTGTGGAGTTGTCTCTACAAAGGTAATGTCAGCTCAAAATTCGGATACAATGCGTTCACTTGTAGAGGATTTAGACATACCAAGACCCTCAACAGCTGCTGACTTCTAAGTAAGTTTAAAATTCGTGATCCAAGTTTTATGAAGGTTCGACCAAAGTCACTATCATCGGGCAATGCCTCCAGTTTAGTATTGAAAATCTCCACGTCGAAGTTGTCCGATTGACCTCCAAGGAAATTCTTGAGGGAGGATTCTTGTAATGAAAGCATGAAATACACTCGCTTCATGATGACCATCTCGGCACTGGTACTATTGATCTCTTTGATATGTCCAACAGCGTTGTGTGCTATTAAATAAGCTGTTGTGGAATAGCTGCGTGCTTCAGAGAACCGTAAGGTGTAGAAACAATAATGTGCTAGCAGCAGAAAACCAATGGTGCCTTCAGTTGACTGTGATGGTTCGTGTATGATGTCGGCTAAGCCATCTCTAGCAATGTTGAAAAAATATTCGCCCATCTGTCGCAACTCTTGGAAACTATATGGTATATGCCTACATGGTCGCATCGTCATCACAGCACACATGACAGCTGTGAGGGGAGAAGAAAGAGGATCTTCAGGGTTGTGAAAGCGGGAGTAGTATAGCGATCTAGTCATAATGGAGTGGGAGTCATTGAAGCATGCAAAGTATGCCGTCAATAAGATCGATATGACATTTTCTTGGTCAAAGATGAGAGAGGCGGAAACACTGGGTACTGAAACAGCACCATGACCTGCATTCTTTTTCAGTGCTTGATGGAATATATGAGATATATTGTTGACTCGACCTCGTGCAATTAGAGATAATGTACTTAATCCATCGCTCGGCGGTGGATTGATGGAAATCCCGTCAAGATATTGCACTGCGTACATTCCAAATGACATCAAGTCTTGCACACTTTGAATATTGGTGTGGACACTGAGTCCATTCTTAGTCATTGATAAAGTCCAGCTTTGCTTATTGCTTCCATCAAGGGTTTTTTGTCTTTTACTGCGGACAACTTGTTGTTCATTCGGATCAGCTTTTCCATCTGGTGATAGTGGCGGCAGAAGGCTGATTGATTCGTTGCTTGTGCTACCACTACTACTACTATCAAAGTCGGAAGCTGAATACGATAATTCTGGTGTGATCCTTGCCATCGTAAGGGCTTTTTCAAGACTATGAAATTGCTCTTGTAACTCGTTCAGTTGTTGGTAATAGTTAATGATTGTATGAGTGGTTGTTTCATCGCTGACAATCTCATCATCGATGGAGTTATCTTCCTCGCTTTCCGGTTTTCGAGAGACATTGACGCATTGTCTTTTCAGTCGGACACATCGCTCGCACTTTGCATTGTCATCAATACGTATGCACTTTCGTCTGTGAAACTTGCATTCTGGTTTAGGCAAGGTAAGTAAAGTTTCACCGAAACACTTTGGCTTAGGTATATGCTCACCTGTGCAAGGTGTAGTTCGTTTTCTTCGACTACCATTGGGCGAGTATTCGGAATCCGTTCCTACCATGGAGCTGGCTATCAACTGTTCACAAGACTATTCTTTCACTGGGCGAGGCTGACGCCAAGTTTTTTTTATACAAAATCTCGCTGCACGTGATCTGCGCCAGAAAATTTCGCAAAACTGCTATCTTCCCGATAATTCTTGGCTTCTAACGCGCTTTGACTCAAAATGTCCCGATCAGGCGACCATTCACATCTGGTGCGAGAAGTAGAAGCCCCTACAACACCAGCTAGCCAAGTCAAGACGTATGATGCGATACCTCCTTCTTCAAACAGATCGTTTCTTTCATCGGTTGTTGATCTATTCCAGCAAGCTAAAACAAACGCGACCAGTGAGTTTGACCAACTGTATGACACGTTTTCCGTGTCCAGAGAGAATGTCACTCCGCAGAAGGTACTGTATCGAAAAATGACATAATATTATCCATGTCATGGTATGTCAATAAATTAAATACGCTTTTGATTGTTTAGAACTCAAACGCAAAAAACGTAAACTCGAATCGACAAAGAGTGGAAAAGAGATACTCGCAGTCAACGCCTTCCGCGAAACGAGAAAAACACTATATCACTAGTTTAACTCCACACTTTGAACGACAAAACATAAGGGATAGCCCAATACGATCTGCTAAACGGCAAGGTATATATTAATACATGTCGTATTCAGATATGAAGGCTGTTGACAAACCTCTCCTATCCTAGCCATATCTAGTGCGCGTACTGCGAGGCATTGGGAAGAATCAAAGAATGAGACCGACTTTCACCCAAATCGCTCGCTTACTAAGGCTCTCGAAAAAGTTGCCGTGGATGATCCCAGCATACTTCATAACACAACGAGTTATCTCTCGACTAATTCTAATTCACGAACGCGGCTAGATCTCGATGAACTCGATGATGAACTACATAGAGTGGCGCGGCTTGATCACAACTTGGACATTGTCCGGCAACAGGTAGAAAATGATGCCACATGGCTCTTGTGATATACATTTGATTCGGGTACGCTAATACATCCTGCGCTAGGTGCAAGCTTTATTCACTACGAGTTCCATGGAATACAATGGACATGAAAGCTCCTTTGTATCAAAAAAATCTAGTTACTTTGAGCCAAACAATGCTCAAGGAGAAGAGCCTTCTACTCATGAAACTGTGTTTTCAGAACCACATCCTCAGGCGAAGCTAATACGTTCTTCATCAGTGATTCATCCGGAATACGATATATACAACAGAGCATCGCATCGAAATTCAAATGATAATGAAATCAGTCTCATGAATAGGTCCTCAAAACTGCCATCGTTACAAATTTCTCCAGTTCCACTGGCCAAACCATTACCTACACATAAAACACCATCCAAATCTTCGCCATATCGCAGACCGTTCCGAGCTTCATCACCCTCCCCTCACAAGACCCAGCATCATCCACAACGACTGGTAAGCACAAAAACTAGCTTATCATCATTTTGTATATCGTGTTAAGTAAGGATCAACTAGCTTTCAAAATCTCCCAAGCCTTCCACCAGTTTGGCACCGGATCTATTGCAGCAACTAAACACAATTAAGCTTCGCCCGACCAACACTATAATGTTTGTTCATTTTTCATTACCGCTTCATATAAACCAGTACTCTCTGATTGATATGACCTTCACTTCCCCAAACAGGTCACCGAATGGTACGATACGAGTTAACAAACATTGGGACGAGATACAACAAAGCAAGAGAAGCTCCATGGGAGGTCGCAATTTTGATGATCAGGCTGGTACTGATAAATCGTCACCTATAAGGGGTAGGTAAAGAGTTCAACGTCATAACAACATCGGGGTAGACTGAGGAGGGAACGTAGATTATTGAGGTGTCTGTAGCTATTTGTTCGACCTTGGTGATATACCTCTCACGCATTCACCGTCATCATCTGGATGTAGGATTCAGCTCGATTGCGGATTCGTCATATAGAGAAACAGGCACCTCGACACCGCTGAGAAATAGCAAGCCATCTGCACACGAAAGGACGCATATAACTAACTTTGGACATACACAGCTTAACAATGCTCCTCCACCAAGGACACTTTTCGATGAACTCTCTAATGCCGGCGCAAGCTTTAATAACGCCAAGAAAACGCCAAGTCAACGTACTACGGTTCTGAAGAGGTTGGATGACTCTGAGGTTTTCAGCGGAGAAAATTCAGAGTATTTCAACACCCCACATAGCAAGGATAACCATGGCACAAATATCATACCTGGAGACGAGTACACTTTCCACGGCCAACGCTTTCGGATAGAAGAAGAAATTTCATAATTTTTTTATATTTGTGTAATCATTGTCTGCTGTCTTCGTGTTAGGGATACAATACACATGACATCAATTGTGTTCGATGACGTTTGTACAATATATTCTATGTGGTTTTGCTGTCCTTCAAGCTACACTGCGATGAACAAATGCATATCTATAATAAGGTGATCAAAGACACCGCAATCGCTTGGTCGCATGATGATCATAAAGACATTCACTGCCGGATTTAATGCGTTGAAGTATCGCGAGGCCAAACATTGGGGGAAAAAATGGTTTAAAAAGAGGAAGTACATTTTTTTATGATCTCTAGATATACCATGGAACACTGTGTGATTACTCTAGATCGCTCAAAGATAATCCGTCTGCGCTGTACACTCCACTATCTATGGAATGCCTCGTCAAGATGGTTTTCATTCCCTGTTGTTCTGTCTTTGGCGTCAATGGAACCACATCTTCCTCTATGGCGCGTTCCTTAATATCACCCTCGCATAGAATCACCAGTTGTGGGGCTGGAACGGCAGCAGGAGCTACCTGCGTAGATGTGCACAGTACGGAACGGCTGAAAGCACCGGAACCTGTCTGGGAGCGACTCCTTGTGGCTCTTGGTGATCGTGACTCTTCTCGAGACTTCCACTGCCGTAATAATTGATTGTACATATTTTCTCGACCTGATTTCAACGCCATCAATTCTTCTCTAGGTGTTTTTGGGGTTCTAGGAGTAGGTGCACTTGGAAAAGTGCTTGATGTTTGGCCCTGGAAATGGCTCTCTCCCTGATGTCCATGCTCCTGTGCTTGCTTTTCCTCGCTATCTTGCAGCTCTTCTTCACTATTCTCCGAATTGTTATCATCTTGAGTTTCCTCGTCAGGACGCTCGGAGATAGGAGTAAAGTATTCTGTAGAGCTATTATCGCCTTGTGATACATTTAGAGTGCTGCTGCCTATGTCTATATTTTCATAACCTTCTGACCTGGTTTCTCTTGAAGTTAGTGACTCCAAAGATAATTCAGGCAGGACAAAGTCCTCAAATGACAACCTGAAATCTGTCCTCAAAGGTGAGACAGGAGCTGGGATTTCCTCTTTTGCTTCTAATGAAACTGGACTTGGAAGAACTTCTGACTCTGCATCTATTTCACTTTCTGAAGCACTTTCCTGAATGGATTCAGCGCTTTCCTGAACCTTCTTGGATCAGTAAAGAATATAATGACTGCATTAGTATTAAATGGCATCTTTCAACTGACCTGGTCTTCGCTTTGGTTTTCGCCTGTCCAGTTCTGTAAGAGTTCTTCATGGTAATTGATCATGAATTGAAACAAGGATGTCCATTGCTCCAGATCCTTTACAACACTTAGTTGAAGTACATTGTTTGAGGTGGTTGAGGTTCTACCGTTTGATGTACGTCCCATTGAAGCTGACATGCGATTAGCAGTTGCTGGAAGTTTGTTAATGATACCGTCTAGCCCGGTGCAAGTTGGTGCAAGTACGATAGCAAGTGCCTCTGAAGTCATCTTGTTACTCTCTTTCTCACTCTCCACATACGCGGCGACTGCGATAATATATTTGAGGAGGTCAAAATGCTCTGCGTCCATACGATGGCCAAGACTGGAAAGTATTGAGAGATTTTGCTCATCGCTGGCAGATTTGCCTTAAAATGAATTACCCATGTTAATAGATAAACTGTGGTTAGCATGAAATGACACACTCCACATTCATAATTAGAATAGAAAACATACGATATCCATTCAAATAGTAAACATGGAGATGATGCGGGATCACAGGCTCTGGCAGGCTTCTCAGCAATTTCTTGAAAGTACCAGCCAAAGTATGAACGTCGTATGCACTCAAGTCAATATCTTTCCCAAAATGTGGCTCCTGGCTAAAAATGCTCTCTAATTGCAAGATCTTTGGTGCAGAGCCTGATAATCTGAATAATCCTTCACTGCGAATACCTAAAGCAGATATGGTTATATCAGCCAAGGCTGAACTTTATAATACTAGTGATCATTATTCAAAGCTGCCATACGCACCTTTCTTCGAGATTTCTGAAAAGCAACGATGGAGTACATATGGAATACAGAGGCGTCCTTTGGTAGTGAAAGGAGCACGCTCTAGTATGTCATGTAATGATGCTCCAAATATCAGTGCATTTTCGGGGTCAGCAACGCTTCCAAATTGGTCTGGAGATACCACAACTAAATACATCGAAGAAGTCTTTAGCGATTAGATAAAAACCAAAATAATTTTTCGCCAACTATCTTACCTTCAAAATGTGGTTGAGATTTGCGCAGGTTTGGAAATCTCGCAAAAAATTCACCGAAGCGCAACGATCGAGAACGCTTTCCGAATTGTTGAAGTGTACTTTTTTTCGAAGGATTCTTTGTCATTGATGGCTGTTCTTCCTTTCTTTTCGCTCGTAGGGAATTAAAGTTGTTGGTATAGTGCGTAATATTCCGGGTTGAACTACAAGAGAACTACTTTAAGATCTATGAATGGAACAAGTCGATAGGTGCACACTTAAACCTTACCTCCGGATGGCTTCTGCAGTAGAAAAATAAATGAATAGAGGTAAAACCAGAAAGAAAGCGAACCCAAACGAAAGGTAAAGTGTGATAAAAGAAATTTGTGGCGAGAAATTGACATCTTTGCAATATGCACTTGAAATCTGTGGCCGCCTGGCTCCATTTTCAATGGTTATATTTGACACCATTGACCTATATTCACTTTTTCTTCCTATCTGCTTGTCGCTTACTTGAAGAAAAGGCCCTGAAAAGCATAGAATAATCACTATCACCCTTCACTATAAACTTTAGCAAAACATCCTGATATATTTACAAGTGAGCTAGCATTGAAATTAAGCTTTTTTGAATTTTCCGGGAAAATTTACATTGGCGTAAACTTAGCTTTCTAGACAAAGTGCATTATCAACCAAGCTTTCATCGTAATCAGGTATCAATGGCTTAGATTTTCATTTAGAGTGCTGTGCGGTAGTTAATGACTTTATTTTCGGTAAAGTTGCTTCTTAGCAATAGTGGATGAAAGATAACTCCAACTACAAGCAACATCCATTATGTCAAACAGTTCCAATTAATCTCATCCTTTGCGTTATCTCGCAGGTACTTGTTTGCAGTCGCAAAATGGTTGCACTGCAAGAAGCCTCGATGTGCAGAGAGAGGCGAAGGGTGGACGGCTTTCAAAACCAAGTGTTTCTAAATGGCATGCTCAGTACAAAGGAAAAATACATCTCATACACCTCGAAATAAACTAACCGATTTGTTGATTTTGGCACCTTTCTTCTGAGCGTGTGCACCCCAAAGCATAAAGACTACTCCGCTTTTCTTTTCATTTACATAGTTGATCACGGCATCTATAACATGATAATGTCGAGCATCAGTTAGTGACAGAAATAATGGCAAATTCCCATTGTTGGCTCTAATTCTCCTTTGTCTAAACCTTACCTGTCAATTCCTCCCATCCTTTGTTTGCGTGACTTGCAGCCTCATGAGCTTTGACAGTTAAGGATGTGTTTAGCAATAACACCCCTACAAGACAAGTTGAGTATTAGTACACCATCATTGTGGGAGCATAAATTGAGAGTGGTCGCCGACCTTCTTTTGCCCAGTTTTCGAGATAGCTGCAAGTGTGTCATGTTAAAAGAGAACAAGTAAACGGAAGCCTGGGTTTGGTGCTTACCCATGGTTTGGCTTGTTGAAATCTGGGTAATCATTTTTTACACAGGTATATATGTTGACTAGAGAAGGAGGCACTCGAACCCCCTTTTTGACTGAAAAGCAAAGGCCGTGCGCTTGTCCATCTCCGTGGTAAGGATCCTGCCCTAATATTACAACCTTCACTTTGGAAGCGGGAGTAAAGTTTGACCAGCTGTAGATGTCGTTTTCTTCGAGAGTGTATCAGAGTTGGCCCAAAGTCGAAAGTTTTTAAACAACAAAGATCTCTTACCAGGTGGAAATATTTTGTTTCCTTGCTTTTTCTCGTTTTCCAAGAAAGATTTGAGCTGAAAATCTCGCGATTTAGTTTGACAGGTGAAATGGAGTGACCTCCAATAAGTTTGAGTAGTACATACCTTTAAGAAAGAAGGTTTCGTAAGCTCGGGTTTGAGGATTCGCAGCCATTCCGGGTTAAGAGTTTCGAGCTCGAGCTTCAGAAGGGTCTTTTGCTCCTCTGTCAAATCCTTCTCGAGATCAGATTTATTAATGGGCGCAGCTTTCGCGACAGCTAGCGAAGATACCGCTTTGTCTGTTGTAGATTTAGCTCCCCACATTGACAAGAGTGATGACTGCCGTGCCGGAGAAGCAGTGGTTTTCTTTTTGTTTTCTTTGTCTACGGACCCAGCCGTACCATCGACTTGCGAGATTTTCCTTTTACTTGATTCCATTCCGCGAAAGCAAATTGAACGCGTCAAACGAGGAATCCGTAACATTCGGTAAATTGGAAAATTTTGAATCACAGACAGATCTACCAAAAGCTGAAAAAGAAATTCACCCTACTGTCTCACTTTATTCTAAAGTACCAAAATTAACTTGAATACTATGCCAAATTTTGAAACAGTTTACCAGTATGAAGATTCTTATATCATTGAGAGTGAGTATCGAAGAACAACAGTTCAGAAGTCCAGGTGGCACAATCAAGACTGCCCAGGTTGAAGTGTCGTAGTATGAATTCGATTTGCTCAAAGTCAGGGAAAATTTTGTGGTGCTGCGCATCAGTCTGATTGATGGTGGTAGATCGGATAGACCATATAAAGGAACCAGTGGGGAATCAATTGTGAACAACACCAGCTGAAGATAGTTGATCGATGTCTTTGACAAAAGTGACCGCAGTTATCCGAAAGGCAGTTTTACCAGAGACTTCAAATGAATGTTGGACAAGCGAATGCATCTCCACATTAATCGTATTACTAATGCTATTATATTGGTAAAAAATGATATTGTGCTGATATCTCGTATATCATTGATAGAGGTGGGAATAGATATACTGTGTTGATTGGCTGGTTTATGTAGATGTATCATTTATCCAACGTTCCTTCGCTGAATTGATTGAAAACGAATGCGTGGGCAAAGTGAAAGTGTCATCCCCGGGGATTAAAATAGAATGGACCCTGAGGAAGAAAAGCGTATTTTTAGCTCTCTAAAAAATTATATATTCAGGTCGTATCTTCCACGACTCTCATTAAACAATCGAAAGAAAGAATCTTCATATGCAACCCCTAAAGATCGCAGCAGTCCAATTTGAGAACAAGAGCGGTGACAAGGCATACAATTTGTCCAAAATGTATGAATTGGCAAAGCAAGCTAAAACCGAGGGATGTCAAGTCATCAGTTTTCATGAATGCAGTATCTCTGGTTACACGTTTGCCCAAAGGCTGACAAAAGAAGAGCTGCTTCAAGTTTCAGAGAAGATTCCGGATGGAGAAAGCGTCCAACAGCTAATTAAGTTTTCCAAAGAGATTGGTATTATTATCCTTGCCGGCCTTTTTGAAAAGGACGATGAAGACAAGGTTTACAATACTTACTTTTGTGTCGACGACACCAAGGTTATTGCGTCATTCAGAAAGATTCATCCATTCGTTAGCAAGTACCTATCACCGGGTACTCAATATGTGACCTTTGATCTTCTTGGATGGACTGCTGGTATTCTGATTTGTTACGACAATAATGTCATCGAGAATGTACGTGCAACTGCGCTCATGGGAGCTCAAATCTTGTTCATGCCTCATGTTACCGGTTGTACCAAGAGAGACTACTTGCCTGGCACAAGACATGTTAGCCCTGAACTATGGCGCAACCGCGAGCTGGATCCCGTGAGACTGCGTCTTGAATTTGATGGGCCAAGCGGCAGAGAATGGTTGATGAAGTGGCTTCCGGCTCGTGCCTATGACAATGGAATCTTTGCTGTTTTCACTAACCCTATTGGTGAAGAGGACGGCCAAGTCAAATGTGGTCATTCCATGATCATTGATCCTTTCGGTCAAATTTTAGACGAATGCACTGGCTTCAAAGATACTTACTGTACGGCTGTATGCACACCAGAAAAGCTGGAACAGGCTGGTGGATACAGATATCGGAACGCTAGAAAAGTTGATATGTATCGCGATATCATCTCGCAACCACACTCCTCTCAATTGAATGTCTCTTGGCTCGGTAAGACCGATTAATGGGAATCATGTCAAAATTGAACAGGTTAGAGCGGAAAGATAATGTACCCTTCATGGCACCAACTTCCCAAACACAAGTCAAAATTCTCCATAATAAAATGCACATACACATTCAATCCCTTTTTTTTTAACTGTCATAAAATACAATGAAACTCTTTTTATTATGTACCATAGTCAACGTACCCCAGCAAAATACTTCGCTAAAGCTTCCTGTGTCTGCTGACACCCATCATATTTCTGAACATATGTGCTATCCTTTGAACAGAATTTTCCCGGCTCATTCTTCTAGGTCCATATCCATAAGTTGATCTCATAGCGGGCTCCGAGTGTGATTCATGCTGGTAGATGGTCCGGCGAAGTGGGTCTCTAGGATACAATTCGAGGAGATCAAACCGTTCATGGAATACACTTGCTCTTCGTGTGTATGTAGAACTATCATATCCGTTATTGGAGGAAAACTGAAATCCAGAATGATAGCTGGGTAATGTAGCTTCAATCAATGCATCCGGTATAGATCGAAGTTGGGTTATGTTGGACGGAGACGACAATTGGCACATGCTGATCATTGACGAGGAGCTGTCGAGATCACTTTCATCACTTTCCAATGCACTTCGATTGCTATATGTTGTGCTTGTGGGAGACGGTAGGACCTTGTTATGTCCGGAGAATCGAGGTATATTGAGATGGCGCATTATCGCATAGACTAAGCGGTAAAAGATCCGTTTTAAAAATTCTTTGTCGACATGGCGTTTTATATCCATCTCGTCTGGGTACGTGCCATTTTGGCTATGCCGCCCCAATAAATCGTCCTGCCTTTGCCCATTTGATATAGGACTGATTCCGATACGATGTTTAGTAAATCTTTTACACTTTTCCTGCCTTTTATTTTCCCAACATCATGCTTGGCAGTTAAATGAGTTTGATGGTGGTTGGAAGATTATCTAGACATAGCTCACATTGGAAGACAAACAGTTTTTGAACTTCATGTCGTAATATTGATTTTACTTTCACACTTGAGCAGCTAGTAATTGGTATATCAACATCACCGGAACATATACTCCAACGTCCAGACCTGCCACAGAGATGAAATTTCTTGACAAGGCATTTTTTTAAAACTTTGGCAATTGAGTGGCTTGGCAAAGTCAAACAAAATTAGGGGATAATTTTGTTTTCCATAGGACTGCTTCGCTTTCATTCCACCTACCCACTACAACAATGTCTCTTTTTGCACGCACTGGAAGGCTTTCATTAAGTCGTCAACAGCTTCTTCGAGCAGCAGCCCCTGCACCAGTTACAGGAGGAAGTGGAGACCAAAGACTAGAGATCATTCGTCGTGTTCTATTCGAGCAACCTACTCGAGAAACGCCTAATCTCGAAGGCGAAGCTTTGCAGCAGCATGAGACCATTGAACGAGCTTGGAAATTGCACCAAAATCAAGAACGTGAACGTAGAAATCGTGAACTTGAAAAGAAATTTCGTAAGATGAGTGCTGCTATGAATGAACTGGAGAAGACCAGTGATAGATTGTTCAAGGCCGCCATCGTCAAAAGTCGTCATATCACCTTCCCTCGTGAAATGAAGATCCCCACAGAAACTCCATCACCACAAGGCTGGAACCACGACTACACACCTCCTGTCGAAGTTGTTCCAGCAAAGAACTCATGAGCGCAGGAACTGCCCAACGTTTGAGCTGTTGCATCTTTTTGACACCTATTGGTAACCCACCCCATCTTTCAAAATCCTATCTGTAGACTCACAATGTAAAATACCCACCCTCCGTTCTGCAAAGGCTTAGCTACAACAGAGCATTCAAAATAAACTTGAAAAATGATAGACTAACAAATCAATTGGAAATATAATGAAAAGGTGTGATTAAGGATGTACAAATGCTCTATAAATCTCCAAAGAAAGCCGAAGCTGCCTGTTGGCGTGACGCTTTGGCATTACGACCTTCTATTTGCTTTCCTCTCTTTCTTTTCTGTTGGCGTGATTTCTCATTATCACTGTCATCGTTGTCACTGTTGTCGACATTACTATCCGAATCTTCTTCCTCTTCTTCCTCAGAGGAATCAGCCTCTGCTGGTTTGGTGACAGTATCTTCTGAAACATTTGTAGAGAGGTTCACTTCATCTTTGTCTTCAGTCACTTCTTCCTCTTCTTCATCATCGTCACCTCCTTCTTCAAAAAGATGAGCTACGTCCCAGAAGTGAATGCTATTATCGTGTGCGCAGCTACCCATATATTTCTTGTTGTCAGCTAGTCGAATACGTTCAATTGGGAATTCCTCTCCATGATCACCAATGACGCCTTCAAATTTGTTGGGCAGAATGGAGACGATTCTGTTATGTTGCATTGGGTTAGATAGAATGCGCAGGCAACTATATACTGTGCTCAAATACATACCGTATAAGACCATCACTGCTACCGGTGCAAATAGTGTCTTCGTCAAGTTTACAGATGGTGTCAATTGAATTAGGATGGCCCAGAATTCGATCAGTGTAGTCACCCCAATCACCCCAGGTCCATAAACTGAGAACTCCATCTTGTGATCCAACAATAGCTTTCTTTCCATTCTGACAAACAGAGAAATGTGAGATTCCTACCACATCCACTTGAGAGAGACTGTACTGAGAGTTCATGTTTTATGCCGTCTACTCACCTTGACCAACTGCACTGATAACAGCTCATCATCCATACAATCCGACATGGCCACAACGTCTGGTTTCCGAATATCCCATGTAGAAAGGAAGCCGTCACCACTATAAAACTCATCAGTATACCGAGTATGAGAAGCGATCAAAATGAAACCGTCATAACCCACCCTACTGCAATAAGCGTTTTCTTGTCGCTATTATAGGTCATATCCGCAATGAAATCATCATGCTCCTCATATGTCATGACACACTTTTGAGATCGATTATCCCATAGCTATGAAATAAACCAGTGTGAGAAACTCAGGCATGCTTTTCGTTTGGTCAATTCTATGCAGCTTACCTTGATGATACCCTGATCGTCACCGGTCGCAAGTACATTGTTATTGAGAATAAGGAGCGAATTCAATGGATTTCTGTCAAACGATGAGTATGCGGCTTGTATAAGGTTTCTTAGAAGTCATGATTGTCACTTACTCATGAGCAGCAGAAAGTTTCAATTTCGTGGTTCCTACAGCTGCGTCTATAGCCGTGATAGACTTGTCCTTGGATATGCTATACAATACTGTAACATGAGCTGAGCGTAAGTTTTTTTTTTTTTTAATTTCTTTGCTTTGCAACCTATGCATACCTGATCCGTCAGCGTTGTATTCTAGCCCTCTAATTGACTTTTTACCCGGTCGTTCGGACCAAAGCTTTACGTTTTCTTCTAAGCCGTAACGATAGCTGGTAGGTGTTAGTGCTATTTAAAAAAAAAAAAAAAAGTCTACCGAAGACGGCCAATCTTACCAATGAATGTCGCCAGTTATAAGGCCGGCGGCAATGACATCCTCGTTCGGATGAAAAGCAAAGTCAAACACTTGATCGTCAAACTGCAAGTTGGCTGGTGTCGACATTTGCGCAAATTATTATGTCTGACTGAAGCGATCCACGATCAGCAATTTTTTTTTTCTTCGGGGAACTCACTCGAAATTTTTAATGCATGTGAGCAAAACTTTTTTTTTCTTTTTTTTAGGGGAGGGTGCGCTGATCATAAAATGGGTAATTTAACAAGAATTAAACTATACTAGAATGAATATTGACTATAGAGAGTGCTAGGTATATTGACTATATGATTCGTTACAACTGTCGATTAAGTACGTTTTGACGACGAGGTCGTGAAAAAGGATCCGCTTTTCGCTGTGCCAGACTTTCCCGAGGTGTCGTTCCCAATAAGCTTCTGTTTACCGGACATTGACCTCTCCTGATCATCAAGTGAGTCTGTTTCATAAGCACGTATACGAGGAGTTCCTTGATGTCCTTTTGGCCTCTCATTCTCCGTGCCGGGTATCGGACCTGTTCCAACTAAATGATCTTCGGGTAACTTTCCTTGGTCTTTCAGCATCTGATCCCTTCGTCGAGTCATAAGGAACTCTTCCAAAAGCACCGCGTTTCGAGTATTGCATTTATAAAAGATGTCCATGACATCACCGAGAATAGGAACCAAACCAAGCTATGAGCGGAATAGATAGTTTAGTACGCTTTAAAATGGGTCGTCAAGGCAGGAACGTCTTCATACCGCAAAATCAATCACAACGTTTATCAGCATTTGTCGGATAATGGGGGTGGGAAGTCCGACTTTAGTAGCTGTTTTAACAAGGGCAAGAGCGAAAAAGACACCAATGAAGTCGCCTATCACTGGGATGAAACCTGAACAGGGATGTGAGTAAACAGCTTCGTGCTCAACCTATATTCTCCCCACACTTACCCACAAGACCATCTAAACCGATAGCAAAGCAGCAACAGTGAATTCCACGGTCCAAGTAGTGTGCTCTCTTTTTCACCTTTTTCAGGATTTTATGTTCTTGAGGACTCAAGATAATCTCTGCCTCTGCCTTTTTGCTCCACCAGTGTTTCCTGTGTTGAAGCGATATTTCTGGGTCGTTCCTTTGCGCGGCTTGATCGACAGGTCGCTGAAGAGCTTTGTTGTCGCTGGGTTCCAGCACTCTCTTTATAACATGTCTTGCAATGGAGTTTTTGTTCATGGTGGTTTGAACAGTTGAAGAGAAGAAAGAGAAGAAGAAAAAAGGTGGAGATGCTACGTCTTTATTTCCGTCGTCGGAACGTCATTTGCTTGCAACTACCTACTTCCGTTTTGGGTAATGGCCGTTTCCATCACTGCCTTGGCAAAACGACTAAATTAATGTTTTTGACTGCATCATTTCTCATCCCGTGCTTTGAACGGCAGCTCTTCATACTGTACAACTCCTTTGATTCTTACCACTCAAAGCTATCCTATTTATGAACCCATCATCTTCCTCCTGTTCATCATCAGAATTTGGTGCCACTTTTGTCAGAAGACTTGATTTGCAAAAACTGCCATCATTCTAATCTCTGAGGAAATCGTGAACAAAAAAATTGGCATATTACTGTCGCCTGTAAAATTGACCGAGGCATAACATCACTATTGGCTAACGAGGTTTATTAGACGCTGAACATTGCAGGATAGACAGATGCATACATGGAACGCTACTTTAACGGTTGGTACACCTTGCCTTTGTAGTCAAGATCTCGAAGGAAACCGATATTAGACGATGGTCTAAACCTAGAGATAGGCCTGAAAATACTTCCATGGTCGCGATGGGCCTTAGGAACAGAATCGGGTGTTTGGGGTGTTTGGGGGCTTAGATCAACAGAGACACCCTCTACTGTTGATCTTGCAGAAGGTGGAAAGTTGGAGATGAACAGGTCGATGACACTTTGGTGGAGGTTTTGGTTTCTATACGTCGAATATGTCGGTGTAGCGGGGTGTATGGATCTCTTATGGCTGGGATGGTTCTTGGTCGCGCGGGTGTAGAGCAGAACAAGAGATGCTCCCTTTCTTACTCGAGACATTATTCGGATTTATTAAAGTATATGCATGGGTCCTACAGGACAAATCGAGGTTTGCCAGCTACAGCAGATGTACCAAATAGAGCGACATCATCTGCAAAAAGAAGGCAGTTAATGGGGGTTGCGAGCGGGCCGACTTTCGTTGTGTACTGCGAGGTCGCAGCACGCAAAACGGAGGGCAGGGTGTTGATATATATGGAGTATAGATGAGGGCTAAGTACGGATCCTTGCAGTACTCCGGTGGAAGGTGATTAGGGGGTGAGAGATGGTTGGAGAGGATGACCGATGTTGTAACATCGTCAAAGAGGTGGCGAAGGAGCGAAAGCAGGGCAAGGGGAGTCGAGGTATCGGCAAGGGCCATCCACATGACGTTGCGGTCAACTGTGTCATAAGCCACCTTGATGTCAAGGAAGGCTATGACTGGAGGTCGCTTGCGTGTGTTATAGGATAGGTGTATCAATTCGTGCAGGCACAGGGTTTGATCCATACAAGAGGCCGATATCATTGCAGTAATGCCGTGAGTGCCTCTGAAGTTACCTGCTGTCGGTTGGCCATAGTTGTGGAACTGTGTCCATGTTGTAGGTAATCTGGATGGGGGGAAGAGCCAGATCTCAGTGATAAAGAGAAAGTCAAAGGTATGCCCAGTGTTGGAGAACGTCGTCAACGGAGCTCGCCTGGAGCCCGTTGGCGTTCCAAAGCCCAATGATAAACCCCATTGGGTAGTGGTCATGGCATCAGTGGTGTGTTCAGAGTCGGCCGAGCTGACGGACACAGCTCTGCGTTTCCTGCTGTCGGTTGCTGCCTTGGCAGGCTGTGGCCGATGGTTGACAGGCAGGAAAACAGCGGCAGGGTTTACACGGCGGTCTTTGTCAGGAACCACCTCGGGGCGCATGTACTGCAAGGTACGGATCATGCGGTTTGCATGGATGCTGTTCGCCAGCAATTGCCTGTCGCTGCCGGAGAGGGTGTCATGCTTGGGATCAGCAATATGGGTAGGATCCGTTGAGTTAAAGTCTAGGGTCTTTAGCCAGTGCTTGGCCAGCACTTCATGGACGGTGGGCGCATACTGGACGTGCACCAGGAGGCCAATAACCTTCCTAGTCGGCATGGTGATGTCCAGTAGGCGGGACGGTTCTAATCCCAGCCGGCAGAGACTGGAGCGGGCCACGGAACGGTTCATTCTTCGATTCCGGGGGAGGTAGATGTATGCGTATCCGCTCGGCCCAGTCTCTTCTTGAAAGAGGCGGACACTAGCAGCAAGGGAGCGGGCGGCAACAGGCTGCGTGACAGCGTGATCGATGCCGGCTTCCGTTGATTTTGGTTGGGGCGAGGGGCAGCATGTGTTTGCTGTTTGTTATGAGTGGGGAGGGGGAAGGAAAAGTTTTCCTTCGTTCCTCTTCCTTTCTCTGTAATTATCTGAGCGGATAGTAGCTCGTACATTTCAGTCATCCTTTGCAGGGATTCCCGGACTGTGCTAAGCTCGGCACGGAGGGTTTGTACCTCCTTGTTGTTGTCAGCAACTGGTTTTTCGGTCGCATCGCGAGATGCGACCGGTTCCTTAGGGAGGCGAATCTGGATATCGTCCATTGTTGTGGGTGCGCTGCAAGAGCTGCACTGCGCGGCGGCCATTGAGGTAGGGCTAGGTTCAACTCCCCTAAGGGAGCCTACGGTAGCGCATTTCGGGCAGGTGAGGGATTTTCTTCGTACCATAAAGATCGCGAAAAGGGCCGTTTGGACCTCAAAGAGACTCATCTGATGTTCAGAGAGTCCTAAAGGAGTGATTGGTGTTGGTTGGAGCGGTGTGTGTGGTGTTTTGGGTATCTTTTGGCTGTGGTGGTTCTTAGTCGCTCGGATTCCGGCGAAAAAGAAATGTGGAGCTGAACAAGAGATACTCGCTTTGCTTACTCGAAACACTAGTCGGATTTCTTAGAGTATATGCATGGATCCTGTAAGACAAATCGAGGTTTGCCAGGGAGCCAGTCGGTGGTGAAGTCTGATGCAGAACTTGAACACTAAGAACGTAGTGCGTTCGCTCATGGACGGAAGATTGCAAAGGTGCTGGAAGACAAGCGGTGACCGCCAAAGAGCATGCGTAGGCATCGATCCTGGATCCGTTCGAGGTCTTTGTGTTCTTTGACCCCGAAGTTGGAGATGGCGAGCGCATATTCGAATTTTGGTCGGATGAATGTGCGGTACAGGCGAGCTCTAAGGAGTTGTTTGAAGCCAGAGGGGCGGGCACCCATGGCGAAGATGATACCTGGTGTGCGGTAGGAAAAAAGGGAAGAGGTGGACATGCCCTGGCGTTGGAATGGGACTCCAAGGTAGATGAATTCAACTACTGTGGGCAGGGTTTCATCGTACAGCGTGAACTGTCGAGAGGCTGGGCCGTTGAGCACTGCATATTTTGTCGGGCTCCATCGGTAACCTAAATGAAGGGAGTGGGATGCGGCAATGTCCAGTATTTGCTGTACCTCAGTGGGGAAATGACGCTGCAGGATTGCGGTCTGGTACCGCAGCAGCAAATTGCTCAAGGGTCAACCATTGTTGGTCGACAAAGTATCGGCCAACGGCGGTGGGCACCTCGGGGCGCATGTACTGCAGGGGACGTAGCATACTATTGGCATGGATGCGGTGGGCCAGCTGCTTTCGATCATCCGCAGCAAGGGTAGCATGCTTCGGGTCGGCGATGTGGTAGAGTCGGTGGGGTCAAACTCGATGGGCTTGAGCCCGTGCTTGGCTAGTACTTCCCTAACCTTTGGAGCATACTGAAAATGGACCAGGAGGCCAATGACCTTCCTAGTCGGCATGATGATGTCCAGTAGCCGGGACGGTTCTAGTCCCAATCTTCTGAGACTTGTGCGAGCCTCGGAGCGGTTCATTCTCCGATTTTGAGGGAGGTAGAGGTATTCGAATCCGCTGGGTCCAGTCTCTTCTTTGAAAAGGCGAACGCTAGCAGCTAGTCTACGTGCAGGGGATAGTTGATTTTTGGCCGGCAGGTTTGCCTTGGCCTTGGTAGCCCAAGTGGTTGTGGTCGTAGTGGTGGTAGCGGAAGTGGAGGGAAAGTGAGGTTAACCCTCTTTTCCTTCTTCCCCTGTTCGATCGTCTTTGCGAACAGTTGTTCGCAGAGGGCCGACTTCTGCTTCAGGGCCTCAAGGGCGGCACTTAGTTCGGCTCGTAGCTTGTCCATCTCCTCAGGGATGGGCGAGGTGGCGGGCACTTTCGCGGAGACAGGAGCTGTTGTCAACGTGACTTGGACTGAGTCCATGGTTGCCGGTGAGTTGCAGGAATTGACTGGGCTGATGCAAAGGATGTAGGGCTAGGTTCGATGCCTTGAAGGAACCGTCATCGGCACAGATTGGGTGCGCTAAGATGCCTATTCGAAATTTGAAGATGGCCAGAAGGAGCTTCTGTTCTTCAGAGATACTTATCAAGTACTCAGGGGCAATGCCTGGATATTTCCTAAGGCTTTGTGTTATATGTGTGTAGGGACGCTATGCATCTGGTGTCTTTTGTGTAGTATTCTTTGCTCGTAATCCGGCCAAAAAAAAAAAAATTTGAGTGGAGCAGAACAAGAGCTGCCCGCCTGGCTAATAAAAAGTTATTTTGGGTATTTATCGTTGGCTTTTTCCCTCTTGAGAAAAGCAGTCTTAACAGATGCAAAGGAAAAGATGAAAGCGAAGATTGAAGTTCAATCTTTTGAACAGAAATTTGGAAAAAATTAGGATCTGAGGAATATCGAAAGCCTTATTGCAAAGGAATTATAAACTGGTGCAGAGAAAGCAGGGTCTGGTATATCAGATAAGTACAATTTTACACTCGCAGTAATCCGTACATCTGCACTAAATTGCTGTGGCAGAGGAGCGAATTAGAGGAGATGGGACTTTGTCCTTTCTGCATGGAGATGTCGGTGTAGCCAGTATGTGCCTGGTGGCGGTTTTAAATGGAACTTTTCATCGAATAAATAGAATTGCTCAAATATGAACAGGGCGGATCAGTAGGTGGGGTGGATCGGCAGGGTCCAAGAATTTAGTTAAGAGCGAAATTAATGGAGTGTGAGTTAGAAGAGGGTATTGCCATACATTTCAAAGTGAAGGAGGAAAGAAGAAGCATTGAGAGAGGTGATGAGATAGGGTGCGATTTTGGCTAGAACAGCAGCCATATTATATGCCACCGTATTTAGCGGCTCTTCTCACGTTGAGTTGCTGGCACTGTTAGTATAGGGACTATCTCAAGAGTGGGATAGCATCGTCATGGAGCAGCTTCTTGGGGTGGCTTTATTGCCAGTCTATCGTACTGGGCGAAATGCTATTATGTGCCGTTTCAGCGGGAGAGATAAGAGAAGGTGGAAAGGGCGCGTTGAGAGAGGGTTTTTCTGAAGGATGGTAGGCCGACCATATGCTGAAACTAGTGGCAGTAGGAGAAATAGCAAACATTCAGAAGGGAAATCCTCGATTCGTGCGCAGAATCTCTTTCCAAGATGACCGCGCGTTTAGGAATGGTGCTGAGACTGTTTATCGTAGTAGGATGGTTCGGTCTTTACTTTAACAGTAGGAGTAGGATGTTTTCTCTCGGAGTTTCGCCATTTCCAAGTACGATAAATTACTCTTCTATTTCAAATATGGATGCGATCATTTTTATTTGGTGAAGTTTGGCGAAGTAGAACCTCCCTCATCATCATTTGTCTTAATGCCTTTAGCAGGGAGCCCGCATGGACATCGTCAGGTTAGTATTTTGCGATCGACAGCGGAGTCTCAAACACGGAAAAGACGTTTCTACGGCTCAAAAAAAGGTATTTTTGACTATAACTGTGTAATAAAAAAAGCTATTGCTAATATAAAGCAGCTAGCGAAATTTGAAATAATTAGCTCCATAATCCAAGGAGTAAATTGCCTTCTAAATTTAACGAGTTACACGTTTGCGTAAAATTACCATAAAGTTACTAACCAACAAGAAGCTCGCTTAGCTTAGTCGGTAGAGCGTGGTGCTAATAACGCCAAGGTCACAGGTTCGATCCCTGTAGTGAGCAATATATTTTTTTATTTTCTGAAATATCGTTTTAGCCTCCGACAAGTTTGCTGCATAATTCAAATATACCAATTCTGAGGTCTGGAATGAACAGCTACCCAGGCTATTTTTTTCAGATATAGCCCTACAATCAATTGAAAGGCTCGATACGTTGCTCAAAAAATCAGCTGCTGAAGCATAAAATAAGGTTTTTTTGGGTACTTTAAATTCGGTTTTTATGATATTTTACTTCGAGGAATTTAAATTATTTTTTTTTGGCACTCCAGTGGCTTCTTTAGGGAAAATAAAAAGTAGCTTACCAGCAATGGTAGAGAAATGATTGAATAATATTGCGCAGAGTAGTGTTCAATTTACAGGCAATAATTGACCATCTGGGCTGGCATTCACTGTGTACCCTTACATGTAGGGCTTCCTATTGCATTTCTTACATATGATTATCAAGTGCACCAGATGTTTAATAAGAGTTGCCTCTCTTTATCCCTCTGTTCATTTGGGAAAATCGCCAAATAATTATTGTAGACAAAGCTCAACCGCTTTAAGTCGTTTTGACTGTCGTATGATTTTTCGTTAATTAAATCATAATTTGGTAAATGCCACAAAAATAGTCGTTTTGTCGATTCGTTAATGTATTCGCCTGGATTTCTTTTCTACAGGGACTTCATGTCATGATAATTATCATTCTTCTGCTCGCTATTATAGTAACCTCTGTACGAGACCATAGCAAATAAATGGCATAGATCTTTTATTTATTCCCTTTTTTCTTTTTTTTTTTGCTTACATTTTATCATGATTATTTCAATTGAGATAAGGTGTTGACGCTTTGGACAGAAGGAGCAGCGATTTAATCTTCATCTTTAGAGTTGATTATCTGGGAGGAAATATTCGGAGGAACAGCTTATAGTTGCAGTAGTAATCATATGTGCGTTATCAATTTATATAAATTTTGGTAGGCAAACGTTAGGTAAACGTCAAGTCTTTTCTTTCGGTGTTTTATAGTTAGTTAAACTTGTTTGCATGTATCTCACAACAGAAGTGTGGCATCCGCAATCCATGCTTATTGGCCAAGTAAAATTCACTGAACGGAAAGATAAACGATGCGAATTTTCTCTTCCAAGTGTTTCTTTTTTTACTCAATTTGTCTCGTAGTCGCCAATGGCAAGAGTTATTGAAAAGTTTGTCAGATTTAATAATCAAAGTGGCATGCGCGTCATGATCATGATGTTTATTAGTAAATACACAGCAAACGAGGAGGTATCAAGGAAGATGGTCTCGAAGAAGGAGTGTACTAAGTCTATAGGAATAAAGCACATACAAGAGCGAAGACAGAGCTTGAGATCAGAACGAGAGACGTTGAACGCAAAGAAGATGCAGCGCCTGGTATAGGTTGATCGTAAATCATAAGTTGCTGGTCATCCATTGGATGGTTATATAGGATGTTGGCGGGAGTAGATTCATTTACAAGAATGTTAGGGTTGGACGACTTATAACCGTCGGAGACGCCATTATCAAGAACGGTTTCATTGATATTGGCAATGGTGCTTCCGTTGTTGATCAAGAAGTCTTCCCGAATCAAGGTCGAAACATGTTTCATGTAATTGATCAAGTCAGAGGTATTATAGTTTTTCTGTGACAGATACAGTGCCATAACTCCAGCAGCGTCTGCAAAGAGAGAGAAGTCGTGTTAAAGACACGGTGAAGTCATCAATTTCAGAATGAGAAGACTGCCTACGAGGTGATGCCATGGAAGTACCGGTCAAAGTTTTTGTTGAGTCAGAACCAGTGTTCCAAATGGATTTGATATTTGTACCGGGAGCAAATCTGTGTTAAATTACAATAAAGTCAGCGGTCATTGGAAACAAGCTTTCAAGTGAGTAGATGGCGGCAATGACTTACAAGTCAACACAGGCACCAAAGTTGGAATAGTAAGAAACAGAATCATCTTCGTCTATGGCACCTACAACAAGGGCGCCTTTTGCAGATGCAGGTGAAAATTGACATGCGTCCATACCGTAATTGCCAGCTGTAGATGAGAAGGTGCTTGAATGTCAGTCGCGTTCATACTGATGATGGGTAGTATAAATATACTCACCAGCTATCGCGAAATGGATACCAAGTGAAATGGCTTCTTCAACAGCTTCATTAGTGGCCTGATTGTATTTTGCACCGAGGGATAGACTGAAAAGCAATAGCGGAAACGTGTGTTAATGCGGAGTGAGTCTATATTGGAGATAAATTATCCATAAAAGAAAAATTAAAATCCCTTACTTTACAATAGTTTTTGCGCTTGTATCGTTCTGGTGCTGTTCGACGATCCAGCTGAGTGCTTTCAAAACGTTGCTTAGTTGACCATCACCATCAGCATTCAATGCTTTGACAGAAACAACGTTTGCTTGCTTTGCGACACCGTATCGGGTGCCTATACATACGCCAGCAACGAATGTACCATGGCCATTGGAGTCGGTAGGGTCGCTGGTATTTCCAATAAAAGTTGGGCCGTGTGATGCTCTTCCTACAATGTCGCTGTGGCTAATATCCATGCCGGTGTCAACAACATATATTGTTACACCGCTTCCTTGACTTGATGGAAACCGGTAATTTCCATCTGTACCGCGGCGCTGATCAATACGATCGAGACCCCAACTTGGTACGTTTGCTTGTACAAGTTCTTGCGTATTGAGAGTAATATCTTCTACAACATAGTGTACAGCGTCCTGCGCTGTTCCATTTTTAAGGCTTTCAATAGCCGTTGGATGAAAATTGCCAGAGTACCACTTGAAATTGCCAATGGAGGCGTAATTCAAACTGGCGCGCGAGGTGGTATTTTGTTGAGATGTAGTATATGCTGCATGATGGGTGCTATTAACGGCAAGATGTTTGGACATCCAGCTCAGATGGTTTTGAACAATATCTTCAGCTGCATCATGTTTCAACACGATGATGTAATTTCCTGATGTTGTCGTAGTGCTGGAAGTTGTATCTTGAGCATTTGAGAGCGCTGAGAGAAGAAGAGTGACGAGGGAGATGGAGTAAAGATGGCGGAGCATAGTGTGATGTTCTCAGATTGATGTGAATGGTTTAAAGGACTGTATAGAAGTTGCAACACATGCGGTTGCTGAAGTGGAAATCGAAACGAATGAAAAGAAGAGGTAATGCCAAGGAGAGAAAGTTTTTTTTCACACTTAATGTAGTTATTTTTGTAGTCGAAGTACAAGCTGAATGTCGCTGATTGAAGTGATATTACCTTCAATTTGGGGACTTGTACGATGTACCACCCACATGTATCTCCGCCTTTTTAGAAACATCCTCAGTCCGCCAAATGAGTGTTATAAGCTTGCAGATCATTGTGTACCACTTCTTGTATTCGAAGAAGTGAGGTAAGACTCTATTCAACGTATATAGAGAGGAGATAAATTTTGTAGAAGTCTGTGTTTAAATGGAAGAAAATGGTACGGAACACAGTTCATCCGCGGTTACAGTGGAGAATTTCAGAGAACTTCAGCTCTGTGACTGGTGGACATCTGAGTTACCCATAGTGCAGCGCCAGCATCCAGCAGAACACAATTGCAAATTTACACAAATTCAAGACCGGAAACTGACGTACCACACATCACTGCAAAGGTTAGAATTTTACTGCGTTGGGGGGAATGTGTGGAACTTTTTGCTTGAAATATAATAATTTATCTGGTGTTGAATAATACAAGGTCTTTTACGTACTTTATTAAATAGACACACTGTCTATGAATACAGTATGATGGGGATATTTTAATCGTATAAAATGGCAAAATGGAATACAAATTCATGGATAGTTCCAAAAAAATACTTGCGGGTTTGTTAAACGGCCATGATTCTTCTCATCTCGTTAAGATGTCTTCGAAGCGAGTCAGTTTCATTTTCGCTTTCGGCGTATTTAACTTTCATGTCGATCAAGAGTGATTCTGCAGAGTTCTATTTTTGCAAAGCATTAGCATAATATTCATATGTTAGATGCACGCAAAGCGCGCCCGCCGTCCACTTACCAGTTCGTCTTCCAAAGAGCAATTTTTCTCGATCAGAGTAGCATTCTCAGTACACAGCACCTCAAATTCATCTCTAGACAACGCTTCTACTTCCTGTGGGAGAAGTTCAACTGTCTCCTTTAATGAAGCAACATGTCTTCGCATCTGCTCGTTCTCACTTGTGAGCTGGCGCATTTGCTTTTTGGACTCGTCGAGTTGGGCAAGGACATCATCGTGCTCTTGGAACATCTTTGATAAACGCTGCTCCAAATCCTGAATGGTCTGAGAGATATCAGCATTCGATCTTTGAAGATCTTCGATAGCTTCTTTTTCCATCTGTGCCTTGACAACTGAGTTGCGATACTCCTTCGTGAGCTGATCTATGCGTCGAGCGGTGATGCTGACGGCGCATGCATCCTCTACCAATTGCTGAGTCTGTAGATCGGCACGTTTGATTAGCTTAGCTTCCTTCGTTTTTGCGTAACGCATAGTCTTACCTCGTAGTCATTGAAGAGGTCGTTTTTCAAATAAGATAAGAGGGCTTCGAAATCGAGGCTAAGAATGGTTTTCTCATTTTTCTTGAGGAGAGCAATGGCAAACCGAATGATGGATTCAACACCTTCGGATAACATGATATCGTATATGCGGAACACTACTTCAAGTGGGAATCGGTAGGCAAACAGAGTCATGAACCATTGGGAAGCATACATGGTTGATGTGATGCCCTTTAGCTCGAGGTGTCGGTCAATATGTGGAAGCTGTTCTGCTAAAATCCTCTCGTACTGGTACAAGTGAAGTTGAAGACCCTCCATGTCGGGGGTATAATGGCCACGAAGACCATATTGTTTCATCAGACATGTAAGAACGCAGAAAGCTTCTTCATCGGGCATCTAGATATCACCATGATCCGTCAGTCACTACCCATTGCAAAAATTGGTCACAACAAAAAAGCGACTTACATTCAATAACAACGCACCAACAATGAACGCGATGCCCTGACAGTACCCTACTTCCTCGTCATAAATGCTATAGGCTTTTACAACATTGTAGAGTCCAAGTTGACCATGGCCTTCAGGATCTTTGAAAAATTGATGATCTGGGAACGTCCTGGCGAGGTCGCGTTGGATCATCTTATCGTATGGGCTGTCGCGGCGCAAAAGATCTCTGTAATGACTTTCCAGAACAGGGTCCTTTGACTTTGAGAACATTTGCCAGATCATACCACGCAGGGACGGAGGTATACCGCGCTGGATGTTGGTGGCTAGGACTCGGGATTGTGATCGAGTGATGTGTTGGAAGTTAGACAGACACAAAGCCCAAAATTCTGTTTTAAGTCAAAAATGCAAATGAATGAGTACACACATCATCTGTGAACCAGGCATAGAAGCGAAAACAAAACCCAATAAAATGCATTACCCCAGTCATAGTCTCCTTCGCCATCTACGCCCTTGTTAGCTTTGTCATGTTTCAGATTTTCCACGCTTCGTCGTACTGCTTCTCGTTGCAAATTCTGGAGAACTCGATTTTTAGGATCTTTTCGAAGCTCAGTGTTCTGTTGCTCTAGTCTTGCCAAAAGCATTTCGTCCACTGATCCGCCGACAACTGGAGACGCTAACCCAAGTTGTTTTGACATACGTTTACTTTGTCTTGCAGAATAGGCTTGTGACGGCCTAGTTTGAGCCGTTGATATACTGGTACGTGGTGTAGTGACTGTGGACGAAGGTGGGGAACGCTTGAATGGATTACTAAGAGTGAGAGGAGTTTGTAATCTGAAAGCATTTGAAAGAATGCCAGATCGTGGACTAGAGTGTTCAGAAGAGAGCGATTGTCTTCCATTGCCCATGCTGGTGTCTATAGGAGGAAGAGTCTTTGACTGACGAGCAGTACGATTAAAGGATGGCAAGGAATATCCATGATCTTGTGGTGTTAAGGGAAGGTCCTTGGCTGGAGGCTCAGGTTGCGAAGAATGATCTAGCGAAATTTCCTTCATTTCGCTAAGGGATTGTATGCTGAATCGATTTGATATCGCAGCGGCCGAAACTTTGTTCATACTATCCTTTGGAGGCAACTCTGGCGTTTGTTCCAATTCCTCAAGATAATCTACATAATCTTTTGGTGATGTTATTTGTACAGGCTCTTCTGTCAGATTTTGGTGCGATGTGAATGTCATGGAAGTTTTCGTCGCCTTATCTAATGGCTCGATCTCTGTCTTTGGTGTGGTCAAAGTTGTGTCGGCAGACGCATCGGACTCAAAGTCAGAAACAGATGTAGACTGAACGCCTTCCACAGAGTGAGAGCTTGCCGTCTCTGGTATCTTTTCCTCAGAATACTTGTGCACATTGTCATTCTCCTGGTGTATTGCTTCTTGGTCAGACAAATAAGAGGATCGATGGGAATGATTTCCCACATCATTACGGTAATCAATACCGTATCCAGTAACATCAAAATCATGTTCTGTGTCTTCTTCTTCGTGGGTATGAGGATTTGGAACCGAGCTTCGCTTATTCATGGGAGCATTTTCGAGATGCATCTCTTCAGCCTCCGCAACTTGCTTTTCCGTGTCATTAGATTCTTCCACAGAGATCTGCTTCTTCGGTTCCAGATAACTTGAAAGTTCATGTACCAATTGAGCATCTATTGGAGTGATAATTCTTTGCGAGCTTCGACGTACAGATGTCGAGTGTCTAATACTTGATCTTGGTTGCTCAGGCGTGGCCATTGGTACAAAAGTATCTCTGTGTTCATTGTCAGAAACACTGGCGTCAGTTGATTGAAAGCTTTCACGAGCAGCAGGTCGTTGGGCATGTGGTCGTTCGGAGAGCTCCATCGATACAAACTTATCGGTCTGTTCATTTTCAGACATGCTAGCGTCCGTAGATTGAAAACTCTCACGAGCAGCAGGTCGATGTGTGTTTGGCCGGATAGATACCGGATTTCTCATGGTAGACGCAGGTCTGTCCTTTGTTAAGCCCTTACGTTTGAATTCATCTTCGCCTTCGGATTCACTGGTATCTGTAGATTGAAGGCTATCCAGCGCAGTAATCTTCTGAGATCTTGGCCGTATAGCGAAAGAATTGCGATTGTTTGATTTTGTTGCAAATGCAGCTGTTGTGTTTTCGACAATTTTGCTTTCAGAGTGGTTGCTACCGGCATCAGACACGCTCTCAATAGATTTACGGTACGATGGATGTTCCTGCTCTGAATGATCAGAGAAAGTCCGTGACATCTCAGACTTGTAAACTGCGCCAATCTTGTCTTCGTATTCACTCTCTGAATCAGTTTCTTGATTGGCTAGTTGCATAGCTTCAGGGGTAATCATTTGCGATTGTCTTTTCTTCTCTTCGATATATTCTGAATCTGTGGTGTCATCAGAGTATTCGTCGTCTGTCCGCACATTCACCGTAAACCCATGCTCGTCTTCATAGTTGCGCATGTTGGGATTGTAGAGAAGTTCAGTTACTTCATGGAATTCGATTTCCTCCTCGCTTTCAGATGCATCTTCGTCTGTGTCGCTATACTCCGCATAAGACTGGTGATCATCTTCGTCATCACTTGTGTATATCGTTTTCGACTTCTCGGGAACCTTGTATTCAGGCTTTTTGACCAGAGTGTCTGGAGTTTCGGTCGACACAGCACTCATGGATGGGAGATGAGTGGGCAACCGATTTAGGCAATCAAAAAGAAAGTTATGGTTGCACGGTAATATTGACTGTCTGGTTAACAATGCGGAGCACCAATTCTCTTATGAAGCACTTTACCCATCATTTTCAGGTCGTCATATTACAAAGCGCAGTGCTTCATGAGCGATACTTACTATTTAGTATCGGGTGAAACAGGTGTGATGAAGCAACTACACGATTTTTTCCATATAAATTACTACAAAGCTTACGACAATCGCCCCTATAAATTATGACCACTAACAGTCATCATATAGGCGTTAATAGCTTTGCTACCCATCATAGAGAAAGCAAGTAGGGCCAAATTTTGATAAGAAGGTGTGTTGCTTAGGACGTAAATGTATTATTGGTGACGAAACTCGGGCCCAATTTTCAATGCAAAAGCGTTTGCGGAGTCTGGGCACACTTGTTTCGCTGCCTCCACCTTGACCATGGCAGAATTCCCCGATGGTTACTTTTACATTCAAGCTAGGAAAAGCGGAAACGCCTTGGATGGTAAGTGCATCTCAGATCAGTTTTTAATCCCAATCTCAAGTGTTCATCAACTTTGCATTGTCGCTTTTAGTGGATGGTGCTTCCACAAAGGTTAGATCTCTTGTATAGTTATCCGTGTTACCAAAGACAGTTGGTCTAATATTACGCAGAACGACGGGAAAATTATAGTGTGGACACCAAAGCATCATGGAGACCGAGATAATCAGCTCTGGTCTTATCAGGTAAGCATTTCGAGTCTTGGGACTTGGCGAAGTCATTGCTCATGTCGGTCCATATTAGGATGGCTTCATTGTCAACAAAAACTCTGGAAAGGTACTCGATGTGAGAGGAGGACCACTTGAAGCTGGTGCACTGATATGTCAATATGATCGAAAATTGATACAAGACGCACACAACCAACGGTTCGGCTATAGAGATGGGTTGATCCATTGTCTAGCAGATCCTCGCATGGTGTTGGATATCAAAGGGGGAACAGGGGAAAAAGGCTCTCGTGTCATCTTGTATAATCGGAAGCTTAGTGTTCAAGGAAATGACAACCAGCTATGGGACTTGGTCCCGGCCGGAGAGGTTCGAGCACAGCGTGAGCTTTTGTTTGAAGCTGACTTTGGTGCTGATGATTGAACGTCATTATTTTTGTATTTAGCTACCAGGCGACGACATCCGAATAAATCATATATTGTACAATAGCTATAGAAACAATAGCACCGTTTACAACTCAAATGTCATGGCTGTTGGTGTAGAATATCCTTATTCGTCTTTTTTATTTATTTGATTGGGTTATGTGCGCAGGGTAAAGAACAGGAAAATTCAGAGCAAGATAAGCATGTGTTTGTTCTCAGGTAACTGAGTAGTAGTTTTCAAGCTGTGTCAGCTTAGATGGATGGAGCAGAACCAACACCACCACCACGGTCGTAAACCAACTGTGCAACAGCCATGGCGAGATAGTCGGTCTCAGTGCGAGTAGCAGCTTCGGCGTACACGCGAACGGCATCCTCAGTACCAGAAGCACTATACATTACAACGAGATTAGTGCTGAATACCAGGCGCAATTGCATATATATGCGACATCTCACTCACCGAACGAATGATCTTCCGTTGCTATACTTGCTGACAATGGTATCAATTTCTTGTTGCAAGCCCTGGGGTTCAACAAGCTTTCTTTCAGCATCGGTAGTCTTGAAAATGGTGCGATCAGCGACAACAACCTTGACAAGTCGGTTGGGAAGGTCGGTGTAAGCTTGATCCCATTCTTGGCAGGTCCAATGACGATGAGCGAGAATAACTTCAACTAGAAGCATATCGGAGAGGGCATCACCAACGGTTTGATTGATGAGTTCGGTGAGAGCTTGAAGTTGAGTCAAGGCAGTGTTCTGAGCGGGAGTACGTCTAACACAGCAAGTTAGTGGCTATGAAAAATCTAACAATTCGTTTTGCCCGCATATATGTACTTACCCTTCAGAAGTCTTGATGGTGTTCAAAGCTTCAGGGCTGAAGAGGACAGTACCGTGGCCATTGGCTTCGAAGTAAACACCGACGTCGTATTTCTCAGCTTCATGATGAAGGTGCTTGACACCGGTGGAAACACATGAGACGGGAACTTTAAGTTCTCCGCTCAAATACTTTGTAGAGCTACCGTTGGCATAAGCAGTCTGGACAACACCAACATTGATTGAGTCAACACCGGCAGTCTTGACCAAGTCCATAATGAACATGGCAGCCAAGCCAGCGATCTTATCACCGTCCAACAAATGGAAAACACCAGCTGAAATACAAAGGTAATGTTAGTCGGGATCTGACGCAAACGATTGATCTACTTTACACCTGACTGTATTGCACGTACCATCATCAGCGTAGTAGTAAACAAGGCGATCAGCATCGCCATCGAATGAGCAGTAACGGTCACCAGCATTGAGAACAGCACCCAAGGGAGCTTTCTGTTGAGTTTTGACGTAATCCGCACCAGCCTTTAAGTTCATTGAGTTGTCAGTAAGCGTTCGTATACAAGCGTGTAACACATGCGACAATACATACGTTATAGTTCAGCTTTCCTGGGGTCTTGATATCGTCATTGACAAGGTTGGCGGTCCAAACATTGCTGTCGATGTACTTCAGGAATTCTTTCAACTTGGGGGCACCAACGCCATTAGCGCAGTCAACGCTGATGGCGGGCAAGACAGGCTTTCCCTTCATCAAAGTCTTAAATGCTTCAGAAAGCTTGACGTAGTAACCTTCTTCAGTGGGCTCACCATAGGCATCGTTGGTACCTTGGGTGTTAATGCATCTCACCAAATAGTGAAGCTGAGGGGTGGTTTTCAAACCAAAGTCGATGGAATCGGCACCAGCAGCATCCAGACCATCTTTCAACGAAGCAACAAGAGCTGGGCAGCTTGGTCTGAAGGCGAAACATTTTGATCAGCAAGTTGATTTCCCGAATTGTTTTTTTAGAACACAAGGACGTGAAATGGCCTTACCGAGTGTCATAGGCATAGATGACGTTTGCTTTGTTATCAACGTTGATGTTATATTTGGCAACAATGCTGTCAATGACACTGAGGATGCTATCAGCATCTCTAGCATTAGCCAACTCAGTGGAAAGACCTTCCCACGACTGCTCAAGCATTTCACCGCGAGGATCAACAAGTTTGACACCATTATCCTGAGTTCAAACGATGATACTATTGTTAGGTCGCCGGGGTCATGTCATCCTGGTGGCTGTAAAACACGGACTCACCTCTTCAGGGTTGTGAGAAGCTGTGATCATAACACCGATAGTTGCTCCATTGAGCTTTAGTGATCTAAGAGCAGCAATAATACCGACTTTGAACATAATCGAATCCAGTTTGTCTGCCCTGAGGAACCATAATACCGTGTGTTAGCGGAAACACGTCAGAGAGGGGTCTGCGCCTTGCGTAACAAGGTACTTACTGCATACGAAATCCAGCGGTTCCATAAGCAAACTTGACATCTGGAGTTGGGTGAATCTCATTAGCGGCGCGGATTCTCTGCTGATCAAGAATCATTTGAGTCATTTGGTAACGGCTGGTAAATTGGTGATGAAAAAAGAGGAGGTTCGCAAAGCGGCGTTTCAAAGGCGTGGCTAGCCGTTATAAATAGCGGGTGGGTCGCTGTCCGAATCCCGATGGCTTCATGACATGATGCCTTGCCCTCTTGAGACCCTTACATGTATCATTTCCGAGCAACGTGTCTCAACAGCCATACTTTGATTGCTTTGATATGTCTGACTGCCAATGACTTTTAATTTTTTTTATTCATATTTAAGGGAGTCTATCACGGTGCATGGAGATTGCTTTGTAGCTATGTTATGTAATAGTAGATGGATCGGTACATTGTAGTAAAGGAAAGCAGTTCTACTTTGTTACATAATTCAATTTTCAGTTGTTGAAAGTGCACTACGTTCCAACCAAGTGAGTGAGACATGGTGTGGCCTGCCGTTCAACTTTTGTCAGTGGTGACTGCTACGTGACAATTACGGCATTGTTGCAGGGCCAGCTTTTTTCTCGCGATTGTTTGACTTCGAACGTCAGCATGGGATTCGTAACAGAGCAAATCAATGGGCTCAACACTTCACTCTATCGAGCCTTTTCGGACAACATAAAGGAGCGCCCAAGGCGCTCCTCACTTAGCGATATGAACGAGGCTGTACGTACTGGAGACAAGCGCAAGTTTCTGTCTCTGGCAACCGAAGCCATAGATCTCTCTGGATCATCTTTACCATCACCTAACGCACTAACAAAATATCTTAATATGTATCGAGAGTTCCCAAAGGATTCGAACGATAAAGAACTGGAGCTGCTGCTAGTTGCCAAATGCACTTTCGCTTTACATGGCATTATTCAAGAAACGCTTTTGGATTCAACCTTACCACTTTCGCAGTCAATTCGATACTGGAGTCGTATCCATGGAAATTGGGGAAGAGAAACCTATTATGCAGTACAGAGTGAGTACTAATAGACTTGGAATAGCCGGCAATCACGCTTTTTCCCCTTTTTTCCATTAACATGGTGCATTTTCAGCAACCCCAATTCGTATCTTTAGACTTGCTTCCAAGACTTTGCGCGAAGCACCAATAGGGATATCCGCATTACCCAACCATATATCCAACCTATCTAGAAAAGATATCATCAAGCAGCTGTTTCCATATTACAGCCGGATAGCCTCCACGCGACACATCATTCGTTCGGAAGTATATCACAAACGATCCAAGCTCGTTGCCTTCAAAAATCAACAAGCTGCACGTTTGGGACTACTCATTCAGAAAAAGCCCCAGATAGACCCTCAGTCCGATTTTGATACCTCTTACAAACAAGTGAATGCCAATCTCAACTTGCTGGTGCATATTTTGAACGAAATCAGTGGTATGAATGCTGAAAAGGCATTATGCCATGATCATCAGATGGATAAACTACTAAGTAAGTGGTGAAGATTTTGATAGAAGTACAGAAAATACATTGGTATTGACATGGAGTACAGGCTACGATTTTAATGACAACAAGGATATGGATAGCCTCATAAAGGTGCTGGACGACATAACCCTAGTGATGATACCAAAGTGCGAAGAGCAATACAACCGAGTCATCGGCATTTATGGAAAACCTTCATTTCTCACTCGGTACTGGGCACCTCTGACTTTGCTTTACTTTGGTGGAAATGTGGCTGTAAAATATGTTTCGAGACAGCAGGACAATATCAAGATCTGGATGAATGAAGCTGTTGATACGGCTCAAGATTTTGCCATTCATTGGCTTTGGGAACCTATGCTGAAAGTATGGGATACCATTCGCATGAAAGACCAGCAATTGGCGCTTTTGAGCAAAGAAGGATTGAGAAGCGATATGGAGGTAAGTCATGATATCTTCGGTGGCAACATAACAATAACATCATCGACTCACCTCACCTTATGAAACATATGTTTGTGTTAGTCTCTTGAACGAATGGTCGCTGAGTTTGGACGGGATCACTATCATTTTACAGAAGAACAGGTTGCTCAATTATCCAGCCAAGTTCGTGAAGGTGACCTATCGTCAGTCCTCAAGGCCTATGAGGAAGCGATCAAGGTAAGTGACTCACAAAGGGGAAATATGTATGCTGCACACAGTTCTCACACATTATCCTCTCCCCGCAGAGCCCTGTTAAAAATGCTATTCGCGGTGACCTTATTCGTACACTTTTAATTCAAGTCCAGAAAACAAAAGTGGACGTAGATCTCGCCATGGCTGCTCTTGACAAACTGCTCAAGTCCAACGAGCTTAATTTTGCCTTCTTAGGTAATGTATACGCAGTGGGACTACAGTTTTGTTCATGATGACGTTACTCACTACTACAAAAATTGTACTACAGCTGTGGCACCTTCAATGATCTTGTTGTGGGCCGTTGGAGCGTGGATTAAAGGAACTTGGGAAAAGAGAACAGGAGTGCAAGTTGGAAAACTCGGTACACCCATGCGAGACTCCCTCCGGTAAGTCATTCGGGATCAAATACCAATGAAGTGTAGTAAGCATTGTGCTAAACCTAGTGTCATTGCAGAGAGGTAGAGCGGGTCCTCAATCAAGCGGATACCAGGAACAAGGATAAATCTGGCAACGGACTCAAGCTATCATGCGAGCAACAAGGACTCGTGCTATGTGAAGTTCATTTATTGAGATCTTATGCACGCCGATTGCCTCAGCGTAATTGCATCCGAGAAAAGTTCATCGAAGATTTACGTGAGTTAGAAAATCCTAACTACAATCTGGAACAGCGATTTAGAACCATTCAGCGTATGGCACGTACTTGGGGATTTCTTACTGCCTCCCAGCGTCTTTGATGTAACAACAGTTAGAACAAAAGAAACAAAATAAACCACTTTAAAAAGTGATTGAGTTAAATTCCATGAAGTCAGTTTACTGTAACATTGGCGAGTGACACAGATACGCTTTGGAATAAGCTGTTCAACGGTAGTAAATGCTATTGACTAGGCTATACCTATTGTGAGCCGACAATTTTTATATCTTAGCAATCCTACCTTATCCCATCCGGCGAAGAGTGATTGATATCAGCCTTGATGGCATCGTGATGGGGTGATTTTCAATCCATCCACTTTTTAACTCAGGTTTTTATCATCAGGGTCATCACCAAAGGTATGTTTTTCAGTAGGGAAATTGAGTTACGACATTGGCCAGTCGTACGTAAGTTTCTCAATGACATTATAAAATTCAGTATCGAACGATACAACGCTTTCAAGCGCTGAACATGTGCATAGAAGAAGCCTTCTAAATGGTAGCGTTATTACTGAAGGCCATCGATTTTGAGTGGGATGACCACCATCAAAAAAACTTCACGTGGAAACCGCTAAGTGCGCGGGTGAGATAATGCGGGGTATGGGTTCGTTAGATGGGAGGACAAAATTACGAAAGCACATTTACCTCTTCTCATTGCCCTCCATGTCATTTCTCGGCAATCTCTTCAATCTCAAGCACCAGCTTGTTGTATATGGTGCTCATCACAACAACAAGGTTAATGTGATTATTCACATTATATGTGTACCCATTATTTTTTGGACAGGTATGTGAAGTGGAGGAACTCCGTTGTGGTTGTTTGCAATGCATGGTGTGCATATGAAAGAGCTTCTTTAACTAAAGCTTTTGGCGTCACATTTGTAGCTTTGGTTTTTGCATCGAATACCGGTCCTCTATTGGATGTCAGTACCTTGCCATCCTCCCTCCAATGGCTCAAGTTATTTGGACCGGATTTAGGGTTTTTCGCAGCAGTATTTTACTTTGTTTACTATCTTTTCCTCGACCCAGCAACAGCTGTAAGTGGTTTTAAGCAAAAGAGATGGCATCTATATATATAATGCCAAAGAGAGGAAGGGGAAAGGAAACGCTAGGCATATTCGCGCGCCAAAAAGAACGTTTTTTTTTTTAACAACGAACTTTTTTTTCCTTCTAGTTGCTCTATGCACCAGTTCTATACGGTATGAGCTATTATGCAACCTATCTCCACCGCACCAACCCAGAAGCCAACAACATTGCTCTCGGCCTTCACATTGTATCTTGGATTCTTCAATTCATTGGCCACGGCGTTGCTGAAAAGCGAAGCCCCAAGTTATTAGATAACCTCATTCAAGGTAATAATCTAAAAAGGCATTAATTTTCAAACATGGGTACTAATTTTTTTTTTTATTCTCCTCAGCACTGGTTCTTGCTCCCTTCTTTGTGTTTTTTGAGATCCTGTTCACTCTTGGTTACAGACCCAAGTTGCATAAAGAGATGATGATTGAGGTCAACAAGGATGTCGCGGCTTTCAAAGCCAAGCGCGAAGCTCAGCAGAAGAGTAAGAAGGCATAATTTTAACACCCTCAGTAATGGCTTGGGAAATTTTTTTTTTTGTTCATATGTACTGCCACTATTCTATTTATCCGGTAACAAGGTAGACACACCTACTGTTCCCGCTCTCCTCCACTCCCAAGTGCCTGAATCAAACAATATATTTCTTTTAAAAGGATTGGCCTTTTTCTTTTTTTTTTTTTACTTTATTATCGTTTTCTTTTTTGACCTAATCAATGTGGGGTGAAAAAATGCAAACCAAGAATAATTATATGAAAAAAAAGGTAATAAAAAAAAAAGAGTACAATAGTGGTGTATTACTGTCTGTAATTGTAAGGATCAGTATGACCATAATATTGGTACTGCTGATTCATTTGAGGAGACTGCATGTTATGAGGAACATGCTGCATTTCCATGGGCTGTTGAGGGTACTGCTCGTAGTAGACTTGTTGATCATAACCATTATGATCATCGTAGTATGCACCAGCAGCAGGTGGTTGCTGGGCATAGTTGTAAGGATCAGAATGAGCAATAGGAGGGCTACGTCTTACTCCGTTTTGACCCAGGGCAGGGCTTGGGTAGTTATAGTCCATGTACGGGCTAGGAGGACCAAGGGGCCGCTTTTGGTCGGACTCCCATGCCGCCCCAGCTGGAGCCAAAGACTCATTATGACGTTGGAACGGTGAAGGAGCAGGGATGGATGGGTCCATACCATCATCATCATCAGCACCAAAGACTCTCTTCTTGCGGTTGTTTCTTCTCGTTTTGGACAGGAACGCGTAGCCGAAACCAGCGGCAATAATGGCGACAAATCCACAAATAGAACCAATAATAATAGGCTTACTATTGCTGGACCCACTATCGCTATCACTAGGGGCAGTAGTGTTAGAGGGTGTAGCACTTGACAAAGATGAAGTTGCATTCATTGAAGTCGAGACAAATGTCACTGATGTCGAAGGCATAATGAAAGATGATGTGGTTAATGCTGAACTTGTCGAGGCCACACTGCTGGCAGGCTTTGAGCTCACAACCACTGGGACAGAACTGGTTGTGATGGGAGCAGCTGTTGTGGCAGGTGCCTGAGTAGTAGTAGTAGTAGTAGTGGTGGTAGTGGTTGTCTCGACAGCCTTGGTAGTTGTGTGTGTGGGTGATGCGGTGGTAGGTTCTGAGGCCGCCGTGGTGGGATCTATTGCACCTGCACCTGCCAAGATATTACCGAGAGGATCTTCGGTAGCAGCATGGACACTGGCGAGCAGGGTAAAGAGGGCGACTGCTAAGTATAATAGCAGACGCATTGTGTAAAAAGAATGGGACTAGCAAACAAAGGGAGAAAAGGAAGGTGAGGAAAGAAAGAAAGAGAGAGAGAGAAAAAAAAAAGGAGAGAAGGGAACCAGCAGCTTACGAAAAGGCTCGTTGGTAGAGAGAGTCGAGCGCTCCTTGTTAAGGTAATTCAATGTGTGACAGGGCGGAAGTATCTGCGTCGATGTCGTGCAGAGCATTACAATTTTAGAAACAGCAATAACGTCGATCATTTTATTAATTTATGTAAAATGTTGGGTCTAACAGGCCAATGTTTGGTTCTTATCAGGCCGAACAATGGCAAGTGAGGCTTTCAACAGTAATTTTTATTATTATTACACGCCACCAATTTGCAAAAGTTCTCCTTTTCGGTTTCTATTGAAAAAGGCGCACTCGAGCAGACACATTGCTTCTATGATATTGCAAATCATAAATGTGCAGATCATCCAATCTTGCTCGAATAATACTGTCAACGTCCACTTCAATGGATTTTCCAACTGCTTTTCGAATAGCTTCAAACCCACCGCCTACTTCGAACATCACTGGCAACTTTTCGGTATGCACTGTCGTACCATTACTGGGGAGAATAAGGCGACGTGTCCAACCTTCACTCAAGTCTTCAAAATCCGCATGAACCGTTCCTACTTTGAGGCCATGGTAGCTCGCAGTTGCATTCACAGCGAGTACTTCGATGACTGTAGTGTTGAAGGGATTTACCAACCACATTTCAGCAGTGGATGAAAAAATGTTTATCTGAGTAGCCACCAGCAAAGTATGGTTCATGGGTGGAGCGCTTGACGAGAACTTAAAATTGCGGAGCATGGTCTGCAGTGTTGGAGAGGCCGAGGAGTTGGGATGGTCTCCTGATATGGTCAAATTGGTTTGATTTTGGCCTAAACGGTAGAGGGGAGAGCGGTTAGGAAAGCTAGAATTTTTTTTTTAACTAAGGTCCATTGCACACTGACCGCTAATATAAGCGCTGATAAACTCCATTGCTTTTTCACGCGAATCGTCTTCATTCGGAGTGAAAAACGCTGTGGCTTGAATAGTATTCCAGCCTGGTACAAGGGTGTGGTTGGCAAGAGTGGCATTTCCTATTCGGCCTTCATCATAAAGAAGATAATTATTAACAGGACCAAGAGTAACTGTAACATCCGATGGGTTAAAAAGACTAAGATTGGCATAGACACGAAGCGCATCGGGGTATCCATGATTCAGTTCAATCGAGTCCAACCGAGGAGGAGGATCTGACAGCCCGCCCATTCCTGACGACCGCAAGTGAAGCACACAACAATAAGAAAAATGGAGACAGAAGATAACGAGACGAAGGAAAAAAAATGGTTAGTTTGCTTGTTCTAATTTCATTTTCTTTTATTCCGTTGATGGTCGTGATGTGATGTATATTGCCATAAATTTTTTTTGGGGGGAGTCGATGGGGTTGGACATTTGCGTGCTGTCACATCACAAAGTATCAAAGACCGAAAATACCTTTAGTTGAAATTTCGCCTTTGAAGGCAAGATCTTTCACCGTCAGATTTCCAAAAGCGCTGGCCACTTTAGCATCCACAGTACCACCGATGTAAACCTTGTTTTCTGTTCCATAGAAAGTCTTGTTGAGGAACTTTTCCAAGTCATCCTCGCCGTCAGGAAGTAAAGTCAACGGTACACGTTCGAGATTGGATTCTACTCGAACCAAGTCTTGAGGAACAGAGGGATCATCCCGCGGTAAACTTGTTTTGGCCGGTGAGGCATCAGATGGTTCTAGTTTGGCAAAGGGGGTTTTGTAGTCGTCACTCATATACAGGTAGACCACCGGCTTGACTGATTCAACATTGATATCGAATTTCATTTCAGGAGGTGGTCGCAGCAGGGCAGTTGCACTTCCGGAAACCACAGTGCCTACTCCTGTAGCAAAATCAATGGAAATATTACTCATTGCCAAGCTTTCTATAAAGTCTTTCTGAGCGGAGCCTGGAAAGGGGATCGCCAGTGTAACGCTTGACAATGCCTTCTTCATCCATTCCGGTAAATCCGAGTTCTCGTCATCTTCTGGTCCCCGTTCACTTCCACGGACATGGAAAATACTGCTCTCTCCTTTCAAGTAATCAGATAGAAATTTTTCGAGAGCTTGTTTGCGTTCCATATCGTCACTATCCATAGGAATAGTACGTCCAGTGACATTGAATGTGTTCACTTGTTTACCCATCAAAGATGCGTCATGAGCACGGACAATGGCAATCAATGCGTCTCTGGAAGTATTTGCTATGGGAGCAAAGATTCCAAAATCAACATTGCCCAACTTGAAGCTCAGCATGCTTGAAGGATTGTAAATGCTTACTTGACCCTCTACTATAATTCCACCTTTAGGGTGTTCTCCGGGAAACGACATGGATTTGAGTTCCGCTTGTTGTAATCCATCCATACCTATAAGGAACAAAGATACATATCGTCATTTACACTGCAAAAGATAACGAAAACCATTGATCTACTGAAAATACCATACCTTCAAGAACAACATCTTTCTCTATATTCATTGCCAAGGTTTTGGGGAACCATCCAACCTTGACGCCCACAGGGCCATTGACCCTCCATACTACCTCCTTTTGCTTGACGGCTTCTTGGCAAAACGCAGCTAGCTGTTCTTTATCCCCGATTCGAAATTGTGAAGTAAAAGAAAAGTTGGTTGTCCGGTCACCTTCCTCCAGTAGCAATTCAGGTAGTACGATGGTTCCCAAAGCTGAGCCATCGGTCGTAGCCTTGGTACCTGATTTGGCGGATTTATATACATTTAGCGCAGACTGCACTGTGGAGAGTTGTCCAAAAAGATCGGATGCCTTTTGTGACAGACCGAACAGACGATCGTTCAAGATGACTTTGCCTGCAACGTGTATATCGAGACTGTCTGGATTGGATATATTGACGATAGATGCTTCGTCGAAAGAGACATCAGCACCGTCCCGTAAATACCGTTGTGCAATATTCGGGGCAAACAGTAAGCCTAATATAACGGTGAGGACAACTATCGTACAGAGTATGGAAAGCACATAGTATGATTTGTTCCGTCGTGGTCGAGAGACGTGCTCTTCATGTTCGATAGAAGCGGCAGGTGCGACTTCGGTATAATTCGGTGATGTAATGGTCGCCTTCCCCTTGTCCTTCCTCGATCCAGAGCTTTGGCCTTCCCGTAGTAATGGTGCACGTTCATGCAAGGATTCGTCATTCCGGTCAAATGAAGAAGACGAAGCATAAGGTTCATTACTAGACATAGATAGGTTTGTTTGTATTAGTTGGCCAACAATACTTGTGAAGGGGAGAGAAACCAGTATTTTTCAGTAAAATGGTTGCTGTGACCACATGATTCCCGAAACTCCCGCTTTCGTTTCTAAAATTTTCATTTAAAGTGAGCTCATCGAGAACTCACTCCCAAGATCGATCGATGCTCTATGCCGCTGAAGTCTGTTTTGGCGGCGCATTTTATTTAAATGACAGTGCTTGTTCATCATTAAGCACTGCTGTCAAGTTTATATGAAGCTTCCTCTTGACATCGTTGATACCACCTGCCAAATCAGTTGACTGTGTATTGCGTCATGCCATTTCACCAAGCGCTTGCGCACGTACGATGAACAAAGCGATTAGAAAACTTAAACTTTTGGTAATTTTTTGGACGGGCGCAAGCGTATACTTCGCGATTGAAGCAAGCGAACCGATTTGCTTCCATGAAAAATTTTCCCTTTTTTTATTTGCTAGCAAATTTCCTAATCTTTTCATTTAGCTCGTCTGGAATTTCTTCAGGTAAGAAGTGGCCCACACCAGGATATGTTTGTATTTCAACATTAGGAACCCGGCTCTTGGTGTTCTCCAAATTAATCTTCATGTCCAACGCAACATCTTGTTCTCCCTGAAAATTGCCATTAGCATTTATTATTGGCGAACCGACTTTAGTACCGCAACTTACCCAAAGTACCAACACAGGTATTCCAATCACTCCATCTGCTTTGTTCTTGAGGCTCCATCCTTCTAGTGCGGCTCCACGTCGATAATACTCAATAGCATAATCAATTGCAGGTGTTGGATCATCGACTGTAGCATAGGCAGCAGCGGCTTTGTAAATTTCTGCATCTTCAGCAGTGGAGTTCTTGATACCTTTCACAACGAGTTCGGCAAAGAACCAATCTCTAATGGACAAGAATGAGCGGCCGAACGATGTGGGTAGTTGGAAAATGTAAATGTAATAGCTTTTGGACAGCTGGGTTAGTACAGGAGCAAAGCCAGTTTTGATAATGGGCCATGTGACTGTGGGTTTAGTGATGAGCTGGATAAGCCAATGCCACGATAGGTATTTTTGGAAAGGCTGCAATAAATTTCCTGTTGAAACTAGTGGATGACCTATGTTGATGATGATACCCTTGTCAATGTATCCTTGCTGAGATGCTTCCAATTTCCAAGAGTCTGCCATAACATGCCATCCCACGATCGCTCCCCAGTCATGAGAAACCAGCGTTACCCGTCGGCTCTCTTGGGGCTTATCTTTTTGTAGTGCCTCAATTAAGCCTCGAACATCCGATATAAACTCCTTCATCACAAAGCCAGTGCGCTTCGGGCGGTAAGATGCACCATACCCTCGCTATTAACGAAGTAAGTGTCAATCGATAACGTAATGCTATATGCGGGGTTTTATGCATATACAACACAGCCATACCATATCCATTGCCACGAGGTGATACTGATCACCTTTTAGACCTTTTAACTGTTTGCTCCAGGTATACCAGCACTAATGAAAGGTTGTCAATGACTGTGATGGTTTTAAAAGTTCAATGCCGAAGCCATTGCGAACCTGTGGAAACCCATGTAAGAAAAGAACCAATGGTCCGTTGGTATTGCCCGACTCGACAACATGGAATTTCTTGCCACCACCAAGGTCAATGTATCGATGACGGCCGAATTCTCCATCTTCAGTAAAAAGCTTCGGGTAGACTATCGAGGAGGTTTACATTAGCATTATGAGACACTACGAGGACAATTTTATGCACTGGCAACTTACGAGCTGAGCGGTCCTTTTTCTCGAACAAACCGACCCCGAGCTTTCTAGTACGCCACACAAAGGGAACCATAGTGACAGTGTATACTGCGGCACAAGCGACAGTAGCTACAGACCAAAACAGTCCATGGGTAATGGTAGCTACAACATTCGACATTGCAAAGTAAGTGAAGAATGGAGAGCTTAAGCACAACGACGACGACTCATATAAAGTTTTTTCCCCCAGTGGTGCTGCTGACAGCATAATGCGAAGCGGCCATTCAAATCCGTTGTGCCCTGCCTGATTCACGTGATACGGTTGAATGGAACTGGCGGGTAGTGCAAAGCAAAAAGAAACGTGCTTTAGCTGGCCAGGTACGGCTTTTTCCTTTACGCTTTGTATTTTTTTCTGAATCAACTACCATGTCTTCTGAGCCAGTCCTCGACTCTGTTCCGGCTGATCAACAGGGAAGCTTTTCTTCTTTCTTAAAGACATTGGCTTCTTTCACCGGTGATTTGTCCAATCTGACATGCCCGTCCTTCCTCTTGGCCCCGATCTCTTTGCTTGAGTACTCGTAAGTTAGCCATTTCTTTTACTATTCAATACCATGGAATTCGGCCCACATGCAAAGAAGCATCGACATGCAGGCCATCTCGCCTCTTCCAATTCGCAACAAAACCATGTTGGCATACCCCATCTTGTTCTTTCATCCTTCTGTTGGGGCAGTCAGCAAAAGCTTAAAAAATTCCAGTATGTGTATGTTATAAACGCCACAAGAAGTCAACTTGAAACCTGCTGACTTGTAATCATGACCTTGTAGTCTCCCTATCCGACGTTACGTTTTGAACTAACCAAGTGACGTTTGTTACACACTTGCCTTTATAGAGCTTTCTGGATTGATCAACCTGAGCTGTAAGTGTTGTGTCAATAATTCCCCAGTCGATCTGTTCAGTTGCTTATCAGTAATTTTTTTTCTCTGGTTACAGCTTCAATGCTATTACAGAGCCTGAAACTGCTGAAGATCGGTTCTATGCTGCCATGAAGTGGTACATTTCAGCTTTGAATGGCTCGTTTGCTAGCAGAGTCCCCAAGGGAGAATGGGAGAAGAAGCCTTTCAACCCTGTTCTTGGAGAACAGTTCTACTGTGCTTGGGACGATGAGACTAGAATTGTCTGTGAACAAGTCTCACATCATCCCCCGATTTCAGGTTTCTTTGTTGAGAACAAGAAGTCTGGCGTGTATTTGAATGGTCATGATGGACAAAAGACTCGGTTCTCTGGAACTCAGATGCTGGTCGACCAAGTTGGCCACTGTGTCATTCACTTGAAGAACCGCAATGATGAGACTTATCTCTTCACTCTTCCTTCATTGTCTGTCAACGGTATCTGGTATGCTGCACCTTACGTTGAGCTTTATGGTACTTCGTACGTTCAGTCTTCCACTGGTTTCTTCGCCCAAGTGGATTACAGTACCAAGGGCTGGATCTCTGGCGAGCTTCATCACTTCAAGGCTACCGTCTCCCATGAGTCATTGAGCGGACCTACCATTCTCGAGGGTCAATGGACTGCCAAGTCAACCATCACTAAGCACAAGCAATATGCTGACGATTTCCTTGACTTGACTGCTCTTGAGCGTCCTACTCCCAATGTGGAGCCATTAGAAAAGCAAGGTCCTCTTGAATCTCGTGCCTTGTGGGCCAAGGTATCGGACGCCCTTAAGACCGGCGATTACGCTGCCGCCTCCACTGAGAAGTCTCTTATTGAGAATCAAAAGCGAACTGAGCGTAAGGAGAGAGAAGAATCTGGCGAGGAATGGAACCCAGAACATTTCGTAAAGGTCGACGGTGATAGCGTTTATGGTGAGCTTAATGCTCAAATTTGCGCCAACAGCAAGTATAAGTACCAAGAGCAAGATGGCTTCAGCTGGGTTTTCAAAGAATACAGTGTCAACAAATGAAGACATCCCTTTCAACTCGCCTTGTTGAAGTAATGCTTAGATACGTGGTGGACTGTAGTTTTTTTCTTTCATGCAAGTCTGCCTACCCATTAGTAGTTTTCTTTATTCGTTCACACCCACCCCCCTTTTTTTTTCTATATTGAATTTGATACATCGATAGTATAAGACTTTTCCCGCTGCTTTGTCTTGACTGGAATAAAGACATTGTATACCACAGACACCACTTTACTCTCGTATTCCCACCTGTATGTCCATGGATATCTTTAACACGCAGTAAGTTCAAAAGACGTATACTTGTGTGTATTAACGAAACGCTGTATTTATTATGATTGCGTTAAATTGCCGAATGAGGTATGCTATACCTGACTAGGGGACATTGTATGCAAGCTTGTTACTAGCCCAATCGGCTATGACGAGACGATGAGATGCATCTAACACTAATCCGCCACAACGTTCAGACTGCTCTAAATAACTTGGAATCGAGCGTTCTCTAAAGTTCTACCCGTGAGCGGTGAAAAGACCATTATTTTCTTGGGTTGGCTAAACCACTAACGCTTTCAGACCACCTACGAATGTCACTTGTCTCTAGATGACTATGGCCCTCACGCAAAGCTTTCCGTTCACTTCGACTCAAGCTGAAGTTGGGTGATTTGGGTATAGTCAGTTCACGAGTCGGTCGGCGCCCAGGTGCTGGTGAATTTACTCTCTGATTGGCTATTGGTTTTGGCAAACCCACATCACTGTCAGCCTATTATATGGTTAGCAACCTTTGTTTGCTCAAATTCATGGCGATCTTATTCTTACCATGCTTGTTACCCGTCTTCTCTTTCGACTCGTTGCTTTATTAAGCTGACGTTGGATTCTTCGCTCATCTTCCGCCATTTTCCGTTCTAATGATCGTATTTCGCTATGGAACACCATGTTTTGTGCATCGGTAAGTGGTTTGGTCGACCTCTTGACTTGGAAGGGTCGATCAAATCTGGGGGGTGGGCCCGCTGGCTTGAATCGATGTGCTTCCTCTTCTCGGTCCTTCCATTGTCGCAGTTTTTCTTGAAATTGCCGTTGATGTTGCTCTCCTCGTACATCAGTTGCAAAGGTGAATGGCTGTGGAATGGTTCGCGATAACGGCTGAGGACGCGATACCTATAATAATACCGTATCATGAGCAAAGTTGGAATTGAAGTATTGACACCTGGCAATCTCATCATTTACCTGCGAGTGAGAACGCTTGCTCATTGTACTTCGTCTAGGTTGGATATCAGGCATTGGTGGGAGGTCGTCAATGACGCGAAGTTGTCTCGTTCCGATATCTGCTGGTGAGGTGTGAGACCAATTTTCAATAGAAGTTGATTCTCCAGGCACCGCTAAATCAGCTTCAGGCTGAACATCGTGCTTAAACGACAAAGCATCGTCAGTATGATCATAACGAATCTTTTTAAACGAATCAGAGTGCTATATAGCCACCATTAATAAATTAGTTTGCGGTAACCAAGCATAAGGTATCATATACTTCACTTACATTGTATGGAGAAAGTTTAGATAGCAAATCTGTCTCATATTCAGAAGATCTATTCACAGAAGCCCTCGCGTCTCTTGTGGAAGGCGAGCGAGGGTTATGAAGTGTCAAATCAGTTCCATTCTGTCCCTATATAGATCGTATGTTTAATCAATTGTATTGACTACTATGATCGACTGCTGTAGTAGAAGGCTCATATTAAAAGCATACCTTGGGGCTTGGCTTTAGAGCATGGGGTGATGCGATGCTTCTCCTGTCAGGGGATTGTCCCGTAGACGACTTTTCCTCCACCTCCTCTTCATACCTTCTCAACCTTTCTGATAATGGGACGAAAGGTTCTTCAGACGAAATGGCATTTTCAACAATTTCTTCCAAGGCGTTTGTTTGGGTGGTTGATTCGTAAGGTGAGCTCGCCAGCGAGCGCTTTCGTTTCTGATAGTAAAGGGAGATCGATAAAAGTCAATGAAGATGCCGCATAAAGAAAATCCATACAAACAGCTTCAACTTACCAATCCAGATACAGGAGTATATGTTTTGCTGGAATAATTGCTGTGCAGCTTGAGTGGGGTTGCTAACGTCCTTCGAGCAGGCGAGGCTAGTGGGGCTGATTTCTCTAAAAGTGGAGAAATGTAACCGGTACTTTGGCGTTTAGAACTGGCAATGGAAGAAGTAAATGTTTGTTGAGCGTAGGAAGGGGTGTGTTCTATCGTTGCCCGCTGTTGGCGGATTTGACTAGGGCTGTTTGGTAGGAATTCGTCGCCAATGGGATCAGGTTGGTCAAATAACCAGTGAGGTTCACTTGCTTTAGCATCGTGTTTGAGGGTTTCTCTCTCTGTTTCTAGAAAGGAAACCCCTTCCTCAAAAGAAAGGTCAAACGAGGAATGGCGATGAGATGAATTTGGGTGCATCAATAATGAACGTAAGGAACAATTTCGGGAATAAGACGCGTTTTTGGTTCAGTCATGTAATTGTGAAATTTTTATTTCACGAAAGGGAAAAAAGTAGTAATTTTTTTTTTTAATCCAACTTCTTTGCGCGGTAAAGCACAATGTAAGCCATGGGCCAGTCACCACCGCCATCTAGTTTTTGAATATCTTCCTCTTTGACGATCGACACTTTATCATCATCATACTTGAGCCACTCGCTGCCTCCCTTCTTAACCCAGCTAATATAATGTCCTGGATACAAATGGACGTTAGCGAAGCAATCGATATTGTTCAACCAAACGAGACTATATCTTTACCTGAGTCAGCAGATCGGCCAACGTGAGTGAGAACAGAGCATAATTCATATTGTCCTGTTACATTTGCACCAACGTCGTTTTTCAGACCTTGGTCAATAAATTCATTCCAATCAACTTTTTGTGAGCTAGTATCGACGTCCATCGACGTGCTGGCCGTAGCAGTATTATCAGTTTTTTCTTCAGCAAGATCGTCCTCTTGAGTTTTCCTCTTCTTACGCTCTCGTTCTTGCTCTAGCTTTTTGTCGTCTACCTCTCGGAGTTTTTCCTTGATTTTGCTATACTTGTTCTGTAGTTCTGGTGTACATAATTCGGTTGCATCCCAGTCAAGTGGGAACTTGACTTTTCGCAAAATTTTTGCCCTGACTCGCTCAGATGGTTTCCAGAAGAAACGAATGAAGTGGACCACCAGGTATTGCGGAAGCCGACTAACCTTTGAGATTTTCTGGTATTGAGCTGTGCGATCCAATGTGGCCGAGTGCTTCTCAATATCTTGCTTCAACGACTAATCGGAATTCAACACTTAGCTGATTGTATCGCGGTATGATTGAGAAGTGTATAAAATTACTTACATCCTGAATACCATTTTGCATGAAATTGGTAGCTGGCAACACATCAAAAGTTAGCAAAAAAAAAAAGGACAATCAAGTTTTAACTGCAGTCTCCTCCCTTACATATGGAAATATGGCAGTCTAACTTGCTGAAGGTTTCTGTATCTATGACTGGTTGTTCCTCAGGCGCTTCAATACATTTCAGTCTAATCAAAAGCATTAGTGATCAAAACCAAGAAACCCGAAATTACGTCAGAAAATTTGGCTTACTCGCTAGTCAATCGACCGGTCATGTACTGTTCGACAAACGTCTGATTTGAAGCAGAATCGGCGGGTAGCTTCGATTTGAGGACCGAGATCAATTCACCCCAGCATTCCTCAGCATCCTGTTGCATAGGCATTCCACCAGCTCCGGACTGAGAAAATTGTGGAAATGCCTGGCGAAGCATCTGGAAGATAGCCATAGAGTTGATTAAATACCATCCATCCAAAATCCAGCACAGTGCCTAGCTCAACCATTTACCTGCCAAAATATCAGAGGTGGAAATCCTTCGGTAGTGCTGCTTAATTGTTTGTACAAATCCCTCAAGCTAGCTGTTAAGTTACCCCTTGCATCCATCCCAGTTATACCGCCTTGATATCTACGGTGGTGATTTGTTAGAAAATATCAATACATGGTGTCCTAAACACGGCGACAACCAACCTATCGAGAGCAGTGTGTAGCTCTGGCATTACTCGCAAAGATTGCAAAGTAGCATTCTAGACGGAGGTTAAAACATCAGTTGCTGCCAGTAGCAAATCGACGGCTTAGTAAGTGTGCCTACCATGTAGCAAGTATTGCCTAGATTTTCCAGACCGGCAGGGATATCAAGCTGAATAGTGTATGGCAGTAAGAATAAGTAAAATTTGCCACCAAGTTTCGCTCTGTCATGACTGTACTTACTGCTTGTGCCAGTTGCTTGTCACTCATGTCTTCCAAGAATACAACAGGCTTGGGAGGAGCTTTAGGTAGCTCTCCAGCAGTTCCCATCATCATGAAGGTGTGGCCCTAAATTCAGACTTAAATGATTAGCGTTTGGGCGTTGCGGGTTGTACTTCTAGCAGAAAAGGCATTCTGTGCCTGTGTACCTCTTTGACATTCAGCTTGCTCAAATCAGTGTCGTCCTACCATTGTTGAAGGTCTCACGTTTAGTTGACATTCATACAAAATCGATTCTTTATCTTGATGTACCTTCATAATGCCTCCTTTGATCATGATCTTTTGTCTCTCGGGAGGGACGCCAGTCAATGAATAGATCTGATTTTTAAAGAGCTCGGGGGACTCTGAAGTATCTAAAGTAAACGGTCTTAGCGGCCATGCTGCTTGAAATCTTGATCAGTAATGGTTTTACTCACCAAGGTCGAGGTCATCAAACTTCTTGCCGCTCCATTTCACAGATACTTTCACCATTTTGATTTCAGAGTAAAAGGTCGCTCGGCGCTGAATACTGCACGCGCGTTCCCAAAGCGTGACTTGAATTCTCCATGCCAGCATTTTCCCTGTCACACTTTTAAAGCAGCAATATTTTGGGGGATTTTGGCAAAGAGGCATATAATTTTTATTTATACAGAGCTCAATAATGGATAACATAGCATTAGTCGAACTTCAGAGTGATAGAACCCAGACGGGTTTCCGAAGAGATATAAGAGTTCTCAACTCGGCTGTCATAGTACCCTTCAATAGCACTGCGACCAGCCTTTTCAATATGGAGCTTGTCAGACTCTGACTGGGAGAAAACTTCTGGCTTGCCTAGGATGGTCTTTAAGGAAAATGCACCTTCAAAGTTTTTGGGCTGCAAAGAAAGTGGTGAAGTGATTAACAGCTGAAATGTGAGGACATAGGTAAAGAAATTCTGTTTAAACTTACTGCGCTAACATATGTGGATCCATTTACAGTCTGGGTGTTAATTGCAACAGCTGTACGGTCACCGATGTTTTCCAGGTGAATACTACCGTTGATAGTCTCGGTGCTAATTTTTTCTGCATCCACGTTGGCATGGATGGCTCCATTGACAGAGTGGAACATAACAGTTTGAGCTTCAGCCTTCTAGTTGATGTAATTTTGGTTTAGAATTGTTATAAATATGTTATGAATTAAAGAGCATTAAGCTTACCTCGATTGAAATACGGCCATTGACTGTATTGGCCACAAGTTCAATTGTCTTTACATACTACGCAACCTGTTAGTTTGTGTTCGCCGAGCCCTGTCTTATCTTTATCATCAGTTGTCTTACCTCAGCATGTATGCCGCCATTTACAGTCTGAAGCGAGATTGACTCTTGCGTTAAAATATCATCCATGAGTTCGATTTTGGAGTTAATTGTGGTAATCGCCAGGTTGTTGAACTGAGCAGAGTTTGGGAGCGCGATAGTAATCTCAACATTGATACATTCTCGGTGGAGGTGTTTTGGTGTTTCTACAGTGAAGTTATATCCATTTTCGCTATCATCGATTATGATATTAATTTGGTCTTGTAGATAGTCTTCGCTAAAGTGGATATTGACATTGATATGCGCCAAATCGTCATCTGATTGAGTGAATGTTTTCACAAAGCCACCCTATACATCAAATGTAATCGTTAGCAACGAAGGGTTGTTCATCATAGTCTCTGTTGATGACTGAAATTTTACATACAGTAATGGATCCATTTTGCAATACGCTTAGATTGGGAAACTTTGCTGGGTCAACATCGTAGCTGGTTTTGCCTTCCCATTGGATAGGTAATTCGCCATTATGACATTGCTGGGATACAACACCGTTATGCCAGTCAGATCTGAACGACTACGTAAGATGTCAATAAACAATTCGAGCCATATCGCGAATGTGAGTAACAAAATTAAGTACCTGGAAACGGTGGGAAAATACATGTAGAGCGAAAAGGCCAACTAGAAATAAGACAGTTCTCTTAAATACACGCTTCTTCTTATTATCTGACCGGCAGCGGCATTGGCAGTTAGAGACCGCTGGAGGTGGAAGGATAGGAGTCTTCTCGTCCATATTTTTTTACTGGTATATATTTTGTGGTGAACAATAATTCGCTGTGGCAGAAAAATTGGTGCTCGTTTTTAAAAGCAAATTTTGGACTGTGAAATTCTCTTGGCTGCCGAGGTTTGTGGGACCTCATCACCTTGGCGCCATGCCCCCCAGTCGGAGCTTTTTCACCCTTGGTACTGGATTGCCTAATGGATGCTTTAACGTCACAGTACAATGTCTTGTTGGAAAAACAACAGCAATTGAACAATGTTATACCCTCTAGGTTAGACAGACTCAAGGAAGTGTTACAAGAAGCAAAGAAAAACCTTGAAAATGGTAATCACATCACTATTTTCTTGTCGCTACATTCAGGAAACTAACCCGACGGCACTTCAGATCCTTCAAACTGGAAAGAGTCGTTAGTGCTGATGCAGCAAAAGAGTAAAGCGCAGAACTTTCAGAAAGAGCTCAAAGATTACTCAGGTGCTGTCAGTAAATACGGAAAAGCCATAGAAAAGGTTACTATACAGTCACCTATCTCTACACAATTGGTCAGCAGATAATGGACTCATGTATATCTTTTATCACGCATAGACATTCAAGCAAGACCCAACGATAGCATCTGATCCAACAGCATTTTCTGGGAAAGAGCACGTATTGGACCGTGCGGTCGCATTGCATTTCATTCGGCAAGGCCAATTTCAATTGAGCGAAAGCTTTATTAAGGAGGCTGGTATGGCCAACGACGAAGAGATTGGCTCATCGGCAACGGAACTCAAGTTCAAATTCAAGGAAATGTATGATATAATTCAGGAGTTGGAGGAAGGAAAGACAGAAAGTGCAATCAAGTATGTAAATTGACACCTTCAGTTTATATGGGTAAAATATTCCATTTCTAACGATATTGCTGATCAAGGTGGGCATCAGAGCATCACGAGGAGTTGAATAAGCGTGGAAGCAGCCTTGCATTCCAGTTGCATCGATTGCGATTTATCAAGCTTCTCGAATCCAGCAGTATGGAAGCCTTGTACTATGGACGCACCCATTTTGACGAGTTTGCAGACCGGCATTTGCCAGGTAAGGACACCTTATCATTCAAAATATCACCCGCCTAGTCAACTGAAAAATGTCTAATCGCTTGCAGAAATTCGGAGACTGATGACTTCATTAATATACCACAACAAGTTGTCTCAGTCACCGTATGCAGATTTAATATCAGAGCAGGATTGGTCGGGCATTCGAAACACATTCCAACGTGATTTTTGTGCCTTGTTGAATATGAGCGCGGATAGTCCATTGTACATAAGGTAATATCGGTGATAAGCGCTGTGAATTGACAAGCTTAAACGTGTTGTAACTTTTTGAATTTCCTTCTGCAGTGTTTTAGTAGGGACAATGGCGCTACCCACCATCATCAAGGTGGTCACCATTATGAACACAAGAAGGACAGAGTGGAGTCAGCAGGATGAGCTTCCCGTCGAAATTCCCCTGCCAGATGATTTACGATTTCACTCTGTCTTTGCTTGTCCAGTTAGCAAGGAACAAGCTACAGCTTTGAATCCTCCAATGATGATGCCCTGTGGACATGTTATATGTAAAGAAAGTTTGACCAGGCTAAGCAAAAGTAGCAGGTAAGATATGTATGCTTGCAGTTACGAAGCAACGGATGTGTACTAATGCTGCTTGCTCAATGTTAACAACAAAAGAAACAGTGCAAGATTTAAGTGTCCATATTGTCCTTCCGAATCAAGCGCAGCGCAAGCTGTGCAAGTGTACTTTTAGAACAATTCTCTCCTGTAGGAAGAAATCCAGTATATAAAACCATCAATGTTCAATAGTACGTACGCGCTTTATTGAAATTTACAAATGGTTTAAACCAACGAGTGGGTATTGTATGGGCTAAGGATACTATTTGACTGCAGGGAAGTTTGATAAGGTGCCAGCTATCAGTACACAAGAGATTCAATAATGGAATGTCTATGTCCACAGCGACACAATACTTTATACGACAAGTATATGATGAAATGATCTACATAAGAAGGAAGAGGAAAGTTAATAACAATGTATTGTATGTACACGGCCAAAAGACTTTTTTGGCGAAAGAATTCTGAAGTGGTCCTTGACTTCAAATGTGATTGTCTTCAGCACCCGAGAGATGGGCCTGAGAGGTTGAAGTAGGGGCTTGTTTGTAAATAATGAATTGCATAAAGATCTGTTATTGTATACATGAGTAATCTGCAACATTCAAAACATTAATTAAAGATCCGTAAACTTACAGTAAAATCAAACACCAGTGTTCCACAGCTTCCAATAATCCAAGAAAGATTAATTAAAAGGTATGTCGGATCGACTGACCGCAAAAAGATTGACTGTTTGCAATAACAATTAGCCAAGCTGCAAAACAATGGGTTGGCGTGGGAGTGACAGGCTGAATGAAGACTTACCAAGGTGAAGAACACATTTCCCATAACAGCACAGAAAAACATCGCCAAACTGAGCCCTTCCGTACTTTGATCCTTGTAGTTTTTAACGATTTGCGGAACTCGACTTGCGATATAAAGCGCGGCACTGGTCCAGCCCATGATCTGGGGTATGATTTGAAATTGCGTTTTGTCCTTATCCGCATGCGAGCTATCGTCAGAATCCATATGTGTAAAGCCGTAGTAGACAAGACTCCCAATTAAAGCTATCGTGGATATAACCAGGGTCGCTATAGGAATGATCTGGTTGCGCTTTCGTCTTGTTGGCTCATCCAAGATGTTCCTTGGGAGAAGTGGATCTGTTTCTCGGCTGTCTTCACTGCGTTTTCTTTCTGATCTCGTATTCTGATAGTAAAGAACTTGCCAAATAAGTCCAATATCAGCAAGTGTGTACCAAACAGCTAGAAGCAGCATTGTAAAAAGGAGATCTTGCATTACTACGCCAACAAGGTTGAAGACGTCGCCTAAAAGCCAAATGACAAGGAAAGTCATAGAAAGACCGTCACCACTTTTTCTCGTGTAGTTCTCCCATAGTTGTGGTGTAAAAACGATGAGCCAGCATCCTATAGAGAGATAGCCAGAGATTGATGACCAGAATGCGTTGTCAAAAGTCATGAAGAAGAAAAACTGAAAGTGAATGAGACCAGAAAAATTACCACTTAACAAATGCGGGAGGGCACCGAAAACGGAAACCTGGGACTGTCTTTGTGACGGATTGTACAGGCACTCTGCTGTGAGCCCTGGGATTCGCCAACTTCATTTGATCCAAGCAGACGCGCGACTTGATGACCGACAATGGAACGCAGCACAGCGAAGGTCAGAAGGCGTTACTAGAACTCGAGTCTAAATTCACCGCCAAAAAGTCTTCCATTCAAGGAACCAACGGCATGCAACTCCGAGTTCTTGCTTTGTTTCCTCGACTGTTCGAAGATTACCCATACCCCGTCGTTGTCACTGCTGCGATACTTAAATTAGCAGATTGGTTTAGGCAAAGGTAGTTAATCAAGCGTTTACGAAAGAATAGGTGAAAAGCATAATCTACGAGATAGACTCACAAGTGTTACAGCAATAATGTCCTCAAATTTCACATCTACAAAGTGTTTGAGCAATCATCCGAAGCGCATCTTCCCAAGTTGATAAACACAGAAGAAACAGTCAGACGCATATTGCCAGTGCTCTATAGTAATGACTACGTAGCGCGATCCATTACACTTCGGTAAGTTCCTTCGCGACAGTATGACTTACGTGCTATGAGACATTTTGCTGATCTCCTCTCCAGAATGCTGGGATGCATATCTGCCATTATACCGGAGAAACTGGATGTGCATCATGGGTTAGTCAAGCTGAATGTGGTATAATGCATTATGTGATTATTTATGAAGGTTTTGCAATTCTAGAGTCATGCAGCGTCTGGAATTAGCGGAAGATCGGCCCGAATTGGAGGCAGCCATATGGGCAGCAGACAAATTTTGTGGAGTATCCCATCGATTCTTGGCCGTGATCTGCTCGAAATTAGAAGCTATGATTATGTCTCCGTCAATTTCACCAGATGTTAGGACGCAACTCATTCGCATCTTGCGGCATATGTATGTGGACTTTACAATGCTGAAAAAGGTATTACGCAGATTGATTGAATCGGGCATCTCTGGAGAAAATACTGACGGACAGTAAATAGGCTCTTGCAATCTGTATGAATATGCTAAACTTAGATCCGCCTATCGAGGAAGATCAATTGAAAGTGGTTTTGAGCACTATAGCGTCTTTGTCGAAGCACTCGTTCCTCAACCGCACTGAACACATCAGCCTTCTGATCTCGTATGCGTCTAAAGATTGCGGTCAGGATTTGATGTGTCAGGTGTTACATGACTTGATCTTGATGCAAGATGCTCAAGCCATGCTATCTTCCTTAGACGTTCTGGTAAGTTGCGAAAAGACAATGTAGAGTCCCAGACATAAAGTTTAACCCTGACGATATATAGAACCTGATGAAAATCGGTTGTGAAGTATTACAATCCGGATCCTTTTTTCTCAAGTACACATACGGCCGCTGTCTCTTAATCTTATTTCAAAAGAATGAGCCAGCATTACAGACAATCATCCGCTCCTCTGATCCGGCAAGTCATCAGCAATTCAAGGAGTTCATTGGTGCAATACATAATATATTGTTTATGGAATCGAACCGCTTACAGATAAGCTCGATGATACAATATACAGCTATATTGAACATCATAATATCGACATTGAAATATTGCGAAAATTCGGTAGTCGATGAACAGACGATGATTGACATGGAAGAAAAGATGTATCGGTGTCTTAATATGGCCACGGATTCCCTGGTGATGGCGCCTTATACCAACCATAGAAAAATTACTGTATGTATTGTATGGAAACTGATGATTATGCTAATTGCAACTTTGATTAACGGATCTGACTAATGTAGCTTAAAAAACTCCTAAAACTGAGGAGAAAGCTATCAGTTGGCGCGGAAAACATTCCACAGGATTTCGAATATATGTTGGGCACGGTGGAAGCTGCCAATGGTGAGTAACTGCAAGTGAAACGTTGCTATGATAATTGGCTTTAACCATATTGAATAATCGACATAGAATGCCTTGTACCTGTTCTTTGCATGCATCTGTACTACTTAGCATGTCAAAGCAAAGCAAATGAAGGACATTATTTTGTTTTGTTACTTCAAAAATTGAGCAAGAATATAGATAACCCCGTAGTATGCGTAAGTATCAATCTATGAGCTGTCATGAAGGTTCAAATTATGTTCATTAACTTGGGTGTATGTTGAAAGATTCCCTTAATTAGGCTGACACTGCGACTTTGTATGGACACATCTGAGGAAGCCACGAATATGGTGATAGAGGACTGTTTCAGTAAAATCAAGCTGTTTGGCGGATGGAACCAAACTGAGGGCAAGTTCACCAAAAACCAAAGCTATTTATGGGATATTGCGAAGATTGCTGGGCAATGCAAAAACTTTGAAATTATGTATGAAGTGCTATCAGGCATTGCTGGAGAGGTAAGTTAGTTAGAAGGTCTAGGTATTTTTTGGAGTGCCTGCCCATTTAGTGACAACTACTTTAGGTTCAAACGGAGGCGAGCGATTGCTGGGTTCAGGCGATGATGAAGTTATCTCGTTCGGAATTCCTAATATCGTCTGGTATAGACAAATCGAGCCCTGACTACGGCACCGCGTGTGCGTTATTGAACAAAGCAATAGAAGACCAAGTGCGATTTCAAACGCTAATGAAGGTAGGTCTTCCGACTCGAGAGTCTTGTCTGGTAGCGATTATTTAAACATCCAAATTGTAGGCGTTTTCCACTATGAAAGAACCTAGGTTATTCCCATGCTGGTATATACAGCTTCGAACTGAAATGCTCACCCTGATCAAAAATACAATCTCTATCATTGTGAACAGTCAAGAAGTCCGCAACAATCCACAAAACGTGAACTCATTATACATTCGAATAGAGAGAAAGGTACGCGTATGCTTTTGCTAAAGAGGGATCCATCTCATCTTCTAATGAAGGGTATAAACAATATCCAGATAATGTCCTGCGCAAAAGATTGGTTTAAACTGGCTTCAAGATATCAGCTTTTACGAAAGACCATATACAATACAGATCGGCAAACTGCACAGTTGATTGACGAATTTCAAATCATCGCGCTGACCTTTGGATATTCTCTATCATCAATGAAGCGCAGGTATGTTACAATGCAGAGGAAGTCAACGTACCTAGACGTCAATACTAAATTATATACCCGCAAGCATGATGACCTTTACACATCCAGCTTTAATACCCTTATTCGAAGACGTCTCTATGATGGACGAAGGCATGGAAATCGACAAATCTGCACGCTCATTGTCGATCCAGGTCTTGCGCGAAACGGATGATTGGAACAAAGTGCCTGACATGGAATTGGCCCAGCGAATTGATGTAAGTAGTATAGCAAGCTTAGGTATTGACATGTAAAGGTATAAGGAACTAAATGAAATCAATCAGGCTTTCTCAAGGACTGTTGAGGCTTATTGCATTGGCATTCTCAGCTTATCACTAAGTCTTCCACAAAACTTTTTCAGCAGCCATAAGAGTGTATCTGTACAGGTACGTTTGAAGAAAATTGCTATGCTCTTATTCCACTACAGCCTTTGTAACACATTTTGCTGTATACGACCTAGATGAGCGTGGAGCCTTCGTTGGAGGAGCTTCAACCAATTACGCTTGGATCGGATTCAGTAGAAGTAATGGTGATCAAGTTTGAGGGAATTGTTCAGCGCAGCCGTTGTAAAGGTACAGGGCTATTCTAGCATACCACCTTCAAACGTTTAATTACTTCATTCATTAATTCACATATTATAGGTCAAATAATGAAAGCTACGAAAGCTGACATTGTTTGCTTCACGACTAGCCAACAAATTTCGAATATTGGCGATCAAATGCAAGCTTTGATGATATATGACAATCCAGTGATGGCGCTCGGAGATATGGGCTTAAGCGTAAGTGACGAAAAATGGCAACGAAAAATGGCAAGCTAATCACCTTGGAATATGTAAAAAATTAACATTGTTCTACATAGGCTTGTTTGCTACACCCACCTACCTCATACCAAGCAAACATCGTTAATAACTACTTCTCTACAATGGGGCTTATTCATTTACCGCGGTCGAAGAAAGTAGCAGAGGATACCGGTAGTAAGCGCCCAACGACTGTTGTGTGGGTCAATGTGTTAGTTCGACTAGTTGATGATATGGACAGAGCATGGATTACTGGCCCTAGATATAGTAGACGCGTGATATTACAATGAAACTTTTGATCACACCAAGCCATAGGTTACTGAAACCCAAGCTATACCATAGCATTGTAAACGACGAATCACAAAACTAGTAAAAATCAGTCCGGTTGATAAAGCTTATATACACGCAAGTGTGTTTTATAAAAAATTCAAACTTTTCTAGACAGCAATGATGGTGACGTTTAGAAGTAGCTGATATCACCGAACTTCTCCTTGTAACCGGGAACGGTGAATTGACCCTTCTGGAGGCTCTTCTCGACGTCTTGGATGAGCTCAGGCTTGGCAGCAACGATATCGTCAACCTGTGATGGACAAACAAGTTAAAAATAAGATTCAAAGAATGCAAAGCTGCCATTAGTCCCTTTTACTTACGGTCAAGTGCTCAATGGGGCGAGATTGCTCAATGTTGGCGAGAGTGGCGTTAAGGTCCTTGAGCTCGGCATCGATCTGCTGAACGGTGTTCTGAGCCTTGGCAACCTGTGGAGGAAAATGAGTCAGAACATATAATCTTAAAATGCAGAACGTGATTTCGGGAAAGGGGATTGCTTTGTTGACAAAAGATCGTTCGGTTCGAGGATTCGTTGCCATTCGTACATGTTACACTTTTAATATCATGCTGAACGCTTTTGTGCCATCATATGATGTGTTGAAAGGGATTTTCAAGGCGAGCAGCCGAAGGCGCGAAGTCTGGGTGGAAAATGGTTACTTACAGCTTTAGCCTCGAATTGGTCAATAGCCTTAAGTTGGGCATCAACGTTGTAGGTAGCGGCCTTGAAGCCAGTAAGAGCCTTCTGGGCATCGTCAATGATGGACTGGTTCTTGAGAGCCTTGCGGTAGTGGTCGAAGTCGACATCGGTTCTCTGTTGCTTCAATTCATCGAGAATACGTCTGGCTTCGTCATTACGCTTACGGAAAGCTTGGAGGGAAGCGACAGTTTCCTTGGGCAAGCTAACAGTAAGCTTAGACCAGTCGATTTGCTTAACGGCGGCGCGAGCAGTTGCCATTTTTTCTAATTGGAGATGCTACGAAGGATGCTACCAATAATTTTTTTTTCGTAACCTTTAACCCACAGGGGCCTATGAGCGGGCAAAACATTGACTACGTCACACTCTTGAAAAATTACCCTAACCCAGCCAAGTCATTTAACGTCTTAGGTCGTGCCTTACTGTTCTAAGGCACTATATCGCCTTAACAAAATGTGTTCAGCCAGCAACTAAGTCAAACCGAGGTGTGAAGTAACAAAAGAAAAACACCAAATAAAATTACGAATGAATGTATTTGTGTACGCTTGTACATGGTCATGTACATAACGACTTGGTATAATGAAAATTACAAAAGGGTTTCCATAATTTCTGAAAATAGATAGTTGACTGTGCTCTTATGCTGCGCTTAAGAACATTGTCTGCTTTCTTCTATTGCTAGTGACTCTAACAGGTTTATATCGTCGTCACCAACCAAAGTATCCGATGATGAGGATGAGTCTGATCCACTACGTCGACGGCGTGGTGTAGGAATGTGGTCTTCCGATCTATTGGCCTATACGATATGTCAGGTTGAGCTTGTCCACAAAGGTTCGTAATCCAAACATATACTCACCATCATGTCACGATAATTCATCTGATACTCAAGCAATACTGGAAGAAACCGCCATAAAGAAAATTGTGGCCAGTAGCATTTGACAAATTGAATGTGGCAGTCCTTGCTACTCTATATCCCACAACCGTATCCATGTTACTCAGTACTCTGCATTACACACCAAGGTCTTAGCTGGACCTTACCTGCCATAACAAGAAATCACTTAATCGGATTTCTCCTGAAGTGCGAACGAGTATATCGAGTGGTGGTGATTTGGCAGTGAATAAGTTTTGTTCTATCACATGTTCGTTGATGTCCCTGAAATCAAGGCAAAGGTGTGGTGGGTGAGACAAGGTGTGCGAAAAGGGGTCTTAATATCACCAAATCTACCTTATCCTCATATGACCTTGCTCAACTTTCTTGACGCTATTTCGCATGGCGGTGGATATTTCATCACGGGAGGTATATGGGCAGCATATGTTGAATATTCGCCTAGGAACGCTCCGTTGAGGTTTGAAATTCGAAAGAAGCCAACACCAAACCGATTACCTCTCTACTTACTTGGTATTATGCCTCGTTCGTTCCTCTGTCCTTAACGCTATTTCAGCAACATCCGGAGGTAACAAACTAATGTTGCCAAGAAATCGAACCGCAATACCATATTCCTTGACAACGTCGCTAGTGCAAATCATCAAATATGAGATTTAGTTTGCTAAAGCCGAGTTTCCAAGCATCAATTCATATCCATGACCTACTTTTTCTCACAAAGTTCTGAAAATGCTTCACGAAATAGCTGCATCAGATAATCCACTTCTTCTTTTGAGCGTTTAAAATTCTCAATACTGAAAGCATATACTGTCACTGCTTCCACTCCCAACTGCATGCAAGTCTCTAGCACCTGAATAATGAAACGTTGCATCAATATACAATTGTTGCATGTAAAGCTTTCTCCTGCTCAAATTTTACCTTTTCAAGTTGGCGGAATCCTTCATAATGGCCAAAACGAGTACTAGTTGCACCGTGCGCGCGAGCAAATCGTCGGTTGCCATCAAGGACGAAACCCACATGTCGTGGTATTGGACCTTGCTTGAGAATGGATATAGTAGCTTGCTGTAAGGAATGCTCAAGGTACTCATAAGCCGATGAAAAAAGTGTAAGAGCCATGATGAACAGCGGTGCTTTCAATACAGGCACGAGAAGCTCCACTTTTTTCCTTGATTCAAAATTAAAAATATCCGCACCTGTGTAACATAGTAAAATCACGTGCATTGAATTGCTGATATTACAGGCAGTGCAGACTACTGAGAAAGAAGGCAACCATCATGAATAGTGAAGATGGTAATCCCAGAGATATACAGCTCATATTTCCTTTGTATGCTAAAGAATTAACCATGGAAAATGCAATCGAAATCACTAGAAGATCGTTGCGCCACCACTTCTACACCCTCAGACTGATATACGTGGCCGAAGGGAATCACGATACGTCATGGCTGATTTGCATGCTCTCTCAACTATCACCGATTACAGTTCAGTAACATAGCTATGAAACATGAATTTTGCTATTACGCTGGGGGGGGTTTCATTTTTTACATATGTTCAAAGCTATCAGATACACAAGGTCTGAATCGATACCCTGCCCTGATTTTTGGTTGGTTTTGACTTTTATTTTCACAATTTAGGCAAGAAACTCATGTGCAAGCATTCGGGTCAAGCCGAACCGAACAGTCTCATAAAAGGTATCAATCATGTCCGCCAAATCATGTTCTGTATCTGAAAGACTGTCGATTCGCGTGCTTTGTATATATCGTTGTATGTTTTTGAAATAGGCAGAGTTTCCTCTTGAGAAAACCGTTAGTTGCTCTAGGTAATGCAGAAGTTGGAAGGTATCGTCTTGGTTGAATGATGCATGATCTACAAAAAGAGAGATCATTCAGAACACTGTAACTGGATAGTGAGCACTTGATTATGACTACATACCTTGGAATAGTGGAAGGGCATCGATAAACAGAATTGGCCAAAAGTCTGTTCGTGAAGATGGTAAATTGAATAGTCGTAACAAATGTTGGCCTGCAGCTGCGTGGTCGCCTTCGGCTAGCAGATCACGCAATTGAGCATACAAGAGCAAAAAATCGAAGGATCCACCCATTGAGTCGCTGTTGCCTTTGATTTCCATCAGTTCCTTTGCCGTAATCAATTCTCCTGTAAACGAAGCTCAAAACATCAATCCTGCTATTTTGTAAAGATATCTCCTGATGAGCCATTTCCTTTAACATACCACACACTAGATAGGCGTCCAAAATCTGATCTGAAATTCCAACAACACTGGCGGTATCATTTGCTTTTTGGTAATATTTTACAGCTTGAGTAAAGTTTTTCGTCTTCACACTGCCCTTTGCAGCAATCTATTAAATTCAATGAAGGATAAGGTCAGTTTAATTATTCTCTATTGAACATGTCTGAATGTGCTATTGTCTCTTACTCGGCAGATGGTTTTGTATTGATCATCGAGGTGGAATCGTTGACATGTATCTAGTAATCGAGAAACTGTCACATCATCCGTTGTTGGTACACGCAGAACAAGCTACAAAAGGGTAGGTCAGTCATGATGTTTCAAGCATAAACAATCCACTCCATACTTACTTCGCGCATCCATGACAATCCCTGGGTTGGACAAGTACTGAGGTAAAACAATGCGTGTTCCCAAAGTGAGCCATGTGAAAAGAGAGATTGTGCGTAATTGAGGATAAAGTACTCTCGAAGCTCGACATCATTTTCGTCCACCATTAGGCCTAAATTACTTCGAGTTTCCAACAAGTCAACCATTTCCATGAGGTCAGTCAAATGGGCAACTAACCACCAGTCTTCTGATGCGCAGGCAACAATTCCTTCATAAATTTCACCCAGCATAAACGCTCGACAAGCTTCTGCAGACGTATCGGAAGCATGTACTGGAAATGTTTTGTCCACGAGACGTACTACATCTGCAAGTTCCCGTCGTGCAGTTGATGGACAGGAATATAGAAGAATAGCAACAACAGCATCATTTCGATTGCTGCTGTATTTCATTATTGTATTCCTGTCCCCTGATATCAAATTGAGTGTATCAAGTGCATGAGAGAAGAGGCCTGTTTGATCGGTTTGAGCAGAGCCCTGCAAGGTGAGTTTGAAGTGCTCAACATCCTTGAGCCATTTGGATCGTTTCTTCATATATTTCGTTTCTGCAGAGGCAGAGTAGTGGCTGAATAGTTCTGGCATAGAGTTAAGAATTGATATCAACTCATTAATGATTTTGATAGATGGCGCCGGTATAGTTTTGATAGCATGGCCCAACAGAGTTGTCACCACTTGGGTCTGGCCCCGCAATATTAACCTTGATTGTTGAAAAACATTGAGTCATTGAAATAGAGAAGTTACATACATTTCCACAAGATACTCACTTATATACAAATTCCCAAAAATCGGGATGACTATAGGGATCTGGGTGGTGTATTATGCGCTGCGTATCATATTTCAAAAGTCCAGCTGTAAGTAAACAAGCAAATCAGCATTATGGTTTCCATGACACGCATTGTAATACAGTCAAACAAGTTACATTTGTCCGTCAAGTTCAACCACTCAACAAATTTCTTTGCTATTGGTGCTTCTTTATCATTTTGGAAATAGAGAATTTCACAGAGATGCCATATTGCCACAAATGTGCGAATCGTTTTTCGCTCCTGATCAACCTCTTTTCTGACATCCTTTGGAACCGATGTTGGGTTACAACAAGCCTTACGCTGGCGTTAACGTTGAATATTGATGACTTACTTGATTTAAATGCTTTTGATATTCAATAAGTTTTGTAGTGTATTCAGACGCATATGCATGTAGTGCATCCTGTTTGTAACTTTTGAGGTTTCTGCGAGACGGAGAAGCGTTAAAAATAGCGAAGTCGATGATACTGAGTGACTACCGTAAATTTACCCATTTGTGTGTCGTTTGCCGGTTCCGTTATGTAGCTTGTTGTTGGGACCGTGCAAATTTTCAAAAAGTTTGGCTGTGCTTTCATAAAACTGTAGTTTCAAGCAGATATTAATGCCATGCGACGATGGATTCATTCAGACTGTCTGAATACTAACTGCAAGTCTTCCTGGATACACTTTGCTCCAATCGTGCACCGTAATGAAAGCATCTTTACTATGGTGTGCTCTCTAAAACCGAGTAAAATGGTGAATAGTCTGTACAGAAGTCTGGTCAAAACAATATAGTTTTCTGCTTACAATTTCTTTTGGATATTTGGCAGCTTTGAACACGGCGGCTTGCGATGAAATAGGATTAAGAGTAGCAGTCGTGAACGTGTCTTTTGGTGTGAAGGAATTGTGACCCGAATTATGTAGCGTGGCGAAAGAAGCTGGTTCTATATTTTGTGAGGTGTTCAACGGGAGAGGTTTGAAGTTGAAATGAGCCTCATTCAGCTGCGATCCAGCCTGAGCAAAAGTTTCATTATTGTCGCGTCCACTATGTGCGTTACCGTTGACCTGATTTAGATCCGGAGGCAGAGAACCAAAGTTTGGCAAAGTAATGCCAGGTGAGGTTTCAACGTTATTGGTAAACTGTGACAGATCAAATTGGAACTTGGAATTGAAGTTCTTTGATTTGCCAAACATTTGTTCGCTCGTAACAGTTGACCTCGATCAATTTCACTAACTGCAAGCCTTTTTTGTGAGTTTGCCTTGATTTCCAACACCGATGTATTCAATGCAAAACCAGTTGTGATGTCATAGTACTCATTAAATTTTAATTTGCTACAATAAAGAGGGGGGGTGGTCTTGTCTCATGGAAAAAGATTTTATCAGTAAATTGCATTGCTTTTGCGTGCAATTTAACCTATGGTCGTCAATATTGTTTTATGAATATGACATCCATCAAAGAATATAACAAATGTATTTACATTTTAAGTCGTATTTCAACAATTTTTTATCGAAATGTTCGATTACTTGCAAATTGGCGTAATTCAGTGTCGCTGCACTAACAGTATTGGGGAAATGATGGTGCCATAGAACTTTCTGTGCTGGTTTTTTGTTGTTTCAAAAATTTCAACCTCCATCGCCAGGCTTGTATCGAAGTGCAAAAACTTCCCTGAACTTCTGTGAATTTCTAATTTGGGCAACTATGACACCAGCATCAAAGTTCTATAACAATCTTTGTTTAGACTCAAAAGCCTATTTTACAACCGGCCAAAAAATCGAACATATGTTGCATCCTATTTCTAAATTTTCCACCTCTTAAAACATTTCGCATCTCTTCTTCACTTTCTGCATGGGACCATGATATCCCCTTCGGTTCAGCCTTCCCATGGCTCCGATACCAACATGTCGCAATCAACAATATCAACAAATAACAATATGTCATCCTCTAGCGAAGAAAATCAAATACAAAACTGTACAAGCGAAGCTGGTTCCTTCCCAGAGCTATATCGAAAGACATTGTCATCGGTACCGCCCCATAATTATGGAAAATCAGATGCATTGAACTCTAATTTTGTGGAGCGCTGGGCATCGACGTCCCAGCCTGAAGATGACGATACCGATGTCGATGGTAATATCCCAATGCGGGAAAGGCACATTACTGACACCGATACGTCGTCATCAAGTGGACCGGGTAGCGGAGACATTCTGAGTGATGAAGACCGAGAACGGCTTGGTAGCATACAACGTGGTGAGAATACTGCCATTGTTGGATGGCTAAAAGATATTGGAAATCACAAAAAGCGACAACACCAGCATAATCATGGAGGTAAAATTTTAAATCCTAAAATACGTATGACGCCAAATCAAAGAACCTCCATATTAAGCCTTCACTTTGTAAATCATTGCTTGTTTCAGGTCATGACAAAAATAAGCAGCAATATGTATGCCCTCATCACAAACAAGTTCAAATCAACGGCTACCAAAAACGCAACGGTGTTTCTAATGTTCCCGCTCAGACAAAAAATAGAGCCGACGACGAGGTTGATCTTTCGGGGTTCGAAGACAGTAACAACAGTCAATACGATGGCATGGACAGTGCAACCGGTCCATGTATCGACAGTAGTGAGACTTCAGAGAGTACATCCTCTAAAAGTTTTGAAAGCGACCAGCTTAAGAAGAATACACCTCATCGTAATTTACGAAAGCGGCCGCGCGAAGAAGACTCCCCTGCATGCACTGATATAATCGAGGATCTTACTATAAGAAGTAAACATCTAATTTCATGACAACTACTCTAACTAGACAACTGAATTAACTAACACTGCATTCATCGTATAGACAAGAAACTGAAGAAGCGGTTGAAACGCCTAGAGGATCTGTATCTCGGTCATAGACCCCCAGCTACAAGCGAATTGTTTGAAGTCCGCTATATCTCAATGCCACAGTGAGTTACCAGATCTTCTTTTCTAGTTAAAAAAAAAGAAAACAAGAGACAACACATGCAAGAAGTCATCCTCATTAACGCACCTATATAGGCACAAAAAGCGTGAATTGGAATCATATTTAAGGGAATTTGCCACGCATGTATGTAGCCAGTCTCGCCAATATGAAAATCTATGCTGTCATTGCTTACCCTTTTCTTGCGCAGATTCGTCTAGACAATAGGTCTCCTCAATCCAAAAGCGGCACTAGCGGATCGTCGTCAGAAGGCTTAAACGAGCAACCTTCCCAAACATCGTTCAACTCAATGTTAAAATATAACAACGATTTGGCATCGCAAGGGCTTGCTCTAGAAATCAGTGATTCCCAAATACAACCGACACCATGGACACCTTCGCAGGCACTAATTTGCGAAGTCGCCAACGTAATAGAAGCTACCCTGACCAAGCCCAATTTGCAACAGCGTGATGTCATACGGAGTAACTCAATAGATGGCTGGTTACCACTACAGAGCCTCTACAAAGCCTCCAACGATTTGAACGAAATGAACATCCCACTAAGCTACCTCCGACATTGCTTACGAAGGGGTAGTCGTCATTTAGAATTAAGCAAAGATCAAACCAGAGTGCGTCTGAAACATGTCGTTATGACTGGAGATAGCAGTAACAAAGATACTGGATCTGACTCAACTGGCTCCTCCTTTTCTGGAAACAATGTTTATGGGTCGACATTTTGGTCCCTACGGACCGATGTTCAACCTACTCATAATATAAACCATGACGCATCCTCGAAGACAGCTGGACAAATGCTGTCTGTCAATCATGACGACAGTAGCTATTTCCGACCTTACACACCATGCTTTTCAAATCGAAATGTTGTTTCTTCTGTCTCCTCAAAAGAAGAGTCTGACCCATCACGAAGAAGAACGGACTCGTCAAATTGGTCGTCAGACGATCAATTGATCGCCAATATGACGGTCTCAGATGATTTAACTGATGAAAGCATGGACAAAGAATTATCACGCACACAGCCGTCGCAGAATTCCTACAGTCCCAACAACGATAGATTATCAACTCCGCAGTTTTCTGCTGATGTGACCAAAGTAGCTCCCATCATCTATGTTGAAGGGGGAACATTTTGTCTTGATTTAAGTCGGTTTCAAAAACCGCATGATAAGGGCCCAGAAGAAGATGATATCCCAGAATACGTCCGCAACAGCGACGCTGTTTTAGGAATGAGCTGGGACGAAAATTCAAAATGGTGAGTGAAAATTATAGAAATTGGCAGAAAAATATCGAAAATCGAAAAAAAAACTCAGATTTGCCATCTTCTTTCCCATTCCATTTGAAATCACCAGGCAGGATCTATTTTGCTGGAACTGCGAAAGTAAACGCCACACCCTTCGAGACTGCATTCAAAAATTCGACGATACTGTATTGTGCAGAAATGCATTAGAATTCGCTCGTAGATACCCTGATCATCAATGCAATTTTCGACGTTACTTCGACGAAACTCGATTGAGACAACAAGTCGAAGATATGATTGTTGGCAAGCCATCGGATGCACTGAAGGAAGCACTGGGTGTTTCCAAAGACGATCTCATAATGCCTTACTACGATAACATGATAAAACATGGCTATCCGCCAGGATGGAAAGGCGTTATTCGTAAAGACGTTCATAAAGAAGGCCACAGTATACACAAAGAACCTTCTAACGCCCAAGGAAAACTTAAAGTGTGGGATAACGGGCGACTCGTTCAAATCAGCGCCTATGATAATAACAGTTTACAAAGTGTACCTAACTCTGACATTGCCAAAGCTGGTGGAGACGATGGACCAGTCCAATTTAGGGACGGTACTAGCAAGCCTGTCGTGGATGGCAAAATAGGTTCGCATTACCATGCAGCTGTTGGCGCAGAACAACGCGCAAAACATAGCAACGAACCAAGGATCAAATTGGTCGATTACCCCGGACTTCGCTGGCGCGATGAAGAGTTTAAACCCACTAATGAATCGCAGACGAGTCAGACAGACAGTGGTATTGGCTCTTCTCATGGTGGATCTGAGGTATCCTTCAAAGTTTCTAAGGATCATCCGAATTTGCCAAAAGCAACCAAAATAGTTAACGATAAACGTGAGGATCAATCTCAACCTATCGATACAAACTGAACCTGAAAAACCATATATTAGTTACCAGTGCAATCTTATATTGCCATTGGTAACGCTGTAAATAGCATGTACAAAAATTCCTACATAGACCTTATTTTTCACAAAAAATAAAAAAGAAAATAATGAGAACACAATCTTTTAAATATTTTTTTTTAATGGAAAGATGATGAAATCCAGCGCATAAAGACATCACAAGCACCTGCTCAGGGGTCATTTAAATTGTAGGGGTTACTTTGGGGATGTTAAATACAGGCTGAAATACAGTGTGCAAGTTCATGGCCAGCTATCCAATGTTGTAGACCACGTTGTTGGTTTCAACATACAGAATGGCGTACAAAAGGCCAACCTTTTGATAGTTGCATTCGAGGCGGTCATCCATATGGAGTAGCGCCGCTGATCAATGGCTCTTTACCCCTACCCAATCTAGGGCCCGTAAATAAAAAGCGACCTTAACCACCAACGAATAGAGCGACTTGCTGTTTGCATTTCTTCCGCAGGAAAAAACCTATCGTTGATTTACCATGACTATCAAAGACCCTCTCGACATTAGCCAAGCTGACATTGATGCCCTTAAGCACCGCTATACACAAGCCGGTCAGGGTCACCTTTTTACCTTCTGGCATGATTTAACTCTGGAGCAACAAGCTGAGCTTTTCGGTCAGCTTGAGGACATAGATGTTGAACGCGTCAACCAGATATATAGCAAGTCAATCTCTGGAGGCGCAGTTACTGCAAGTGATAACTTGGAACCTCTACCTGACCACGTTTTCGATTCCGTCCAAACTGCATCTCCCGATAGTATTCGCGCATGGAACGAGTCTGGAATGAAGTTGATCTCTGAAGGAAAGGTGGCTGTCATTCTGATGGCTGGTGGACAAGGAACCAGACTAGGAAGCTCTGCGCCAAAGGGCTGCTATGATATCAATTTGCCATCTCACAAGTCTCTGTTTCAACTTCAGGCAGAGAGAATTTTGCGTTTGCAAAACTTGGCAAAGGAAATGTATGGTGTCAATTGCGAAAGCGTCATTCCATGGTACATCATGACAAGCGGTCCTACTCATGAACCTTCGTATCAATTCTTCAAAGCCAACAAATTCTTTGGTTTGAAAGAAGAAAATGTTACATTTTTCCAGCAGGGTAAGATTCGGTCGGACCTATAGTGGCTACTAAACCCCCTTGTTACTCTCAATCTAACGATATGTCTACAAACTATTTACAGGCACACTGCCATGCTTGACTATGGAGGGAAAAATCTTGTTAGAAACTAAGCATCGAGTAAGCTATTCTATAACGCGTTGCAAGTTTATAAGTCATCCACAACCTAACTTTTTTCACCTCCTTACTAAGGTTGCTATTGCTCCAGACGGCAACGGTGGAATTTATCAAGCTTTACATAAAGAAGGAGTCATCAAGTCGCTGAAAGATCGTGGAATCGAATTCTCGCACTGCTACTGTGTGGACAACTGCTTAGCTCGTGTTGCCGACCCTACTTTTATTGGCTATTGCGCGTCTAAGAGCACTGACTGTGGTGTCAAGGTCGTCGGAAAGAGTTCCCCCGATGAGCCTGTCGGTGTTGTCTGTCTACGTGATCAGAAGTATGGAGTTGTTGAATACTCTGAAATATCGCAAGAAGTCTCAGAAATGCGCAAACCCGATGGAAGTCTGGCATTTGGAGCTGCCAATATTGCCACACACTTCTTTTCCACGCAATTTTTGGAAAGAGTTCCAGAATTTGCTGATGAGCTAGAGTATCATATTGCCAAGAAGAAGATTCCTTCCGTAGATTTGAAAAATGGAGACCTTTTGGCACCCAAGACGCCAAATGGAATGAAGTTGGAATGCTTTGTTTTTGATGTGTTTGCCTATGCCCACAACTTGTCAGTGCTGCAAGTCAACAGACTGGATGAATTTTCACCTTTGAAGAATGCTCCTGGAACTGGTGTTGATTGCCCTGAAACATCACGTCGTGATATCATCGCACAACATGTCCGCTTCATTGAAGATGCCGGTGGTAAGATCATATCACAAGGCAAAGGTGAACATACCTTGGAGCTATCGCCACTCGTGACATACGCTGGTGAAGGTCTAGAAATCGTCCGCGGAAAGACTCTGAACACTCCAGCTATCATTGAATCCAGGGAAGACTTGATTCGTTGTTTTTTGTGAACCTTTAAATTGTAGGTCAGTTGAGTCCTGCTGTGATGAAGCTCAGTCAGGAATCTCATTAGCGAATATTCCACATAACCAATAAAGATGGATGCCACCAGTGGCAAATGCAACCTTTTATTTTTTGGATATTGGTGCAGAAAACTAGGTCATGTACATACATAGACTCATTTGAGAATACAAACGCTCTGCTGGCTTCTCTCTTTCTAATTCACATTTTAAAGTAGATTTCTTTGAGTTGATCTTTTATTTTCTAATCAAAAGTATTCACAAGTTGCTAATAAAAAGTAATTTTCCCGTTCCTTACAGCTCTCATGATAAATTTTGCAAGAATATTCGTCGAGCGTTCGTATTGTTACGTCCTTTACGCTCTATCAAATTCTCCATCTGATTTGATGTACCTTTCAGCAGCGTATTATCATCTTTTTGACTCCACATCAGACGAGTCAGCTCTTCTCGATCGCGTTGAAGCACTTCATATCGAGAGGAGGAAGACCAACTATTTGACTGCCGAGTTGGTTGATTCTTTTGCTTCAAGCGCATTAAAAACGCGCGCGCAACATCCCAGTCACCACTGCTGATCCGCAAGGTAGTCAGTACCTGCATGGCATCCTTGTCAGAGTCCATCATTAGACCCCTTAGATCGCCAAGCCAGCGTCGATGATCTTGATCCTTAACATCCTGGATGCGCTTGTAGGTGTGCAGCTTCATCGCACTGCTGATATGCCTCGCTTCTTCTGCCGCAAATGCAGTAATGATGTGCCCAGTCAGTGCCGGAATTTCGGACGATGCTCTAGCTGACGGAGTGATAGGGTCTTCAGTACGGTGTCTTGGTGGTGTTTGGTCCGATCCGCCTTCCCGCTGATTTTGCTTATATCGTTTGAATATTTGTGTGCTGTTTCCGTCGTCATCGTCATCAGAGTTAATATGAAGCCCTGAATCGCTATCTACTTTGCGCTTTGGTTGTTCATGCCCCTTAATCCATGCATTATCACTGTTCACCGATGTCCGATTTAAATCATGGCCGTATGGAGAGTATGAGGGTATAGATTGACGATCATGATGTGATATTGTATGAGCACTTAAATCTTTATCGTGGTCATCAACGGTTGAGGACGGTAATGAAGGTTGGTGGGTTGTCACTTGATGCACGGATTCAGTAACGTTGCTTTCATGGTGGATTTGATCTTCATCTGCCTCTGTTCTACTATTGCTATCTTGTGGAACGGTCTTATCGTGTTCAGCATTAGCAGCTGTAAGATCGATGACGTCCTCTTGTGATGCGGTAGCGACATCCATTTGCTCAGTGTGAGCTTTTGTTTCAAGGTCTTCCTTTGAACTGGCATCCATTTTCCTATTCATTTTTATGCGTATTATGTTGCGGCGATCTGGCTTTTCAAGCAATTCCTCACTACTAGTTGATGCCCTTTCAACAATAGAACGGCTTTCAATTTCCTTTTGCTGATGGCCACTTACAAATAGCGGCGACTCTTCTCTGCTATGATTTGTTGTAGCTTCTGATGTGGAGTCCTTTTTGCTTTGGCTTCCTTGCGTTTTTCCAATTTCAGCAGGCATTGAAGGTTCGGAATTTGAAGTATGGTTTGCATGTAGAGAGGTAGCGACCGCCAGTAATTCTGAGATAAAGCCTTTGGATCCATGTGACGGAGAGCTTGGCTCTTGATCGCTAGTATCGTCTAGGTCGTTGTCTGACTCTCTTGGTCCAACCGAAGCGCCTGTTGCGAGCCTTTTCTTTTCTTCTCTCGACAAGTTCTTTTCCATATACCGAGACCAGTGGTTCTGCCATGATTCAGCAGTGTGCTGTGGATGCTAAAATTACAACATAAAAAGTGAGTTTCCCGTCCCAATCTCGTTAACAGAGAATCATTACAACTGTCTCACACGTGTGTATCTAAATTACCTTATCACTCAATATTTGGAATATAGAAAGACCTTTCCGTAGTCGAAAGTTTTCTACACGCATCACCCAATCTCGCAAAATTCGCTTGTCTTTCGTCGTATATGGATTCCTTCTTTGGATAGCTGATTTGGGACTAGAACTTCATTTGAATACACGATATTAATTTTCAGCCGAGTAGGAACTGAGCAAGTATCATTGAACTCACCTATTCTTGTTGGGGTTATTTCTTGAAGGCTTTTTAAATTGGTCAGTGGACAGTACTTCCTTTCTGCGGTCACATTCGTATATATATTGAGGATCGACCTGTCCTTCCGATCCCCCCGCGGAATCATGTCCACCTATGCGAATGACATGTTCCTCAGTATGGGACAGTGTCAACGATCCACCATTGTTCTATAACTTTGCGTTAATGCATTTCTGGCGAGAATGGCAGCGTGTAGCATTCAACAAGAGAAATTCCTCAACAACATACCTTAATGAGCTTCACAAGGTGATCTTTTTCAGGTTCGCTGTCAGCGATGTAGAACTGGAGATCCTTAAAAATACCAGGTGTTGGCATAACGGTGATTCAGGGCCTTGTGCCGGTGAAACAACTGAATGGCAGACGAGGAGAGTCACGTCGAGGAAAATCTCCCAAAATTTTAATGGTGTACCTATGCCAGAGGCAATTTCGGTTTCACGAAGTGATAATCCATGCTCCAAAATCAACAAGGACAAAGCTAACGTTTAGTCGGCCATAAGCATTGACTTTTATGAAGTACGATTCATGCTGATTGTTATAATCGGAGCAAGGAATTGTGGGTATGAACCACTTTTTTTTCGAAATGTGATTCTTTCTTGCTGACTTGCTGTCCATGATCACGATAACTTATTTATGGATAAGCATCCCATCATGAGACGCGCCGAATTCTAGTTATACTTTCATACATTCGTGTTAGCTTTTATTTCACAATTTTGAACAATGTAAGGGTTTTCTACTGATCCAGGAAAGATTTGAAGTATGACATTTGTGTAATCCACATATACTGATATGTGTTGTAAGGTATCCGGCCAACAAAATAGACCGCTCCCTTTCACAGGTTGCCATCTTGTCGCTTGCACCCGGGATCAACGTAGGCGGACGCATACAATCGTTACATGAGAATTTCATTATGGAAAGAAGCCTTGAGCTCCTTGTGGGGCAGAACAATACAATTTCGGATAATAATCTCGTCCTTAACAGAGACCTCCTTTCCGAGGATGGTGATGCTTTGGCTCTTGATACCGTTCTTGGTCACCGTTGTAGAGTGGCCTTGAACAGGGCTACCTTCCACACGCGCCCATGCACCAATACGGCTGTCCCAGCCAACAACAGCGTGGAGGACGCAGCTTCCAGACTATTTCAAAGAATAAGTAATGTCAGGTTGGATAGAGTCGTAACCTAGAAAAAACCGTAAGAATGTCGACGAAACTTACGTTTACAACAACATTGTCCAAGACAATGGCATCCTTAATACGCACACCCTTTCCGATAACAGCACGTGGCCCGATGGATACATTAGGACCGATCTGAGAGATATTAATGAGCAATTTCACAATGTCTTGTACATAAATTCAATATCATTACGTACCTTAGCAGTTGGATCAATTGATGCAGATGGGTGGATATAAACAGCACCGACTATCTCAGGGCCATTGGGTTGCTTCTTTGCCAAACGCTCTGGTGCCTCTGCAGCGCACTGCTCAAGGTAGGCTGCGTTGGCAGGTACGGCAGATCTGCAGGAATAGGTTAGATGACTGACTCTGTATGTTCCTTAACCTGATCCCAAAATTTAGCGAAATATTTACCCTGCAGTCTTGATTTGTCTCCAAAAGTTTTGTGTTTCAAAAACATAAAGCTTTCTTCCCTCTGACAAAGGTCGTAACAAATCTTGTTCAAGACGGAGGCGATCATCGGGAGCTGACCAGAGGTAATCGTTTTCTTCATGAGCGTTCTTCTTATTATCAAGGGCATTCTTGATCTCGCTGAAGACAGCACTATCAAACAAGTAAACACCGCACGAGATCAAGTCAGAAATGAAAGAGTCTGGCTTTTCAACATAATGCAAGACTTCATTGGTTTCTGGTCGAGCAATGAGACAACCAAATTTGTTGGCTTGCTCACGAGGAACCTAGACAATGCACAAATATAGGATGAGATCAAACGAAGCGATCTTCCACCATAGTAGTTCTACTTACCTTTGTGCCAAGAAGAGTGCAAAGACCACGATGCTTAGAGTGAGCATCGAGCATACCTTGCAAAGGAAAGGCACACGCGATATCAGCATGGATGACGAAGAAAGACTTTGGGTCTCCTCGAAGAATTTCATCACGGAAGTGATAGATGCCTCCAGCGGTACCAAGAGCTTGATATTCACGAAGGTAGCTGTAGTGGATCAATATGTATTAGAGGCTGGCAGGAGACAAACTCGGGACACCACGTCAAACTACGCAGTGCTGCCACCGTACTCGAAACACGTACCGAACGTTGATGTTGGGGTAGTCAATTGCAGCTTGGTTGATGAAGTTGGCAAAGACATTATCCTCAAAGAAACCAATGATGAGAACTTCCTTCAAACCTTCGATCTTTGCTACAGCAGCCAAATGATGAGCAATGATCGGAGCGCCAGCAACAGGGAATAGAGGCTTTGGCACATTCAGAGACAAAGGGCGGAAACGAGTTCCTCTCGATGGGCCGCCGACTAGAATAACAGCTTTGTGCATTTTGTACAGTTGTAACGAACGTAGCTTTGTACAGGGCGGGAAACGTGGTACTTTACTGGAAAGTTGAATTTCATGAAGCGGGCTAGCGGACCTCAAGTGTCAGCCAATGAAAGAGAGCTTCCTGGCCGTCAATTTACTTTAGTGGACCAAAAACTACAGAATCTTGTATGGCAAAGTAGACACACGGTAGGGTTCCAAGTTTGGGTGTGCTTTTCGCTGCTTCATAAACGCTTGCGATGCTGTGTTATATTTTACTTTGGCGGAGAGGATATGTGGACGCCAGCATAAGTATTATGAGTTAATACCATGTTTGGTCAATCAGAACATGCTTCTAGACTTTTAGCGGCGTAGCAACTCCTTGTCTCGTTCCCAAAATCCGAACAAAAGCTCCACAGTTTGCGTTTTATTCTCATCTTCAGATCATGAGTAATGTCAGCTCTCAAAATGAGCCCCGTATGTCTCAAATACTTCCCACTGTCAAGTGCTCTGACTGTGGACGTCAAGTTGAATTGAGAAAACTTGCCATACACTTGTGTTCTAGTGTTCCTCCTGTCCCATCCTTTCCTAATACCAGAGGTTTTAGAATATTCATTACACGGATTTCTGTTCAATTGAATTAATATTGACTGCGCTTTATTCGTTATGTAGGCGTGCCGGCTGCCAATCCACCACCACCACTTGACAATCGAGGTAAAAAAAAAAACTTGTGTGTCAATATTTTTGTGCCACTTTTGAAGGGGCAACAGAAAATATCCGTTTGTTATCATGATTATATTGATAAACTATCCCTTTAGATTACAAACCGAAGCCTGCACCTGTCGATAGGTATGCTCCGAAAAATAACTATGAAGGCTATGGTTCTTACGACACACGACCGACCCCCGATCGAAAACCTGAAGCGTACCTGGCTCCAGATAGAGCGCGCCCACATGACGTCCAGTCGGCCCCACGCTCACCACGAAAACCTGCCGCAAATGATTACTACTATGGTCCAGAAAGCAACACGAAAAATCCTCCAAGGGAAAGGGAGGATCAGAGGGACTACTATAACGGCGGTATTCGTAAAAATAGCACTTCTCCTTCCCCTGCTCATCGCCAAGTGCCGGCATACGACCCAGAACCCACTCGCTCACCTGATAACTACGGAGCCTCACATCAACAGAAGAGAAGCGAAGATCCGTATGGGAAAAAGGATGATTCCTCTTACACAGCTCATGGCTGGTTCGATGACGGTAAGTAATAGTGGGTGGCATGGCATGGCATAGGGATCGTTGATACATATAAGGCAAGTTCATTAAAGTTTTTTGGCTTACCTTACGTACAACAGAGGATTATGAAGATATTTACAACCCCACTAGCGATAGCGGTGGTGCGTTGGATTCTTTGGTGAATGACTTAATGTCGAAAATGTCGACAGAGGACCAAAAACCGGCGCCCAAGGCTGTTCAACCAAACACTCCACTACCTGTTGCAAATAGTTGTTCGGCGTGCGGCAAGGGGATTTCGCGTAGTGAACAAGTGGTGAACATGGAAAGTCGGGTAAGGAAAGAGATATGGAGGGATTTAGGTATACCGTTTCATGGTCACTAAGAATATTTGGGCTTGTAGTGTTATCACCGTAGGTGCTTTCACTGCGCTCTGTGTGCGGTTGAGTTCAACGATCGGCAAACATGTTACGAACATGAGGGAAAGCTATTCTGCGAACGAGACTACCGTGTGGTCAAAAAGAGGGTTTATTGTTCCGGGTGGTAAGCAAGAATTATCTGTATAGGTGAAGTGAGTAAATTTTGACAACCGATACTGATCGATCCTCACACAGCGACAAGCCTCTTACTGCACATCAAGAAAGCATGAAAGCTCTCGGAAAACAGTACCATGTTGGACACTTGCAATGTTACCATTGCAGACAGCCTCTCAATCCTAAAACGATTGGTTTGGTAGAGCATCAAGGTCGGGTGTTCTGCAGAGAGGATTTCAAGCACCTTTTCTTGCCAAAATGTCGTAGCTGTGGATTGCCGGTAGAGAAAGAGGCCGTTTCTGCCTTGGATGGAAAGCTGCAAGGAAAGTGGCATCGAAATTGTTTCGGTTGTCAGGTGAGATATATGCGTGATACGGTGGAAAAGTGATTTTAAATGGCCTGCTAACGTTCAGAGCCATAGACTTGCCACAATGCGTTCCCCGATAATACTTTTTATGTCTACGACGGTGCACCTTATTGTAAACGACATTACCATAGACTGAATAATTCGCTCTGTCGATCGTGCGACGAGCCAATTGAAGGTCCATGCGTACAGACAATCGAAGGTTGGCGTTACCACCCAGTTTGTCTCTCATGTTCGGTATGCATCCCTCTTATTATTTTGAAGCTATGACGATCCAATTCTCATGATTTGTTCACGTCTAGGTCTGCCGCATTCCGATCACCGATGTATACTACATTCACGAAAATAGAACCTATTGCGAAACACATATGCTTCAATTGCAGCGCTCGCGGAACGTTCGCGCAGAACGTAGACAAACCATGTTCAAAAACCTGTAGATATAGCCTTTTTAAAAAATTTACTGCCGTCCTATATTTTTCCTTTTATGATAATTCTGTGTTCTTGTAACTGTTCTTTTTGTTTTTTTTTCTACCGTAAAAGTAAAAAATGATATCCAATCATTCTTTTCTCTTATTTAAAGTGAAGCCAAGTAGAGGGTGATAGCAGCAGAGCTACCCAAGACAGCATAACCAGTCTTGTACACGCCATCGACGGTCAAGAAGCGGCCAGTATCCCAAATCTGAATAAAAAGATTAGTCAATTGGATACGGAATGGAAAATTTTCAGTTCCGTAGGTACTCACCAAATGTCTGACACCGTTCAAGCAATGGAACACGAATGGGAAGGCAACGGTGGTCTTGATACCGACCTTCGCGACGACAGGAAGAGAAGCAACGGAGGCGACAATTGCTGAAGTATCAAAGTTGTATCCAAGGGCGGGAAGAGCAAGGTATGAAAGAGCACCAACGTAAAAACCTAGTAGTTTGCTTTGGAGGTTAGAATTGAACTGATGTGGCCGTATTATCCCACGGCACGTAAAACTCACCAGCACCGACAGCGCAACCGGTGATTCTGTGAAAACCAGACATAAGCCAAGTCAGCTGAGGTTGGTAGATAGTCAAATGGGGAGATTTTGGTCGAACTAATCGCTGCTGTCTGAGAAGCTCGGATTCAGCATCAGGTGACTGTTCCATTGTAGAAGGGGTAGCACGGAATGCTCTATTGTCGTAAATGGAGTATATGCCAAATGATAGTCAGAATTGTAGCATCAAAAGCATTGGTGTTTACGATATAACGGTATCTGACAAAAATTGGATCATACCTGATGCCAGTGGGAACGGCAGAGGCATTCTTGAAAAGGGCAGTTCTAGCCACGTCTGTTGAATTCAAGTCATTAATGAGACGTGTGAGGTTGAACAAACTTTTGTGAAAACTGCAAAACTTAAGATTCTTTTCATATAGCCCTTTACTTACTCTGAGCAACGATGCTGTTCACGGCGCGAGTAGCGAACATGTTCGGTGTCTTTGGGATAGACTTGTTCTTGCAGTGAGGCCTGGCAATAAGCGGACGATTTTGCTGACATCACGGCTTTACGGAAATCACATGTCTCAATTGCTCAGCGGCCGAGATTTTACGAAGCACGTGACTGCCCTGATTCCGATGTTTGTAAAGGAACAAAGAGAGAAATATCGGCTTGACAATCGAAAGGATTAGTTTGCAGAACCTCTTATACCTGCTTTTTCAATTCTTATGAAAAAGGTACGATAAAGGCAATATATACAGTGAAATGAACACCTGAGCATACAAAATTTGCCCTACCTTAAAATGCCTAGAAATAGATGGTAGCCTTAAGTTTCCAATTGATTCGAAGTGCAGCAGTAACAGTTAGGCTCAAAGTGAGTTTGTATGATGATGCCATCTCAATATTGTAATCTTTTCCTTTATTTAGGTTTTGTAGCAGTTTAATCAGGTCCTTTGACTAATGAAAATCGCCAACAAACGGGTCTTGCATTTTTTCAGCACCTTCTACTTCCTTACGATTGGGCCGCCAGATCACGCGATCTTAAGTACTTTCGTAGAGGACAATGATCTACCACCTTATTAAGCACGGCTTACGGCTCGCCCTACTTATTCAATGATTTGATAACGCTAATTAAGGTTTGTGATCAGTCGGAAAGTAGTTCGGGTTACGTGCAACATACCTATTCGGATGACCGAATACTTTTCTCTTGTCTGTAGTAATGTGTGACAGACAGTATTTGCTGTGACGTTTTTGATCGAAGTTCCCATTTTCCCAAGCTTTTGGGAGAGATGGTTGTGTCAAATATTGAAAAAGTCAAGTTGGCTCGAGATATTATCCTTCTCAGGTCGTACCTCGGACATTGTCGGGAATATATGTGAAGACTAGTATCTTCACTGGTGAATGAAAAATTGACCATTGATGGGTGATGCAGCTCGATAATTGTTAATTAGTATGTCTGAGAAGCTCTCCTCCCCTGAAACTATTGGTGCTAAACGCGTGGTTTGAAGAGGCATGAGTACTGTCTGTGAGTACGCATTAGAAGTAAGGTTGCAAGTAAATTGTTGGATGGGGAAGCATTCCTTACGACAAATCCTACATGACGGTCAATGCATCCCCAGTAGATCAGAAGCTGGGCTATAGTTCACTGTGTTCACTATGATGTTCTCAAAAGATAAATTTCTAAGCGACATCACATCATACTACAAATGATATTAAATGGACCGTCCCAGATCCTATCCCGCAAATCGGTGTGCAATAATTCCCATCAGCTGAGGATGAACTCTGAGAATTTTCTCACTCATGGCCATGCCAAGCCCGAACAGCAAGCAGCGGCGATCATCTTGGTGATCAAGTTAAAACGTCACGTTGTCATTTAGAAACTTTATCAATTAAACTACCTTTAAGTCTGATTGTTGGTTCTTATGGTGCAGCATGATAAAGCAAATCCCATTTATTACGCAGTTGAGAAACTTTCTAGCACTGCTGCTTTAAAAGAAGATAGTGAACTTCCCCGAGAACATAGATCATCTGCGATTTCAAGAAGCTTTTTTGTAACTTGTAGATTATATCAGTTGGTACCACCACATGCATGTGCCAAAGTATTTGAGAACTTTTTTTAAAAAAAATCCTGTCATGCATCGGTTTGACTCCACCCTGACCGAGCAATCATTCGATATTTGCAAATAGGAAATAGAATTTTGTGCCAGTTTTAGTCTGCAGACTAAACGGTATTATTATCTTTTTAGGCGCCAGCTTCCACAGTCAGCACCTACAAAGGGAAGAGCGAGCTCAAACTGGAGTCGAATGATGTTCCGTCATTGCCTTCTTGCTCAAAAAAAGTCTCCAGTTTTCCAAATTCTTCTTCTATTTAGTGCTTTTTTTGAGCTTATAGCTTTAACAGCTCATCATGAATCTGAGATGTTCTGGCGTTGTAAGACAAATAGTAGTACCTCGCACCACATTTGAGGTTATGTCCACACCACCTCCACCAGCACTGTTACGTTTCTATGCTATAAACCTAAGCATACGAGTATGTCTATCGTTATCGCATGCAGTGTAAACCTGGCCCGTGCGCTCATTGTCTTCTACCAACCATTCTCAAATGTTACGGCTCATGATAAACTTACAGACGTAGTATGTTGCAACTCATGTATTATGTGGGTCCTGAGGTTACCTAAATAATCTACCCAAATTTTCAAGTAGTAACCTGACTTTCTCATTTCTAGTATCCCCATACAATAAAAGGAACCGCAAAGAAAAAAAACTCTATAATCCATAATCGACGTATTTGGTTTGTTGGGTGTGGCAGACGAGCGCGAACCTTTTTTTTTTTAAGACTGTCTTTAAAAGCCGGCTACCACACGGAAAATTTTACTGCAACAAAAATTTTGTTCCTTCGTCTTGGGTATAACATGGATTCGCGCAGACCACGACCAGTCAATCCAATACCACCTCAAGTGCCACCTCAACCTCAAAATCCTCCAGATACCACTCATCCTCCAAGACCACCTAGAGCACGCTCCAGAATGTCTTCAGTCAAACTAATGCTCTCTTCACTGTGGTGTTTTACATCTTGATATTTTGCTATCAGGAACTAATTGCACCAAAATTACCCAGACTCGAAATTGTCCAACACACAATTACAACATATTTCGTGGTAACCTTGAAATAGATCAGAAAGCACTCCCCGTTGAAGTTGTAAGACATTAACATTCGTGCTGCACACCTAAACGGTCGAGAAACAGCCGTGCATCTGACTTCAAACTCGATACCCTGGCCATGTAAATATTAGCTGTAACGAATCTTTTCGTTACAAAAAAAGACTTTCCCTGATGCATTTTCCATGCTTTGGCTAAACCAATAGAAGTTTCTCGGCATAATAAAAAAGAGAGTAATGTCATTCTCTCGGACTTAGCTATTGTCCCACACGGTCTGAAAATGGGAAGCCGTCGGGTGCTACGATATGTTGACACTTGTCTTGCAACACCGTGTGTTGCATCACACTGGTTACTAGGAAGCTATGCAATCAGCTATTGGCTCACCTGATTTTGTTTGAAAATAAAAAAAAAAAAAGAGAGAGCTAAAAATGGCGCAATCCCTACATCTCCAATATACAAGCAAACATCCTCCGGTATTATGAAATCAATTGAGATGTATTTTTCACCTATATGAGCGGATCCTAGTTTCTAATTGTTCTTTGAAATTGTTTACATCCAGTGTCATTTTTGAGCACCAAAAGCAGTAATGTACCTCGCTTTTGATGATTCAGAAGTATGCGAGCCAATGGTTTGGAATCGATAAGAAGGAACTCTATTCTTATAATATACCCTTGAACCAGTTGACATCACGTTGATTTTTTACAAGCGCAGTATGGCCATTAGGATTATGCGTATCAACACCCTGCCGGCGCCATTTTCCTTCGTGGCTGATTTGTGTACACCACACATGTCACAAAAGCTCGCATCGCTGGATATGGCAGTATAGCGAGATTTTCAGGAAACGAAAGAGATAAAACAGAAAAAAGTAACTTGGTGTAATGGGTACATTTAAACTTGCCTACTTTCCGACTTAAAGATCGGGCAAGAAGCGCTGCATTCCCTGCTTTGAAGGTGACCGGATATAAACCAAATTGAGATATCGCGTCATCCAAGGGATGGGCGATCAGGTACCCTGCTTGGTATAGCAACATTTTCGTGTAGCATAAACCTTTTTTCATCGGTCACACACAGACGAAGTCAACCAGAAACCAGTTTGTGCGATGGGCGTAAAGAAACTCATTTCATCCAACTTTGAAGCTAGCTAGCTTCGTAAAAAGTTTAGTCGCTAATTAACAAGTGCAAGTAAGGCAGCGCACCAATGCATCTTGTTTCTTTTACCGCGTCACGTCATGGAGTACAAATAACGTGTGCTGTCGCATTCTAGAGCCCACAAAATCGGATGTCTCTCGCTCACCTACAGTTGGAAGTTATACGTCGGCTGATATCGATAAATGGTATTCCGTCAAGTGATCGATATAATTGTAATTGTTCCGATTTCTTTCTACACGTTTCTTTCTAAGTTTTTTCGTGTGAGCGAGCGCTTCGAAGCCGAAAAGAATTAAAAATTTCTCTCGAATATTGTCAGCAAAAAAATTCTCGATGTCATTGCTTTCGCTGTGCGTCAGTGAAGAAACAGTTACGTACCCTCTATTAAGATTTTTGCTTACAATTGCAAGCCTGCAAGTAAATTTTGTTGACGTGCATGATATCAACAATAAAAAGCTGCATTCAAAAAACCATAATCTTATCACATCACTTGCAGCAAGCGTGAACCAGTACGCTTTTTCCTTGCGATCTTGAAGCTATGAGCAAGCCACGTAGTCAGCAGTCTATAGAACATTCTGTAAAAGATAAGAGACGATGTATAACGATGTCTGTTCAGAACATTGCCTGAGCTTCGCGTCAATTACACTGTCCTTTCCATAAGAATCCATAGCACGTTCCACTTTATTCCACCAGTAGAAAACTCCAGCGTAGATTGCATACGCAGGCTATTTTCCAGCGAAGACATAGAGCCACGCTGATTTGGGGTCACGCTCTCGATGAAAAAACAACAATAAAGGGCATATCAGAAGAAGTTTGAGTCATATAACAGCAAGTGTAGCCACCTTTTTACTTATGTCTGTAGACACTGATTACCTACTTAAAAACGTTGGCTAGTACCCCTACATTGAACTGCTGTATTTAGGGCTAGGCTCTTCATTTGGAACACAACATACAATGGTAGTGTTCGTTATCGTTATGTAGGTCTCATGAGCCTTCATGATCACACTCACTCGCTTTGTGTGAGTGGGTGACGTTCAGTCAAATCACTATGTGAAGATGTCCATAAGGAATATGTATTTGTAATATAATAAAAAGGAACTGTGTACAAGAAACAGGATTGTGAGAGCAAAAGGATACAAGTAAGGTTTCAGGCCAGGATTTTGCAGCAGTCTCCCACTGAGCGTTTACTGTGTGGGGCCATTTCTAGACAGTCACATAATGGAATTTCGCAGCTACTGTCGCCCCGACTCAATACAACTATCTCAACGACATGGCTGATCAAGGGTGAGCTTCTTTCATGTATGGGTATTATCATATGGAACGTCACTAATCAAGGTCCTTCATTGAAAGGCTTACGCAGGAGGACTTTCGTAAGTTATTACAAACTCCTAGAGCATCTACGAGCAATGGAGAGCCAACCAGCAATGCTGGTAAGAAAACATTACTAGCAAGAGCACCGTAAGTTTGTAGATACGTTTCCCTATATTCAATAGATACTAAATAAAAATATGTAGGAGAAGCGTTGGCGCAACTTTTGCGAAACCGGAATCCGTAAAAAAAAAGAAGTAAGTTCCATATAGGATGTCTTTTTTCTGTACCAAACTTTCACTCACGAAAACATTATGTTAGGTTCCGAGAACGAGACAACACGGAAAGACCTGAGAAGGAACAAGATGATAACTATCGAGATCGAGCGGCTGAGCGAAGGAAGGCGGATGATGATGACATTACGGCAAACAGTTTGCTTCAGCAGTTGAGCGAAGATGGACAGGAGCTAGATCAAAAAGCCATTTATGAGCAATCGAAATACCTTGGAGGAGATACAGAGCATACGCATTTGGTCAAAGGTCTTGACTTTTCCCTTTTGGAACGCGTTAGACGACAAATGAAAGGCGCAAAAGAGGTCGAAGAAGTTGAAGGGGATGCTGAGGAAGACCTGGATGAAGCACTTGTGTCGAAGATAGATGATGATCAAACTACAGAGGTCGCACCACAGAATGAACCAGAAACCGCGGATGAAAATGACAAAATTGATATCAAGGCACCCATGGCACGACGAATTTATGAGAAAGCAGTAGTTGACGCCGGAAACAATCCACCCCTGAAAAACGAACTCTTTTTCGCTGGACGAATGGCATTTGTATTCGAGTTAGCCGACGAACGGGGGAACTACCGTGCTCCATTTGACATTCCAACCTCAGTTATCCGAAGCAAAGCTGACTTATCACATAGAGGTACCAAATCAGGTGCAGAAGATCTAGAAGCTGATGCTCAATTGGTCATTGGAAAAGTGGTACAAGTCATTGCCAACTTCAAGAATGGTGGACAGAGTTCTGAAGACACGCCGAAAGATGAACCACCCCGGAAGAAGGCCAAACGTGAGCCATCACCACCTAAAATGATCGTGGCAATGGATGACGACGATGACATATTTGCTGACGCTGGAAGAGATTATGAACTGGATGAAGACGAACAAATGGCAGAAGACACGACTGAGAATAAGTTACCTTCAGGCAATTATTTCCATGGCATTGCGAAGCCGGAGAATGAGGATGAATATCAAGAGGAGACAGAAGAACAACGAAAGCAGAACATAGCTAAAATCCTTGCAGCATCAGCAGCTATGCATGACGAAGGCGAAAAGCAGAAAAATGCAGAAAACATGAAATCAAAACTAGAATCGACCGAAATGCAAATGGATTTAGACGCAAATGATTACAATACCTTTGGATTGGGTGCTGACGCTTTACCATCCTCTCTGGATGAATTGAAAAAGTCATTCGCATATGAAGCTGACTATGACGACGGTAACGAGGAAACGTCATCATCTTTAATTGACGCAGGCACACATCGAAATAAGAAAGCCCAGCTGACTAGATGGGATTTTGACGACGAAGAAGATTGGCAGCGATACAAGGATAATTTGGAAGTATTACCGAAAAGCGCTATGCAGTATGGTGTTAAAATGAGCGACGGAAGAAAACGAAATAGAGAGCAAAGGAAACCACCAAGTGAAAAACAGAAACTCGATCGGGACTGGCAGCAATTGAAGTCGTTTATGGATAAGAAGCGCGATAAATAGTAATAGTCTTTTGCCTTTTTTTTTCCTGATCGTTCGATTGAATACAGCAGTATTTGAAGCAAAGCATGGCATTGCGGAGTTTCGTGACGTCGCGAAGAGCGGTCGCAACTGTACCCTTTTTCGACTTGTTGGAGGCAACCCTCTTTTTTGTTTTTCAAGCTATAGAGATCTTTCTATAATTCTTTCTCTCCCTCTTCTTCCCCATCTCTTACATATATTTTTCTTCACATAACAATCTTGCAAGCTTCACTATCGTTTTTATCTATTTGCTACCTTTGTCTCACCTTCTTTTGACTGATTTTGAATTCCCTGGTTACCTCTCGGCTTTCGCATGTCCACCGTGACAGTAATGATTGCAAATCTGGTCACTTTTGCTTAATTGAATATTACTTTGACGACCCACACATAGGTTTCACTACTACTGGAGCAAAGCTTATACCTCGGCGAACCGACTAACTGTATCACTCGCACTGTCCTCCACCCCCGAATCGCGACCAGCTCCCTGGACGATAACCTATACCGACTTCCAACCTATTCAGACATGTATGTTAGGCAAAGAGCATTTCAATTTTCAGTTTCCTGTGTTATTATGTATATGTTATCGTCGGCCTCTGGAACAATGGTGTTGCGCCTTCTGTGGGAAATGGGTGATCAGATATGTTCATTTGGGACTGTTGGGTTTGCGGAACTCCATCCGACAAAAAACTATACAAAATTCAAATCGACAACATGTAAAAAATATAGTATTGTCCGAACATGAACACTTACCAAAAGTTATTCTCTTTCTACAGTCCATGTCTAAATCTGACGTTCAATCGGCAAGTACAGCACCCATCACGGTACGGTCAGGTTCACAAGATAGTGTACCTACTTCGACTGTCCCAGATGCATCAACAAATCGCTTTCAAGATACCAAAACCGATTCTCTAGAAAAATTTCGTCAGTTTCATCAAGTCCGACGTGAAAACCAAACCGCTAGGTTACGACATCTCCAAGCTTTAGAAGACCAGTTAACAGGGGCTACGTCAATCAACCAACACCGACAAAGGAGTTTACTGAGCACCAGGGGCGATGGCAGACTGCGAACGACAAGTTTAATACACGACGACCGGAAACCTAAAGTTGTTTTGGGCGAAAGATCAAGTGACGACTCTGATATTCGACATTCGAGAATGAAAAAGCCAAATCATACCTGGAGATTGTCGAATCTCGAAAATCTGAACGAGGAGGACAAAGGTCAAGTCGTCGCAGAAAAGCAAGAGAAGTTCAAAAAGTCAAAGGCCGTACTTTCAGAATCAGGTCAAGCCAGTCATCTGCCAAAGAAGACCAATTTAGAAAATGAAAACGGGATTGAGCATACCGGGAAAGCTGATACAATATCCTCCAAACGTAATACACTTCAGGATCTGGAGAGGCTGATTGCAGAATCTGCAAGGAGGTTAACGGAATCACGCAGGTCCATTGATGAATTAATTCAGTCACATGAAATAGATACGTCGAAGCGAATTAATGACAAGGAGAGTTATAATTCAAATTTCAGTGACAAGCAAGGAGACCATGGGAAGGAGACTGGCAGGGCACGAAATCGAAATTCAAGTAACGTGATTTTGAACCACACCATGGAAACAAAATCTGACCTTCAGGAAGCCAAGACGATCGACCCTATAATTGATTTTGAAGGAATTTCCAACAGAATATCATCGAATCGTTCCGCTAGCCCCCACCATGTCCGCAATCGAAGTTTGAGTGCTAACAGACCCATTGGTGATAAACAAAGTGAATTTCCTAGTGATCAGTCTATCGACATTCTAAACGAATTTACACCTATGGAAGCTAAAGAAAAAAGTCTCTTACCTGCTCCTCTTCGACCCTCGTCACTTCATGTCGTTGAGTCGCCCTCTCCACAACTTGATTTCGCCATACCAAAACCAGAACATGACAATTTGTTAAACAAACAGCCCTCTCCTGTAGAAGAGGAGCTGAAAAAATCTCCTCCCCCCAAGTCTAACTTCAACAACGCCAGTGACGCTCGCTCCAGTCTCAGGAAACCACAAGTCATCAGGACCAAACTAAGTAGCATCAGCAGAGAAGGTGGCGCAGTTGTGGACTGGATGAGTAGTGACATTGACACATTTCAAAATGACCTACATGCATCAAAACGGCAAGACATACCTAGACAGACGTCCATTAGCAACGAAGATACTGCTTCAACCTCACAGACGTCAAGTTTATCCAGAGCATCCACTTCAAGTGTATCTACCGCTCGCTCCAGAAAAGAATCATCCATCAAACGCATGCCAAGCACCAAGCAAATTCAGTCGTTAACCAATTCAAAAATGTTGAGCGAAACTGAGTCAGAGGACGAAGCGCTTGTACGACAATCAAAACCATCATCAAATACCTTCAAAAAGATAGAAAATGAGCTTAATGAATTGACAACAATCTCGAATAATCCCTACCGTCGCTCATTGAAAGACAGTCCATCCTTGGAACAACTTGCTCGCACCAAAAAAGTGTCACTTCATCAGCCTACAACTGACAGTGGCAAGGTGAAAGAGAGTATGCATGGATCTCTTGTTGTCAGAGATCCATCTAAAAACACAGCTCAAAATGGTGGTGGCCATAGGAAACGGGGAAAGGTAAGGAATCACATTACTAAGGAAATGATGTTCCTACACGCTGACCATTAAAAAAAACTGTATTAACGCATATATGTGAAAATAGACCCTACCCGGAAATCTCGCAGAGCGACCTACAAATGAATCTCTTGCCTTACCACCCATGAAAGTCGAGCCTATCGAAATCACCATACCTGTTACATCCAATCGAAAGATGGCACCTTCAAATACGAGCAGAAACTTGATAGATACCCCTACTCGAATTCCTATTGCCGTCATGAAGCCAACCCCAGCAAAGGCGGTCAGCCATATGGAGTCGAAGAGGTCTCTACAAGATCTGAAAGGCAAGGCCATGTCCATTTCGCAATCTGGTTTGACGTCCAAGGCAAAGTCTTTCAAACCCAATGGACAAGTGTCATCTGGAGATTCTACCAGGACAACGTCAATACCAAAGACAATCCGAGGTGGTGGTGGTGCTGGCCAAATACCATTGGCGAAGAAGAGTGCGCTACAATCTCCACTTGATTCAGATGAAATCCAATGTACCACTAGCATGTCCACACCGAAGAGCATGTCCTTTTCTCCAAAGCATTCATTGCCCAGCGGTAGCCAGTCCAGTCGCACAGATCGTCAAAGTACCAAAGACGAAATGTCCAAGGAGTCCCCCAAATTTTCATCGTCGACAGTCAAGACGCACTCGAAAACCAGTTCGTTGACCTCCGATATTGGAAGGAGTATCAAACCTAAATCAACTGATAGAACTCGGCAATCCAATGGAGGAGCTGCTCGACGGCAATCCTATACAGGCAATGATTTGCTACAAGAGCAGATGATGCGTGAAAGAGACAAGGCTACCAAGTTGAAAGCCAATATCGTATCGGCACAAGGTCTTATCACACTATCAGAGGATATTGCAGAATCCAACTCGACAAACGGGCAAAGGGCGAAACGACGATCTGTCAACTCGCTCAGCTTACATGAGAGACTTCAAAGTCTAGTTGCTGACGATAAAGCCAGCGAGCCTGTCAGTAGAATAGAATGGGACAACCGATCAACAAGTAGCTCAACCACCGATGATTCCGAGTTTAGGGCTCTATATAGCCGAATGGCTACCAACAATCGAGGTAAGAAGACTGCGAAGGATCGAAGTACTCAAATCACGAAAGAGCGGCCACTTCGAGTTGCCATGGGACCACAAGGTAAGTACGCAGTGGATTGGTTTTGTCGAGATACATGCGTGCACTTTTGCTTACCGCTTTTGCCTTTCCAATTAGCCGCGCTCAAACTGTATATGCCATACCTTGCCCCTTACGAGCGCACGGAAATATTAGAATTCCCTCAAGTGTATTTTGTTGGGCCACAATCTAAAAAGCATCAAGCGAATGCAGAACAAGTTGCTTGCAATTTTGGATATGACGATGAACGTGGAGACTACAAGATCATCAGCCAAGACCACCTTGCATTTCGCTATGAGATTTTGGAAATTATGGGCAAAGGATCATTTGGACAAGTGGTCAAATGCTTTGATCATCGCACTGGCAATATACTTGCTATCAAGATTATACGGAACAAGAAGCGATTTCATGCACAAGCGCTGGTTGAAGTCAAGATTTTGGAAAAGTTAATGAAATGGGTAAGATGAGGTTCACCAACAAGCTATCTTGAAAAACTAGCTGTAATGTATTGTGTTTCTTACCGCTCCTATTAGGATTTGGATGACAAACATAACAACGTTCGAATGACCCACCATTTCTACTTTCGCAACCACCTTTGTATCGCGTTCGAATGTTTGAGTATCAACCTTTATGAATTCATCAAGAGCAACGAGTTTAAAGGTTTTAGCTTGGGTTTAATCAGGAGGTAAATATTTGTTATATATCTGGTGTGCACACATGCGAAAGCTTATATTTTTAAAACTAAACGTTTTCATTCAACTTAGATTCAGCATTCAGCTTCTGAATTCACTATCTCTCTTGTACAAGTACAAAGTAGTTCATTGTGATTTAAAACCCGAGGTAAGCGTACTCCATGTCATTTTAGTCTGCATGTACTGTTGACTAACGACTAGGAACAGAATGTGTTGCTCAAGCATCCTTCAAAGAGCTATATAAAGGTCATCGACTTTGGAAGTAGTTGTCTTGAGAACGAGAAAGTCTACACTTACATACAGAGCCGATTTTACCGATCCCCTGAAGTTATTTTAGGTAATGTCATGGGCTGTTTTTCTTTTACAAATCTTCACGCAGAAGTTTGCTTTTTTTAACCACTACATGTTTTGTCACAGGCTTAACGTATAACACTGCTATTGACATGTGGAGTTTGGGATGTATACTTGCTGAACTTTTTACTGGGTATCCCTTATTCCCTGGAGAAAATGAACAAGAACAGTTAGCATGTATTATGGAAATACAAGGAGTACCATCCAAATATCTCGTTGAGAAAAGCACACGAAAAAAATTGTTTTTTGGTATGTCGTTCGGCACTATAGCTTCTGTATCTATTACTACATCTTCGGATCTAACGCATTAACTTGTGTTTTTTTTTGCTTCTCTTTACTAGATTCCTATGGTAACCCTCGTATTGTTCCAAACTCCAAGGGAAAGAAACGACGGCCTGGTTCAAGGACTTTGGCGCAGGCGCTGAAGTGTTCTGATGAACTGTTCTTGGACTTTGTGAGCAGATGCTTGGAATGGGACCCCGATAAACGATTGAACCCTGAACAGGGTTTAGCTCATCCGTGGGTTGCTGGTAGTGGAGACAACCATAGTCACTCGAGATATGCAAGCAATATAACCAAACCATCCTCTGGCTCATCCAAGGCTTTATCATGATCAATACACTTACATATAATAATATTCTCCATGTCCCTGACTGCCCAGGCGTATCTCAAACACTGTCTGCTTTTGAAGCCATCCCCAAAATTGTTGTCACTGCACATTTGGTCTATAGACGTTTATACTTCATGACAGCAGTTTTTTCATTCCACTCACCCACCGCATCCTCTTCAACATGTTGGTAACTAATGGTTATCATCATATTTATGTACCGTTTGGCGCTGTCCTTTTCTATTTTTTCCTATTGAATCTCAATTGTATTAATATCCATCGACTGCTGCATGTTTGGGTTGCGTATACTCCAATAATATAATTAACTTTTCATCGTGACTCATCCTTAACAACCGTTGACATTTTGATCCTTGTGTAGGCACCGAACCGATGAATGGAAAGATACCACAATGAGCATTGGCCGTGAATGGCCGCCCATTTGTTAACCTCAAATTAAAATGCGTGTTTTGTTACAATTTTAGCACAGATCGCTTCTCGGTCGGCTGTATAGGAAGCACAAATTAGGTCAAATATCATCTTCTTCAGCAGGCTTTACCAAGGAGTTACAAAAGTATTCTCCTCCTTGGAACCATGGGAACTGCATGACCCCTCATGCCCCTGTTACAACGACCGAAGTGCCCCTGTGTTGCCCAAAATAAACCTTAGTTAAAAGAATGAGACGAGAGACTTATTGTTTTGAATCATGGAAACGACAAACATTATCGATCAGCTACATTTACATCGTTTGAATTGCATGGATGCCCATATTATCATACCGATATAGTCTTTGCAATATCAAGTTAACTTTGATCCGATGTTACATACCAAGACCCCATTCAAGGAAATTGATGCGCTGGCAGGATCCTACAGAGGAAGTGGACCGTGCATGGGTTGGGTGTATAATCTTTTGAGAAGTTTTTCCGCGTAATCAATGAATTCTTTTGTTCCAATCTCAGATGCTGCAGATTTCTACCGCTCCGGCTGGGATAGGAGACCGCGCTATCGAGTAAAGTACCAAAATAGTTAAGGGAGTGTCCACAAAGGAGTACCCCACTGTGGACCATACATAACATAGCTATCTATCAGTAGAGTTCATGACTTGGCTGGTCAGAAGAATAAACTTTTGATGTCTGTAGTCTATTCTTTCTTTCACAGAATAAGGACATTCTGTACCGAGGTTCGTAGGTAGGCAAACATCTGTTCAGGGCATTCATAGAACAAAAATGCTCAACTGAAATCGTTTAATGTAGTAGTGTGGTTGTGATGGCGTGCGTTTCCGCCCTACACTCCGTTTATCACCTTCACCCATTTTGGAATTGGAGGTCATTTGGGTGGATTAACTGTATGAACATATTATTTATTTACATACATAACACACCATTGGAGCTTCCTAATTGATTTTTTATATTCTCACAAAAAAAAAAAAAGAAATCTATATCGTAAAGTTTCTTTTCTTCCCTTCATCCTTCTTTCTTACTCTTCTTTCTTTTCCTTTTCGGCTGTCTGTTATCCTACTTTTTTTATTATCATGCCGCCGCGCATTGATTCATCATCCTCTTTACAAAGTTGCGATCTATGTAAACGCAAAAAGGTCTCTTGTAATGGGGAACGGCCATGTACCAACTGCTATAATAGTAACGAATGCAAATATTCTATTGAACGGCATCGGCCTACGTTACTTGCCTCTAGTGTTCCTCAGTCGCGTCGACTTAGTTCAGGTTCTGCATGCGAAACCTGTCGTCGTCGAAAAACTAAATGTGATGGCCAACAACCCTGTAATTATTGTTCAACCAATGGAATAGAATGTTTAAATAATTCGGAACGAAGGAAGAGAGGCTTACCACCAGTCATTCCTATAAAAAACCAATCGGGTCATAAGCGAGGTCAGTTCACAGCGTTTGGCAAAAAATGAAAAAAAAAAAAAAAAGCCCAAAACCTTTTCACAAACAACCCCATGTCTGATCACATCTATTACTACAACAGGAAATCAGGAGACGGCAGCCACCTCGAATGGGTTTGAAGCAACCCGATCCATTCAGATGATAGATCATCATGTAATTGTCAAGAATGATCCAGCACGCAGGAGGCCAATAGGTAGAAGTGTTATTGGCGGTCGAGCATCATCGTTGAGCGATTCCACCTCGGAAGCCAGTTCATTATCACGAAACAATACTGCGAAAAACTACACCACAACTGCTGTTGACCTCAGTAATAAACAGTACGCTTTACGGATCTCTCAATCACCTCCGTCTCTTTCTCCGATCAACCTATCGTCGCCGACAAGTTCACCTCCATTTGCCACCTCTCCTTTACCATCCCAATCACGATCCACCGATTTACAGCAAAATACCTTTGCTTCCCAGCCATCGAGATATCATATACCACCTATTTATAATCAAGCTCCTCCGTCGATCAGAGCAATAGGTCAACAAATCGCCCATATTAACACGCATGCCCAAGATGACATAGGAATCCCTACTCCACCGGCTTCATCAGATCCCATTGATATGGAGTCAGTTTATAAACGCAAAATACCCTCCGTTATGGGTAAGTAGATCATTTTAAAAGTCATGTAGGATTCGCAATTGCCTGACTAAGCTCCTTATCTTTGTTTTAGATCAACTATCCGACAGAACCTTCAATTCTTTGGAAACATATAGCGCTAGTTTTCCAATTTACCCACTTCATTCAGCCATGGAACTACACAAACCATGATTTCTATATGACATAACTTACAGGCTGGCCTCAGAGTATATAAAACAGTGTCTGGGCTGTAATGAAAACAAAGGGCTTCTGTATAAATTGAAGGTCGTCATCAGCGAATTCGATGACTGTTATATAAGTGCTCTCTACTTCACTTCTTTCTTAACCCTTGTGCTCTTAGCAATGTACATACAATCTTATTTTATTTACAAAGTAATTGCTTTTTTGTTTTTTTTTTGGCCAGGATGTTGTGGAGACATCATGGGACAATTCAAATCCTTTCTAATAACATTACTCTTTTCTTTTCTTAACAAAGAAAGGCAAGTAATCTAGTGGTTGGTTGATCACTTGCCAATGCAACTACTTTAGTTCACACAGACCTTGCTTACTTGGTTTCTTTTTTTTCTCGTGCATGATGAAAATTTCCAAAGCTTATTCCTTTAAACCCCTTGTCGTGAAAACAACACTGTGCCGATGTTATGCGATGCTGAGCGTGTTTTAATGTGTCATGATGGCTAACCTGCCCAATGTTTCCAAAAAAGCTCTTTGTTTGTGAATGATGTGAACCTAAAAAAGCCAAACAGATATTTTCAGACTGAACTGAACCAATCGCTCTGCCTGGCGTTATGCACTTCACAGCCCCGTGAACATAGACAATTTAGAATCCATAAGTTGCCTTTCGAGCAGGAACTCAGCGGCAACTTCAAATTTCCAAAGCCTGAAACATGGTTTGTACTCGGTATGGTGCACGTTATGCCCTGCATTGGAAGTGTGATGTCTGCAGTAAAAATGAGCTCATTCATTCCGAATCACCTGTGGGACAACACCCAGGAAATGAAAAAGGTAATAGCATGCTGATCTCTATTTCCTTACAGAGGCGTAATAAGATTCGAGCAGGCTGTGAAGCCAATTGCTTTTTAATGGCATATTGGTAATACGCGGGAATATCCTGTTTACAACTATGTTTAGTTTATACTCAAGCCTTCCTTCATCCTTTTACAGACACTGAGAATAATCTATCAAATTACATCACGTTTAGAAAGATCATTCATTTTGGAGAGCAACGAACTTTTTAAATTTCACTTACAATCGTTCTGGTATTTGCATGTACCGGCGGAACAGCATTTTGGTCCTGTAAATTGGATGCCTCCACATTGGCCCCACATAGTCTAAAACAGTTCAATAAGTACTTGCGAAAAAGGTTTATATAATCTGTCTGCTTTCACTTACTGCGCATGCACCAGTTGCTGTCGAAGTGGCAGTAGTGGTTGTGGTAGTGGGTTGAGTAGTAGTCTTGGAAGTAGTGGTTTTGGTTGATGAAGTAGTAGTAGTAGTAGTAGTAGTAGTAGTGGTAGTTGCCGAGGTGGTAGTAGTTGCACCAGTGCCAGCTTTGAGAACGGCCTGGAATTCATTCCAAGCAACTGATAACAAAAAAAAAAGTTAAAAGGTTGGTCGTCATTCGCGTGAAGTCATATTGTCGCTTCCTTCGATCGTCCTGCTATCACTCACCAACTTGCTTTCCATTTATGTCGTTCAATAGAGGGGCAGGGTCGACATTCTATACAAACGAAAGTCAGAACATATCTAAAACAATCTGATGGAAATAGATGATTCCCTTACATCAGGATTTTGGAATGTTGATAGCCATGTGTACTTGTCGGTGTAGCTATTGATCATTTCATCAGTACAGCTAATATCTCTAAATTTATATGTTAATGCTAGACACAACTTACCCCCAGGTCAAGAACCCCTTGCAAACACCAGGATTGTCAAGGCAAGCTGTAATTTCGCAAAGTCTTAGAAAAGATGTAGATCAGGGCCATATTCCTTTGTGAGGCCGATGACTTACCAAGAAGCACGGTTTGATACTAAAAGGTGGGGTAAATCAATTTTTTTTAGCTGTGTTTACTTCAAGGTCTATGTACGTATCCCTTCAATTTTCAATAATTACCACATAGGCCTTGAGTCGTTGATCGCAAGTATCGCTAGCACCTGCTCGGCAGCGGACATCCATTTCAGTGATATGGACTTCAAGTCCCAAAGCACCCAAGCGTTTGATGTTGCAACCAACAGTTGAGCGAGTGATGTAGCCGGTGGCGTTAGTGTTAATGTGCATCTGGAGACCAACACCTTGAATATTAAGAATGAGTTAGGGATATAATCAATAAAGAAATTGAAACTGTGTGGTCTTCATAAATACCGTCAATAGGGATTCCACGAGTCTTCAAATCCTTCACCAAAGCATAAACGGCATCGGATTTAGCTGTTATAATTTTTTGGTGCTTAGTATAAATCAAGTTGATAAACATCTCATAATAGGGCTTGTAAACGTACCTTGTCCACAGGCTTCAGCAGAGTAGTCGTTGTAGAACAACTTGGCCTTAGGGTCGGCTGCTCTGGCTGCTTGGAAAGCAACGTCTAAGGGTGATGGATGTTAAAAATTACCACTTCATAAGAGTGCAGTTGTAAATCTCCATAATTTACTTACCAATGAAGTTGGGGAGGGTAGGGTACCAAGTGCTGGCTTTGAGGTTTGGTGTTGAGGATCCATCATCGGCAACAGCTGTAATAAAATGGTTAAGCGCTAAAGTTTCCGACCGGTGCTTCAAGTAATGGGTATACCTTCGTTGACGACATCTATGGTAAAAAATGGTTAATCATCTTTCATCAATACCAAAGTTTGCTGCCTGCCAATGTTAAGTAGACTTACCCCAGCCATAGACCTTTCCAGCATAATAACCAGCTACATTCTTAATATGGTTGGTCAAAATGGATGAAAGCTGAGTACCGCTGAACTGATAATGGTAACAGCATTAGTGATTTGTCGGCACGATGTCTTTCAAATATATCTTCTGAGACTTACACTTCCCGAGTCCAGCCACGATGGGTTGTACGAACCCCAGCAAAGGTTGCTATAAAAGAATATTGTCAGTACTTGAACATTTCGAAAGACTCCTTGGCATTGAACTTTTGTCACTTACTGACTGTAACCAGAAATGGTGGTTTAAACAAGTGAGTAGCAGAATGAGTACTAAAATCATAAAAATATGCAAGGCTGGTATTGAAATAATATTTACGCGCGGAAAGTGGCACCAACCGACTTTGCGAAGTTGAGAGCAGCGTCACAACCCGAGTAATCGAAAGTGCCTTGGGAGGGTTCGGTGGCAGCCCATTTACCTTAGTAGCGAGTCGATATGATTAGCATTTCTTCCATCTGTTTAAGCTATGCATAAAGATATGCGGTACTTACAGTTGTTTTCCGCGACATACATGTTATAGTCCTTTCTGACGAGCAGAGCAGGATCAGTGACTGGATCAGAGGAGCTTTGATCACTAATGGCGGCACCAATGTAGAGCCCACTTGGAGCAAAGCTGGCCAGCGAGGCGTTAAGGTTGACAGTGGTGGTATCTGAATACAAAGTGTATCCACTGGCTAAAACGGCGAATGCCAAAGGGCTCAAAACTGTAATCGACTTCATCTTGGTTGGGTTCCTGGACGTAAATGGCCAAGATTGGGTGTTCTTTATATTACTTGAGACTCCCTGTACACATTGGGGGCATGTAACCTAATTTGTTTTGTAAAGGGAACGGAATTTTAGTGTTGGTTCGATTATTACTCTCTACATATCATGTACAACTGGGAAATGAATATTGTACAACATTACCTCGCATACTCACGCTGGGTGTCCCTTAACGGGGAATATCGAAGCGCTATTGACCCTAGGCAGTCCCATCCACATGGCCGTCCCACACTGTAGTCGGGAAACTAGATCCCCGCATGGTTGAAAAAAAAATTCCCTTAAGGCGAACGATGGCTTCCACGAAGCTTATAGCGCCATTCAAACGACAGAGGCTCAGCTGACTCTAACCACTCTGCCAGCATGATGAGAAAGATACTACCCCAATCCATCTCTCCCCATCTGGTCTTGGATGATTGACTTATATAATTATATTTATGGACATAAATGTACGATCGAAATTAAATCGAGATCTGACATGATATGGTAGACCTTTTCCATGCCTTTCATGCATAGTATCGTTCGCGTCATCTCCGTTACCATAAATGTTATGCCTTTCGGTCTGTGCCGGCGGTTTGAGGATATTTTCGTGCAAGTGCTTTGAGCCACGGAACAAAAACTGTAAAGAGAGGGAAGCTAGATTGACTGCCGTGACACTTACGCAATTCTCTCCATCACATATGACTCCGCACATATAAAGATGCACTGTTCCACCGTTGTGTTATGGAGGCCTGAAGCAGGAACCCCAGAAATAGTGATGATGGCGGTAAGATTTTATTGAGCAAGTAAGAGAGGTGTATTATTGAGATGTGCTCAGGAAAAAAACGGCCAGATCAACGATAGTAGAGTTCAACGTTCATGCCATCATGAAGTTCATCTGGAGAAAGCGGGGTAATTTCGTGTGAGTATAACGGAAAATTCAGAGAATATGCTTTTACCGAGTACAAAACACAAACTGCAAAATTACTCACAGTCATCCAAAGTGATATGATCTTTAAATTCCTTATACCATTTCTTGAGAACAATCTTTCGCGCTTCAGTACCAATTTGAGCAGCTACCAGTTTCTTAAAATCTCCAATAGTATCTCTAGGACTGATGGGGAATATGAGTTTGAAACGCGATTGTACAAAAAGTCTACTTATGAAGATCGGATAATAACATACCTGGCTTTGACTCGGATTTTTTTACCTAAACGATCATTGCATTCTATTTCAACCATGCGTCCAGTCGCCTTTAATGTCTGAGCCTGCGCCGGTGCCTTTGATTTTGATCCATCTGCTGCCGATGAGGTAGAAGCCTGCTTTTTTTTTTCTGACCTGGATTCCCTTGGCTGAACGACCAAGACATGCTCGTCAGCAAAGTCTGAATGGTTTCGTTACCCCACATTTGATTGTTCAAATAACACCTTACCTTGTCGTCTCTTCTACTCGAACGTCGGTCACCAGGTGACCGGCTGCGAGATCTTCTTCTTCTTCGCTCGTTCGATCGGGATCGAGGTCTTCTCTCTCTGCTGCGTCGACGTCTAGGTGAAGCAGATCGTGATCGATGTCGAGAATGTCTGCTGGAGTCGTAATCTCTACCGCTTCTACGATCCTCTTTGTCTTCAGACGGTGACGAGTCTTTATATTATATTATACAATTCACATTAGAATAGCCTTTACATATGCTTTATCCATGTAGCTCAGTTACCTTTGTCGTGTTTTTTGAAGCGTAGCATTCAGTGAAGTGTGAGCTCCAACTACGTTGACTGCGAAATTTTGTCAATGGGGGTCGTTCGTTCAAAGTCACAATCCATCTGCACTGACTGGAGAACTTCCCAGTATATGGAATTATACATAATACAAGGATGGAACCCGCTTTGCGAGAAGAGCCTTTGAAAAATACGAAGGACGTTGTCGATGGCGATGCTGATGTTGATACGTTGACCAGTAGAGTAGACAAGCTACGTCTAGATCTAGCAGAATTGGGATGTTCAATCAAAGGTAACAAGCAGACATTACAAAGACGACTCAAGCAGGCAAAGAAGAACGGCATCAGCTTGGTAATAAACGAGCCACCCGTGCAAAAGGACAGTAGCGAGAAGGAAAAACTGTCTAGCAAATTAGTGAATGAGAACTTTGGGTACGTTTCAAGGCACTAGATCCATCGTTGTTAGAGCGTTCCATAGTTTGGCTGCTTATTTTCCTTTAGCTCACAGAAAAGCCTTCCAAACCAACCTTTTGATTACTACCTGTTCTTCGACGTTGAAGCTACCTGTGAAAGGGATACCAAAAACTACCCCCATGAAATCATTGAATTTCCTGTCCTACTTGTGGATGGCGAGTCCTTTGATATTGTAAGCGCTCCTTAAAATTTAAATCTATCACTGCTTGCCTTGGTATTCATCGCCTTTCATCTTTTTTCTGCTCAAAGGTTGACCAATATCGATCGTATGTAAAGCCGTCCATCAACCCGACATTGTCGGAATTCTGTACCAGTTTGACCGGTATATCTCAAGTACGTTGATTCAACGTTTCCTGAATATTGTACGTGCTTTCACCTCTAACGCAAGATGCAATGCTCATTAGCAAACGGTGGATAATAGTCCGGATTTCATCGATGTTTTAAATGAATTTCAAGTGTGGATGGCGAAATATTCACTTTTTCAGGACAAGACTGCAATATTTGTTACAGGTGAGAATGTTGTTGTCAATGCGTGGTAGAGTATATTTATCTAATGGAACGCTTTTTAGATGGTCCCTTTGACATCAACAATTTCATTGCCAAGCAATGTAACCATGACAACATATCTATACCAATGTACTTTCATCAATGGGTGGATATACGAAGAATTTATGCCAGATTTTATAATTGCAGGCAAGAGAATATAACAGGCATGCTAGCAGCACTACATATGGATTTTGAAGGCCGAGCGCATTCTGGGCTAGACGATGCAAGGAATGTCTATAATATAGCCAAGCGCATGAGGGATAAAGGTTGTCGATTCAAGAAGACTACGAAATATCGCGCCGCAGCGAGGTGAATAGTCAGCCAAGCTAGCGGACAGCGGAGCGCGTTCACGGCCGATTTTTTAAAATCTCTGGCACCAAAAAAAAAAAAAGTCAACGCGTCTCTGTATAAGCAACTCACCGTCATAGAACTCTCCCTTGACTGATGGATTTCTTAACGTCTGTTGACAGACTGCAGAATCAACTTTCAAAATACAAACGCAGAGATCTGCCGGGCAAAACAGTCGATGCTGCTTCCGATTCAATAGTACCTTGGTAGAGATTGTTTAGACTTGCCATTTCGTTTGAGTGGTCGAATTCAGAAATTTAACTTGCCTACAAATGTACATAGGGATTGGGTTGCAATAAAACTTTCGAATCTGTTGCTACAGTATCCTGCTGGAATTACAGAAGCTATTGTTCTCACCGAGCTGGAATCTCAGGTATGTTGCAGGCATGACCTCGCTCGCTCATTTTGGTACTTTGCCTTCGCACTGAGACTGTGAACGTTTGCAGTGGGCTGATATTGATAAGCAGTATCAAAATGGGACAGGCACAAGTATGTTTCCTTGTATCTCGAAAGAGACTGAGATCGTTACTCATCGTCGCCAATCCAATGTCCCCGCAGGGTATCACTCCATCGACCACATATATAATGGAAGTTTTTCTAGCGACTGCATTGTAGAGGTCACAATTGAAAAGTTCTACTACATCCCAGGAACTTGCTTCACCGTGCTGGTTGTGTCTGACAACACCAGTATCAGAAAAGTAGAGTTATTACTGCACCAAAAATTTACATTTTTGTTAGGTAACCATGTACTGACTTCGTCTCGACCTTTTTTGGAGGTAAGCTACTGCATAGAATAGTTTAGTACGAGTGAATCCAGAATCATCAACGTTTCATCTACAGAAACGAAAAGTCAAACTAGCCGTGGTTGGAGTAGTTGTATCCAAGTCATCCATAGAAACACTATCAGGTTCTCAACCCCAAGACGCTGAGAAAATGACGCGGGTTTCCAAATTGCCTAGGATACCTCCCACTGAACAATTGGTGTTTCTGCTCTCAGCTACATATGACCGAGCATTTGTCACATCGCAGTTCAGTTCTGACTGTCTTAGCGATCTCAGAGCAAGTGGTACTCGGCGCTACAAACTCTGGCTAAAGGTTACATTTTGATTTTCAATTTAATGGTCCATATCGACATATGTAACTAAAAAATGAAATCTCTTAGCTTCTACATATTGACAAAGCAGCACATACTTCTTCGGCTGCAGCGTATGGAACCAGTAGGGGCCATTACTTGAAACTATACCTCTGCGACACATCTGATGAAGGTAGTGGCGCCATACTTACTCTATACGACCATCAAATATCCTTGTCAAGCATGTTGAAGAAGGTAAATCAATGTTTCATTTGTCGAATAAATCGATGGGCGCCTACTCATAAAAATACCATTAGGGCGATTTCATTGGTTTATATCATCCAGGGTTGATTGAATCGAGTACTGAAAGTCAAACCCTCGGCGATGGCTGTGTGCTCTTGGAATACACTAATGAGACGGTTATATTCTGTATGCCAGAACAAGATGCAGAAGCAGCAGAATTGACTAATTTGATGAAAAAAAATTCGTCAAGCGACCCATCGCGCTCAGAAAAGTCTGCCAGCCAAGCTGCAAATTCAATTGTATCGCAACTCAGCGATTTCGCAGGCGATAATAAGGTAAAGTTTTCAATCATGATAAAGAGATGGAATTGACTCTTGCTAAATGATGTTGCATAGGACGTTATGGACTGCCGAATGTACAAAAAGCGAGTCTACATCAAGAACCTTCGCTCACACATGATCAATGTAACACTGTTCGGGCGGATTGTAGCCATGGCGAATAATGTAAGTAAACCTGAACGTCTCTTTAATGGTGCGACTTGTCTAATTTAAACGGTAACGTATGTTATTTGGCGATAAAACCAGAATCCATATCGCGGAGGAAAAGGAGATCAGCCAATGGATAGATATGCTATCAGGCTCGTAGATGAGACCGCACAAATCGACGTGACGCTTTGGGAAGCGGTCGGCCATCGTGCAAGACGATTGAGAGAAGGTCATTATGTTCTGATCACCGGTCTCTCTACCTCTAAATTGTACAAAGACAGCAACGGCCAAACCACTTGGTATGTGAACGGTAGCACTAGCTGCGGCACAGAAATCGTTAATGGTAAGATTCTCTTAATACTCTATTTACACGCATTATTCATTGACTTTCTGTTTTCAGTGTCTACCATTCAGTGCTTGCTTGCTTCATCATGTTTCCGCAAAATTGTAGGGTTGAATACCATTTCAAATTATGAGCAATGCCATGTTTGCGCGACTGTAACCGGCTGGTATATCAGCCACGAAAACGGAGAGCGTAGGCTATGGGAAGGAGAAATTAAAGAGGATGGCACGGTGATAGAGGATAAGAACTCGGGCGTCCGTTTATCTCATACAAGATGTTACGGCCGTAAGTAGCGAGCAGGTTATTTGCTTATTTGGCCAATTTTTTTGATTTGGTCAAGACATTATTAAAAACGTGGACGTGCACTAATTCAAGCGTGCTGGCGTTTCATTTACAGACAAGTCATGTTTGCGATCCGTCACGGTCACGGACGATGGCCAACTACCATACTGCTCCTTTTGCGCATGCTCGGTCTACAACCAGCAGGATCTGGTTCGAATCTTTGCAGGAGAGTTGGATGAAGAAGGAGCTGTGCTCTACTGGACACTGGATGACGGTACAGGGGAAGTTGTTTTTGCCGAAGCTGGCCAAGATATTTCAGCGGTAAGTCAATAAATCTATTGACTATGCATTGATCGAATTTTTATTCGGACATTCAATATATACCCAATTTGTATTACTGCAAAATTTTGTTCTTTCATCTCACATCCTTTTTGGCATAGGAGTTTCTCAACACGACAGCATCTCAGTTTCTTACCCTCGGCATCAAAGGTCAATTACGGGCATTGGACTCTGTGGTGGGAAAAGAGTATTGGATGAGCATGAATCAAGTGGTAAGTTAATTGACGCGTTTATGTTATATTTAGAATACGCACGTTCAATTGAATGGGTAACCATTTCACAGGCAGAAGGTTGTTGGCGAATAGAATTGGTAGTACCTACGGAACCCTCTCTTATTGTGTGTGATACACTAATGCACGAGGTAGCTGGAGGCGGAGTGTAGCTGGCTGATTACAGGCAAAGAAGTCTAAATGGTGTTCTATACGTTTCTTTCTGGCCAAAACTGTGACGGCGGCTCACATAGGCAGCACAACCAAGAGATAGGCTGAGGATAAAAATACGAAGAAGATTACTGCGACTCCTAATGATCCCTTTGCTTCTTCAGAGAGTTGAATTAAAGGCTGAGTTTGATTCTCCCCAAATTTAGATACGCGATCTCATCCACAATGGCCTTTCTTGACTTGACTGAATGTTCCACAAAGCCTTTGGTGCAACTAAGCTCCCGTTTCCAACCAACCGTCTTCTCTTTATTTTAGATCCTTCGCCCAGCCGTATTGCTCTCTTTCATCTCTTGTTCACTTCTCCTCCACTCGCGTTTTCTCCCATCCGCCCCCCAGCACGCTCATTTCCTTCATAACAAACTTATAGCTTCTCCTCTCCTCTAATTTGCTATATAAAATGAAATTCTCTCTGTCCGCCGTTCTTGCCTTGGCCTGCGCTTCCGCCGCCAGTGCTACTACCATCACCGTGAGTGAGCCAGAAGCCAGAAAATCGAAACGCATAAACGTATTAATTACTTTCGTCAACTAGGTCATCACTCCTTGGGCATCCACTACTTGGGTATGTTTTTTTGGCTACCTTTTTTTTCTCACCAAATTGTTGACAGAACTGACTGACGGTTTATGCGCACTTTTATAGACCGCTGGTACCACTGGCTCCATCACCTGGAACACCACAACTGCCGGTTCTCCTGCTCTTACCACTTGCAGCATCGATATGCTTGGTGGTTCCGCTACTAACGCCAACGTCGTTGCTCACGTTACTGGCGTTCCTATCGACTGCACTCTTGGAAAGTACGATGTAAGGGGGCGCTTTCATTGCTTCAATCTTTCGAAATACTGTTCTAATCGCTTTGGATTTCCAATTTTTAGATTACCCCCTTGGGTGACTTCGCTACTGGAAAGTACTGGCTCCGTATCGGCTCTGATCCTACCTGGTTCTACTCTGGCCAATTCACCTTCCAGGGTACTGGAAGTGTCGGAGCCTTGAGCTCTGCCTGTAAGTACCCAAGCAGATCAGGGGTAGTCCTTTATCTGATACTAATATATCTTGTATGTTTCCAGGGAACGCCAGCGCCGCTGTCGCCCCAGCAACCGCCTCTGTCTCTATGGCATCTGGCGCAACCATGATTCCTACTGCTAGCGGCTCTGCCATGAAGTCCATGGCCAGCGGTAGCGCCAGTGCCAGTGCCAGTGCTACTGGAAAGACCAGCGGTAGCTCCAAGTTGCAAACTCCCCTTGTCGCCGTCACCGTTCTCGGAGCTGCTGTTGCTGCTCTCATGTAATTTCAGTAGTTTTAGATTAACCGTGTCTGAATATCTGAATCCTAAGCATACCCAGTTATAATGCTGTAATTTTTTTTTTTATGTTCTTCTCCACATCCTGTCAAAAGCATTAAAGTGAATGCCTGCTATATATGGGAACACTGTTTTGTAGACCCTGAAAAGATGCTGGATAATACTACGAATCCCAAGATTTTTGAGAAATGATGGGAATACGGAGGATAGGTTTTTCTTGAGTGCTCATAGCAGGAAAAGGAGAGAAAAGTTTACCGCGGCTCCCTTTTTTATATGTCCCCTTGGCATTTCTTTGGATACGAAATGTGAATGTGCGGGGGGCGAGCTGTAAAGCCAGGAGAACGGAGGCGTTTTCCCCATAAATGGCGAATAGCTGGACCGTGCAAGCTAGGGCTGGAACGATGTGGTATTATGTGCTTGAAGTACAAAGAGACGCAAGTCAGAATTGAAAGTGAAAAAATTGGTAGATAACTAAAAGCCACTCGCGCCATATGGACGGTCTTCTCTGCATTAGAAAAAAAAATTGGATGATCGTGCCTTACAAAGGCTGTTGTATACCGCCCATTAAAATGAAAATCTTACTTTTTTTGTCAAAAGGAGCTTTTATTGCATCCCAAATCCATAAACGTGTATTACAAGGAGCGGTTTGCTTGCCTTTTGATATCTGCTCGACTTCAAAGTTCATCTCTCTTCTTTCCCCAAAACTTGTTTTGGCATTCAATACCTCCAATCGTTCTCGCGACTCTTCACCTCATATCATCCATAAGCGCCTTGTAATCTGATATCCGTCTCCCACAATGTCTCGACGAAGTCTAGGAGATCAGCTTGGATTTTTGTCGTGGAGAAAGCCTTTTGGGCCCATACCTCCAATGGATATGGATGCAGTGGTAGCTGAAGACCAAACACAATCTTCATCGACGAAGCTTACAGAAAATCACGATAATCTAATCAAGGGCATAGGCGACTATCGATTGATTAAGCCGCTGGGTACTGGAAAATTTAGCGATGTGGTGCTTGCATCCCATTACGAGACAGAGCGTCTTGTCGCCATCAAGGTTCGTCCCAATTTAATGTGGGAATTATTCTCACAAAACGGTTCTGATTCAGCAACAAATCGGATCCATTCGATGTTAACAAGTCCATTTATTTTATTTTGTTAGATCATCGATAAACGAAAGCACGATTACCGTGTTATGTCTAGGCTGGTCCGCGAAATCACTTTGATGGAATTGATGAACCATGAGCATGTTACAAAACTACATGAGACATACGAAACGGCTGATTCCCTTTTTTTGGTCATGGAGTACGTGCCAGGAGTCAATTTGGAGCAATATTTACAATTGTCAGGCGGGGCTTTATCTGAATGCGAAGCGCGGAGGCTTTTTCGACAGATAGTGGCAGCTGTAAGCTACTGCCATAGTCGCTGGATCGTCCACAGAGATCTAAAGGTATAACCGGGATATCATGTACCAAGACGATGTTACAAAAATGTTTAACAACCACTTTGTTTGTCACGTAGACACCGAATATTCTGATTACTCCAGAAGGAGCAGTCAAGCTGGTTGACTTTGGTCTTGGCAATCGGTTTGGCTTGCAAAGGTTGAAAACAATATGTGGTAAGTGTAATATATATTTTTTAATATTTGTTTACTGTGGCGATTCTGCAAAAGAAAATGTACTATGAGCAAGAAAGAAACTCATTTCCCCCAATTTAGGCTCAATGCTGTATTACTCACCGGAAATCATAAGCGGCCAGAAGTATTATGGCCCGGAGATTGACTGTTGGTGTCTTGGGATCATCCTATTTCGAATGACCACAGGATTTGAGCCCTTTGCTCATGCAGGCAGTAAGTAAAACTGTAGATCTTGCTTTTTTAATAATACAAATGCTTACCACATTATTCCTTATCAGCGGTGGGGGAACTGAAAGCAGATGTTTGTACCGGGAAATTCCCAATGCCTTCATCACTCTCTCCTGAACTGCAAGCCACAATACGAAAGTGCCTAAACACAGATAGGCGAAATCGCATGACCATAAGGCAAGCTCTGAAAGATGACCCCTGGTTGCATGAGGGAACGAAGTTTGAAAGCGTCGTTATGGGTATCTCACATGCTGATGACGCTTGCGAAATCATTGATCGAACAGAACGAGAGCATCGTTTACGACGAAATTTCATTGCCGATGCTGAGCATGATAGGTCAATATCGCGTGTAAATCGAACTCTCATATATCATCCTGTGAACGCCTCAACCTATTATACCACCAATGCCATATCAGCCACAACAGGAACAGAAGGTGGGCTGGAAATTATGCGAGCTGAACTGTTACAAGACTTACGTTACCATGCTCGACGTTTGGGTGTGTACGCCATAAAACGAAACAAAGGTCAGAAGACACCAGTGATCAAAAAGATTATCAATCATCTGAAGCGAAACAAAAAGCAGTACAGTGACCTTGTTATCGATGCCAACGACAACTTTAATTTAACTTCTGTTGAACGCATCCATTATCGACTCACAAAGGTACAAACGTTCCAGTACATGCTTTCCAGAAGAGACCAGACACAAGGACTATCGTCTCGCATGAGCAGTGGAACACAAAGTTTTACATCTTCAAACTCGACAGCCATTGAAGATAGCCTGGTTTTGCCACTGTCCAAAAGATATGAAAGTGAAATGACGAAGCTCATTCGACTCGCTTGCGAATTATTCGGGGTGACCTTTGTTCATTCTCATCACAACAGATTAATATGCGTGGTCACCATGCGAAATGACGGTAGAAAAATGAGCCCTCTTAGTACCTTGATGTTACAAGGAGCTGCCAGCTCAACCACTATCAACTCTCCAATATCGGCAAGCCACTCCATGGATCATTCCGATACTGACCGTCATAGTTTTCTCAGTAAGCGCTTGTCCGCGCCTTTGACTGCCAAGAATTCCTCTTTGAGTATTGAAGAAGCAAACAGAAGAGCAAGTATGAACATTGACCGCTCGCTAAACAAAGAGCACTCAGGCACCTGCGTGTTTGAAATTGAGGCAGTCGTTGACCGCAATCACCTTGCTACCATTCATTTCATCAAACATTATGGAGCCACCGTTATTTTCAAACTAGTCAGTGGATGGATCGGCACAGTACTAAGCCTTGACTCTTGATACCTTATTAATAAATTATAAATGTATGTTTTTTACGGCAAGACAATACGACTTAGTCAACGTGGCCCCCACAGCCTGGCCATTCATTGGCCCGGTATCTCAATGCCGCGAGCAACGTAAGCTGGTTCATTGTCTGAGGTTCAAAACCGATTTTTAAAAAACTGTGGGACTTTAAAAGATCCCCAAAGTTTTTAGCTTCAACAAGTAAGAATCATGACAGATTCAACCCATCCAAGCGACAAGAGCGGCTTTGAATGGCTATGCGATAATGAAAAGTCGTATAAAGAACACACGCACGCTAATAAAGATAACCCGCAAGATTCGAAAATGTCAGCCCCTTACAAACAGACTTCACCTACCACTCATTTAGCTGAGAAAGCGGACGTCGTCCGTGAAGTGGCAAGGAAGATTGGACGAGCTCGGGTCAAATGGGATAATCCCCAAAGCGTGATGATCATCACAAAGCCTGGCGATTTATCTCTGGTTCGGAAGACTCGCCAGCTTGCTCTATGGTTCATGCGTACCCCGCGATATGGCAAACCTAGTGGTATTACTGTCTATGTCGACGAGAAGCTGCAAAAGTCTAAACGCTTTAAACTGGAGCGTTTCCAAGCAGAATCACCAGACCTCATTGATAAGTTAAAATTCTGGACTCCAGAATTATGTGCTACTCATCCAAAGCTGTTTGACTTCATTGTAACGGTATGTCCTTTCAAAAAATAATACTGAGGAATTTTTAGCCGCAGTCTCTTTTTTGCCTATAATTTTTTTTCTGTAATATGCTTACTAACTCAAGCGCTTTAACAGCTTGGTGGCGATGGAACTGTCCTTTTCACATCGTGGTTATTCCAATCTGTCGTTCCACCTGTCATCCCATTCCACCTTGGTTCTCTTGGCTTCTTGACACCTTTTGATTTTGATCATCACCAGTATCATTTGACACAGGCCATGGAAAATGGTGTTCGAATTAATCTACGAGTGCGCTTCACTTGTACGGTATACCGACGTGTACCTGGTCCAAATTGCACCAAGGCTAAAGACGTACAGCTTCGTAATGTAAAGCGTAATACTAAAACAGGCAAGGTCATTGTAGGCGACTGGTGCGAACGGAAGATGGGCCACAAGAAGACTCAGAAAGTATTCGGCGAAGTTGACGGTGATGATGTCAAAGAAGAAAACATTCAACAATGGATGGAAGAAGACGGTGAAGATGGACAGAAGATGCGCGTCCCGTGTTTTACCACTGTTCCAGCGGAAAAGTATCAAGTGCTCAATGACCTAGTCGTTGACCGGGGACAAAATTCATTCATGGGAGAATTGGAATTATTTGGTAGCGATGGAGCTTATGATCAGCACTTGACTACCGTTGCTGCTGACGGCCTGATAGTAGCTACTCCTACTGGTAGCACTGCATACTCGGTAACTAACTTGTTTGCTTCTAAAATTGGCTTGCTTTTTTCTTGCATGCTGTGATTATTAATATCTTTCTCGCTAATAGCTTTCAGGAGGTGGCCCATTGACCCATCCCGATATACCTGCTATGCTGATAACCCCCATATGCCCACATACCCTATCTTTTCGTCCAACCCTTGTTCCCGACACCATTGACCTCAGAATCTGCGTTCCGTACACCTCACGAAGCACTGCGTGGGTTAGCTTTGACGGTCGCGGAAGAGTTGAACTTAAACGTAAGTCGTGAGATGAATTGTAAGCGAAGCCATTCAACCCCATGGGTTGCTTATCAACCTTTTTAATTTTGCAGAGGGAGACCATGTTAAAGTCACAGCCTCAAGGTATCCACTCCCGACGGTTGGTATCTCTGTCTTATGATTGTGGTGACCGGTTTGCTTTTTTTCCTTTGTACTCATTCGATGTGTTCTCTAGATCTGCAAAAAAAGTCAATCAGATGATTGGTTCAATTCGCTATCACGCTGCCTGCATTGGAATGAACGACAACGTCAAAAGTCATTTGTAGTAGTCGAGTCAAATCGATCACAACAAAAGTCTACTAGTAACCAGCCCGCTGTGGGTAGACAAAATAGCATCAGCCATCCGTCTTCCAGGAGTGCATCAGCATTATCCTTACCGAAGTTAGCAGCAGCGGCAAGTCCCCCGCATTCGACGAGTCATACGCCGTTTAGACGACAGCCACCTTATGCGTCCTCGTCAAGTTCTGGGTCGGAAAACGGGCAAGACGAAGTCTTTGCTATGTTTGAAGATGACAAGAATTTCAGCCCTCCCATGTATAGTCACCGACGCTCTAGCGCTGGTGGATGGAGTCAATCAAGCGATAGCAGCCCTGAGTTCCAAGCCGAAGATACATTAGGGAAGAATTATGACGACCCAAACTATGAATCATCGGATGATAGTGATGACGATGAAGACGGTTTCGTTGGCTGGAACGACGAAGAGCTTCTGCGAGCAAGACAATTGGCTGGGGTAGCCCATGACCTTCAAAAGCTTCACACTTCTCATTAAAGCAGAACATTTGTATCATAGCATCCAGTGGCCCTGAGCATCTTTTTTTTTTCCTTGTTGTGAACATAAACAACCCTCTTGCTTTTCCCACAAACTGATGTTCAGAAAACGTGCCTGCCAAGTTTCCTATTTCCCTAGTGGTTCTAACTTCGTTAAACAGACCATGACGTTTGCAGATTTACGAAAAGGGACTCGGAGACTCAAATCGCTGTGAAAAAGGAGAAGAAGCCTTAGCGATTTGTTGGTTTCTTTTCAGCTCCGAGGAGACAACAACTATGAATCCCACTAGCAATGCAGTACAAAACGAAGAAGGTGCCTACATTGAAGCCTTGATTAACTTTCGTGATGTCGGCATCTCTACTAAGGTTGATGGGCAGCAGTAAGACATCATTGCAGAATCGCCGTCGTACCTACAACGTTCGGCCATACGAACTTACATATGGTTCTGTATCAATGATAATGTATTATAGATACGTGAAGGATGGCCTTATATTTAGATCTGGGACGCTGGATCAATTGAGCAACGATCAAGTCGAACAGTTCATAAAAGCTCACAATATCAAGACGATACTGGATCTTCGAACAAGGTGAATACCGAAAAAATTCGTTAGTTGTGAGTTATATCGCTCATGACTAACCAACGCACCTATAGTTTGGAAGGAAAGGATAATCTTCCCATCGACAAAAATTTTCCAACCACGGCTATTGAAAATGTAATGAATACCCATATCGTGTCGTTAATTTCGTTCACATAGAGTCTATTTTATTCACACATAATGTATGCAATCTCAGATTAAGGCCATTGACTTGATTACCGCCGATGTCACCCCTGAACGCCACGAAAGCAATCAACCTGAAACTGACCATGGCCGAAAAAAATATCGAGTCAACTTTGCCGGACGCAGTTTTGAACGCAATGTAGTATGGAATATGTGCACACTATGGTTGAAATTGTATGTGTCAATGTCGTCATTCTAGCGCAATGGTTTCGCGCAAAGGCGATGTGTGTCCTTTCATTAACGATTTTGGTGAAATCTATAGGAGGCTCATTTTCTGGATACTAGTCGGCAATAAGGTCCATGCCACTCTCTTGGTCGGATCGGAGATATTGACGCCTATGGGGTTACCCACTATGTATAAACAGTTCTTAAAGGCCTGCAAAAATGAAATTTTGGACGCCCTACGTATATTTACGGACCCTACTAACTATCCCATCCATGTACATTGCACGCAAGGAAAAGACAGGACGGGTATGGTGTGCATGCTTTTACAAGGTATTGCTGGAGTCCCTGAAGATGTTATTGTCGCAGACTATGCTCGAACTCAAGAGGGATTGGCTCCAGTCCTTCCACAGATGATAAAAGAGATGGCAAAATCCGGGTTATCTGAAGAATTTGCGACTGCTCGACCAGAGGTAAACAATACAACCATGCAGCTGAAGGACAAGATTATCCGATCCTTGAGATATCCACCATTTACCGATGTTTATTTTTCGTCACTTTTAGTATATGCGTGAAGTACTGACCTATTTAAAGAGCGAGTACGGCGGTATTTTACCCTATTTGAATTCTATTGGGTTTGGACCCTCCTGGCAAGATCGTATTCGAAAGAACATTTGTCCTGAGGCTGCTTCCAATTGATCATGAGCGTCGAACCGATCCTGCATGATTAGATACCTCCCTTCCTTCCATAAAGTAAAACTTTTTATTTTTATTTTTCAGAGACAAGGATTATGCGCGTCCCTCCGTCGCGATCAGCACCATTTCATCGTAGAAATAGTACATCTATAACGAAGCATGTATTTGAGACAGTCGCACAAAGTCAACATCACATTAACATCAATTAACAAACCACCCCTTTTACATGGTGTTGTGGCTTTTACATTCAAAATAAAACAATGTTGTCAAAGCAAGTCGTTCATGTCTTTATAAAATTGACAAAGCACGTCGTTTGTATCTTTTCAATTCCTTCTCACCAAACATGAAATTACTCCAGATATTCTCTTTGCTCGGCCTGGTGTCATCAGTTGTGTGTCTAAAGTCATGCTATCAGAAAGCCGCTTTTACTCAGTGAGTTGTCTTAGTTTATAATCATGTCAAACTGAAATGTGTTCTCAACTCATATCAATGTTTCTCATCAGGTATTGGATTCCCAAGGAGGGCACAAAGGATATGCTCAACGATGGCAAAGTTGTCACCTTGACAGGGCCGGCTACTTATTCTCTGAAAACGTCCTCTGGAAAACTAATCCAAAAGGTTTCCAAGATCACTTACCAGGTTCGTTTAAATCCTTGAGCACCACTTAAACGGACAATGCTAATCCAAGGTTTCAGAAATTTCAAATGGAAGGCACTGGTCTGTTGAAGTCTGGAAAGCTAGTCAATGTCGGTGATTCAGATTCTGAATTCGTAGTTCTAGATCAAAATAAGCATCCTTTTGGTCTTGGCAGCGATGACAAAAACATATATCCATTTGTGTCTGTAGCTTCAAATGACTTACGTCAAGGAACTTTATTGTACATCAAGGCGCTTGACGGCAAGACTTTACCAACTGGCAAGAAACACAACGGCTGCGTACGAGTTGATGATGTTGGCGATTCCTTCTCTGGGTGTCAACTAGACTTCTTTGTTCTAGGTAAGGTTTTTTTTTTTTTTTGGTAATGTGTCGACGAGACCATCTTTCTAACCCTCGAATTAGAATACGCATACTATGAGAAGCTAGACTTACCAGAACATGTCAGTGTCGTTCAAAAAAGCTGCAAATTGTTAGATTACACTACTACTGCCATGGATGCGTGGATGGGTAGTACAGCTTAGAGCCACACTTTATTTTATATGTTATACAGATCGTGAATTTGGGGCGTTTATCTAACATCTGAACGACCCTATGTAGTCAAAAAATAAAACATTCGAATCATTAGAAAATATTTCTGGATGCTTTTTATGGCCCATGGTATACTTGCGAGACAGCTATTGAATTGGCTTCATTCAGTCATAGGCGTCCCAATTGGAGGGAGAGTTTCAACAAAAACTGAGGCTTATAATCCAATGTCATAAGTCACTCTTTCTTGAATCCAAACTTTACAGCCGGTTTCTTGTTGATTCCAAATGACATCTTTTGTGGTTGCTTCTTTCCAACAAACAGCTGAGGTTTTTCCACTTCCACAGCGTTGGTACTTGTAGCAGCCGTTGATTCAGAAGAGACATTACTACTTTGAAGCAGTTGGCCGTCAGATTTTCTTTCGGATGAGGCTGTAACCGTTGACCATCCATCCATTGCCGATCTGCCCTTCGAAGCCAAATTTGCCGATGCCTCAGGCGCTGTCTGCCATCCACCTGAGAGGTTCTTGCTATCATTACCACTGGCTATCCATCCACCGTTCGTTGATCCACCACCCTGTTTAGCCACACCACCTCCGCTTGCCAAGTCAGAATTTCCTGGCTTGGAGGCGTTCCATTTGCTTGGTATTTGATCTGGTTTGACACCAGACTTTTTGAGCATGGCTTCATGAATACGTCTATTTTCCCTTTCTTCCCTTTTGCGTTCACGTTCTCGGCGACTTTCACGTTCTGCAATAGCACCTTCGGATTTTTTGGAAGTATCTCGCATATCCTTGAAACGCTTTTTGTGATGGTGGTCGTAGCTCTGTAGATGTTGTTCGTACTCACTGATTTTGCTATATTGCTTGTCGCATAATTCGCAATAGAAAGCTCGCAGTATTTCCTTGATGTCGTTCTTAACTTCTTCTTTTTTTAATGTGTCCATTTGCCTTTTCAGCTTTTCTTCTTCCGTTTCTTCTAACTGCTTCTCGCTATCCAGCGCTCGGCGTTGCGCAGTTGACGACACATGGTATTCCATCAATTCTTCAGCTTTTCCAACCCCCAAAGCATCCATCTTTAGATCAATTCTTATGGGATCCACCCTACCTATACAACAGCGTAAGCCATATGCACTTTTTATTTCTGTCCCTGAACGAACTATCTATCTTACCTTGTCTGTCGCTGCCTAAACCTTCACCTGCAGCCCAGCCCATTTTTAACAGTAGCTTGTAGCCCTTATTGGTCTCTGGCAAGTGGATATCCATGCTTGCCTGGTCTAGCTTATCGGTATCAACATATCCAGTTGGCTGTACGTTACGAGGAAGGGAGAAATCCTCTTGATCGGAAGCGAAATCTAGATCTTGTGCGTAGGAGTCTTCCATCGTTCGGTGATGCTATACAACAGAATAAAAGCAGGTACAAGGGTAGTATGGGAACTCGAGGTAGTTGGCTCTTGAGATGGTGGCCAAGCTAAAAGTGATTTCTCACCTTTCCTAAAGTTGAATCCATGACAGCAGAATAAAAAAGTGGGATGGATTACGGAAAAGTTCAAAATAGCCTCTTCTGCAACCCACCGTGACTTTCCTAGTCCTCATGTTGAGTCGTGGTGCATGGACTTTATGCAGACAAGTGCATACAAATGTGAAGCAAAATGCCTTTTCAAACAAAATTGCGCTTGTTACAGGAGCTAGTCGTGGCATAGGCTTAGCCATTGCCGAATCTTTTGCCCAACGAGGAGCCAAGGTCATCTTGGTGAGCCAGCAGCCGGAGCGAGCCAAAGCAGTAGAGGCAAGATTTTTATCCAGTTTTGGAACGGGCCATCAATCCATTGCACTAGATATATCCGATCGAAGTTCAGTTGCTGAAGCATTCAAGGTAAAGTGAAAGCAAGCGACCACATGTGCTGCCACGTTGACCATAGCATTAACTTTTCAGCTTCTTACAGAATCAGCTCAAAGGTGTTTCTATTGACTACCTGGTCAATGCAGCTGGTGTTTCGCGCGATGGGCTTCTCGTACAACTGAAAGATCAAGATATCCTAGATACAATCAATACTAATCTAATTGGTACCATGTCAGTCTCACAATATGCAGCGAAAACCATGATGAGAAAGCGGTCAGGTAGGTTAGACTAATGATTGAACTTGTGGTTCGTTGTTTTCTCAACCCAGGTTTATCTATTTGGTTCAGGGTGTATTATCAATATCACTAGCGCTGTAGGGATTCAAGGAAATGCTGGCCAATCTGTCTACAGCGCTTCCAAAGCTGGAGTCATAGGTAATAATGCATTCAGATTATTTGGCAAAGATATAATGGCTGTTTGTTAAGGAAAAATATCCTTAGGGTTCACTAAAGCCTTGGCGAAAGAACTTGGGCCTGTCAATGTGCGGGTAAATTGTATAGCCCCTGGATTCATTGAGACAGATATGACCAATGGTAACAAATAGAAAATTTCTATATGGCTTTATATGATCACGGTATTCATGCATTGACCTGGGGTCTTTTTTCATACCGAATTTTTGAACTACAGCTATTCCGGACGGCAAAAAGGAAGAGCTTTTGAAAAGTAAAATATCATTAAAGAGATTTGGCAGCACTCAAGATGTTGCGGACGCTGCTATGTTTATAGCCCAAGCAGATTACATGCATGGTCAAGTAAGTAAGAATGTCAAATCGACAGTCACATCCGCACGTTGCCATAAGAGGGTTCACCAACAAGTTCCGTTTTTTAGACTTTAGTGATTGATGGAGGCTTGAATCTGTAATTTACCTTTCTTCCTTCCATTCCAATTTGCAATTAAAATCAATTTAGTTCACCCTTTCGTCTTTCAAACTGTCTTCATACCACCGCAACCCCTTCGACGATCCGTCGCAGCCTGACCTGCGTGCGGATAGTCAGAGCTCTCGGCGTGGGGACTTCGTTCCTCCCGGAGCTGACATGAATCCATTTGCGGGTGATGACGATGTTGTAGACTTTACCCAACCTTCCCAGCATCAAACGTCATCACCATGGGCACCATCTACAGGTCAACAAGGACAAACCGCTCATTATGGTGGCAACGACCTCATTGACTTTCAAGACCAATTTGGTAATTCATCGTCTAATTTACCACAAGCACAATCGGCTTATTTGCCAAGCCAACCAACTTTGAAGCACTCGGATACCTTTATGACGGACGGTGGTACGTATTGCCTTTTAGTTTATTGGGGACCTGATAGTTGGTCAAGATTGAAACAGTAGTCGAAACGACCTGGTCTCAAGCGCAAAGCAACTTTTGTGTTGCTTTATGCCTTCGAGTGTGGCTAAGACCTTTTCGGCGTCATACGGTAATATTCGCCCACTTGGGACAAAATCGTACACCGTTCATTATCTCGATGGTTTTGACGACATACTCTTCATTGGCCGCAGAGGTTATCTGAAGCTATCAACCTCACCTTTTTTTTCTGGTTGTCGTTTATGCAAGACACCCCCGCAGTTACTAAACCTTTTCTCCGATTGTCAACAATAGCGTCGTCTCTATATGATGAAGGAAGTGGACAAATTGACGATGACGATAACTTGCAACTTTTGGACAATCAAGGCCCAATTGCAGGCTCGCGCTATAATCGTCAACCATCCAATGCATCATCCATTCCGGGAAGCGTATCCGGTGGAATACCGTTGCGGAGCTCACAGTCGCCCACAAGCACGCCAACACGGGCAAAACGTCGACAGTCATTTAGAGGCAAAATCAACGAGTTGCTAGGGCGATCACCCAGACTTGTCCCAGGCCAAGAAAGTGAAGCGCGCCTTATATATATCAATAATCAAGCTCTCAACGAGCAACAAAACTATCTCCATAATCGCATCTTCACTGGCAAATATACGTCTTTCACATTCTTGCCAAAGTTTCTGTACGAAGAATTCTCTAAATACGCAAATTTGTTCTTCTTGTTCATTTCTGGCATTCAGGTAAGCTATCCCCGGTACAGTCCCAGTTTGTAACCACTGGTTTGAAAAAAAAAAATTAACACCTTGTACAGCAAATTCCTGGTATCTCTCCTACTTCCAGATGGACGACCCTGGTACCATTATTGATAGTGTTACTCATTACTGCCGTAAAAGAAGTCATCGAGGATTGGGTAAGATGCGAGGCTGCCGTTCAGTTGGTGTTTGATATCGATATTAATCGCTTTCGCACATTGATTAGGGTGTACATCGATCAGATGCAGAGCTAAATGCGCGAGGTTGTAAAGTACTTGAAGGATCTCAATTCGTAGAGAGACCATGGCGCGATATTCGTGTGGGCGACATTGTACGTATTGACGGTGGTGGCCATTTCCCAGCGGATCTTGTGCTGCTAAGTAGTTCCGAGCCTGAGGGTCTTTGCTATATTGAAACTAGCAATCTAGATGGGCAAGTATTTTTGATTGTGCTTTGGGTGGATTCATATTTTTTTCCTAACATCAAGTGTAAATTACAGAGAAGTCAATCTAAAGATCAAACAAGCTCTCCCACAAACTGCAAAGTGCGTCACTCCCCTTGACATTGGTCAGCTGCAAGGAACTATCAAATCAGAACAACCAAACAATCGTCTTTATAATTATGATGGTACCGTTACCTTAGCTGTTGACGAAGTTGGAAGAAACAGAGACTTTGCACTTGACCCTACCCAATTGCTGTTGCGTGGCGCTCAGCTTCGTAACACATCTTGGATCTATGGTATTGTTGTGTTCACTGGTCATGAAACTAAGCTCATGTTGAATTCAAGGTGAGGATCTTTGTACCATCTTTCAGTGGTTTCTTTATTATCAAAACTAATGCATCCTATAGCAAAAAGCCATCCAAGGTTTCGAACGTTACTCGTCTTACCAATCGCAACATCGTGTACCTTTTTATCATTCTTGTGGTTATGAGCATTTGTTGTTCCATTGGTGGCCTGGTTACTACAGTAAGAAAGTTCGACATTTTCGTACGTTAACATGACTTTTGACTAACACATTGCAATTATCCAGATATCTAAGGGCAGTCAATTGGCATACCTCGCCATCAATGATATGTCTCGCGCAGGCGAGTTTGGATACGGTATCCTGACCTTCCTTATCTTGTTCAATAGTTTCATTCCTATCAGGTAGAGATCAAGTCATCACGTCCGTCTCGTCGTTTCGAGCAGCTTCAGAATCTAATGCGTTTGTTCGTTATTTTTACAGTTTAATGGTGACCATGGAGCTTGTCAAGTACATTCAGTCCTACTTGATCGATTCGGATTTGGATATGTATTACGAACCTACTGATACTGCTGCCACAGCCCGAAGCAGTAGTTTAATTGAAGAACTAGGACAAGTACAGTTTGTGTTTTCAGACAAGACCGGTACTCTGACTTGTAATGAGATGCAATTCCGACAATCTTCAATCGCTGGTCTTTCTTATGCAGACAAAGTGGAATCTGATAGACAAGCACAAGATGGAGTGGATGATCCAACTTTACAATATACTTTCTCTCAGTTGGAAGCGCATCTGAAATCGCACTCTACTGCTAATGTCATCAATGAGTTCTTAACTCTCTTAGCTGTATGCCATACTGTCATTCCTGAGCAACAAGAGGGTTCTGATGAAATCATCTACCAGGCTTCCAGTCCAGACGAAGGTGCCTTGGTGAAGGGTGCTAGCACTTTGGGTTATAAATTCCATGTAAGCTGAAGTTTCGCGGATAAGTGGTTTGTCTGTCCATATTGTATGGGAAGCAAAATTTTTAAATATGAACCTTCATTTTGTAGACTAGACGACCTAACTCCATCAACTGCAATATCCGTGGACGTGATCTCGAATTTCAAATTCTCAATGTTTGCGAGTTCAATTCCACACGCAAGCGTATGTCGGCTGTAGTTCGTGGTCCCGATGGAAAAATCAAGTTATACTGCAAAGGTGCTGATACTGTTATTTTGGAACGTCTTTCTGAAAACAACCCATTTGTGGAGCCAACTTTGATGCATTTGGAAGAGTATGCTACTGAAGGTTTGCGAACACTTTGTGTTGCTATGCGCGAAATTCCCGAAGACGAGTACGCTAGATGGTCACAAATTTACGACAAAGCTTCCACTACCCTGGTTAACCGTTCTGAGGAACTTGATCGAGCTGCTGAGATGATTGAGCAGGATATGTTTTTGCTTGGTGCCACTGCCATTGAAGATAAACTGCAAGATGGTGTACCGGACACCATCCACACTCTTCAAGAGGCTGGAATCAAAGTCTGGGTCCTTACTGGTGATCGTCAAGAAACTGCTATCAACATCGGTTACTCTTGCAAACTCCTCAATGAAGAAATGAGTTTGATTGTCTGCAACGAAGAAAATCACTGGGACACAAAGAACTTCTTAGAGGCAAAATTGAAGGAAATTAGTGATGTGAAGAATCGTGGGGAAGACCTTGAGGTAATACTTCAGCTCTGCGTAGTTCTGTCTCTATATCTGATTTACTGATTCATCTGTGTAAACTTGTTGCAGCCCTTAGCTCTTGTCATTGATGGTCGCGCTTTAACATTTGCTCTCGAGAAAGACATTGAAAAGGTTCTTTTCGATTTGGCCGTTTTGTGTAAAGCCGTCGTCTGCTGTCGTGTATCGCCACTCCAAAAGGCTCTAGTGGTCAAATTGGTGAAGAAGTATACTCATGCCATTCTACTTGCTATTGGAGACGGAGCCAATGATGTTTCTATGATTCAAGCTGCACATGTTGGTATTGGAATCAGTGGTGTTGAAGGTTTACAAGCTGCTCGAAGCGCAGACTTCGCCATCTCCCAATTCCGCTTCCTCAAGAAATTGCTATTGGTTCATGGTGCCTGGTCTTACCAACGACTGTCAAAAATGATTTTCTATTACTTCTATAAGAACGTAGCGCTGTATTTGACTCAATTTTGGGTAAGTTTGTCATCATGCTTATTGCTGCTACCTCCGCATGTGGATGTTTTATTTACATTATTACATGTTAGTATGCCTTCTATAATGGTTTTTCAGGATCAACTCTGTATGAATCATGGACCATGTCTTGCTTCAACGTCATCTTTACTTTCCTTCCGCCATTGGCTATCGGAATCTTTGACCAATTTGTGTCAGCCCGCATGTTAGATAAATACCCTCAACTCTATATTCTCGGCCAGCATAACGAATTCTTCAACCAGAAGAAATTCTGGGGTTGGTTTGCAAACGCCATTTTCCACTCTTTGGTAAGTCCGCTTCTTCTTGCCCACCGGTTAGCGCTGATACTTTTTGGAAGTTCAAGCTGTCCTAATGTCTTTATTACCTCTTATTCTATTAGATTCTCTTCTTTACTGGCGTAGGCGCTTTCCGTAACGATGGTGTGTTCATGAATGGTACAAATGGCGGTCAATGGTGGGTAGGCACCGTGGTTTTTACCGCTGTTTTAGGCTGTATCTTGTGGAAGGGCGCCTTGATTACAGAGTAAGTGATATGAGCTGTATATATGAGCTAGCTTTTAATATCATGCTAACCAATGTCCTTTTACAGTATGTGGACCAAGTATACTTTCATTGCCATTCCAGGCTCCATGGTTGTTTGGTTCATCTATCTTCCCATTGTGGCTTATATTGGATCCAGTGTCTCCACTTCCGTTTTCCCAGAATACAACGGCATCGTACCACAGGTCTGGGGCAACGTTAACTTCTGGCTATATCTCATTTTGGTGCCTTTCTTGTGCAATCTTAGAGACTTCGCATGGAAATTGTAAGTTGCTATACAACAAATGATATTGTTCGTACATCAACCGAGTATGACCTAACTGATTTTTTTCTTTTTTATCAGCGCCAAGCGTATGTACCGCCCAATGCCCTACCACTTTGTTCAGGAGATCCAAAAGTTCAATCTCCCAGATTACCGTCCTAGAATGGATCGTTTCAGACAGGCTGTTAACAAGGTTCGCCGAATTCAACGACTCAAGCGAAATCGTGGATACGCCTTTTCACAGACAGATAGTGATCAAACCAAGATCATTCGTGTCTATGATACCACTCAACAGAAACCACAAGGTTAAATTGTATACTTCTGGTATTAATCGCTATAACATATTATTTGAACCTCTATCATGATTGTAAAACCCCTTTTTTTATTCCTTCTCACTTATAAAATTTGAATTTGGCTGAACCGATTGTCGGGGGGGGGGGGAGGAGTATCCAATCACGTAGACAGTGGTCTAACGGGTTAAACAAGGTCTGTAAATATGGGCTGACTTTACGAACCAGAGGTACAAGCATCTCTTGGCTGACAAATGCCGTTGATGGCGCTTGGACTGAGTTTGAGGGGAGGAACTTTCTGTTCTTTTCGATTTGTTTGTTATTCCCAAAATGGAGTGAGCTCACAATTCTGACTGCCGACCAGGAAAAATCTTTTCTTCACCCGCAGTTGGCCGAATTAAATGCATCCGACATAGGCAACATAGCCTATTGAAGCTCGCAAATTATTTCGAAAATGACCTCATCTCGACACTATGATTTGCGATATGGTGGTTTCCAACAAGTGTTTATTGACTGTCAATAGATCTCGAATGGTTTTGTGAAGTATCTCGGGTGACCCTGAACTCCGTTCCTTTCAAAAGTGTCATCGCAAGGAAATTCCGGGTGTCACTTTGATAGCAAGGCCACTTGTGTCGGTAAAACCGTTTTTACACCGTTTCTCCGATGTCTATAAATTAGCTGCATTCTCTTGCAGCGTTGACAAGTTCATATTTAATACAATGGAACATATCGACCGCACCCAACTCTACACTGACTCGGACTATCGATTCGGCTATGTTTCCAAGTTTATGGAATTTGGTACGTCTTATGTGGCATTATTTGTTCATATGGCTAGAAGTTATTGCATTATGCAATGCTAATCCTTCCTGTCAACAGGCGCCGATGATATTGAGGCGATCAAGGCAGTAGCTGAACAAGTTCGTCCATTGGTCCCGGTGGTAGTAGATGCTGTCTATGACAAACTTTTCCAATTTGACATCACCAAGAAGCACTTTCTTCCTAAGAACGAAGGCTTCCAAGGTCCTACTGATGGACAGGGTAAAGTTGCGGATAGTATTGAAGACCTTACCATAGATAACCCGCAAATCAAGGTATGTGTACTGTTTTTTCGAACTCGCTCAAATTCATTGCCCTTACCTCTATTCCCAACAAGTTCCGCAAAGATTTTTTGAGCAAATACCTCAACCGACTTCTCTCTGGTCCATATGATGAAAAGCAAGTTAGATCGAATACATATAATCAAGATGTGAAGAAGTTTTTTGCTGAAACATATCATCGTTTACAGGATGCTGAAGTATCTTGATTGGGTTGCCAAGATCCACACAGATACGCCAAGTAAGAAAAGTAAAATATCCGTCGACTATATCCATGTGAATGCGTTGATGGGATATGTAGAGTCCACTCTGGTAGGTGGCTTGCTGTCACTTAAATTGGACAGAGAAACAGAGTCTGCCGCGCTGCTTGCCTTCAACAAACTTCTTTGGATCCAAAATGATTTCTTTGCAAAGTACTATTGCAAGGATGGCGTCGAGGAGCAATCAGTGTCAAGCACATGTTCGTTCATGAACTCCGCGTGTCAAAATACATCGATGATAACGCTTGTAGTGGCAGCTGCAGCTGCATGGGCAGGTTTCATGTATGCTAAGCGTACGTAGACTGTAATTTTCTTTGAAACAAACTTTGCTAGATTTTTCAAGCATAAGTAAAAAGTCGGATTCCATAACATTATTATAATCTTCGTGTCGCTAAGGTCTGCCAACACAGAAATGCAAACCCATATGAGGCATAACGTGATATTATGAGCTGTAACTAGATCATGTCGTCGTCAACTTATTTAAAACCCTCAAATACAAGATGAAGCCAATGAACGCCATAATATTTAAAAGCATCATACAAATTTCTTCTCTTTTCATTTATTATTGACAAAAGAAAAGATGTCTATAACAGAAAGGCACCAGTAAGAGCGGGGATGGGAGAAGCTACAACAGTAGGGAGACTCCATCCAATGGATGACATGGTTTCGAACGATCCAGCAATATCGAGATGAGTGTATCCAAGGCGCTTTTCCTTGTTTGCCAATCCATACTTCTCCAATCCGGAAGCAATCAACATGAAGCCGGCAGGGTACTGATGACCACGGTCAGTGAGGGTGGAGGCCTTATCATTGGCTTGGACAACGTCTTCACTGGCGCTACCAGGCTGAACGCAATCAATGTCCTCGCGACGAAGAGTAGAGATTTCAAATGGATCAGCTAAAACGTGGCCGGCATCATACAGTCTCTTACTGATGCGGTTATGTCTTGCAAAGCCATTGTCCAGGGTGATACCATAACCACCATAGGCACGAAGAGCGTGACCGGTCAGAGTAGCCACCGTAAACAAGAACGACGGAGCCTTGTTCTTTTCCTCAGCCAAAGCACGTTCCTTGAACTGGCACAGAAGATCAGTCATGACCATGCGACCTTCAGCATCGGTGTTTCCGACCAAAACTAGAGCCATCAATTATATTTAGCCGCTCTGCACTATGATCTTGCCGCAGATTACCAACAAGATGGACTTACCTCTGGTACCGTTACGTGAATATAAAACTTCGTCACTAACATAAGAATCAGGACCAACGGAGTTACGAACAAGTGACAATCCAGCAGTGATGTTGACATGCTTTGGCGCTAGCATAGAAACGGTCTTGAGGAAACCTGCAACGGCGGCGGCTCCTCCCTTATCACGAGACATATCTACCAACAACAATTTAGTATGTGAAAAAGTAAAATGTCAAAAGCTTGCCGAAAAATACCTCTCATATGGCCAGAGCACTTGATATCAGCACCACCAGTATCATAGGTGACACCCTTGCCAACGAAGAATAAGCTAAGGTGGAAGAAATCAGCATGGAGAATTCAACAGATCATACGACTATGATGGTATACATACTTTTCCTTAACCTGAGACTGATCAGACGATCTGTACTCTAAGAGAACAATACGAGGATGGTGTCTAGGTACTATATGGACAGAAAACTTTAAAATGTGCTATACCAAACGTGAGATAACGCGGGGTTGAGAATGCTTACCTGCTAAACTGGCTCGGGTTACAGCATGAGCCAAAGGATATTCCTTCTTGATGGTCTCAATGTCCTCAATGACAGAAAGCTTGATATTGTCAACACCCTTGAAAGCAACCTCCTCGACGTATTTAGTGACATTGATAGGAGACATGCGTTCAGGATCTGGAGAACCAATATCTGTGTGTAAAAGCTTAAAATTAGTGACTGAAAAGGAAATAATAGCAAAAGATAGCACTAGGTCAGGCGTTCACTCTCCAAACCATACAGTACCTTTGGCTACACGTCGACCGGCCTCGATGGCTTCAACTGATTTGATAAGCTGCTTCTCATCTCCCTTAAATCCCTGTGGCAAGACCACACCAATGGAAGAAAGAGTCTTGTACTCCTTCTTCGTACGCTCATGATGCTCGCGCACGTTGATAGGGTCGAATGTTCCGGCTAAAGCACCCAACAAAGTGACCTCTACAAATCGAGAATAATCATCTTCACCATTGAAAGTCCATGCGCCTGGCGATGAAGTTGGTGGATCAGCGAAATAGAATACGGGTGATCGAATACCAGCAGCAAGTGCGCGTTTCACAGCCTTCTGAGCGATATCTAAAGGAGGTCTCAATAGTTTAATACGAGTCACTGCATCGGTTTAGCTACCATACCCGGTGTCCTACCTGTGAAACGACGGGAATCGTCGAAGTCACCGTCTAAAGATCCAGTAGGCGCCAGAATGACTCTACCACCGGGAACTTGGCTCTCAACAAGGACTTGGACTTCGGAGCCAAATTCCTGATCCTTCTCGATGAAAGCAGCGGCAGAAGGCATGACCGACTTGATAGCGCTCTTGTCCGTGAATACTACAATAGTACCGTCATAATCAGACAAAGACTTGAGGGATTCGGCAGATCCAGCATGAAGCTGAATGGATGGAAGTGGCAACGACATTAGAGTAGAGACAAAAGGCGGAGGCGTGCGAAAATTCTGGTAGAGACGGAATTATATGCTCAAAATTTTTACCGCAGTCAAGCTTTTTTTTGTTAAAATAATCCTCAGTTTATCGATGGGGGCATCGTCCGCCGCAGCTCCTCAATTGAATCACCGTTTGTTCAATGCATTAATGAAGAAATATATCGTAATAATGAATAATAGTGCCTTCCTTACAACAATCCTAATGTAATTAATTATAGCACATCAGTGAGTCTTCGTCTAATAATACATTTTTCTACTTCTACAAATGCTGTCATGATAACACAGCAAATAAGGACTTGGCACCATTCTAGCCACCCAATTTGCTCAAGCAGTAGCCAACTGGCCAATGCTACAGGAAAGAAATCGATGAGAATGAGCAGACAATGTGACAGACTGAGGACAATGTTCCATACCTGGTATGTAGCAACCAGCCACCATAGCTCCAAATGAAAGTACAAATGCACCTACGATCCACTTATTGCCAAATATGCCAGTTACAAATACAGACTGGCTAATGGATCGGGAGAAAAATGATTGCAAAAGTTGCATTGTAGTCATGTTGACGAATGCCTATTGAGATGGAACATTGATGTAAGTAGTTGCTCGACAAGGCAACATTGAGGTAAAATGGTCCTTACCACTGATTGTGCAGCACTGAGTGGCATTTTCAAAACCATCAAATCAATCACGTACAAGCCCACTGTCAAAGCACATATTAAAAATGCTTGGAAAATGACAATAGTCCAGGTAACTTTCGTAAGAACTCCTTTTTTGGGGTTACGAGGATTGCGATTCATGATTCCAATTTCCTTGGGCTCAACGCCGATAGCCATTGCGGGAGGGACATCAGCTGGTAATATGAAATCTCAATCAGTAAGGCAGGAAACATATAAATAATCTGGTTAATTGCCATGGCTCTTACCAATGATGTTAGCCCAAAGAATGAGAACTGTACCAAAGGGCAATTCCATCCCAGAAATCGCGCACACCAGATTCAAAAAAATTTCGGCTCCATTACAGCTCAGAAGATAAACAATGAACTTCAGGATGTTGTCAAAAACATGGCGGCCTTCTTCAATTGCCGACACAATGCATGCAAAGCTAGCAGTTCACATTATTAAGCTATTATCCCAAAAAGCGAAGACGCAGTAGTCAGGATAATTACTTACTTATCATCGGCAATCACCACGTCAGCGGCTTGCTTCGTTATTTCTGTTCCAGCCAAGCCCATTGCAATGCCAACCGATGCGCATTTGATGGCCGGAGCGTCTGCATAATGCGAAGTTGCAGAGGGTGAATCAGAAAATCGATGACGATAAAAGGTTTCCAGTCAATGATCTACACTGCTTACCATTGACACCATCACCAGTCATGGCTACTTGTTCTCCTCTTTCTTGCAAAGCCTTGACAATCTTTAACTTGTTATCTGGACTCACTCGAGCAAAAACATTGGGAAATGGATTTAATCCTAAAATAGCTTCATCGGAGAGGAGGTCTAATTCGCTTCCAATCATGGCGTATGCCTATATGTCAATTCAAAGTATGAGTGAGTACTGTCATTAGACTTTCTGTTTAACTATGGCAAAACAAAAACCCTTACCGTGCAAGTATTATTGGGCTGAACAATTCCTAACTGGGTTGCGATAGCTGTAGCAGTTTGCACATGATCACCAGTGATCATAATGACTTTGATGCCAGCTTGCTGGCAACGGGCTATAGCATCTTTCACGCCTTCTTTTGGAGGATCAATGAGTCCAATGAGTCCAATGAAAGTTAGGTCAGCTTCGTCATAATGGCTATCGTTTTCCTCGGTTGATATCTGTAGGGCGTTAATGACATCGACTTTACGATAAGCTAGACCAAGTACACGAAGCCCTTCCTTAGCCATAGAACAGCTTTCCTCAGACACTTCATTGATAAAATCCTCATTAATAACTTGATCCTCAATGCGCTCTCCATGAATAATGGAATGTATGGAGTTGGATTTCGCAGTCGGTTCGCAGAAATGAGTGCATTTACGAAGTACCTCTTCAGGCGCTCCTTTACAAAGGACATACTCAATGCCCTCAGAGCTTTTCCAGACCGAACTCATGAGTTTTCGCTCGCTGTCGAATGCTTTTTCATGGACCTTTGAAAACCCTTTGCTTAACCAGGTTGCACGAGAAAGACCGGATTTGGTAGCGGCAACGAGCAAAGCAACTTCAGTTGGATCTCCAATTTCTTTCCATTCACCTTCAGAATGGCTAATTGATGCATTGTTACATAGTGATGATACCATTAAGGCTAGAGTCATGGTAGGCGCATTAGCGGCGATATTGCTAGGCGACACTTCTCGAGATGAAACTGCTGGTGTTAGTTTGTTTAGAGATGGGACTCGGAGGGATGGAACTGCTTGCGATATAATCTTGCCATCCAAAGGACTTGAGCTTTGAGATTCCGTAAATCCATATGCTAGTCCATCAGTTGTCCAAAGTTCGGCCGCTGTCATTTTTCCTTGGGTGAGCGTGCCCGTCTGTTAAAGTATGATAAAAGTTTAGCCTTCTGTGCTGTGAAGAAATAATAAATCGATGTGACCTACCTTATCCGAACAAATGACGGTTAGACTTCCTAATGTCTCGACAGCAGGAAGTGTTCTAACGATACAATTGCTACAAAACAGATGTGTAAGAGGATATTAAAATCAAGAATACAAATGTTGCTATACTTACGCAGCAGCCATACGACGAACCGCTAATGCCATCGTGACAGTGGTAACTGCGATCAAACCCTCAGGAATGACAGAAACTGCCAAACTGTACAAAGGGATGTAAATATGAAGAATTAAAAGGTGGAGAGCTTCAGCTTTCTAGTTCATCTGCTTACCTCAAGCCAATGTTGATGGTAGTTTTAGCATCCTTTTTCCATGCAAGGCCAATACCAACAACAAGGGCACATAGTACGACTGCGATGATGATAAGATACTGGCCAAGCTTTGCTAATTTCCTTTGAATAGGGGTAATGACTCTTTTTTCTGATCCAGAATTGATCGCCATACTAACTTTGCCAATCTAAGGTGTTTCGATCGTAAGTACGTCATTAAGGTTAACTCCTTCAGAAGCTTCATTTGCTCCTTACCTCCGTTTGTGTTCCTGTACGGACTACAATTCCCTTGGCTCTTCCTTTGGCCACCACTGTGGACATGAATGCATTGCCTTTACAGTCGCCCAATGGAATGCGACGAGTCTAGAGGTTATCATTTTCAGGAAGTGGTTGTAGCATATGATGCAACTTTTTGTAAGCCTCAAATCTTACTAACTTTACCAGTTTAATTCGAATACTATACCTTTGCGCTGACAGCCTCTATCGTTTTCGTGGTTGGAACACTTTCACCCGTCAAGACACTTTCCATAGCTTGCAATTGCGAAACTTCAATAAGTCTCAGATCTGCAGGAATAGCTTCGCCTTCCTCCAGAATGACCAAGTCCCCTGGCACTAATTCAGATGAATCAACGTTTTGTAGGACTCCATCTCGCATTACATTTGCTTTGGGTACTGTTAGATCCGATAATGCCTCCAAGGTTTTACTAGCTTTGAATTCCTGCCAAAAGCCAATGATGGTGTTTAAAACAATGACAACAAGAAGCACAGCCATGGATTTGAAGTCTTGTTGCGCAGCTTCCACAATACTAGCTATGATGAGAATAATGACCATGAAATCGGCGAGTTGACGTCCGAGTATTTTTAGAGCACTTGATTTTGGTGGATCTGGTAACTGGTTATAGCCGTAATGACTGTACAGGGCAGGCAGTACTTCTGAAGGTAAACCTTTTTCTGGATGGGTATTTGGAAACATTGCCAGAAGCTTTTCAACCGTGCGATCAAAGTAGAGAGCAGGTGGGGCATATTTTGTGCCTCCAGGTTGAGGCATTTTGTAACTGTAGGATTTTTCGAGGTCCTGAGCTTCGGGGCTTGTCAACAAGCTCTCGACAGTACTATGCTCATCTTTAGCGACCAGATCCTTCCAATCGTTGAATTGAGGAAATGACCTTGTGAGCATGTGCAAGATAGCCAATGCGGCCTGCTTTTGCTCAGCTGTACAGTTCGGGAGACAACGGTAATGTATTTTAAGATTGAGACGTATTTCGTGAGCCAGTCGACGACCTACTACACGTCTAAAATCGGATACTAAAATTTGGATATAAGTGACAAGCATCATGCAGCGAGGCATGCAAAAGCACACGGGATATATCACCGTACCTTCTTCAAAAAAGTCTCCAAAAAGGAAAAATGCCATGTCAGCCTCTTCTGTAGGTCTTTTCCGTAGTAAATTGCCCTTGGTCTTGCCAGCAAGAAGCAATAAGCCTTCGCAAAGACGATCCATTAGAGACTCATCAAGGTCTGCAAAGTGGCCGCCACGGATGCGATGATCCATGACATATTGCAATCCCTGCAGAACCTCCATTAAGGGGATGTCTGAATTTTGTATTGAGCCGACCAAATCATGAACTAGAGAAATGTATAAAACATGAAACCATAAATAAGAGATGAACAGATATAATAGGGCAAGTGTTTGGAAAATAAAGTTGACGTGTGGAGTACAAACGATCTACATATCCGCACGTACCATTTATCTCTATCTGGTGTTCTGTTGAACGACGACCATCTTTGAGTACTTGGCCGCCAAACTCGATATCTTTTTCGCTATATACATCTTTTGCACACAGCGTTGAGGTGGACACTGTACTGTCGGAAGAGAGCTTGTCCATAAATTGTAAATTGATACTCGTGTAGATGAAAGAGCAGACGCCGAAGGAGATAGTTTATGAAAAGATAAAAGAGAAGGTTTCTGGTTGCACCAATGTTCCAATCGGCTATTATCTGATGTTCTTCCCTTTTTGTTGAACCTCGTAACTAAAATGTCGTATGACTGAAGCCGGCAAGATTGGCAATGTAATATGAAAACTATCCAGCGTTGCCGATAAATACGGCTTTCAACTCTCAGCAGTCTGTATGTCAGCAGCCATTTTTTTCTATTTATTTTCATTATTATTTATAGCCAGTCGACTCGACTGGTAAAGCTAATCCAACGAGATGTGAATAGGAGTAACTCAAAAATAAGGAGGCATACAATAGCACAGGGACCTAGATGTTTTTTTTCTTGAGATTTCTTCACGTATGTATTTTGCGGAATGCTACTCCCCTGTAACGGATGCCACTTATCGTAAAAAATAAAATATCTCTTTTGATCATACGTATCATGCCTGATGTGGCAAGGCGTCCAGGTTCAGGATCATCATCAACCTGCAGCGATAGCGACCTGAATGTAAACGGCTTAATATACACATGAGTGCTCAGGAGGGTTTAGTCAAGTTTCCAACAAAAGTGCATATATTCTGCAAGGAAAAGAGCCACACAGGCAACATTGACTTACAACAATTACCGTACGGGACGTTCTATGAAATGCTAGGAAAGATAGAAGCTACTGATGTTAATGTTTGCTTTGAAATATGGAGGGTACGATTCACAAAATGAATTGCATCAGAGTCAGCTACGACATGCCAATAATGACTTCTAACGCGTTGAAGAAAAATGAGTTTTCTTGGCATCTAAATGCAATTGGACCGAACATGGAAATACCACTCGACTATTTGAGGAGCTGGCCTCAACCAGTCATATTACTGTCCCTGTAGGAGCCCATGGTTTTGAATCCACTTGTTTACGGGGATCAAATCGTACCGACCTATGTAACCGACCACCTTGAGGGTATGTGGATACCATCTACGGGTCCTGTAACACTTGATAAGTGGATTTCTTTAGGATGCAGTATTTACTAAATAAAACGGCAAACGCTATCGGTTTAAAATTCAGAGTTCAGCATGAGCAAAATCAGATTACCGAAAAGGTAAAGATACGTTGCCAATACTTCCAACTTTGCATCCCGGTAACAGGCTATTAGGTTTCTTTTTATATATGTAGAACAAGATTATACAAGGCAGCCCTCGATGCTAGGCGTCAAAGAAAACAAGAAGAAGCCAAATACATGCCTAGCATAAGAAGGCAAGGAAAAAAACACAATATATAGAGATCTTTGCCATCCTCAACACCGCATCTATTCGATATCCTGCTTTATGCATTTCCGAAATACCACCACAATACCATCGCTTGTGCAGCTTGATATACCCTCCAGGAGACAGACCACATGACCTCTCGTGCACCAATTGAAGCATACATGCACAAATTCATCTGTTGTTTTTGCTTCTTCTAGAGCATCCCTGAGCTGTGGCTGGTCTCGCGGGTCAACATAGTTAAAAAAACTTTTTCCGATAGCGTCTTCGATCCGTACGCCAACCATTTCTTGTGCAGCTTGACTGACGAATAGAATACTGAGAGAGCGTGTAAATCGATTCAATATCACGGCGAATCGTGGTTCCAGGCTTCTTTGCGTGTCGTCCCAGTTATACCGTTCGATCTGTAGTCCCATAGTTCGTTCTTGATTCTCTGATCCTTGGACCATTTCTAATGAGCCATCGGGTTTTATAATGTGCAATGTCAACGCGGATTGAGCACGAACGTAATGCCTCTCTGTCTCTGGTCGTCGAAGGAATGTGGCCAGTATGACAACGTCATAGCAGTAGTGAAAGATCGCTTCAACATCCGCGTACTCTCCGTCAGAACGTTTATATCGGCAATAAGTTAGAGCGGATACTTCTTGTGCTTGAATTCTTGCCATATTTAATCGTCGTATGGTAGGTGCTTCGTCCGGGTGCAAAAACTCGAACGCGGATCTCCCCACTACGTCTTCCGGATTGTAACCAAGAACATCGGTAACACTGTCAGATGCGTATAGTATCTTGCTTTCATCAGATGTGTCATGAAAGCTTATAAAATTTATATCCATTAAATGCTGTTTGTCAGACAAAATGAAAAAATTTAAACGTCGACGGGAGAATCGTCCTTTTATATGTGAAATTTGATTTAAGGTTGTGTTGCAAAGTCTGGGCGACACATTTACTGACTGGTTTGTACACAATGTACCCTCCATATCCTTACGTCCTTTATATTGCGTTGCTTCTTATCATGCCGTCGTTGACGGGAAATACATTGTGGAGCGCTCTGTATAATGCCTGAGCGATTCCCTGTCATAATGCTTGGCTACAGTTGGTGTAGCTGGCAGCCAGAAACGGAGAATATTAACCGACAACATCTTCGTTATGGCTCCAGCCTTTCGTATTCTTCTTGAAACAGTTTACAATTGACATTTGATAATTGCATCTTTTTTTTTATTTAAAGGGTAACTTCGAGGGCTGCTTACACAACTGAGTATCTACCAGTAGCTCCTCCACCACCTGTACGAGCGTCCTGTTCCATTTGAGCAACGGTAGCCTCCATCAATATCCGCTTGACTTCATTCTTGGCTTTATCTATGACCATTTCACTATCTCCCTCAATGAACAAGTACAGCTTTCGTTCATTTGCACCCGGTTGTCTACCAGGAGGAAAGTATGTACCACGTGTAGTAATGGCTGCTCCAGAGACTTCGATAATTTGAGTGATCATTTCCTAAAGAACGGGTAGAAACAAGTTGATTTAGATAAATGATGAAAACATGAGTGAAAGTGATACCAAGAAACACCATCTTACCTTATTTGTTACCCGCCATCTTGCTTTCTGAGGATAATCATTGATCTCAATTTCATAAGCAAATCCTGGGTTACCTTCTTTAGCATCTTCGTCTTGCTTAACGGCCGTTTCTTTATATTTGGAATTGATGTCGTTAATGATATCTTGAGCCTTGCGACCGCCTTTATTAGCAGATGATGAGAGAGCGTTGATTCTTGCAGCTACTTGCTCTACCGCCTTCTTGGCCGCCAGAGCTTGCGGCGTTAATTCTTCTGTACTCTGTGTAGCAAATGCATGTGGCGTTGGTCCGCTGGGCTCTGAGTCTGTTCGGGCACCGGCCCGAGTATCCGCCTGGACAGCTTTAAACTCCACATTGAGAGAATGCTCAGCTTCGTCCTCAGATTCCTCATCATCCTCGCCACCATATGCCTTCTTCTGGAACTTTTTGACCATGTCTCGATCTTTGTCCAGTCGCTCCAGACCTTTGCCTCCAAATCCGGAACTTGAGATCCGTTCTTTGCCACTTTTGACCTTTTCTTGAAATTCATCTACTAGTTTTTGTAGGTCGGTTGGCACAGGTTGATCGCTAAGTTTAAGTGCTTTGGCAATATCCATAGCATATCGATCTTGTTCAGGCGTAATGAAAGTATAAGCTGTACCCTTGTTACCTGCACGACCAGTTCTACCAACACGATGAACATAATCTTCCATGTGGTTGGGACATTCGTAATTTACAACCAGCTTGAGTTGCTTAACATCCAGACCGCGAGCGGCTACAGATGTAGCGATGAGAATATTGGATACACCAGCTTTGAAATCAGAAAGAGTGCTATCGCGATCCAATTGATCCTACCCAAAATAAAATAGAGCGGTTAGAATAATGGTCGTTATTTCAGCAAACAGGGTTATCCCAAACATACCTTTCCTCCATGCAGTGATAGGCACATGTAACCACGTCGAATCAGGTCACGTAAAAGGTTATCAGCTGCTTCCTGTTTATCGACAAAAATGAGGGTTCTTGCATCTTCATTCTCACTATTGTAGAATTGGCCAAGAATTTCCAATAAGCGCACAAATTTTGATTCGTCCTCTCGAACCTCCACAATTTGAGTCACATCCTCGCATACCACACTGCGGCCACCGACTGTGATCTCTAACGGACGTTTCAAAGCCTTTCTAGCTAGGGCTTCCATTTGCCGCGGAAATGTTGCAGAGAATAAAACAGTCTGCTTGCTTGGTCGAGCATTGTTGACGATCTTCATGACCTACAGAACGATTGGTTATACATTGGTTAACGCATATTGAATAAGCTGAGCATTTGTGCTTACGGAGCAAAACAAGTCAAGGCAGACGTACCTGAGGCTCAAATCCCATGTCAAACATTCTATCAGCTTCATCCAGCACCATATAAGTGACTCGACGCAAGTTTGTAACCCTTCCAGAATTAGCACACAGTAAATCAATCATGCGTCCCGGTGTACATACAATGATTTCAGCTCCACGCTTGAGATCAGCAATTTGGTCCTTGATAGGCGATCCTCCGTACGCACAGACGGCACGAAGTCCGAGAATTTTGAGGAATGGTTTGCATTCACGATGGATTTGCACCGCCAACTCGCGAGTGGGAGTCATGATGACACTAATAGGACCTTCACCGTTTTCTATAGGACGCTGATCCTTGATGTGTCGGAACATTGGCAGTAAAAACGCAATTGTTTTACCAGATCCGGTTTTTGCAACGCCGATCACATCACGTCCATTCATAATAGCAGGAATGGCTTGCGATTGAATAGGAGTAGGCTTATCATACTTGAGCTTACGGATGATCTCAAGACAGCCTGATGGTAAACCACAGTGGGTCCACTTTTGAATCGGCTTTGGACAGTCTACACCTCGAATTTTTATTCCGTCCAACTCAATACGGAGCAGGTCAACTTGATCTTGAGTGAGCTCTTTCAGTTCCGGGGGTTCGATGTAAAAGTCTTTTCGGAAGAACTCGTACTCCACTCGCGAGTGATCTACAGGAGCAAGATCCTTCTTCTTAACTCGCTTAGCCGCCATAGCTAGGATATCTTCTGGATCGGATCCAATGTCACTATCATCATCATCTTTATCCACTGGCTGGCCATCGTCGTCGTCATCAGACAATCGACCATCTTTTCCATTAGATTTGGAAGAGCCACTTTTCAACTTTACCAGGTCCTCATCATTGAGTCGTTGAACTGCCGCATCGACATCCACCATATATGCTTCCAGCGGGTCAACATCATCATCATGATCAACTTGCATTTTTTCTTGCTCTTTTTCTGCATTGCTTGGCTGTTTATCTACATTCATTGACTTTGGAGCTGTCTTCTTAGCACCACCAAGACCGTTGAGCTTATTACCGAGCCCCATTCCAAACCCAATGCGCATTTTCGATTTAGTAGGTGCATTGTTAGATTGACTCGTGTTTTGTGTCGTATCTGATGCCATAGGTTTACCAAATCCCTTGCCAATAGTCATCATGTTTCGTCGAACAGGGGGTTTGGAGACAAGAGATTCTGCCTTTTCGTCTTCAGCATCATCATCCTGCTTAGGCAACGCAAGGAACTTTCCATCATCTGGAAGTTCTGGAACAGGTTGTTGTTGTTCATTATCTACAGCCATTGTATCGTCATCTTCATCATCTTCCAAGCTCCAATTTTTTCCTGTATCGTTTTCCGCGGGTTCAGCATCTTCGTCCATAGCGTCTTCCATTGCCTCTGCTTGCTCTCCATCAGCCTGAACATCAACTTTTTCATTGGTATCGTTTGCAACTTCTGAGGGTTGAGCATTAGATTCGCCTTCGGGCATTTCAGCTTGCTTGGCAGCTTCTCTCTCTCTACGCCATTGTTCAACTCTCTCACGTCGTTGACGAATGACCTCTTCTCTATCAATTTGCTGTTGTTTCTCGTCGGCTGCAAGAGCAGCAGTTTCTTGCATGGCCTAAAGCAACACACGATATTAGGGTATGAGAATTGAAAATCATTGTATTTGAACAACACTTACCTGACTAGAACCAGCCTCAGCAGCAGGTGCTTTGGGAGTTTCGCGAGCTTTATCCAGATTATCTATATCTTGATTGATGCTATCTGGTTTGCGCATAGGTGATGCAGGTGAATGAAGTCGATCGTGGGATGATTTTGGAGTATCGTGGCGGTTATTGGATCTTACTTCGTCTTCTCGTCTATGGTGGGATCGTGATCTATGGCTAGATCTTCGGTCGTCGTGCCGTGATGATCTTGATCTCGACGAAGTTCTGTGATCGTCGTCGTTCCTTGATCGATGTGACCTATCTCTGTCGCTACTGCGGTCTCGCCGCGATCGATGTCTGTCTTCTTCTCGCGACCGGTGAGAATCTCCGTACCGATCTCTATGAGAGTGTTTCCTACGCTTGTAAGAAGGAGACGGCGAACGCTGTCGTTCTTTAGAATATGATCGTGGTGAAGGCCCCATGAGTCAGCACTACTTGGTCAAATTGTATTGATTCAAAGACAAAACCAGTCAGTAGGGGCACCATTTTTGGGTTAACGAAATGAAATGCGTGAGTCACGTGCAGATTCAAGGTAACCTATTTTCCGCCAGCACTTTTTCTCAGTTATTCACCAACGCGCAGAGTATGGATGAGATCAGATCATTAGAAGCACAGGAGGCACTGAACAGTATGAAATTGTTTTAATCTCGATTTTAACGCTGCCACTAGTACTTACATGCTCTTCCCTTTTAGCTCTTTTCGAAATTTCCAACATTTTGAACACGGGACTGAGTAAGCAAGCGTTATCGACATGTGTGTCTTTATGTGAGAATGGCGCCAATCCTGAAGCTCTCGCAGTATGTATTAAAATGAATGGCAATTATTTGGAAGCATTAGCTAACACGGCGTCTTTGCTAACGTATCAATTCTCTATGTTGCATCAGGCGGTGATTAAAGACCTTCAAGGCGAAGTCAAACAACTTGATGTAAGCTGCGCGCACGATATTGCTCATACCTAAAAGGCACTGTTACTTAAACCCTCTTCCACAATGTGAATGTCCCTTCACAATTAGAAACCAAGCTCCTGATGTACATACTATATAGCACTATATCTTCGCACATGCAATATTTGAAATAATGGACGGCATGATCGCCTGATAACCACATGGTGTACGTTTGTTTAAAAAAAATGGTCGAACAGTAGCCACAAGTATAAGAAATGATCTGTTCATTGATGTCTGGCACTGTCAGAACACATTGTACCGCAGTGCCTACCGGTGAGCTGCGGCTGATGACTGACTCAGGGTGTGACTTGCTTTGAGAGGTCGCATATAATGAGAAGCTCATATGCGACCTTTTGCTCCCAAACTTTATTGTATTACACGTATGACAGCGTCCGAGAAACTCACTTCGAGGCATAACTTGGGTGATAATAGACCCGTAACTGACGACACTGTCACGGAATTAGCTTCCAAATTAGTTGATGCTAGACTCAATGGCTCTGATTCTAAGGCTGTCTCCACCAACATGTTCGATCCTAATCATGAATTTGATCTTGCTGAACTAGAGTTGGACCATGATATTGCTCAGCTTGCTGAACAAAATCGCCCCCGCAAGGTGAGTACCTATACCGAATATGCTTCAAACTTATTCAATCGGCGATTAATCATCTCAAATCGATGGCCTCAAGTCCAAACTATTGGACCCGACAGATAGAGATACTGAGGAATACAAGAAAATGATTGAGGATCGTCTCATAGAGGGCCATGGAGAATTCATGATGGAAATCGGTCTTGAAGGTATGTTAGATAAATGGCATATCAATGATCTGTCGGAGATTTCGCTCTGTAACGAGTGGTACTTAGTGTGGCATTTTGTCCATATTAGACGATGGTTCGCCGATGAATCTAAGCGATGAGGATCTGAAATGTGCGTTGACCAACTTGGAAAAAATTCTGGTTGAAGTAGATGCAGACTATGCAATTATGGATGAGCGGAATATTAGCGAAAATCCTTTCCCTGAGATCAAGACCAAATACGTCACTGAAGAGAAAGCCCCTGAGGAGGCGAAGAAGAATGATCTTCCAATAACCAAGGTGGCACATATCATGATACGAAAGAAGAATCCGACCATTGACAGTATTCTGGAAATTAGGGTGGCCGTTGTAGGCAATGTTGTAAGTTGTAGCATTCACTTTTGTCGGAAATGGACACGATGTATTTCGTTTTCTTTAAACGATACTTGTTTTTTTATTGATTTCCTTTGGCATATAGGATGCTGGAAAGGTAGACAGTATTGAAAATTGACGTCGAAATTGAACGTTAATTGTCTATTTTTGACTTACAATTGTTTTGCCGTATACCAGTCCACTTTGCTTGGTGTTTTGACCAAAGGTGTACTTGACGATGGGCGAGGAAAGGCCCGACTCAACCTTTTTAGGTAATAACAACTGAGCCATCAAAATTCGCAAAAATGGTGTTTGTTATTGACGTTTTTCTTGTAGACATAAGCACGAAGTAGAATCAGGACGAACATCCAGTGTAGGAATGGAGATCCTTGGCTTCAATTCGAAATCCATACCTATCACACATCCAAGCAACGGAGGACGGAAGCTGACATGGGAAGACATTTGCAGTCAAGCTTCGAAGGTAGTCAGCTTCGTAGATCTCGCTGGTCACGAAAAGTACTTAAAGACCACTGTGTTCGGCATGACTGGCTGTGCACCGGACTTTGTCCTGTTAATGGTAAGCATTAGTTGGCGAAACTAATGCCCTCTAGATAGTACTGACAAAGAAACCTTTAGGTGGGAGCGAACGCTGGTATTATTGGAATGACAAAAGAGCATCTTGGTCTTGCTCTTTCACTTGGAATTCCAGTGCTGGTAGTTATCACAAAGATTGATATGTGTCCTCCAAATATCTTGGAAAGCACCATCAAGCAGTTGGTCAAAATTCTCAAGTCGCCAGGTTGTCGGAAAATCCCAATGTTCATAAAGACCAATGAGGATGTAGTAGTAACTGCGGTAAGGCTCTGAAGAGCAATTTGGTAGCTCTGGTAAACACACAATAACGATTTTTTGGTGGGGCATTTAGGCGAACTTTGTGAGTGAGCGCCTGTGCCCAATATTTCAAATCTCTAATGTCACTGGCGAAGGATTGAGCTTGGTTCGCAACTTTTTAAATATCCTCCCTTCTCAGGCAAAATACGACAGCTCGCTACCATTTGAATATCAAATTACTGACACCTTCTCAGTACCATTTGTTGGGACCGTCGTTTCCGGAGTAGTTATTTCCGGTGTGGCTCACATTGGAGACAACTTATTACTAGGACCTGATTCACTTGGCCATTTCATACCGACAGCGATAAAAGGTATACAGCGAAAGCGAGTCAATGTACCAGCAGCTTCGGCTGGCCAAGGTGTAACGTTAGCTTTGAAACGAATACGGCGCAGCCAGATCCGAAAGGGAATGGTAATGCTCTCACACGATAAAGATGCGCCAATGCCAAAAGCTTGTCGTCAGTTTGAGGCTGAGGTCCTCGTCCTATACCACTCTACAACCATTGGACAGAAATATCAAGCTATGGTTCACTGCGGATCCGTGCGTCAGACTGCTCGAATTGTCAACCTAGATCAGACAGTGTTGCGAACAGGTGACAGAGCGACGGTGGTATGTATATTTTGATGCGATGAGCTGTATGAAACCTAGTCCTTTCTTTCTAAAATTGGATCGTTTAGACCTTTGAGTTCATCAAGTGCCCGGAGTGGCTGAAAGTTGGTGCTAGAATTGTAAGTTGGCTTTGCATGGTTTATCAAACTTAAGATAGTCACTAACCAACTTAATAATAGATATTTCGCGAAGGTCGGACAAAGGGTATTGGAAAGGTTACGAAACTCTTAACAGAACCGATAAAGACGACCTGATCCTGTATAATATATAGCATTCGAGTTATTTTCCACTCCTTGCCCTTTTTTTTTTTTGAGCACCCAAAGAACCCAACAATAAATATAACAACACATTCATGACGGTTCAAACAATTGCATCGCTTTGCCCCTTTCTAGGTTTTCCGATCACAGGGCTTTACGAATCGGTAGAAGGGGGACTTACTTGAACTTTTATGGAGAAATTGAACAAAGAACTATGATAAAATAATGTTTTATTCCAGAAATGATTGAAAAATGCATCGTATGCATTGTCTTATTGAAATGTGTGTACAAAAGCAGAAAAAGAGAGACACAATGGTATATAACTGGGTCAAGCGTACTGGAGTTACAAAATGAACACTATCCATACGGCTACAAAGAGAGTTGAAAATGTATACAGGTATATGGAACATGACTGTGAAAGTTTGTGTTATTTTCGGCTACCTGCGAGGCTTAAAATCACTTTTACAGGTTCACTTCCCACTAAGCCTGTGAACTCGTAAATGTCGTCTCATATTGCTTTGTACGCTGAATTTGCGGTCGCAACCAGGGTGAAGGCATTGGAAAGGCTTTTCACCAGTGTGTGAGTATGTATGAATTCGAAGTGAGCTCGGTCGACTAAAGGCTTTTTGGCAATAAGGGCAGGCGTATCGGCCTGAACCAGCAGGCGAATCAGCAAATTGGCTGGGGGGAGACGCCGAGCCTGATCGTTCGGAATCTTCTTCTTCGACATCTTCTTCCATCTTCTGATTATGCACATATTCCGATGTCGTCGCTGAGATGGCTCGACGATGCGATTGTATGAAAGAAGAAGATTCTGCACGATGAACGTGGTGACTAAAATCAGATAGTGACCTTCCATGTGTGTACTGTTTCTTCACCAACTGCGGTGGCTGAAGTGGATGTTGTAAATATACAGAATTGTTGGCGGGAACTAAATTTGGCCTCGCTTGCATCGACAGATCCATAGCTGTAACGTACGATGATGGTTGCTCATAAGGTTGGTATGATTGGGGTGCAGAAGGACGGGGAGGTAGCGCTTGGTTGACTGCACTGGGCAATGCAAAGGCGGAAGTTGGTTGCTTAGACCAACTTCCATTACCTACGGCAGCAGAGTGCGCGAACGGGTATGAGCCAGTCATACTTTCGCTGTAATGCCGTCTATGTCCATACATGCGCGACCCATGATTAAGTTGGCGACTTGGCCCTGCTAATGAAGAACAATGTCAGATGTGAAATGGTCTATTGGCGGAGTCCTGTTCCCACAAAGCGTTACCTGCAATAGTGGGTATGCGATCAGTCTCAGCCAGTAAAGGTTTGATAGAAGGTAGATTCGGCCTGTCTGATTGCATCACTATTTACTTTTGCAAGGGGAAGAGAAACGAAAAATAGATAAACCGAACGACTTGGCACTAATTTTTATTTTTTATTTTTTTTGCGCAATCCAAAAGGGAGATCCCCCAGCCTCTTTCCATGCGGATCATTCGTCGATCATTGAAATATTTACAACCTGGCGCAAAATTGGGTATTTCTTACCCTGACCGAAGTCCTTGCTTCAACCTACATTATGGATTTCACCTAGATGAATGCCTTCTACACTTCTTCCTTAGTCCTAGTTCTCTTCGTTACCATACTTGGACGAGTGAGGCAATTTCCACTTGTAATGTTACACGAATTTTCATGCACCTCTTGGCTTTTTCGGTCTGACCTTGAGTGTATGAAAAATAATAAAGAATGGTGCTGATTAAGCCATTTGGCAGCGCAATCCAGCCCTGTCGATCGTACGACTTGGAAACAAATAGGACCTCCTTTTTTTGAATGATAGTGCAGCGTCAATTCGTGGAATCCTTTTCTAATTCATTTCTTTCGATGATGACATAAGGGGATGAGTGGTCTTTCTTTAGTATCTAAATTGGAAGACTTCGAATTTTCTACCACTGTATTCAAATTCACTAAGATTTTCTATGATACCCCCTATACACATCAACTGTTTGGCACTACAAATTTAATTTGAGCTGGTGTTAGGTCAAATGCGTTAGACAGCAGTTTACAACACAACTGATCAGCAGATGTCCTCCCTTTTTCTATGATCGTGTGGATTAATGTTAACGACACTTGATTAACCAAAAAAAAATAATTATATAGGGTAAAGCTTGGATCAGCGATCAAAGGCAGCGACCTGCAGATCTATAATTTTTCAAGTGCTACCAAGCTCTTTGATCTATCTGCACCTTCACATCTATGTTGTTGTATACCACCCTGTCTTCTTCTTCATTTTACCGTTTATTTGCTGGCAGTTACCCGTGAATTTCAAGTAAACAATTTATTTAAAGCTAGAATATTACAACTACCGTCCGGAAAGCGAGTTGAAACATGGCGAATTTGGATATTTATCATTGAAAGCAACACAATGTCTAACTTCTATTTGATTATGCATGATCATTTCAAATATGAGTTTATTCCATTATTGAAGTTATTACTTTAGATTGCTCGATAGAACAAATGAGACAATACCGCTAATGCAATCGCTGAAATTACGTAGTACACATAACCACTTTGTAGAAGTGGAAAAGAGCCATTTTGTATATCAGTTATGCTTGAGTAATGGAAGATATGTAAACAAAGAAAGCCAGGGCTGTAGGAAGTACGTTAAGCGAGTATGACTTGAAGGACCCACTTGTGGAATTCGATGGATTAGGCGCGTGTGTTTCCATGCTGGGTATCGACCCTCCTGGCCCCAAAGTATGAGTTGGTGACGGCGCACTGTAAGCAGGAACATCTGTAATATTGTTGGTCATCAGGTACGCTGGTGGTGCATTGGATGTGCCACATTGGTAATAGCTGATGCAATCATACGTGCAAGAATTTCGTGATGGGTCGGGCTCTGCGGCGCATTTACTCTGACACTCTTCAAGCTTCCCCTGGCAATCTGCAACAGCGACAGGCCACTGCCATTTGAGTGAGTCGGACAGTTGATGCTGCGACTTCGTTAGTACCGGAATTTGATCCACTTCTAAGAACTATAAATGAGGACTTCTACCTTGCAAGTGCACGCAAATGCTAAAGTTGTGGCATTGCAGAAACTGGGAGATGATGATTTAGTGTCTACCGCGATAGGTTAGGATCAGCAAATAGAAAGGTAGCTCGTACTTCCTAAGGACTTCAGTGGCACCAACACAGTTTGAACTGCAGAAGTCCACCTGGCGCGCACAAAGTGTATCACGAGCCGATGGATCAAGAGAAGTGATAACCCATGTTGTAGATGGTAGATTTGCTATGCATTATTATAAGCATTTGACCAGTGTATGCATAATAATATCCGGAAACAACATTCTGTACCTGGTTTAGCTGGCGTGCTGGAAGGAGTTGCCAAGTGTGAGCTGCTTAAGCAAGACACGATAGGCAAGGCAAGTGACCACAAGGAGCTTATTGTATGCGCTGTGAATATCATCGCTTTTGACGAAAACAAAGAAGCAACAGTTACTCCGCGGCATTTTTGCAGTCCCAAAAATCAAATAAAAATGACACAGACAGATCATTAAGACGCGAGTACTAAGCCAATGTGTCAAGTCAATATAAAATAATTGTGTTTGTGAGATAAAAGAAAAACGGGTACTGAGATGATGATCGTACGCCGCAAATTGAAGGCTACCCAAGAAATGGATGCTCAGCGTCTGCATGGGGCTGCTTGTTCGCATATCAGGAACAAGTGAAAAGTCAAATTTGAGGTATCCATAGATGAGAAGAGCTAATTTTTGTATGCCTTGATCACTTGTACATCCGTTGAAGTTTCAGTATTCAGAAGTTAGATTTCATATCAGAACATATATATTCATGGGAACATATAACACGGTACAATCTGTGATCTCCTTCTTTTCAACGGTATCTGGAAACATTGTGGTAATAAAAGGCGTTGACTGGCTATAGTAGGCTACTTGTGGTGGCACTAGTGTGTACGTATTCTACTGAAGTTCCTACAAATAATCCACTATGGTTAACGACATTAGGATTAAATGTAAAAATTCGATTGCATACCTTCAACGTAACTAGCATTCTCGTTTTTTTTATTTGTAACCAACGCGCGGTTGTCGGCAAAGTATTTGGACTACACAGTATCTTATGCAATTGCTCAGCTGAATAACCGCCGCATTTTGGAGGATCAGCTCAGGGGCATGATCCAAGTTCAGCGGCAATTAAATTTCAATTTTATATTCTTAATTAAATTAAATATTTATGGTGACGAAACAGCGGCGGTAAACCCTCCGCCAGCAAGATTGAGCATGGAGGAGCGGTAATAATTGGCCCAGGAAGCTGCCCAAAGAAGGATCTTTCTCTTTTTCCACTTTGAAGGTACTAAATCCATCATACTTTGGTTGAAGGATATGTAGTTCGACTGGTGAATAGACGACGAAATGGATACGGATGATATTTTTACAAAGCGTTGAATGATCGTACATCGAGATAATTTTGCGAAAGGCGGCAATCCATCCATCCATCCATCCATCGCCAACGACGCTATGAATGCCTTCAATGCTTCATCAACTTACATTAGCAACAATACATCGCTATGTTTATCTTGGAAAATGCGGATATGTAAAGTATCCAGCTGTCAATTACAACCGAATGGCCGCCATTACGATCATATAGCGAATTGAACATTATAGCCAATTTTTCACCCATTGAGCAATTACTCGAAACTGAAGCATTTGACTACTGTACCACATTTCCCAATCGCCGTTCAGCTTTAACTAACCATCTCTCATTTTCTTAACCTGCAGTTAGAAATGGCCCACGCACCTAGAAACAACTTCATTGCTCCTGGTGTAGCACGCTTCAGCCGTAGCGCTGTCTATGCTAAGAAAGGTCTCTACAAGCACGCCAAGCCCCAGGCTCAGGCTGCCGCTAAGGACAACGCCGCTGATAAGACTGTCGAACTTAAGGGTGGACAGAAGCGTGTTGTTCCCGCTAACAAGGCTAGCCGCTTCTACCCTGCTGAGGACGTTCCCCAGCCCAAGAAGTCTCGCAAGGCTGCCAAGGCTGCCTCCGTCCGCAGCAGCATCACTCCCGGAACTGTCCTCATCCTCCTTGCTGGTCGTTTCCGTGGTAAGCGTGTCGTCTGCCTCAAGACTCTCGACTCCGGTCTTTTGTTGGTCACTGGTCCCTACAAGGTCAATGGTGTCCCCATGAAGCGTGTCAACGCTGCCTATGTCATTGCTACCTCCACCAAGGTTGACCTTTCCAAGGCTCAGGTAAGAATCCTTGTGAAGCAAAGAAGGTAATGAGTTTTGATATGGCGATTTTAACATCATCTTGTTACCTTTATCAGATTGATGAGAAGTTCAACGATGCTTACTTCACCAAGAAGACTGTCAGCAACAAGAAGGGTTCTGAGGAAGAGTTCTTCGAGGGTGAACAAAAGAAGGCTGTCTACCCCGAGTCCAAGGCTGCTGACCAAAAGGCTGTTGACAAGGCTATCCTTGCTGCTGTCCAAGGTGTCCCCCACCTCCGTCACTACCTTGGTGCTTCTTTCAGCCTCAAGAAGGGTCAATTCCCCCACCAGCTTAAGTTCTAAGTGGAGATCAGCTCCTTGTTGCGTTTCACAATGGGAAAGCTCATTTCTATTTGACAAAACTTTTTTACTACAAAAAGGAATTGGCGGGTCATTTTCGAAAATAAAACCATAATTTCAAATTATCAGCTCAAAGATGACAGGATGTGTATGTTGCTATTTGAAATGTGGTGGCCAGATATTGTTGAAGCTGTCTAGTGATGCATCGCAAAGGTCGGTAGCGGGTTTTTGGGCGTTCAACAGATCCTGTTGATGAAAGCAGGTAAAGAGCTGTCGACAGGGGTTGTTTGAACGGTCATATTGTATTGTTTCGACCGTATCAGTAAGTATATTGGTCATCTCATGGTCATGAAAAGTGTACGGCTATGCTTCGACATCACCAACTTTTGAAATCAAGTTAAATGTCTATGAACTAGTTCATAGTTTCCAGACTTTCAGACATTAAGACCATCCTTATCATTCAAAATTCAATTACAACAGGTACTTTAACATGCAAGGCTGCTTTATTGATCAGCGCTTATAGATATTTACGAAAAGTCAGTACATATATTTAACGAGCCTTGGCAAAGCCAACACGGCTGTTACCATAATCATACACAGAGATGTATTTGCGCAAGAAGACATCTCCAACAATCCAGAGTGGGCCAGCGGGGGCAGGGATATCGAGACCCATGAAGCCTGAGATACACTGGTTTTGAACTTCAAGAATGTAGTCCTCAGCTGTGAATAGAAATAAAAGATATATTAGCTTAGAATTTGGGTTTTAATAAGTAACTATGACCAAAGATAATGAAACTTACGAGTCAAACAGAAATCCTTGCCGTTGAAAACAAAGCAGAAGTCGGGAAGGTTAGCCTTAGTAGCACAGTCAAGAGTGTACTTAAAAATGATAAAGATGCGCACATGACATGTTAATAAAGCTATGGAAGTAAATGGGGCATTGGTGAAGAACAGCAATCAACTTACCTGACCAGCCCAGTTCTTTTCAGCGCCAAGTTCCTTGTTGATCAATTCGGCAACATCGCTGGGGGCAACGAGGAGGGATGAACCAGTATCGATGGCTAGTGGCAAAATAAATATTAGCATATATGGCCATGCGCCAAAGCATCTGCTATGGGAATTGTTTATGTTACTCACCAGCACCAATGGGGTCAAGTCCAATAGCTTCTCCGCCGAACTTGATATCTTCCAATTCAACTTCCCAATAACCCTTGCGAGTGACGGGAGCGTAGTGGATATCGCCGGTGAAGTGAGCATCATCAACACCACCGAAGACAAGCTCGCCACCGTTAGACTCGTCACCACCTTCATTAGCATTGGAAAGGTAGAAGGAGAAAACAGGCTCCTCAATGAGGTCACGGTTGACCATGTGGTAGAAAGGAGGGACAACGCCCTTAACACTGATGCGATCGAATCCAAGTCCGAAAATACCGTCAAATTTGCCGAGAGCAAAAGTAAAACCTGGTTCTTTGACAGACTCTGCGAAATCCTGGTGGTCGATGCTAATGTCTCCAATTCTCAATACGTCCTTTTTTGCATTGAAAGTGTCAATATTTTGGACAACACAATGTTACTTAATGTGGAAAGTGTTGTTTACTTACATTAGAAATAAAGCCTTCCAAGCTACCAGTACCATATTGGATAGCGAACTCAGTTCCGTTTTCCTTGTAGGTATCAGACTTGGTGGAGTCATAACGACGGTGAAGGAAGCAAGCAATGGAGCTGCAGTGAGTGGAGGGAACCCAAAGGTTGGAAGAACCAGTATCGAGGACAACAGAGAAAGTTTGAGGAGGTGTACCAATCTCAATTTCACCATAATACTATTGAGACAAGCTGCTGTTAGCGTGACAGTTATAAAGGTGTTTGATTGTTACTATAGTTCATACCTGGGCGTTCATGTAGTTGGAGAGAGGAACACCATGTTCAACTCGGCCATTAGCGTCAGGGGCCGCGATCTGGTTTTGCTGGGCCTGGTGGCGTTGAGCACCGAAGTACTTTTGGGTCAAGTACTCGCGGGTATGGGTGTAGCGTTGAGCTCTGTCAGCAGAGGTCTCAGAGACTTTCTTGATAGGAACTCTATTATGAAAGAATAACGCGGGAGTTCAGTATTTGGAACGTGCACCGTATGCCAAGTCTTCGGTTGCTTGGCATCCCGAACAGAGCCTGTGCTGCAAAACTTTTTTTTTTATATTGAGCTATGTTTACCTGGCAAGAGCGTCAGCTGAAACAGCGAAAAGAGCAGCAACGAGGGTGGTGATTGCAGCAACCTTCATTTTTTGAGAATTAGCAACAACGAAAGGAGAGTGCAAAGTGCCGCTGCTTGGCGACGCTCTGGGAGAGGCATATTACAATTGCAGTGCGGGTGCCTGACGTCAGCTGGCTGTTCACGGTTTTACAGTTTCCATTTTGGGATGTGGACGCTTTCTTTACATCATCCAGCACAAAACAGTCTCCTGCATTTGAAAGTGCTTCCTTATGTTCGCTGTCCATAAATCTCGCAAAGTCTACTCAGATAGCCGTTGGGAAGATTCTCCTGGTCATATACAAACGTGACACTGGTTTGGAAGTTACTCAGTAATCGCGATATTGGTTCATTTTCAGTTTCGTAGTCTTGATCACAGTTGAGGCACTTTGATGTGGTACAGCCCATAGCCAGAGATGTAGGACGGGCTACGTAGGAGAAAGAGAGAGCAGAAATGGGAAAAAGTACTTTTATGAATGATCTCCTTGTCCCAAAGTATTTTGAGTTGTCTTTGTTATAATCTAGCCTCTGCTTGAGATTTTTGTTGTCCTTTACCAGAAAAATTTATTCACACCTTTCGTCGGAGGAATCATATCACCAGAAAGTAAAACCGGCCGAAATATAGCGCAGGTCTCGGTGCTTTATTATTTTACTAGAAGAACAAAAAAAAATGGGTGTGTATCGCCTTCTATTCATTACCACTCTTATTTCTTTAGTTTCTGCAACAATACTGTGCAGCTAGAATTGTCGCAATGGCAAAGTTCATCTCCCGACTCTTGACCTTCTTACTGTTGGCCAAACTCACGGTCCAGCAAAAATTGGAGCCAATAGTTTGCGATTGCGGCTTCACCGACGAAAACAATAACTACTGGAGCAATGTGTGGCATTCGGACTTTACAACATATCAAGACAGCATACATTTAGATAACAACTATGTAGTATCGACATTTACTATTCCTGCCAAACGTGAAAACTCTTTGGACCGCGTGTTCAGCAAAGACAATGCTGATATTCTCGACGGACACCTGCGACTTGCTGTTACAAACGATAACGGTGATATTAAGTGTGGTTCCATTAGTACTAGCAGGTATGGTGTACCAAACATTCGTAGTTTGCTCTGCAAGCCATGTTTAGTTTCATACAGATTAGATGCTCACCATTTCTTTACGCGGCGCCCATAGTCAGAACTTCCTTTATGGTTCTTTCAGAGCAAATATGAAGATTACGGCTGTTCCCGGAACTGTATCCGCATTTTACTTGTACAAGAATGACACTAGCGAAATTGACATGGAAACTCTCAGTGCAATCCATGATCCATGGCAGGTGTACCTCTCGGTCAAACCACAAATATATAACGCCAATGGATCAGCAGCTTATGAAACATTAAGGCGGTACACTGAGCCAATGAATCCTACCGATGTAACGTGACAGCTGATGCTAAGAAGTTGACCCTGAACAGATTATATTAATACCAACATGTTCTTTTTTTGACAGGATTTCCATGAATATCGCTTCGATTGGTTTCCTTCTGCCATCAACTATTATTTAGACGGTCAGCTTGTGGAGACCATAACTACAAATGTACCATCAGCTCCAGGACGAGTGTCCTTCAACCACTGGACGGACGGTAACATCAATTATAGCAAAGGCCCACCAACCGAATCTGCTTTTCTAGAGATAAGCAATGTCACTGTGTTCTATAATACGTCTTCTGAAAGTTCGTTGGGTTGCTCCAAAATGTCGGCCGGTTGCAACGTTTCAGGTAAATTATCTTGACAGATGGAGAAATTACTAGTACTGAGTCATAGTTCAGCGTCTAATTACTTCCGCGTCCAGATATTGTCCAACGGAGAATACTACCCGCTACCTCACTCAACTCTAATTACACTTCCCTTTACACTTCCAGCTCCAGTAAGCTGCAGGCCACTACAGTGCTTATAGCCGCCTGTATACTAATCTTGATCTTGGTGCAATAACGTGTGATGATCATCCGAGACATCCTAATGCACTGTATATTACATAAAGCGTATTTTAGCATATATATTTGGCACATATTCCGCTTTCGCAACGATGTGTACTTGTGGCATAGTGTGTGATTATGAGGAGAAATACGGGCGAATGGTACGCCACGCCCAGACCATAGTTTTCGAACTTTCATTGTGGATGCTCGGAGCTTACCGCAAAAATGTTTTTGCCGCACATATCGAATTAGCACCGTTGATTTCCGACGTACTCTCTCCTATAAGTGGAAAATACAACCCACTACGCGGTGAAAATTACATTGGCTGGACTTACAGTACTCTTCGTTGAATAATGGTCATCTTATCACATACCGTGTTGGCCGATTTGATCAAGATATAGTTCTGACAAGGTGTTTTCGACTGCGGAGTTATGTTGACCCTTCGGATCAGTAAAATGATATACACGACCGTTCGCTCGGCCACTTTAAAAACAATCCTAAAAAAAATTCAGATATAGTAAAAATCGAATCGCGGCAACTCTAATATCCCAATTCAGAATGCCATATAATGGCTTGCGTAATACGCTTTGTCTTTCCTCTTTCCTTTATTTGACTTTACACATTCAAATTTTATCCTTTGATCTAATTCACATTAGAAAATATCACCAGTAGCATGCCTGACACAGAAAAAGGGCAGCCATCATTAGCACGTCTAAGTCATGACGAGCAAGTTCCTGGTACAAAACAATCGTCTAAAGAAATTGTAACATCCAGCAAGAAACAAAGCATACAAAAATGGTTCAAAACGTCTATGGGAGATATATATATTCAGGACGACCCGATGGCTTACTCCCGGTCAAAGAAGAATGCTATCATCTTAGTCGTAGCATTAGGTGGTGTCTTTGGCCCACTGGCAAGTATGATCTACATGCCTAGTCTGGTGGATATCGCAAATGCACTACACACATCAACTGCTTCAGTCAACGCTACTGTTTCGACCTATGTGGTCTTCCTGGGTATCGGTGTAAGTGGTATAAACCTTTACGTGAATTCTAGGATTCTAATCACTAAGTCATAGTATCATCATAGCCTCTGGTATGGGCCAGTTTTAGCGACATCTACGGTAGAAAGCGCATGTATTTGATCAGCATAATTATCTTCATCATTGCATCTATCATATGCGCTATAACAGACAACATTGTGCTCCTGGCTATATTTCGAGCTATTCAAGCCTGCGGTGCATCTGCTGGGCAATCTGTTGGTAAAAATTTTTCCTGTCTGACGGCAAAACTATAACCATGATTCTGATCCTGCAATTTAGGCGCTGGTGTCATCTCAGATGTCTTTCCCACTGCAGAACGAGGCACTGCCTATGGATTCTTTTACATCGGACCGCTATGTGGGCCCGTCATAGGTAAATTTGTAAGGACAGAAACAGCATTGTCATGATTTGCATACTAATCGTTTGTTTGTTCTCGCATTGAAGGGCCATTGTTAGGAGGAATTTTTGGACAATTTTTGGGCTGGAGATCCAATTTTTACTTCCTTGCTATAGTGGGAGGTTTACTGTTCGTGATGGTGCTGTTCTTCCTACCAGAAACTTTGAGAAAGAAAAAGTTGGATGAAGCAGATCTATCCGAGCTGAAAGCAACCGCTAAGAAAGAAAGCACACTTAAGCGTGTTTTCGCGCCATTCAAACCGATGATCGGTCTACTGAGTTATCCTAACGTTATGGTCATCACCATGTATAACTCAGTCATATTTGGATCACTATATTTTATGGTAAGCAGTACACCCTATACTTCCCTTGTTACCTTCTGTCTATGAATTAAACAATGGGAAATATATTCTATTTTAGAATCCTACCATTACACAAACCTTCACAGAATTATACCACTACAATGATTTAATCATAGGACTTTGCTACCTTCCATTCGGTTTCGGACTCATGGTTGGATCCATCGCATCTGGAAAGTTTTCAGATTATCTTCTCGCACGTAGGAAAAGACAAACAAATGGTAAAGTGGCACCGGAATACAGACTCTTGGCCGCATTTCCATCTGTGATACTTTTGCCTCTTGGATTCCTTGGATATGGATGGAGCACGCAAAAAGGCGTGGGTGTCTGGCTACCAATGATCTCCTTGTTCGTATACGGCTTAGGACAAATGTGTGCCTTCAATGCCTCTTCGATCTATCTTGTAGACAGCTCTCCCGGCAGGAGTGCAAGCGCCATCGCAGTTAATAACTTTTTCCGAACCGTCGCCGCAGCTATCGTCACTGCATTTTCCATTCAGTGTTTGGACGCTATTGGACCTGGTATATTGTTTTCAATTCTAGCTGGCCTCAATGTTCTTAATATTGTCAATGTCTTAGTCTGCATGAAGTTTGGCGAAAAATGGAGAAAGAAAGCCATGGTACGAGAAGGTCTTGGTAATGGAGAAGCCTCAAGTATAAAGCCGAACGAAGAAACCAACTTGGAGGCAACGCTCTCACGGTGCGAGTCAATAGCATAGATAACCTCCCTATACCTAATAGTGAACCCCATTTACTCCATTTTTTCGTTATTGTATTTAATGTAATTGAAAATAGCATCATTCATAACATCATTTTTTGCTAGGTTTACTCTGTCATGTTGTCTTTATCACGTAGAACACATTGCATTCTGCTTTCGACGGAGGTCCAACCTTTTAATTTTGCACAGGGCAGCTTCCATAAATTTGACTGCCGCCAATTACATTTTTCGTGATTGAAATTTTTCGTGTATCATACGCGTCTTTTTTTTTTCTTTCGTCGCCTTGTTGTGGAATCCAATTACAATCTTGTACCATGGAATTTAACCTTACTCGGTTCGAAAAATCCACAACCGAAGAAAAGCCTCCCAAAAAAGATCTACTGTCTCTTTCTCGCAAAAGAAGAATCGGATCTGAAGAAGACAATTCAACAAAGCGACAGGCACTGAAACCTTCCAACGGTGCAGTACAAGGTAGCAAATGCAACGTGACAGATCACATTGCTGACAAATTACAAGACGTAAGATCATAGAGCAAATTTTATATACCTACTTAAATACAATAGCGTATGCTAACAAGGTGAACTTTAGTCACATATCTCGAAACAACCTAACAAGCCTTATTGTGACAAAGCATGTGCCCATGGCGAAGGCAGCTCAAAACATCACCAAATCCACTGGGGTTTCATGATGAAGGACAAACCTAAAGTGAAGAAGGAAGAGAACAAAAAGGTAGACTCTGACGAAGAGTTTTGGAAGAAGGCTGCCGAGATGGCTCCTGAAGACGATGTCCAATCCGAAGACGAGGACATGATAGAAACCTTACCTGGGACGCCATCATTCGACGACATGCCATCTCCTGTTGTAAACACTCTATTGGAGCAACTAGAAGCACAGCCAGAAGAAGAAGATGATGATACCCTTATGATACCAGACGACGACACCGACACCGAAAAGGAGGTTGCAAATGATAGAAGGAGTCCCGAGCCTTCAGAACAGGACATCCCAGCAAATGATGAAGAGGAAACTGAAAAGTCATCTGTTGTAAGGACAAAAGTACCGGGCGAAAACACATTTTCGCACGACTGTGTCAAAACTTGGTCTCCAGCGCGCATTCACGCTTGGGAGATACGTCGACTTGTGAGTAAAAATGCATACGTTTTTGGCAAGGAATAATTCTAATGATTATGCCCTTTGCCTAACTAGAATCCAGAAGCATTTTATTATCGTTTCGTTGGTAAGCATTTGTAATCAACTTGATAAACTTCATTGATAGCCACGTATTAACACTTCACTATTCAGATCCGGCTCAAGGACAAAGCAACGGAAGTTTCACAAAAACTGACCATGATAACTTCATGAAGCGAATGGAGGAATGGAAAGAAAAAGGCTACAGAATTGGCGCATCCTGGGGAATTTTTAGCATGGGGATTCCACACCGAGTGAGTTTTAGGACAGTTGTGGTGAATTGATAGACCTGTACTGACGTACTTTACAATAGGCTGGGTATCAATGCAGTGCATATTATCGCAAATTGATTCAATCCAAGAAAATTAAAGACGACGCTTACGCAATAGTCGACGGCAAGCTTAAAATGGTTGACAAAAATCGAACCAATGCTGGAGAAGCTGCTACCTCGGCACTTAGCTCAGCATGGGACCTTGACGAGGTTAAAGAAATTGAGAGAGAAGTAGATCAATGGCTGAAAGAATATCACAACAGAAGTGGAAGGTAAAAGAGCAAGGACATTTTGTTGCAATCATCGAAGAAGATTAAACTAACTGAAACCATTTTAGCATTGTTGCAAAGAAGCCAGCAGCGCCAAGACCCAAGGCAGCCCCCCGTGTACACAAATCTACCGCAACCAAATCAGGAGATATAGCGCTACTAGTCAAACAAAATATAGGAGTCGGTAATTTCAGATTGCTCAGTGACGAAGAAGCATTTATGCTTGCCAACGAGCCATCAGCGATAACGTTGAAGCGGCGCAACTGGGATTTGGAATGGAAAGAGAGTCTGCAAGAATACCGCAAATTCGTTGAGTAAGTTTGATGGATGCTTACTTACACAACCAAAAGTATGTCAGTGTTTAACTTGTTTTATTCAGGGGATTCCAAGATCCTGATGTCAGACGAAAATACCACGAATTGAAGAAGCAATGGCGCAAGGGCTTGATAACGACAGAGCTGTAAGTGGAAAGTGAGGTGGTCAATATGTACTTTATAATGTTTTTCATCTAATTTTTTTTTTTTACAGCAATATGTCGCTGAGAAGGCAGACTCAGAATACACCAACAACGACTGTTGCACCTACCACCAGTGCTCCAGTCGCCAAAAAACCAACGCAACTATCTTTGGCCAACTTCTTTTCTGGCGTCAAGAAAGTGAAGCCGAAGACTGATACTCCAGACGATTTGATCTCTAGATACATTATACCAAATGACTTATTCAGTGGAGTCAAACAAATGCGAGGGCTATATAATTCGAAGCGGGCATCGGCCACCGAACCAAAAACAGCATACTGGGAAATGAAGGACATGAACGATTGTGTGTCCGTGTTGGATGAAGTCATGTCCCAAACTGAGGCGGCATCATCACAGTCACCTATCGAAGGCATGTTAATAGATCCTCCGTGGGAGTTTTATGTAGCGGATGGGCGAAATGATGGCCGCTGTACTTGGAGCCTTACAGACATGGTGTGTTCACCGATTCTACACGTTAACTGCGATGGTGGTTTTGCTGCTAACCTTTATTATCGTTCCGGTAGATGTCTTTGATGGAAAATGTTCTACAGCATATGTCAGCGGGATTGATTTTTATGTGGACACACAAATCAACACAGGCAGATGTAGTGCGAATGATGTATTCACTTGGTAAGATATTTATTGTGCCATCGTTGTGTGATTTGTACCTGTATTTAACGATGTTGAACGTGTTCCAGGTTGTACATACGTGGAAAATCTGGTGTGGTTCAAAAAGACGCTGTCCAATGTATTACAAGACAGACCTAGTCCGTATTTCAGTTCTTCTAAAGAGATTCTTCTTATCTTCAAAAGAGGCGAAGGGTTTGAACTGAGACATCAACGTACGGCTGATGTTATCATTGACTTTGAACGGCCAACTGAGCAATGGATTCACGAAGGTAACGTTATTGAATAACACAGTCAGATCGAACAGAGCAGCTATCTAAAAGAGACATTCACAGAATACACTGAACTGAAGCCTCCTGGAGTGTACGATATGATTGAAACGCTACTTCCAAAAGCTGGATTTGATGAAGCTCTTGGACGAGGGCGATTTTTAGAGCTGTGGGCTAAACGACAAGCGCCCCGGAGAGACGGATGGTTAGCTTTTCACCATATTAAAACGGAAGTAGATACAGATGCGAAGCAAATCCATCAAGAGGAATCGATGGATACCGCCAACAACGAAACTGAAGTTGCATCCATGGCGGATCAAAACTGAAAAATCTGACAATAAAATGGGTTTCTGCGATGTTCGGAGAACTAAAATCTTTTTTTAAAATTGGTGTGCTTTGGGAAGTTAAGAGACGGACGGTGTACCAACTACATATTGTCATTCTGCATGGAGTTGCCGCAAGTTGGCAAGCAATGTACCGAGGCATCTTGCCGACAGCTAGGTATGTACTTTATTTCAATTTTTCAATTAAAGAACTTGGTGCTGTGCCTGATTAACCGGACTTGACCACTTACTTTTACTTCAATTGGTAACTCTAAGATTTTCTACCATTCACTTGTCCAAATTGCAACAAGGTATTTTGGTACGTCTCGGAATTTCCTTCTTCTTTGTACTAGTTTAGCACTGAATTATGAAGAATATATGCATTTGATAGCTAAACATTAACATAGCCAGGACCATTGGAAACGAGAGGATCACAAATGTCCAAGCCTGCAAGATCCCAATGCCGACTTTAGGTGAGGAAGCATACTATGGCAACTTGACATGACCTATATATACTGCATACTGATTATCCAGTACACGCTGTAGAGTACCGACTTGTCCCATATGCCACAATCCAGTGCCTATCAAGCGTGGAGAGGACCCAAATCTTAGGGTATGACGAATGTCTCTTCTGAGATTTCCAAGCTCAGTTTGTACTGACGTTTTTACCGCCCTGATAGATGAATCAGCACATTGAGAGTGGATGCAATGATAGACAAACTAGTACATCGCCGCCTTCAAACGTATGTAGGCAACAAGGGTGCAAAACAAAGTTACTGGTCCCTATGATCTGTTCCAGCTGCAAACAATCTTACTGCGTCAAACACCGCCTTGAGACGGATCACCAGTGCACAGGTCGAAGAGCAGCTAGCGCCAGCCCGTCACGCAGCGCTAACTCGAAACGAAATATGACAAAGTTTTTCCACAAAGACGTTCCTCCACGGCCTGCAAGTACCCCAGCCGGCGCCAATTCGAATCGTGCACCTAGTCATGCCCATGCTCAAACTGGCTTAGGCATCAGACCTATTGATAGGTAAGCATTCAGATAGAATTCGTACCTGGGCCATATGCACTAGTTAATTTTAAATAATAACCATTGTATTGGATACGGCAGAGAACACCAGCGGCATAGACAGGTTCTTGAAGACAAAATTAGACGGGGTGTAAGTAAAAAATTCATTGATGATGAACGCCAGTAGTGCTTCATGTCATAACTGACTGAACTCTATATAATTAACAGGTGGCTTTAACGGAATCTGAGCAAGTTGCTTTAGCAACCTACCGATCGAACGATTCTTCCTCCAGTGATGGAAAGAGCTGCATCATTTCCTAACTTCTCTAGCTTCCTTCTTTTGCCTTTGCCTTACATACCCCTTTTCAAACTATCCACTAGGGTTCCCTTCTCTCCTTAATGATTACATCTTTTGTTGCTACGGCAACTCATTGCTATCTTAAACGAATACATGCACCATGTATATTCAGTAAATTTCTACAGCATTCGTTATAGTAGTGTTGTTATATTACAAGTATTGGAATCAATTTTTTCATACAGTTGTCTACAGGATGAGTTATCATCTCATTTCAAAAGAAGTACTGGGCTTGTTTGTTATCAAGTTGCAGCTGTTGAAGAGAAGTGTCATGTCAATATGCTGCTCCAATACTGAATAAATTTGCATTTCAGTGCGTAAGACTTACAGGTTTCTGGACGTTGGTTTGAAAGTTCTTATCGTTTTCCGGCGCGGCATCAAAGACGTTAAAGTATCGTTCACCTTCTACACCCACCTCGAGGATAGAAGCCAAATTACCACATCTATAGCAGTAGTTCGGGGCAGACCACACAGTTGACAGCTGGTCATTGAAAAGCACCTGGTAGCCCGCATTGCAAAGTTGATGCGCTCTCAAGATATGCGACATTTTGTTTGCATCCAGAAATCGCTCTACGATGTGACTACCGAAGGTATAGCCAGCTCCTCTACATATCATGAGGCATATAATGAGATCGTGTTTAATCAATTCCTATTCATTGCCTTACTCACCTTGCTGAAATCGCAAAATCTTCTTTATCTGGGTCGGGATCAGACCATACCAGGTCTGCCATCGGACCTTCGTGTGGAATTTCTGGGAGGCAGATACTTTAGCATCTCTCCATGCAAAGAATGTATGTGTCACTACATCATTTTTGGCTGCTACGATCATTTACCTCGAAATCTATCCAAGATTTTAATTTGATCCAGGACATGAATGGTGGGTGATAGACCTGTGAGGCATTGTTAGCACAAGATACATACGGTCAACGTCTTTAACATTATCACAATGTTTGGCTTACCTCCGTGAACGCAAAATATTGAATTATCAATCACCACCGAGAGGGTCAAAAAGTCGAACATATCTGTAAAATATTGCCAGACGTGATGTGATCCATATTTCCTGGTGCACTCCGTATAAAATCCATAGGTCTACCATCAGATTAGCGACATCGAGCGTTCATCTATCCAGTCATGAATCTTTCTAACCTGTGTCACTGCTCTTGATTCATGATTTCCCCTAACCAGCTGGACTCGGCCAGGGTACCTCAACTTGAGGCAAGTGAGTAAGGAGATGGTTTCAACACTGTACAGTCCACGATCCACGTAATCGCCTATGAAACCAACAACAAGTTATTTACAATTTGATAGATGATTTTCATCCATAAACAGTGATTTTTACCTAAGAATAAGTAATTTGTATCGGGACAAAATCCACCTATCCGAAAGATTTCCAGGAGATCGTAAAACTGGCTGTAAAATAGAGGCCATATGTGATATAATGAGAACTGCAATCCACCATAAATGTTCTATTGCATTTCATAACCTACCCATGAATATCACCGACAACAGTGACAGGAGCTTTAATGTGAAGCACATTACTCTCTTGCATTAATAATTCCTTTGTCTTTTCGCAGATCTCCTTGATCTCTGCTTCCGACAGCAGCTGCTTGTTGTACAGCTGCTCAATACAGCGATCCAAATCGAGACCCATAGCTACCGACGCCCAGTTCTAATGGGCTACCAGGGATTATCGAGGATTTTGGGTGTCTTGCCGTCCGTTTTTCGGTGCTTTCGTACCTATTCGACTTACGCGTGAACAGAATGGACTGTGAACCCATTTCAAGCGGAGAGACAAGCTGGTAAGTCACGTGCAGGAAAGTTGGAGCTTCACATGGCAATACTTGCTGACACAAGGGATATTTTTTTTGGCTCTCACTACCCCACAAAACACATCTTCATGTCAGACAACGACGACAATCAACCTCCAAAGCAAGACCAAGTTAGGGAGCTTTTAGGACCCTCTCTTACTCCAGAGCAACGTGAGGAGAAGCGAAAGGCCTTGGTCCAGCGACAGAAGGACGCTCGTGCTGGTGCTGATCTGTCTAGCTTACTAGCTCAGCAACCCCCTTCTACAACCGAATCCTCGGCTGTTCCTGAAGTTGCGAAAGCACCCGTACCAGTAGTAGAAGCAAAGCCCTCTTCGGATCTTCCTCTGCGAGAAGACCTTATCAAGCCTGCAGTTTCGTTCCTTTCTTCTCCTAATGTTCGTTCCGCTGATAGAGCAAAGAAGCTGGCTTTCCTTCAGAAAAAAGGACTCAATCAGCGTGAAATTCAAGAGGCATTCCAAAGAGTTGGAGAAACGAAGCCTGATTCCACCGTTATAGCCGTAAGTGATAAGGTGTGTGTGCGTCTTCAGGTGTAAGCGAATGGAACTGACAAATATGTTTTACCAATATAGGAAGCAGCCAAATTACCACAGCCAAGTGCTGCACCAGCTTCGTCATCTATGCCGCAGGTTCCTTCTCGTGTGAATCAGCCACCTCAAGTTATATATGTTCAAACACCACCGCCTCCAACGGTGCCTATTGACAAGGTGGTAACAATGGCTGTCATCATCGCTGTCGGTGCCGTTACTGCAACCACTGGTTTGGTTGCACTGGTAAAGGTAAGGACAGACTTTGAATAATTATGTTACTGCTGGTAGAAATACAATAATGGGATGTTTAATATGTATCGTTTTGCAGCGAATTGTGAACCCTACGTTCCAAGCTTATTTCGAACACAGACGAAAGACTTATGAACATCGTCGGGCGTTATTGGAACGCCTGAACGAGAAACTCAAGCAGTTCAACAAGGTACCTAAACCCACCAAGGTGACCATCACAGATGGTGAAGAGGAAACGATACTTGCTGAATCTGAAGAGGAGGAGTTTGTTTATACCAAGATCGAGGATGCGCAAAAGAAGATGGCTAAAGACATCTCCCGATTGTCTACCCTAGTGGCTACGCTGGCCGCCACTCAAGGCGATAATCCTTTGCGGGTGGCTTTAACATCTCTCATATCATACCTGACTCAATCCACCTATTCATACAGCTATAGCTACCTCAACTCAAGCAACTCTGGATCTGGCGTACCTGGTGTGGATACTGAGGCTAAAGAAGTACAGGATATCAAGAGTGAAATTAGATCACTCAAGGGTTTCTTGTTGAACCGAAGAAACTTCCCTTCGGCAGCCCATATCCAACCTAGCCGAAGCATGCCCAGTGTACCAACATATCACAAAAAACCCGCCACTGAACTTGAAGACAAAGCTGGTAAATAGTTATAGAAACGGAGACGGTAACAGAAACGTAAAAGGGAAAAATGTATAAATGAAAATGTCGTCTAATTGCAAGATATGATGTCGTCTAATGAAACAATAAACTATTGCTTGTTTTTTAATTTTATGAGATGTTTCCGTTCTGAATACTCTTGCACCGGACCCAGCCGGCACTTGTCTTGAGTGGCATGCCTTTCCAGGTTGCTACACATTGCTCACTGGTCAGCAAGTCTTGAGCAACCTGCTCCATCACTTTTTGTTTTGGTTTGAGGACTGCATCAGGGGTAGCGAGCTCATCCAGCCCATCCACCTGCACCCGCTCTCCAACAACCGAGCCTGATGCTGGTTCAAGCAGCTCAACCATATCACCTTTTGACGCTGCCAACAACATTCCTTGGGACAGAATTCCTCGAAACTTGCTAGGCTTCATGTTACCAACAACCAAGACTTGCTTATTCTTGAAGATGGAATTGGGTATAAAAAATCGGTCGGTCAACAAAGCCTGTGTTAGTAACGAGATGTATCCACTGACTGCAGAGCCATTGAATACTCACAAGCATGTCGTTTATACCCATGTATTTGACCAGGCCACTGACAATTGTTCTTGTTACTGGAGTATTTTCCTCCGTAACTTCACCGAGATCCACCTTCTCAACGTACAGGTGTTCTGCTTCAGGGTGGCGTTCCACCTGCACAATTTTACCGATTTGTACATTTAACCGATGAATGAGTGGTTGCTCGCTAGCATCCTTTGTAGAGTATTTGGCCTTTGAGAAAAAAGCTGCTTGCCAGTTGAGACGTTGCGGTATAGTGCGGCTAACGCGGTAAGTTGACAGCATGGTGGATTTCAAGCAAGAGGATTCAAAAAGGAACGAGTCACGGACTTTTTTTGAAGCGAAGCCGTTGTCGCTGTTCTTTCGTTCATCTTTCCTGCACCGTCATCATGTCTGCCCTGAACGATGAAACTATTCGTCGAGTAAGCAACTGCCTACAAACATAGATCTGATCTGCATAACCAGCTATTAATCTTCTGCTTATAATTTTTAGGTGTTTGTAGATTTACAAGCAAAGTACATCTCGTCCATGCAGCAAGCTAATTCCACCAAACAACAAATTCAGATCAAAGAGCGTGAACGCAAGGTGGCTGAACTGACCCGAAGAGAATTGGAAGCTCTTGAAGAGGGTACAAAGACCTATAAGCCCGTTGGCAAGATGTAAGTCAAAATACGTTCGCCACATACTTTTCACGAGAAACGACAGCTGACTCTATTGATTTCATTCAGGTTCATACAAACACCATTACCAGAGATGAAAGAATCATTTGTGAAGCGCGTCGGTACAGCAGATGATGAAATCAAGGCTTTGGAAAAGACTCAAAAGTATTGGGAGCGAAGCGCCAATGATGCTCAGGGTAATCTCAGAGACATCCTCGGTGGCCCAAGAACCATGTAATATAGTATCCCGGATAGGTTCATTTCGTTATTTCTTTTATACATAAAGAACGCTATTCAGACCAAGCGTCTCACACGCAATCGCTGTAAAGACTATACACGTGTCATCCTAAGCTTTTGCATCAACATGAATCTACTCTAGACATTCATAGCAGCGAAACAAGGGAAGCAGCAGCAGTAATAAAAGCGAAATGATCACAATGAAACACAAATTTTACTTTCTCATTTATTTGATTTTATCTTTCTTGGTGGTGGGTTTATAATGAAATTGGGTCCATTTTTTTGTAATATACCTACACTTTCTTAGTAGTTTTCCTTTGCTTCCTTAGGCAACATTTCACCCTTCTTCTTAATGACGCCGAGATGGATGATGCGGTCACCCGCCATGGCGACTGGGTTGGAGCTTCTACCGATCGTCTACGATAATCACAAATTGGAGTAAGCATTGGGTAGAGTTGGTTTCATTATCAATCATCCTTCGAGTGACTTACAATGCCAGCACATGGAGCAAAGTATTCATCCACGACATTGCCGAAAATGTTTTTGATGCGAGCAATCAAATCGCCCTTCTTGACGGTGTTGTTGACACCGGGATAGACCTCGAGGACACCACCTGTTCTAGTGTAGATCTATTTGGAAACGACCATACTGTGTTATTCAAAATGAACGTCGCGGTCCCCATCTTGACCAATGCTTACCCAGAATCCCTTGGAGCAGAGTACAGTGGTAGGTGGGGGTGGGTCAAGTTCGTCGTTATAAGCATTATCCATCTTGAACATTTCCAGATGATCTAATATACGCATGACACCCATGTACGACCATTGCACATACTGATTTTGGAACAATTGGGGATTACCGATTTCTACAGTAATTGCCTTGATACCTCTTGAAGCAGCGGCTGATCTGAGTGTACCTATTATATCACAATGGTTAGCGTTCCTTTCATTTGGTGCTAGAATTATGAATAAAATCCTACCATCCTGTCCAGAGTTATGCAAGATAACTTGTGGCTGTTGAAGGTGAGCCATGACAGCGCTGATAGGATCGTTCATATCAGATCGAACATAGTAAGAGTTGACTCTACCGAAACTTGCGGTATGGAGATCAATCAAGTAGTTGAACTGAGAGATGATTTTTTGCATCAGTTGGTATGCATAGACTTGAGACGCAAAACCATCTTCCTTGCCAGGGAAATAGCGGTTGAGATCCTTTCCGTCAGCAAATTCACGGGTAAATTTGAGGTATCCGGTAACGTTGACACAAGGGACAGCAACGACAGTTCCAGTCAGTTTGTGGATATCAATGTCAGACACAACACGATGGATACAAGGGACACCGTTTAGTTCGTTTCCATGAACCGCTGCAGTGATACCGACAACGGGACTACATTCACAATGAAGACAATTTTCCAAAAATAGTAGCGAACGTGCGTAAGAGAAAATGGTATAGAAAGAAAACGTGATATACGTTGATGATTGAGAAAGAAAAAATGGGATTAGTTAACATATGGAAAATTTAGGAATGGAAGCTGATAACACTACTTACCCTTCTTCTGTACCTCTGCAAACGATCACGGGGAGTCTAAGCCATTCGCTCAAACCTTGACGTATCATTTTGATCCATGCAGTGCTAATGGTTCTTACAGGGAAGTCTTCAATTACCAGACGATCACGAACAACCGGCGGGGGAACTTCGGTGTCCTGCGTTTCGAACGTAGGTGGCTCATACGCCTGAGCAGACTCCCATTTACGGGCTGGAGTAGTTCCGCCAATGCTATCTTTGCGGATTTCCTGCAGTGTCTTCTCTGCTGCTGCATTGTTTCCTGTAGAACGTAATTGTGCTAGTTCTCCTCCAATCTCGGTCGTAACGGGAAAAGCATTGGATGATGCTACAGCTTCCTTAGATGCAAGCTTTTGAGCAAGGTCGGGTGGAAGGTTCCACAGAGGTTGGTCATCGTATACCACAAGCGATCCTTTTCTTCGAGGAACCCTCCTCTGACTTGGTGCGTTAACATCTGCAGGAGGTGATTGTTGAGGTGCAGACGCTTGCGGTGTCTGAGCAGGGGCTGAGGTAGGATCAACTGTGAGGGGACCAACTGGTTTGGCGATGGTGCTCGCAATATAATCTGACACAGTAGATGGTGCACCCTGGCGCTTGTTCTCGGTGATCATGATGACAGCAACAGTTGCATCTAAATGCACCCGTTTTTAAATGATTGCATGAAAATGTTAAAAACAGTATGATTACACACATATTTGCTCAAGTGTAGTCAGCTTACCCAAATCATGATTTCCAACACCACCTTTCTCGTCCGATGCTTGAATCATCAAGTTGGTTGGGCTGGCTTCTTCGTCGCGTTCAATATACAAAGTATGACCTTTGGAAAGAACTCTTGCATGTCCCTGAGCATGGTTTTCATCGATACCAATACGAACATGGCCATCGACAACGTACACCAAGGCAAAGGAGCCCAAAATCATCTTTCGTCCAGTTTCGCCATTCTCGGTTGAAACAGGTTGACCGATCTTTTCAACATGAAATTGAGCCTTACCCAATTCGCGGTTGATCAGGAATTGCAGGTTATGCACAGGCGGGTTGGTGACTTTACAAGAGGTTGACCTATCAAAAATGAAAAAAGAGACAGTTAATGGCGATGTAAGGAGACGGTGCAAATGAGCTCCGACAAGCATGCTGACCATTCGCCACTCCACGTATAAGGAAATAATTGTTTGATGTTTGTGGACACCTCTTCTCCTCTATGATTCAGCAGTAGAGTTGATTTTTGCTCACTTCCATTAGGTAACACGATGGTAGTACTATTAAAAAGGTGTCAGCGTTAGGACAGAATACAAACTCAAGCCGAATCGGGACTACAGTACCATTCATAGCCTGGGAAAAGTGAAAAGTTACAATTTGCTTGGATGGTGCTTACGCTGAAGCGCCAGAAGAAGGTGTCTTGAATGAAGTTCTTCTGCTTGGGATAGATCGCGATTTCTGACGTTTGGCCGAGGCCGTTCTTCCACGACTGTTCGCGATAGTCTTTCCTAAATATTCGGAGTTGAGTGGAAGTTGAAAAGTGAAGGTAATGAAGGATGGAGAGACTTACTCTGGGGTCAAGCACGAAACCTCCAGCAGTGCTGGCTCCGGAGAGTCTGATTCGATAATGGCACCGCTTGGGAGATCGGTTTGAGGAGATTTCATGGGTGGTGATTGCTTAAAGAAAGGAACGCAAAGAAATAATTGGCGCTGAGGGGATGGCCAGCCAATCATGTAAAAAATTCTGGCCGCTTTCTTCCACCCAGTGACCAGTCCCATATCCACATGCATGCAACTTTTAAAGTTTCCCTTTGATGAAAATGCCAGAGAGCAGACGCTGCTTCGATCTGGCCTGACTCTTCTTCTAAATGCTTTTATATACTTATAAAAATGAAAATAGCAGTGTGATCTTCACTTATCATAGCCGTGACCCAACCCCCTGCTATAGCATATGACAAGCACGTTCACGTCAAAAAAAAAAAAAACTACACTGCAGCCCTTGCGATAAAGCCATAGAGCGTTGCACCGGTTCCCATTTGGGAAAAGTTTTGTAACATCGTCATCATCATGGTCCGTCCAGCCAGCGAACATGAAGATGAAATATGCATGGAATAATACTATGAAACTGGTTTTATTTGAAGATAGGTTTTACCAAAGCTGAGCCAGATTTCATTGGTGTGCTCAGAATCGGTCTGGCGTTCAAATATGGCAAACGACACAAATCAACAGAGGACCTGGCTTTCAATGAGATCATTTTTCACTCACTTCCATTTTTAAACCCATTGCTTTTTTGTCTCTCACTTGAAATCCACGGCTTAAGCCAGCGATCTTTTTCTTTTCGTTTTGTCTACACTTCTTTTTTACTACCTTTCATAATTGCTGCTGTTGTGTTGACCTCTCTAATCTCTCCCCCTCCCCATTCACCCACACGCAATCATGGACTTCGCCTTACTTTCAAAGTATGACGATCTGTTCACAGACATCTTTCTTGATGCACTTTTTCTATGGTTCAATACTGTGAAAATGAATACTGACCATCGACGGCCACGTATACCTGCCAACAAAGTGCTTGATATTATTCAGCGCAACGTCCTGCACAAAGGCAAGCTGAATGACGCTGTTAACGAATTCCTAGCGTAAGTAGCAAACGGGAGACGCGTCAATTGACACATTGTTTAATGGCCCTACTTTCGATTTAGCATGGAGTACTTCAAGAGCTATTTAGCCAACAAGACGCCAAGGCAGCACCTAGAGTTTGTTCAACATATGAAGCGTTATCTGTCCATGTGAGTAAGCGGTGTGGAAATCAAGCTCAAAAAATTTCCCCCCTGGGCACTTTTTTTTCCCTTCCCACGTACAAGCTTTTGTAATCTCCGTTTTTTTACTGATTCTCTTCTTGGTGAACAATAGGTATCTACCAAACGCAGGGTATGAAATCAGTGAAACCAAGCGATACAGTACAACCAAACGTACAGAGGCTTGTGTCATAGCGACGAAGGATTGGATGGTTGGTGACGAATTGAGACTATGTACTGGCGCCATCGCTTCTTTGAACGCAAAAGATGATGCGGAATTGAAACTAGGTGATAGAGATTTCAGCGTCATGTATTCAACTCGCAAAGGTTGTAGTTGTTTGTTCCTCGGTCCTGCCCGTTTTTTCAATGTGAGTTAACCCTTCCTGTCGCCCCTTCGTCTGTTGTGTTGCACCATTTTACCTCATTTGGTGCAACACCCCCTCTGCAAATCCAGCCTACTGACCTACTCTTTTCGTCTAACTAGCATGATTGTGAATCCAACTGTAAATTCATTGCAAGTGGTCAGAATGGCATTACATTCAAACTGATCAAGAATGTCAAATGCGGTGAGGAATTAACCACTTTCTATGGAACGCACTATTTCGGAGAGAATAATTGTGAGTGCCGATGTGTCACTTGTGAAAGGTAAGGCCAGCTCACCCGATCTAGAACCGGCATACCTTCCGCTTATGTACTTAACTTAAAAAAAAATTGGTTTCATGGTATCAGAAATGGTCAAGGTGCCTTTGCCGAGGAGAAAGACACAGATGTATCCGAAGATCCTGTTTTCGAAAATCAAAATCGCCGAAGTGGACGTAAGCGAAAATCGGCAAATTATGAAGGTGAGGGAGATGTGAGATCATTGCGTACAGGAGTGGGGTTACTGATCTTTGGCATATTGTAGAATATGACGTTGAGCCTCTGTCACCTAAAAGAGCCTGCGCACCGAGCGCACCATTCGCTTCTCGGGAATCTAGTGCCACTATATCTGATCTGTCCGATAATGATTTTGAGCAAACCCCCACGAAGGAACATGAGCAACACAGCGAAACCACATTCAAAGTAGAACCACCAAGTCCGACGGTTCACAATCAACCACTTGTTATGTCTATTGGGTTTTTGTGTTCTGAAGAAGAAAAAGCGAAAAAGGAAGCTGCTGCTGCTGCTGCCGCCGCCGCCACTGCAACAACTTCTATCACGACTGTTGTTGCTGTGGATCAAAAATCAAGCGCACCTCGGGCATCCAGTCACCAGCGTGTCCATTCTGGTAGTCCTCTTGATTTGTTATGTGATGCCATTATGGATGTGGAATTTATGCAGGCACAAAGTCAACGTGTGGCTGCTGCTGCAACACCCAATTTCATTCAACCGACCAAGGAGATGGTGGAGCCTGTGAAGCAAGAAGCCAAGGAATCAGAGCACATGCGAGATATCGAAGCTTTCGAAGATTCCCTGTTTGACGATGTCTTGTCCAATTTTGATGAATTTGATGATGGTATATCTGATTTATCGTCGATCGATTCAGACTTATTATCGGAAGAAAGTGACGCTGACACACCACCAAGCTCTGTATCATCAAATGAACGACCATCCATGAGTAGGGAATCGTCAAATAAATGGATGATGGCTCGTAGACGAGGATCAAAGCAGGAACTTCGATGTCTCGCATGTGACAAACCATTGGCACAGAAGGAATCCACTGACGCCAGTGACCCTGTAGCTACTGAATTAGCCACTTGGACGTGGAGCCCCAGCGCTGTTTTCATTGACTGGTTCCCAAAACGCTGTCCACGATGTGAGCGTCATTTTACGATCTTTAACCAAGAATGGCCAAAACGAAAGATGAAAGCCAAGAAAGTCAAGGAGGTAAGCAGCACTGTGCCGCTGCCGACGACGACGTCAGAGCCTGTACTCCAGTTTGAATCTAGAGATCAAGTTCAGGATGTTCTTAGGGACGAGGACGATGATCTTTTCACACCTCTTGTCTCCGTTGAAAAACCCGTTACATACTCGAGACGACAACGACCTCAAAAGCCCGTCATCCATACTGGCATGCTGGACACTGTCAGTGCTTTACGTCAAGTGTTTGGCGAGTAGGTGGAATTTCCAGCCATTTTGTTATTTATGCATGCGAACATCTCTGACTGGCGACCTTATTACATCCATTTTACCCCCCATCCACGTCTTATCTCACCCTAACTGTAAATATCTCCCTTCTTGTTCTCGCTTATTCTTAACTTTGTTATATTCACCTCTCGGCAATGACTTATCAATTATGTGGGGAGTCTTGAAGAAGAACACATATTCATCAACTTGACTTTTCTTGTTACCTAGCCCTTCTGTCATATAAGCTTTTCCCTTTCTCCGCTTCATTTTTTATTCGTTTTCTGTGCATACCCAATACTGTTTATTTTCATTTTGGAACACCGGTTGATTCTCTTTTCTTTTTATTTTATTTTACAGTCAATGATGTGGTTTGAAGAACAAAGATGTTTTCTTACTTAATTTATGCTTTTTTGAATGCTTTGTCTCATATTGTGTACGAAGCGTGTTTGCCAGCCATAACAGGCGTACCTCGGGCTGGTACGGTCTCTATTTCCCTTTCCGATTGGGTTACACTGAGCACAAAAATATCTTTTTCATGGTTTTCTAATTCGCTTCGCACCTTCGTCTCTCTTACTCCTCCACCTCCGTCAAGTAACATTTCTCCCCTCCCTTCAATATAATGGTGGCAATATCCGTCTGGGCTATTGCTTTGTTAGCCACCATAGGCGTTACTAGTGCGGCCGACCCAATCCACCTTCCCCTTAGACGAACCGAAGGATATCATAAATCACTCAATCGACGTGCAACCGCTAGCCCAGTCCAACTATACAACGCCGCTAGACAAGGAGGATACGGTATAGATTTAACCATTGGAACGCCAGGTACTTTAAAAATTTCTCGCATCACGCAGTCAAATCTATTTTTTCTTTTTCATTTGTTATTGTGCTTTGGCTTGGCACCGCCACTGAAGTTGCCACTCGGATTTTCATTTTACCCCCTTCTATTTTTTTATTGCGGTCACCGTTCCTAATCGGCCGATTTTCCTAACAGCTCAAAACTTTACCGTCATCATCGATACTGGTTCAACTGAATTATGGGTCCCTGGACCATTATGCCCTAAAACAGAATGCTTCGACTCATTGTTCAACACATCATTGTCAACCACCTACGTTGCAACTACCAACCCCATCGACCTCACCTATACCCTTGGAAGCTTCAACGGTACCTATGGTAGAGATACTGTTACTATTGGTCCATACACCACTCCCAATATGACATTTGGAGTTATCGAAGCCACTGCAAACAACAGTTCTCCAGTGTCTGGAGAGCCTTATTTGAATGGCGTCTTCGGTCTTGCATTCCCAACCCTGACGTATTCCTCAGAAACACTACAATTTCAATACGATCCGTTTATCTTTGCCTTGTGGAAGGCAAAGCAGATCCCTCAATCCATTTTCTCCATTTATCTTGGATCAAGACTCATTGAAGGGGAAACAGGACTCATTACATTTGGCGGCGTAGACACCTCAAAGTATTCTGGCAGTCTCAATTGGCTACAGGTTCAAAAAGAAGCTGATTCTGCAACCACAGCAAATTACTATCACTGGAACATTTTGCTGGTCGGATTGGCTGCTACGGTGAATGGCAAACAAACCTCTAATTTGCTGGGTACATCTGGCGCTGTAACTCTTCTGGATACTGGCACTACCTTTTCATTCATGCCTTACACTGCGGTAGCAAACATGTTGACAAACGTTGACCCGTCCGCTATTTATACACAGGGTGGTTTCTACGTCGACTGCAGTCTTGCTTCCTCTACTGGAACAATTGATTTCGCGTTTGCAAACACCACCGGAGGCAGTGGCGCCACCGTCATCAGTGCCTCTATCTCATCCCTCGTCATTCCTTTAGACTCTCTTTCACCTTCTACAGCAACACAATGCGTATGGGGTATTCTCCCAGAAGATGGTGTATATTTGCTCGGTGACACTTTCTTGCAATCTGTGTATGTTGTTCACGACTTTGTGAACTATTCTGTTGGCATTGCTGCCGCATCATGGACAAACTCGACCGCCACCAGTTCTGGGGGCTCAGCGACTGGTACCAGTGGAACTTCCTCCACACCCGGATCTAACCCGGTTCATATAAGCAATGCGCAAAGCGTCAGTGGTGCCGCCATTAGAATGCTGACTTCCTTAGCTTTGGTTGCCTGTGTCTGCCTTTTGTTGTAAAGTAGAATTGTATTGTAACCCGTTGTTGATGGTAACTGTTGTATTCTATAGGCTTTAACGGCTGACTCTGTTCATTTTTTTTCATACGTAACCAGCAATAATGATACCCTGGCGATTTGTACTGCCTGAAAACAGCTCTTTTGTCTTTTTCTTAAAACAGGCGTAATGCCCTTCTTTTGCTTGTGGCAGTAATACCAGTACAGTACTATTCATACAAATGACCTTTGCTTCAGTTTTGACAGGAGCTGATTCATATTGAAATCGAAACGCGGCGGCACATTGTGACAATGTAAAACTGAGCTCTATGACTTGGCACCATGATAACGTTACCAAGAGGTACGGTTGCCGAGGCTGGTTGAATCCCATTTATCCTGGGTACATCGGGGGCTATTTTTCCATGTTACACGCCAACACAGACCTTGTCTTTCGATGGTAAAGAAATTATCAAATGTTCGTGGAGTATTTTCCCCAATGTGATCCATACTGGGTAATTTGAGTGCTGAACCGTTACGTCTTTCAAATTACGAATAAGCAGTGCGATCGCTTGCTTCTCTCATCACTGTCCAGACACACAAGGGTTTCATGCATCGGTACACAAGACCGTGTAATTGACCCCTTGGTGAGGATAGGTTGTCGTTGTCGCCGATGAGTGGTGTCAAGTTTCAGGCTTGAAGCTATACAATATTTATGTTGTCTCAGGAGCGGCCTTTGTCATGATGTAGGTGATTTGCCGGAATTCTGGTGCTGTATGAATTTCTGGAAATGCTGTTACACCGATACAAATGGTGTTTTAAATGTTTTTCTCGCGGCAACCATTCAACGCTCAAACAACTCTTTCCCTTCCTCACTCACCCTTCTCCTCCTTTCACCTTCCTTCCGTCACCTTCACGATGGCAATGATCCTCTGGGCAGTCATCTTGTCTGCAAGCTTCAGCGTGGTTGCCGCTGTAGATCCTATTCACTTTCCGCTCAGATACACTCAACGATCATCGAAACAAATAAGTCGACGAGCACTCTCAAATTCAGTACCAATTTATAATGCTGTAATGCAAGGTGCCTATGCTATTGATTTGAGCATTGGAACCCCAGGTACAGAATGTGATAATTTTATTTTTTTAAAAAGTTGAAAAAGAAAAATGAAAGGCCGACTCGCACATCCTTTTCTTGGTGCAGGTTGTGTCAATTCACTCATCTTTTCAAACCCTCGGTCCTTTCTTTTTAGGTCAGAATTTCTCAGTTATCCTTGATACCGGCTCCACTGAACTATGGGTACCTGGGCCGAGTTGTCCAAAGACCGAATGCTACTCTACGCTTTTCAACCCACAAGCATCCACTACGTTTGTTGCAACAACTGACCCTATCAGCTTGGTTTATGGAGTAGGAAGCGATAACGGCACTTATGGTAGAGATACTGTAACGCTTGGTGGATACCAGGTACAAAATTTGACGTTTGGCGTCATCAGTAGTGCTGCCAACAACTCTATTCCCGTAGTCGGAGAACCCTATTTGAATGGGCTTTTGGGCTTAGCTTTCCCTAGCTTGACATATGCATACAAAACGCGCAAAGCCGAATATGATCCTTTTGTGTTTGCTCTTTGGAAGCAGAATCAAATCCCCCAGCCTATTTTCTCAGTTTACCTTGGTCCAAGAAGCGCGACAGGTGAAACAGGACAGGTTACATTTGGCGGTACAGATAGCACGAAATTCTCTGGTAACCTCCAATGGTTACAGGTACAGATGGAAACTTACCCGAATACAACCGCCAATTATTATCACTGGAACCTTCTTTTAGTTGGGCTCGCTGCCACGATCAACGGCAAGCAAAGCAGTAATTTGCTGGGCAAAGCTGGCGAAATCGTTGCCCTCGACACTGGTACCACGCTTTCTTATATGCCCCAGCAAGCGGTCGTCAACATGTTGGAAGCCATTGCTCCCAACGCAGTATATGTACAGGGCATATACATTGTGGACTGCAGTCTCGCCTCGTCCACTGGGACGGTGGATTTTGCTTTCGGAAACGCTACCGACAGCAGCAATGCCGTAATCCTAAGTGCTCCTATTTCTTCTTTGGTTCTTCCAGCTGACTCCAACTCTATTAGCACAGCTCAAACCTGCCTTTGGGGTATTGTCCCCATAGATATTACGGCGCTAGGCACTTACTTGCTTGGTGATACCTTTTTGCAGTCGGTTTACGTAGTGCACGATTTTGAAAACCATGTTGTTGGCATGGCTTCCGCTTCATGGACCAATTTAACCAGTAGCAGCAACGTCGCAACAGCTTCAGCTTCTGCAGCTGCTTCAAGTGGCAGTCCAAGTAAAGGTGGCTCAAATAGCGGCAGTCCAATTACTAGTGGCTCAGCATCACTTCATCCGATTACCGGTTTTGCCCTAGTTGGTTGTGTCTGCTTCCTGTTGCTTTAGCTGCTGTTGTATGACATTGTAATGACTTCGTACCTTGTTTTTTCAAACCTGTACTCCGAAAAAAAAAAAAAAAGAAGAAAACAACCATAAGTCAGCAATACTCATTTTTTCATGCAATTTCCCAACTCTCACATATTTCTCATTTACACCCACAACATAATAATAAAAACACATACAAACCTGTACTTCGTTTCCGGTTCTATAAATACAGTCGAATCTTCACAATTCAAGCAAGACATGTCAGCCTATGTTGCACAATTTCGGCGCGCCTCAATCATCATTACCAATTCTGGGGACATGTTTGCCGACACAGTCCATTGATGAGCCACTCCATGACCATTTATAAAACCCAATCGATTCACACATCTTTTCCACGGTTCTTCTTTCTAATCATATGAAACTGTTTCTTTTAGTGAGCAGCCTGTCGCTTGCTACCGTAGCAGTTGCCCTGCCTTTGCAGTCCACTTCAAAGGCAATCACAGTTCCGTTGCGTCGAGCCACCACGGGAATTATTAAACGCAATATCAACACCCAGACATTGTATAATGAGCAGCCTACAGCCTACATCATAGATGCTGATATCGGAACTCCCCCGCAGCATTTCACCCTACATGTCGATACCGGGAGTAGTGACTTATGGGTCCCTTCAATGGCCTGTTCTGCCGGAGCAGGTTGTCCTGGAGCGAAATATGATGCCAGCAAATCGTCGACCTACAAAAATGCTTCCATTCCATTCAACATTACGTACGCACTGGGCTCCGATGAAGGCTTTTATGGTTATGATAAATTGAGTATTGCCGGATATACCATTGAGAAACAGCTCTTTGCTGCTGTCTTCATGGCTGTGAACAGCACCGAAGCCCCCACCTCCACCCCATACAGAGAAGGCATCATTGGTTTGGGTCCAGCCGATGGCACCACTCTGGGTAAAGCCGCCAATGTTAAAGGTGCTAGACCTTTTATATACACTCTGTATGAAGATGGGCTGATTCCTTACCCAGTTTTTTCCATACACTTGGGTAGCCTTTATAAGAAAGGATACTCTGGATCGCTCACCATAGGAGGCATCGATGACTCGATGTTCACGGGCGACATTGATATTATCAAGGTCGCACCATACTACAATATAAACAATGAGGGTGGGTTTATTTGGTGGAATCTTCTGGTGGACTCATTTACTCTGAAGGGAGACGATGCACATCAGTCCTATAAAATCAAGGACAAACCTCAAGCATTTACAATGGACACCGGAGCTACGTTCAGTTATCTCCCCGGTGATATTGTCGAAAAGTTGGCCAAATCTCTGTATGAAAATGCTACAACAGCAGACAATAGTAGTTACAACATGCCATGTTCACTCCTGAACTCGACCCAGAAATTTGAAATCAACTTCACTAATTCAACCCAGTCGCCTGAAGATTCAATCACTTCCTTCAATATACCCGTCGCAGACCTTATTATCCCGCAACTTGATAATAACAATACCGTTTGTACCCTTGGGCTCCTTGTCGCCAAAAGCGTGGATGAATATATTCTTGGTTTAACCGTCCTTCGACACATGTACTTGATCTACGATCTAGAGGCCGAAATTATGGGTATCGCCAAACCTGTAATTGAAGACATCGCCCCTTACCCGTTGGGAGCGGCCTAATTTTACCATCCATACCTGTGGCGCTCTTAAATGTCACTAACTTCATATAATAGAGATGTAGCAAGTAACCTTTATAAAAATTAAAGAAAGAGAAATTTTGTCCCCTGAGAGAGAGATTTTGCATGGAAGGAGAGAATGAATATTGTACACGTGCATGAAAAAGCGATTTGAATCTATCAAGGCTGCCATCATGTATATGTAATGGCAGAAAACATGGAACAAGATGACTGAGACGGTGTCAGAATTTATGATGTACCAGTCTTCAATAGCTCAAGGAAGCTAGACTTGGGCATAGTAGAGACTACAAAAGTAAAAAATTTAGTAAACAAATACAAAGTCCCATTTCATTGTATTGACATGAACATACCATTCTTGGCTTTTTCAATCGCTCGAGATGTGCTTGAAGTATCAGCTGCTCTACTAACAGCGACATCGGTCACCTTTTGTTGTGTTCGGATAGCATTGAAAAGCTTGACAACTGCAAAGGCAAATGGATGAGCATCATGAAACAGCGTGAACAGCTATAACAAACCACTTACCACCACGTGTAGCAACCTTTCTCAGCTTCTTTTCATAGTCCATGGTGGTATAATCCGGGATGATTCTGTCCTTTGATGCCAATGCCTTCTTTTCAGCCGCCAAAAGCTTGCGTGCCTTATACTCCAATTTCTCATCTTCGATTTTTCGCTCGGCTCCTTTTGAGCGTGCAAGAATGGGTTGCTATGTCACAAAATCACCGTTAGCCTAGACAGAAAAACGAAACGTGGTTTCAAAGCTTTGGCTTCCTACCTGTCTGTCAGAACCTTTCAAGTTGCTGCCGAGAATCTTGGTCATAGCAACAGCAAAGCTGTCACTGCTGCCTTTCTTTGGTCTGACTGGTAATGAAAGGTTGGTAAGTTTACAAGACGATAAGCCGGCTCAAGGGAATGATCATTTACCTTCTTCTTCGTCTTGATCCATGGCATCATTACCATCGTCCTCAGCGCCGGAAAACTCGTCGTCGCCGTCCATGCTTTCCAGGTCGGAATCCAGTTCGTCGAGTTTACCGACAACAGCGTCGCTCTCGTCCTCGCTTCCTGACGACGAGACGACATCTTCCTTTTGTTTGACGACCTTTTTGGGTCGAGCAATCGCCAGCTTGATTTGCTTCTTTGGTGGCATGTGTCAGGATCTGGAAGTTGTAGAATCACTTTTTTTTTTGCCAGCTACCGAAAGTCAAATTGTGACTTAACTAAGTTGCCCTAGCCCAGACAGATCACGAGACCGCCGAGTTCTATTTCACTGGTTTCTGCCCAGCAATTCTGAACCCCCCAACCATACCAAATGTACGATAGCAAGGGCAGTGGCAGCACAGCGTTGAAGCGCTTGATGACTGAATACCGAGGTAAGGATGATCCACCTTTAAGGAACTTTACCTGGTTGAGGGATTTCTAATTAAGATTCAATCCATTTACAGAGCTGACCCTCAATGCACCAGAAGGAATCATGGCAGGTGAGATCGGCGATGAGTGAACCATGACGTTGCCGTTATCATATTCGCTAATCCCTCCTCAGGCCCTGTAAGCGAAGACAACTTTTTTGAATGGGAAGCCCTAATTACGTGAGTACATGTTGTAAATATGGAATGCAATATTCTTTGCACATCTAACGGATTTCGATCGTACTCAGCGGACCAGAAGGCACACCATTCGAAGGAGGAATATTTCCAGCGACGCTCAAATTCCCAAGAGATTACCCTCTCAGCCCTCCCGTCATGAAGTTCACCTGCGATTTTTTCCATCCCAATGTATATCAGGACGGAACAGTATGTATATCCATCTTGCACGCTCCAGGAGACGACCCAAATATGTATGAAAGCAGTTCAGAACGATGGAGTCCTGTGCAGAGCGTCGAAAAAATCCTTTTGAGTGTTGTCAGCATGCTAGCTGGTAAGTCGGACATGACCTTCATTATCGATAGCTGCCAAAACGATGCTAATGAACTCAACATAGAACCTAACGATGAGAGTGGCGCCAATATTGATGCTTGTGTAAGTAACCGTCCAATTCAATGACCCTTTCAATTTATCGTTTTGCTGACACATGCATTGGAAAAATAGAAAATTTGGAGATCTCAAAGAGAGCGTTATAATGATATTGTTCGTGCGAATACCCGGAAGACGCTCGGCTTGTAGCTTGCTTGCTTAAAGTAATTATGATAATTTGTAAATTGAAAATTGAAATAAGAAAATCCCACTGCTGTAAACCACCATAGTTGAGAGAACCTAACGTTATAAAACTAGAGAGCCATCGGTGACAACATACGGTATTGACTGTGGTGCTGAACTTGAGCCATGAAAACAAATTTCAAAAACATGGAAATACTATTTGCGTTTGTTGGCGAGAATAGTTCTTACTGAGGACCATTACATTGGGCTACCGTCACTATTGAGAAGTTGTTTGAGCTGCATATCACTTTTGAATCGAATGTCTTCAACTTTACCTGATCTCGCAGGTTTGGCGGGATTGTTTTGTTGTCCAACTCTGGCCAAACATCAGCACCCAAACCCACATCTCGCTTTCACTGAAACTAGGATTCAGCCTCTCCTTGCAATTTCGAAACAAAGGTTCCTTCACATTTCTGCACTCCAGGAAACGCAAGCCCTGACAAATAGTTTCAAATTTATCAATGGCTACGGAAGGTTACAGAAAACCCCACGTATGTCTTGGCCGTATTCGTGTCCGTGAAGCTAGGCTGCTGAAAGAAGAAATTCTGACCATACGTTTCTCCCTTCCATACTGTAAGTTCATGTTGAAAGAGTACCTCAACTCGAACCACCGTCGTGTATGCACCTTTTGGATGATTGAATGAAATTGGCATGCCGCTTGCTTTTGGTTCGGATGAAATCTACTCTTTTCACGGGACTCATTAGTTGATAGATGCTCTTAGAACTTCTTAATGAATATATCTGACCAGGTAGCTGAAAATGTGCTGACACCAGGTACACAGCTATTAAAAGGTCATTGTTTGGATGAGGCAAACTATTATATACGCCGCCACCCTACCAGCCTCGAGCTAACTAAATAGCAATCATAACTTTTGGTTCAATTGACTTGGAGAGAATATCGCAACCTCTGCTTAAAATAAAAAACAGACGCAGTGTCGAATATGACTTGCAGATTCGTCCCTGTTACATTATGAAACATTGCCTTATGGTGCTGTTTGTTGTTTTTTTTCTAATGCTTTTGTTTGGCAAGTATTTGTCTCCATGAAGTGACCGATTTGTCATTAGCCATGGTATTGAGGCTGATTTTTTCTGCAGAAGAGAAATGGTTCTACTGAGAATCTGCGAGGCTAGGGTTTCGTATAAATCTTGGCGTCTATCTTTCGAATATCCGAACAAGATAAGCCTTGTCTTTCGAATCCCAAATGCGCTCGCCTTTACTTTATTTTTCTGGTATCGGTGGTTTTTTATTATTCGGCATACAAGCTTTGCCAGCACCTAGATCATTTTCCGTTCCTTTAAAGCGTAGTTCTACCTCATCTCTCGTCAAGCGAGGAGTAGCCTCACATTCGCTGTGGAATGAAGCACCGCTAACATATCTTATTGACGTCAATATCGGAACCCCAGCACAAACCATCACCGTTGTCTTTGACACAGGCTCCGCTGATCTATGGGTACCATCAGCGTCTTGTACTACAGCAAATGGATGTATGGGCAAGACATTTGATCATACGAAATCGCCCACACTTGTCAACTTGACGATACCTTTTAATATCCAATACGGCTCTGGCTACGACAATGGATCATATGTCACGGATGTTGTGAGTATTGGAAACTTTACGGTCGGTGATCAGACACTGGCACTTGTATACAGTGCATTCAATACTATTCAGCCTGCAAAATCTACACCGTACGTTGATGGTATCCTTGGGATGTCTTGGGATACAGGTGTCTATGGGGCTAGGCACAATTTTATATACCCTCCGTTCATTTATGGGCTCTATTCGACTGGTCAGATACCCACCATGTCGTTTGGCATGCACCTCGGCAACGTGTACTCTAAGGCTTATGCCGGCACTGTCACTTTCGGAGGCTACAATACCACACAGTTTACTGGAAATCTTCAATACTTGCCGGCTCAACCTGAAACCTATCATAATATTACTAGCTTTGTACATTGGACTGTATACGGGCAGTCCTTCAAGCTTCAGCAATCTAACACAACACATGAATTCGAAGATGGATCTGCACTAGTACTTCTCGATAGCGGTACTTCTCTTGGTCTCCTTCCAGAATCTATTGTTAAAGGCATTGTCTAGGATATTGCAGGCGATAACTTTTTGTCGCCTGACAACACATCTTACATCGTTTCATGCGACCTTTTAAACTCCACTGAAATGATCAATGTTGTTTTTCCTAGTGTTGAAGGATACGCGGCTGTCACACTGCAGACACCTGTCAAGGATCTGATAATCGGCTACACTGATGGAGTGAATTATACATGTGAGCTTGGTCTAGCGGCCGTAGGCGGTCCACCGTATATTCTTGGCGATGTCTTTTTGCGCAGTTGGTACGCCTACTACGATTTTACGAACAAGCAAGTTGGCCTCGCCCAGGCTCTCAATAGTAACGATACCCAATATTATTATAATATCTCTGATTTTCAATAGATGAACCCTTTGTTTGACATGTTACATTACTACCCTTCATTAAAAATCCTCAAATTATGAATAAGCTTACATTTTTAATAACAAGTTTGGAGTGTGTAGGAGCCGCCAAAATCTAACCGTATTCTGGGGAAAAGGGGGGCTTATTAAGTTTTCTGGTGCAAGGATCATATGCCATCTCTCGACCACAAATTGCTTACGTTTTAGGAAGCCAGGGACTATTTGAAACAATAGCTCATACTTTAAACACAGTGTATCTCTGAGCAATCGCAGTTTACCGTTGTTTGATTCTATGTCGATATGAGCGTCGATATCTTAAAAGGATGCAAGGTTGTTGGTGTGGCTGTACCAACCATTTTTTTTTTTTTTTTTAGAATTGCCTGCTTGATTTTTAGGTTGCTTACCATCACACAACAGCAGACCGAGGCTGAAGCTCCGCGTTGAGGCTTGGGTTAAGTGCAGTATAAAAGGTGGGGCATCCTATTTATCTTCACTGATCCCTAGGCTCTCTTTATCACTAGCCGTGTATCATATGCGCTCTTCTTTACTCACATTCACTGCTGTCATCAACCTGTTATTGCTTGCCGTGGATGCCGCACCGACACGTCAGCCCAGACCAATTTCCGTTCCACTAAAACGAGGGCTCAGCCCCTCACTTACCAAGAGGGGAGCAGCATCGCATCCTTTATGGAATTTTGCACCTTTAGGGTATATCATTGATGTTAATGTTGGTACTCCATCTCAAACTTTTACCGTCCTTATCGACACCGGCTCTGCTGATTTATGGATACCCTCCAGTTCCTGTACCAAAGAAACTGGATGTCTCGGAAAAACTTTCGATGCTTCACAATCGTCTACTTTCAAAAACACGTCGGAACCTTTCGACATCGTATACGGTAGTGGGTCCGATAACGGCACTTATGTCACTGATGTAGTTAGAATTGGCGACTTCGCCGTCAATGATCAGACACTAGCCCTTGTTTATGACGCCGGTAATACTACTAAACAAGCAAGATCTACGCCGTACATGGATGGTATTCTGGGCATGGCTTGGGATACTGGTGTCTATGGAGCTTTACACAACTATACCTATCCTCCTTTCATCTATAACCTCTACTCAACCGGTCAAATCCCTACTTTATCCTTTGGTTTGCACCTTGGCGGTCTCTACTCACAAGGGTACGCTGGTACTGTCACTTTCGGAGGCATTGATTCCTCGCAGTTTACTGGAGATCTCCAGTATATCCCGGCTCAACAAGAAAACTTCCATGGCACTACTTCCTACGTACACTGGACTGTTTATGTAGATTCATTGAAGTTGCAGAGTGCCAATACAACTTATGGGTTCCCCAGTGGTCCTGCGCTAGTTGCTCTCGATAGTGGTTCTAGTTTTGCTTACCTCCCAAGGTCCATGGTGGAAGGGATCCTTCATAACATTGCAGGCACTGACTATCAGCCAATCACCAACTCAACCTTCCAAGTTGAATGTGCGCTGCTTAATTCTACTGAAGTTGTTGAGGTCACTTTCCCTGGTGCAGGCAATAGCCCCCCTGTAATATTGCAAGCTGCCGTCAAGGATATGATTATTCCTGAAACAGACGGAATTAATAATGAGTGTCTACTTGGAATCTCTGCTCAAGACCAGAACTCACTTTACATTTTTGGCGATGCTTTCCTACGAAGCTGGTACCTGAATTTTGATTTCACAAACAAGCAAGTTGGCCTTGCTCAAGCTGTGAACAGAGATGACCCACAGTTTAGTTTCGATGTGAATAACCTTGTATAGACTCCTTATTTTTATTCATGTATTGTATACTGTTCGCTTTAAACGAAAAATCATCATACCAGTTTTCTTTATTTCGCCTATTGATATGAATAGCGTATGGGACGTTGTAAGGCGATTTATCAATGATCGTGCGTTAAAAAAAGTTCTGATCACAGTTGTTGGTAGCGCGGTCTCAAAACCAAACAATCCTGATAAAAGAGTATCACAAACACTGTTATGATAAAGATGCTATGATCGATGCATCCATAATCTTGATCTCTGGATATCTGAATACAACTACGGTTTTTTCGATACACTTTCACATTATGACGGTATCATCGCAAGTTATGTATAATTGACAATTATAAAAGAAGCTCAACTTGTCTCTTTATTGTTGAAATGCATTTGCACTACAAAACGACCCTTTTCAAAGTTGAGTAACAAACTATTATGCATGAGTTTACGCTACCTTCACGACAAGAGGATAATTTGTTTGAAGAGTGATACCGTTGTACGATACCTTGAGCCCTTTCAATTGTCGTCACTAGCAAAAAATTAGTGATCAATTTCATTCAAGTTTTCTATTCCAAAGATTCAAAAGAACCCAACGAAACTAGGGTATTAGCTGCTATGGCATCAATGCATTTACCCCAATGCTTTATCTCATTTGCCTTTTTGTAACTTTGCCCTGAATCTCCTTTTCAAGGTGTGCGATCCCTAGATACACAATGCGACATAGTGCTAATCAATGGTGGACTTCCCAACCATATTCATATTAGCAGATCTATCAAATGCAAATGGACATTCTCCATCGTGAAAAAAGTTTTTTATCCATCGCCTTTTCATAAAATGGTTACTTTATTTTAGTTAAACAAACATCAACACCAATTGGCTCACCATCGTATTTGTATGAGCTGATTTTGAACAAACCGCCTCAAACAAATAGAGTTCCATAACCATGCAAGAGGTGAGGGATGTGATGGATTAGATTAATGCATTTAAGCATATTGTTGACTAGGAAACATCCACTTTCTTTCATTTTTGTTTTTGTACAGATGATGAAAATCAATAACTAGGTAAATTCTAAAATTCAAAAGTCTCTTGACGAACTCTCCATCCTCTAGCATTACAGGAGTTGTTCACCTCACGCATGAAATCTGCAGGTCCGCATACTTGAGCTGCTATACTTGAATTCAGGTGGTCGTCATCAATTCTAGACACAATGTCTAGTGAATTCGGCCGGCCCTGGATCACATCACAGTGAGGCAAAGGATTTTCATAGATCCCCATGGGCAAACGTGTCGTCAGGTATAATTGGAAGGTAATTTTGGGAGGATTAACTGCACCATTGGCAATATGAACGGACTGTAATAATTGGGGAATGAAAATTTGCGCGATTTCTGACATAGGTCAAAAATATGTTAGTAAGGGTGTCCAAAAGAAAATAGAAGCCAAACTTTGTTTCCTCACCTATGCTAGCTGTAACCCAAATGAAATAGATGTGTGTCGTGTGAACCATTAAAGGATCATGAGCGCATTTTTCAACCAAGTCGCGGAACATAGTAAGCGAAGGTGTAATACCGATGCCGGCTTCGAAGAAAGTCACGACCTGATTCATTTCCAAAGCTGTTGCTGTCGACCCATACGGACCATCTATTCTCATTTTAAGACGCTGGGGCTCATTGCTGGCTTGACAATGTAACCTACGGGTCATGTTTCCCAGACTCTTGATGTGAACAGACGCTTTCAGAGGACCATCTTCTTTTTTTACTACGGATGTACGTTTTCCAATTTCAGAGTCAATGTCGTTGTAATGGTGTGAGGTTGTAGTCGCTGTTTCCTTGTCGTGGTCGAGTACTTCGCTAACATTACGATAGAATACTTCCGAGAGAGTAAACGGGTGCCAATTAAAGAAGTTCACAAACCGACTGAGTCTAGTTCCATCATTGAGAGAAACGAACACAAACTGGCCGGGATGCGCTTTAGTATAGAGACCATCCTTTGCAAATACAATTTGCGTAATATCTTTTTGACTGAATGCTGAAACGTCAATAATTTTTGTAGGAGACGTCCAAGTTCGCACGGCGCGGATGATCCTATCGCTGAAGTAAAGGAAAACAGATGGAGCGACGAAGATAATGACAGCATATTGATGAGTGAACCCAGCGCCAATGAATAGCAAGATGCCGAACACATGTGAAATATAGAAGACCTCAAAGTATCTTCGGCGGATATAGTCTCTTGATCCAAGGAAGATACATAGAAGACCAATGGTTGCCATGAACCCTGAGATCAAGTCTCCATTCTCAGCAATGAAGAATGTGCCTGTCTGAAATAATGGGAAGTGGCCGTAACTATTCCAGACATGTTAGGGTAAAATTTCAAATTGCACTTGATGAAACAAACGTGTTATCTTACAGTTGTGTCGAAACGTGAATTGCGATCTCTGTCAGACCCATAGTAGCATGCCAGCGATGGAGTGGCATCACCTCATCAAATGATTTTGTCGAAATTAGTTTGATGATGGAGTTCCGTGTGGCCAAGGTTATCGCCAAACTGATGTTAGCCACCCCAAGAATGGCACAGCGTAAGCCTGCGTAGTAAAAGTTGACAAAAGGGAGTCTCTGCTGTGTGTAGACGGGAATGGGGATTTCCAGAATGAAAACAGCATTAAATACTATGAGCAGTAGGATGTACAACAGGCTTTTAGCATCAATGTTGGGCGACAGGAGAGGGATTCGAACAGAATGGTTGAGCCAACGGCCCCACCGGTATGTACGGGACAAAATGGGTGAATTGAATTTTCCTACGGCATGGGCTTTTTGCTTTGAACGTCTATACCACAGTTGATACTGCCGAAGACCTGAGTATATTAGAAATAAGGTGATGACGGTGAGAATGTAAGAGCATCCGGTCTAGAAAGGGACGTTAATTGTTTAGATCACATTTTCATACACAGGCAACAGGTGGTAGTAGTCTTACAACAATGGACCTGTGCTTAGTTGGATTAAATTCGAGTTCATATAACATGACTAAAAAGTTGAGGCAAGCGGTATTGGAGAGAAATACTGATGCTTCACTCTGCGAGGCTTTAATAGTCAAAGAGGCGGTAATAGCGACGCCGATATTTTACAAGCCAAGAGTCGCAGCAGACTAGAATTACGACAGCCTTCGTAATAACTTCGTTGTTGATTCAGATCAAAGAAAGAACCTTTTGCTCATCTGTCTGGAACCCAATTTTCAACCTTGGCACCCAGGATTGCGGATCACTCTAATAAAACAATTGACCATTCTTTTATTTTAATTTCCTAAACCCCGTTAGTTGAGTCGATAACAAAAAAGGCGGTGAGCCGAAGTATGATAGGTTGTCCAATAGTATGAGCAGCATACTTACATGGGACTCACAAAGTTGCACCATTCGTTTCTATCTGTTGGATTTATGATACGAGGGCTGAATCATAGCCTCCTCTTTGTGCTGATGTGTGCTTACGCGTAATTTTGATGTCAAACCTAATTTTGTGTGTTTCAACGCTGCGGGATTTTGTCCACATATTGCACTCTGCGTGTGGGTAAAAAAATATCCCTTGCATAATCGTAACTGTTATGGTCTTTCTTGAACTCCAAAAGAATGGTATGAAACAGTAACCGATTTGCCGATGGCTGAAAATACCAATAATGACCATTGTTATTTATCAAGCTATTACACTATATTTGCATAAGGGGCAGAACTCGGGAACCTTGAACATTTTATCTGATAAACTTTACACCATTCAATCACACTGGCTTTGGATCATCCGGAAATATTTAATGTACACAGTCCTTATTCGAATTTTCTCATGTTATTTCTACTTCGTCTCCTGGCCAACGTCTTCGTCACGGGCACGCTTGAGTGTTGAATGATAGGCAGCTGACGTTTGTTGTTTCATCACTTCGCGCAATACCATTGTGGCATACTGGCTAGCAGCTAGTGATAAATATAGTCTGAGCCCAAGGTACTGACCCTCTATAAAACACGAATGTCACTTGTCAATAAAGAGATCAATCAGTTGGTATCGTCAAATTCAAACACTTTTACCATTGCTCTCCAGCTCAGCTTCACCGTTCAGGATATCAGCATCGGTTCTGCATAACTTCATAATGGGATCATCATAGCGAATGAAAGACCTGTTTAATAGCATAATATGAGTTACCATGCTGAAAGATCTGTAATTTAGTGTTCCGTACTACATACCATTCAATTTCGGAAGGCATGCCCAAAAGGCGTCTATAAGTTCCGGGCAGTCTATATTCTCTATTTACTTATTCATTAGAACCATTTTATCCTAGCAAAGCGATTTATACTCAAAACTTACTTGTTTGCAGTATTCATGTTTTCAGGATCTAAGCCATCTTGTGCTATTTGCAAATGTCAGGAGAGTGTATCCAATATGTAGTTACCGAATCACTCGTGGATGATCACTCACCCATCACTTTCTTATACACGGCAAAGGTTGCGTTATGTGGGTAGATAACATCGAAGCCAGGTTGAGGAAGGACTACATCAAAAATAGTGTACTTTTCCAGATCTTCCTCCGTAACTATTTTCACTTGTTGTTTCTGGATCAAATTCGTAAGAAGTCAGCACACTGATGTACACTAACGGTTTTGGAATATATGACATTACCATCGTATTAACTGGCTCATCCTCATCAACTTCATTCAAGTCACCGTTCAGTAAGACAACATCTCCAACTACTACGTTGTTGGCACCATACAAGCGTATGCGCTCAGAGGCAGCATGATTCCAGACAAACGATTGATACGCATGCACATACATAAGTCTCATATTTCGTGGAATCTGCGGTGGAAAATGCTTAGCTCGATGGCGACCAGAACGCAACATTCTATTGTACTTACGGAGCTGAAGGCACCAGAGAAATCAGTAGGGTTCTGTTTCAGCTTTTTCAGAACACCTATTTCAAGATTTGCCTTCTTAGGGAAAGCTTGAATAGCCCTCTCCGGATCTTGAGTATCCTCCCAAATTTTTCTTGCCCTTGCCCAGTCATATCGATCTGGCAAAGAATCATTTTTAAGAGACCAAATGGCAAAATACCATTAAATGACTTGATCCAACTTACCACTAGCACGAGGTTTGAGAATGAGATTGATAGCCTCTTTCCAGTCTCCCTTTAGAACATGTCGACCGACGGTATGCGTTGATATAGATCCAGTACCGAACCGTTGCATACCATAGTAATTAATGAAACCATTTTTCTTCAAATGATTCAAACTCTCCTCAATGATTTCCTGAGAAGCACCGGCAACATTTCTGGTATCTCGTTAGTAGGTGGGGAAAAAAACCCTCCCAAAGCCAAATCATGACATGGCAATTACCTCAGGACAATACCGAACCGATTTCCTTTCAAATCTCCGAGCTTCAGCGCATTCTTTACATACTTGAAGTTGGCAACGTAGATGCCTTGACGATTGAGAATTTCTTGCGCTCTTACTAACCTGTCCGCAAGTGCATGATAGGCTGTGACGTTCTGTACTGTGATGGCTCGTCTATCCTTGGTCCCCGCATAACTTAAGCTTTTCGGTGCAAGCCTAAAAGGAATCACAATGTTACGATTATGCGAGTGACTGCCAGAGAATGTAGCTGATGTATTTACCGACAGGTCTTGCAGATATTATTGACTGCCTCCATGGTGTCTTTGTTTTCTTTATACAATGAAAACTGAAGGTATGGTCCACCGAGGGCCTCGAATTCATCTTTCATTGTCCTTTTATCTTTCGATGGACGTTAGACAACTATTGACCATGTTTTCCTTCTCTTCCTACACCTACCATTCTTATCCGAAGGTCGCCACCATCGTACAACAATGCTGCCATCTTGAGTAGTTGTCACAAGCTTGTTCTTGAAGTGTTCTTTGAAAAGTTGATGAGTTTCAGTGCGCTGCTGTTTGTCGTCTTGAGGCTAACAGTACTATGTCAGAATACAATCACACATGCACAATGGTAAGGTAAATGGACATATTCATACCGGGCAGGTGACTGTAGCTTTCTTATCGGCAGGATTTTCCAGCATTGCCTGGATTGCATCGGCTGTTTCTTTCCCGACTACTTTCTCTACTAAACTGTGAATCTCCTCTTGTGATATGGTCGGCTAACATGCAAGCATTAAAATTGGCTGTAAATGATCTACTTAAATGCACTTAAACGTACTTCTTCCACTGAACCATCTTCTGTCGTCGACTTTTGAGGTTTCGGAATTTCTGTTGACTCCAAATGCACTGTCTTTCCATTTCTGTCAACTTCATTGACCAAAAAATCGTGGATCCTTAACAACAGCCAATATCAGTATGAGAGATGTTTCAAGAGGGACTCGAACCAGACATATCTACCTTTCTTTAATGATTCCAGTAAAGCCTGGTATACTGGGAGAGATATACTCGGATATGCCAACGTCCACTTCGGTAACAGCTGTGCATTCGGTCGTTCCGTTGGTGTCGGTTTTTTGAATGGCAATATTTGCAGTTGAAACAGTCGGGAATTCGGAAACAGACCCGGCCCCTACATCATTTGAACCACCCTCCTCTTCTATGCGAATCTTCTTCGCTTCTGGTGGCGACCCTGATTCTGCAGCTGACATGACGGGAATAAGTAGCTTTCGCGATTGTAATTCCTAAAAAAAAAAAGAGGGCTCAAGGAAATGCAGGCATAAACGGTCACAAACCAGATCAAAAACGCGATGACAAGCCGATACCTCGTATTTTGACAATAAGCAGTTGGTACAAACATGAACCACGTTTTTGGGAATCGAAAAAAAGCTCCCATATAAGTCCAACTTTTCATTATTTGAAGTTATATGGTTAGATTCACTTGCCACTACCGTGGAACTCAAAGAGTCAATAATGTGTATTTTGAACGATGCACAGACCATGCTCGAATAAACACATACAGTCAACATAATTCCTCTGCTATGACTAACTACTTGGTACATTTGGGATGGAATTAAACTATTTCAGAGAAAAAGCGCTGCAACAGCAGGAATGGCAAGAGCCCAAGCTGGGGAGACATTCTGCATAGCACCGCTTGACTTGCTAGGCGTAGCGCTGGTAGCGGCAGCAGCAGAGATCGAAGCAGAGGCTGAGATGGAAGAGGGTGCGTGGCTCATAGCGGTGGAAATGGCAGTGGCGATAGAAGACGAAGCGAGACTAAGCATGGAGGAGGTAGTGGGAACGGCAGAGTAGGAGAGAGTGGTGGTACCTCCAGTGACGCTGAAGGGTGCAGAATAGGAGTAATTTCTATTGGATAAAAAAGAAGATAAGCATTCAATATCTTTGAACCTGGTACAATAACAGTTTAATGGCGTTAATATATACCCGGTTCCATATTGGATTTGAACGGTATAAGTGCTGGAGACACCAACAGTTGTGGGGATCTAAGGGATATTTTGACGCAGGGCAAGCAAATCAGTGTTAGCATCATTTGATTTGGCGGGAGCATCTTAGCGCGCTATAAGGAGCGAAGTGGTTAAGGGAAAGGGGATCTTACAGTCCATGTATAGGAGCCGTCATCACCGTTGACGTCCTTTGCAATTACTAAAAGAACTGACTGTGTTTGAGCGGTAGGTCCGTTGAGGAGAGAAAGGGTGACATTTTCGCTGCTGCCATTAATCCAATCTAAGGGTCGTCAAAAATAAAAATAAAAAAACCGTTGGATTAGCGATTACTTTCTACACATAGTAGTTATGCTTGCAGCTGCCATTTATCAATTCGTACCAATTTCAGCGCTGTGGGTGGGATTTTGTGAAGTTTATGCGGATGTCAGTTTTATCACAGCGACGGATTCCTTCGAGAAGGTAGGACGAGATAGGTAATGTACGCACCTGCTGCCAGCTTTGAAGGCAGTTCCTTGAATTGGAGCTGTGATGTAATACGAAGTGGTTTGTGCAGATGCAGCAGCCACAACGAAGGCAACAAGAGCGAAGACGGTTCTCATGTTCAAAGGAGTGTAGTAATGAAACAGAAGCAGAGAGCACGCCAGAAGCTGAAGAAACATATTTATATAGCTTACGATCTTAATCAGGCAGGGAGTACAAAAGGTGAAATTTGCCACTGGCCTGTGTCTCCTCATTCAACCCCGAACAGATTGTACAAAGCACTTTTTGTCACATCCACGTAACCAGAAGTAGAAACTGCCCACAAGGTTTCTTACCTGCAACATCAGAAAACGCAAATGCTACTCACACAAATTCACCAAGCCTTCTGTGAAAACGTCTGTTTCATATTACCTTGATTTCGGGAAACCCATCAAAAAAAAAAAATCCTATTACGCGATCATAGCCAGATTGGTAAAGGATAGGAAAACCCCAAATACGTATATTTATTTTTTTTGGTCGTGGGACAATTGCGGTTGACGCTTCACCAAGCTAAGGATAAATAAGACATTGTCGTTGCCAAAAAGACCGTTGATTCTATCGAGAAATTCTTTATGTTCGGTCATTATTTTAATGTTGCGGCTTAATTTTAAGAGTATCAGCTACTGAACGTTGGTTAGTGACTTTTCCTTTCTGCAGATAAATACCAGTTTGTTGTAAAATGCTTCACCCAACATCATTCTTTATTTTCAATGTTATACCTTGCAAAGCTCATCACTGCCGTCTTGGTCACAGGAAGTCTTGTCTCTGCATATCCTAAGCACTCCAAGGGAAACGCTGATGGTGTAAACCCTACGAGCTCCACAGGGTATGAACCCTATGGCTGTACAGTGACTGTTAATGGCCGTCCTGGTATGTTGTACTCCCATCATCTCTGATTTTAAGTATGCCCCATATTAAGTATTCGTCTTTTGGAATTCGCACGAAACATTTTGGAACTGGTTGAGCAGACGGAGTAACGCAGGGATCGACTGTATTGATTTCCTGGATCACTCAAGACAATGCCTTCGATGGTGAAAACGCAGACACTAAATTAGATCTAAATTTGTTGAAAGGAAACTATGTGTCATACAAACTTGAAGGCCCTATCAAAACTAACATGGACAACGGTGTTTGCGATACTCTGTGGTATGTCAACAAGACCATACCAGAAGGCAATGACTATTTCCTCCAATTGAACAGCTCGCGAGTTATGGATTGCATGTCATCCCCCTTTTCCATCAAAGCATTCAATGGTGACAGTACTTCCAGTGGGCAAACCTTGACGCACAACGGTGTACCAATGGTCGTGCCTGCAGCACCTGGCAGCATGCAGAAGCGCAGCATTGTTGAAAAGGTCGTTTCTGCCTCTTCTCGCAAAGCAGACAGCAGCCTTGCCAACTTGGTAGCTGGACTCCTTGTATTCGGGGCTTTTTTGTAGGCGTGAGGTAATACCCTTTTTTTTCTGGGAGGGGCGGAGCTGTCAGATGGGAATGGTTGGAAGGTGTAACTTTTCCGATAGAATATTGACCCAATTCATCGATGAATGCTTCTATAAATTTCTTATAGCCTCGGGAAAACCATCTGGGTCTGTATCGGTGGATTAGACTGGAGACATAGTAGTGATATCAATCAAGATTCTTTCGATGTTTGGCTTACTGAATTGCTCATTTTTGGAATATAAATTGATGTACACAAAAACGGTTTCAAAAATTATAACCAACATACCTGTTCAATGCTAATCTATTGTCTAAAAGTATTTGACCGATTTAAGAAAGTTCATTATTTTGTATTAGTTTACAGGCTGTGATAAACGTTGAGGACACACGACTTGAAGGTTTCAGTGAAACTTAGCTTGGCCAATGTCGAAGAGAGCTAGCCATCGCCGGTTTTCAGCACAAATGCTGTGTAGAAATCATGACTGTTTCCAAAATGAAAATGCACTAACCATTCCAAAAATGCTTCCCACCTGAAAACAAAAGATCCAACTAACACAACACTGATTGTCTTATAGTAATCCCTGCCTCACGATTGCCTTATAGTCAAATTTTTATTCTCCATAGAAAAGGAGGGATAAAAGATGATATGCCAACGACTTAACCACACCACTCCAGCACAGGAGTCACTGAATCATTATAATATTAGCAATGCGCACGACAAGAGCGAATTTTCACTCAAATGTGGATTGAACGTCATAGCACGTTAACCATGTACCTTATCACCCATTGACATTCAGGTGCAAAACGGACAAGCAAATAGGAAGGGAACGTTCCCAGTTTTAAAATATCTTTCAAACCATTGGCTGTATGGACTGTTGATGTCGATTTTTCGCCTGTCCCGTTACACGGACTCTGTGCAGTCAGGGACAAAATTGAGGGAGAGCGTCACCTTCTAGTACTCTCCTTAGTCGCTCTACTTTCACAAAGCTTACTCCTCACCGCTCAGAATATCATTTGCTCTATTTTAGGATGAGAGCACACTTGCTCAAAGGACACTTATAAAAACCCACATTGATGATGAGCCCCAGAAAAGCCTGCCTAATCTACCATTTGGCGACAGCTATCTATAATACCTTATATTCTCCCTTTCTTTTATTTTAAATTAGCTTAATATTAATTGGCATATGAATGGGAACGCTTATGATGCGGCATACAAAGTGAGCATGCGATTTCCAAGTTATGTCTATGTTTACATGAACTCATCAAATTTTTTGGAAATTAGGATCTGTTTCAAGATAAGAAAACTGTAAAATCCACGTCTCATAAATCGTCTAGCATACATCACAAAACCACCACTCGTAAGAAAACGCAACACAGCAGCAAAAAGTCAACCAAAATCACACATGCTACCACGACTACAGGTACAATCCAGCCCTCTTCCACAAGTACCAATATAATTACTGCCAGCGACGTTGTACTGCCATCGATTGCAACTGAGATACCAACACCCATGACACCTGTATATATCAGTCCATCAGAAACGCCATCATCTACTCCCGCGGTAAACAATACTCCAGACGCTTCTAAGGACGATTCTGCTTCTGTCATTACTGGAGTAGCTTTTGCTGGTTTGATTCTTTTCATTGTACTGGTATTTGTCATGAGGAGAAGGCATATGAGATACAAAGATCTAGAAGTAAGTATACGTTAGTACCAAGGATCTAATGTGTCCGTAACTCACCACTGATGTTGCTTGCTTTTTGTTTTCGTTTGGATCAGTGTTGCTCCGCAGATTCCTTTCATGACGATACTATGTCTATCACATCAAAAACTAGACTGCGCCCTAATCAACCATCTTACGTTCCTTATAAACAACCTACATCCGAGGTGTCCTGCATGATGATGACGAGCAGTCCGCGATCCAGCATTTTCGATCATCAAAGTGACTATAAGCAAAAACGCAAAATCGAAGCCAAGACTCCCAGCCCGGTGCGCATCTCTTTATCTCAGATGAACCAAGATATCGCCAGGTTCTCATTGAAGAAGACCGATTCATGGGGAAATTATGTCAAGCAAGTTCTTCATAAACCAACTATGAACGAGGCTTCCAGTATCCCGCAACCAACTGCCATGAGCGCAAGCGCCCATGGTGTATGTGGATTTACTATTAGTCCACCAGAAGCTAGCCGCTGCAAGACGGAAAGCACAATCTCACCCAATGCACGACAAGATTTATGGTGTCAAAATAACCAAGACGCCTGGTGTCAAAATAGTAATCACTACTCTGAGACTCTTTCCACCACACCATTTCCTCAACAACAGATAATGGAATCCTACCATCCATTAGCCGCCGTTCCTTATAATTCCGTTTCACCTGCTCCAAACCCGTATCAATCCAGCGTAAACTATGGGCAGGGACCACAGCAAGCTGTACGGGTGAACCTGACCAACCCGATCAGTCACCAAGTATTATACAGAACTGACGCTCATGCGTACTAAAGAGTATAAAGCACTTGGATAGCTTGAATGCACAGTCGTAGGGTCTCCTTTTTTAATGATATCTAGAGGTTGTCCATCTTATCTCTCCCATTCCATTCTTTTCCCAATGTTGCAAATAAGCATCTGTACGTGTCCAAACTTTACCATAAATCACATCAAACTTGCGAATTAGAAGGTAGGCCTGGTGGCGCAGCGCAATCTGCTCTACACCTGGCCCGCGTCGGCGCGTTGATCGGCTGATAGTGGCACTTTTTCTAGTAAGACTGGACCGGCGCAAACGAGGAGGTCAACTTGACTCATGGCCCGTTTATAAACATATTGTTCTGGCGTGGGACACCGCAGATCATTTCATAACACGGGTTCTGTCTGGTCCGATCCTGACACACAACACTCTCGCAACACTGGATGGGTTGGGAAGACAGTTATAGCCTTTCCCTGCAGACGGTGTCTGGTTTATTAAGGAAAGCCTCATCGGTGGATGAGAACTTTCATGCTTTAAGATACTTTTGTTTATGCAGACGATTCCAAGATGTTACGTTCAGAGACGTAGACGCCATCAAGGAACTGGTAGAAAAGTTAATTGTGTGAAAAAAACTACGCCAGTTGAAAGCTATAAAATGAGCCATTACCTTTCTGATATCCTTATTCTTTACACTGGTTATTTGTTGGATGCTAGCAGCTGTTTGGGAAAGTATGGGATTAATTGAGTGGATGTAAAACATGCTGCAGTAAAAAATTATAATATACTGTACCTGACTGAGAAACAGCTTCCAAATCATTACCAGTGAGAACCAGCTCATCCTTTTGGCTGCTAGATTGACTAACAATAACGCCCTCAAGCATCTTGACACGGAAACTGACTTTTTGGCCAAGGAAGTTTCGGATCTCGACTGACTTCGCATCATCAGCAATGATGACATTAATGGGAAAATGGGCATAGACGTAGCGCATCTTGTACTCGAAACCTTTGGTAACGCCAATGATCATATTGTTGATGATGGATCGAACGGTTCGGATGCATGCAACATGTTTGCGGTTGCCGTGGTAGACAACAAACTTGAGCTTGTCGTTTCCGACAAACTTGATTTCCATGTTAAGGTGACGAAGGTTCTTGGTGAGTTCACCTCGTGGTCCGTTGACAGTGACTATACGAGACTTGATACTGATGTTAACGCCCTCTGGAATGTTAAGAATATCGTCTTTGGACAGATCTTTCATGGCGGATATTTAGTAGTATTGAGGTACAAAGGGGAGAGGTAAAATGCGATGTCGAAAGTAAAAAAAAAAAAATTTGTGTTGTTTTTCTTTGGGACACAGACGGAAAATTTTTGTGCCAGTCACGGAAGATAGGTGAAAAACGACGGGAAGTAAAAGCTCTGGTGCGCTCCCCATGTTAAAAAGCTAATGAATAGTTATTGGCTAGAGAGCAGGTGTGGCGGGAACCGCTGCTAATTAATGGATGGCGTGGGTATCAAATCATATAGTTTGTGTCAACTTGAATATATCAGGTTAGATGGAAATGAAGCAATATTGTTTATCGAAACTATGGACACATTATGAACTTAACAAAGAAGCCTTCGATACAGATTGGAAGGTGTATTTTTAGGAAGTAGACGGGCAAAAGTATCTCTTTAATTTTGAAGTTGTGTCTTTTACTGACATGAATAGCCGGCTCACAGCGTAAATTGTAACATTTTGCTAACTGAGTTTGTGGCACTGTTTTCTTCCAGCCCCGCCTCCTCAATGATCATCCTGTCCACTTCAGAAATGGCGTCACCGTACCAACCTCATGGTATCTTGCCCGCGCTCACCATCGCATGTTTCGAGCCAGAACAGCGATTTTTTTGTCCTTTGTTATTAATGCCAAATACTGATGTCCCTTGTATCATGAAGTCTGTGACCCTGTGGAATCCAAGCAAGGAAAAAGTTAGCGATGCTCACAAACATATGCATTCATCTTATATTTTTACTTTTATTCATTTTTCAGATTTATTTCTTTAAAGCGAGAGTGGGGATGAGATGAAGTGAAATCACAGATCAGTCTTAAATGAGGCAAACAAAACATTTACAGCTAGTGGTGACAACGTATGTCATGATAACATGTAAGCAGGAAAGCATATTCAGGGCCAGCATCCCCAACCTAATCTGCAGCCTTTCTAGTTCTCACTGCATAAATCAAAACGTGAGTAAATACATGACGATCCTTACTAACTGCCAAATAAACTCGTTTACACTACTGACCGTCATTCCTAATTGGTATCTTCAAACCTTGTCGGGCGAAAGCTTTGGACAGCTCCGTAGATTCTAAAGTGAAAAACCAAAAGACAGTTTGAGTATTGGCTCTGTATAACAAGAAGCTGCGCTGGGGTTAAAGATGGCAACTTGGTTGCAGCTTTCCTACCTGTCATTCCTGGGAACTGAAAGTTAAAATGGTAAAGGAGGTTAGTAAGGAGGTACGAGGAGACGACAATCTCGAGTTATCAATTACCTTCTTAGCTGAGTAGACCATAAAAGGCTCAGAAAACACCTGGGCTATTACATTTGCCTTTGCATCAGTGACAAAATCGTTACTGCAAGTTCAACCAAAAGAAATAAGCATGGTCAATATGCTGATGGTAGATCATGTCGATATATAGTAACCAAACAACGCTTACCTAGTCAGTTTTATGAGACTAAACTTTAACGTGTAGCGTCCCTCCGTTCGGATGCTCAGGTCAGGAAAAGCAAAGTACAATCCTTGCTGTCCCTGTGGATTCTTTAATAGACTTGGAGAGCTGACTAAAGAGCCCATGAGGACTCTGGTGCATTTAGGTGGATTGGAAATAATATTTCGTTCTTCGTCCATTTCTGCTGACCAAAGGGTGACGTGTAAAACAAAGAACGGGTTCTGTAGCGTCCTTTGCACAAAAATAAGGTTAGTGGTTCAAAAATTCGAGATGACTTGCTGAAAATAAAGCTTATCTTCTTACTGAACATCGATTGGCCCTAAATCGTTACCATCCGCATCTCGCTTTTGAACAAAAAGCTGCACTATCGGTGGAGGGTCGATAGGACGTCTGTCTTTCTCGCCAAATCCGCACATTCTAGCATGCAGAGGCTGTTGGCATACTTCGAGCCTATAAGATCTGCAAGGAAAAACGTCATGATATGTAACAATGAGAAAAGGAATACGTAGAAGGATATTCCATGGCGTGATAATCTACGGTGTATTGCTTCTTAAGCTTCGTTGGCTGTGAAAGTGTGCGTGTAAACTTTTTTGTCCTAAAGCCCGCCAGCCGCCCGCCACATCCCAAACAGTCGCAAAAAGTCCCCACTCATGTGCACTCGTTAAGTGGAGTACTGAACGAAAGTAGTCCTATCTCCCTGATAGTCCTTGATGAATCTCGGATGGTCAATTCCATTCCGCACTGAGTTGCGTTGGTGAAAAATGGAACATGTCCTAGCCCTTGTAACATTTGTCTCATCGAAAAAAAAGAAAAGAAAAATATACCTCATATCTCGCTCGTCGTAACCGGATTGAATATGACTGCATCAAGATATTAGCACAATGTTGGTGACATTTTCGGCAAGTTGTAAAGGCCAGCGGTACCTGTGATTCTCCATTTCAGGATTTTGCTTCGGTCGCTTTGCGTAGGGCAATGAAGACGATTCAGGGCTTATGCGATGAAGGAAAGCGGATTCCCCTGATGCTGAGTATGGTTTGAATCCTGCGTTTTGAGAAGAATATTGATCCCCGGAACTTATCGGTTGGTCTGAGTATGAGTCGTGATTCGCCATGTTACAAAGCAAAATGGAAAAGAAATATGGTCGCCGGCCAAGAGAATGATTGTGTGGACCAATTTGGCCAATGAAATTTTCATACCCCGAACAGAAAAGGGATCACGACCCTCGCTGTTGGACAACTTTTTTTCTTCAAATTTTTTATTTTTATTTTTTTTTATTTTATCTGATACAAAAACTGTATTTTTGCCAAATCAAAAAAATCCCCCCTTTCACTCGGGCTTTCCGATCAGCCCTTTACCCCAACTAGAAATCACCCTTGAACATTGAGCGATAGCGTTTTTAGCTTTGGGAGTGTCCCAGAGTCCTAGAGAGTCCAATTGACGTGCAAAATGGACACACATTTCTCCATGAGATTTAGCGTACAAACGGTTTTGGATCACGGACTGGAGAAAAAACCAACAAGCAAAAAACATTACGAGATTAAATTTTACTTTTGACATGAGAGAATTTGCGGTAAAAAACGGACACTGTACCTCAAAATTCGACAAATCGTTTCCCCGTTTGGGCTCTAACTGAATCATAAAGTCATCTGGCAAAACCCAGAAATCGGCTCCGTTAAGATAGCTTGCAAATAGACATGCTGCTTCATTGTCAGCGAATCGCTCTGGACACCTAAACAGACAAAGGAAATGATGGTGTCAATCCTGTCCTAACAAAGCTTAAATTTGCGGGTGGCCCTACCGCACTAACGCCATACCACACCACCCGGCCCCACTGATTGGAGCTGATGACCATTCTAGGCCGTGCTTGTGTATCATTGCTTACCATGGCTGAGCGTTTCGACTTTGAATGACGATAGGCTCATAGTGGACTTCATAATCCTTGACAGCATACAAGGTTTCAGAGTTCCTCCATCTCTCAAAGTTGGTGGGTCCATTACCAAGCTCCCAGTGCTTATCATCCAATCCAATAATCCCCTTGGAAACGAGTGATAACAGACTCGCTTTGGTTCTTGGGACAGCAGAGTGTTTAGCTGCATGTTCAATGAATGTGAATAATGGAACAACCATAACATCACCGTCGCGCAATCGTGGTGTAAATGATTTTTGGTTGGTACGTAAGGTATTCCGTATTCGTGTAGCCGGAATAATACCGGCGGGGACATCACAAATGAACTCGGTTCGCGCAAACAGTCTTGCCAAATTTCGGTCCACATTGTGCGCCAGCGCAAGAGATGGGCTCGATGCAGGTGGGGAAAAGTAAAGATGAATGTCAACATGAGAAGACATTGCTATGTTGCTTCGATATTTTGTACCGAGATCCCTCAGAATATCAGCAATATCCGGAGAAAGCGGTGAGCTCTTCGATTGTATGTGCAAGGTTGCAGAGATAGGAGCTGAATGGGATGCACATATTAACATTCTAGACTTGAGCCGCAGGGCCATTCTATCTCCCAAATAAAGGACTCACCTTGCCAATTTTCTGCTAATCTTTCTAGCTGTGGCCAGCTAGCCACTGTAATATGAGTTATTAAGGATATATCTTCAGGTAATGGGGTTGATGTGGCTCTAAAATAATATGGTTGGATGTTTTCGATTGCAAATGCCGAGTTCGAAAAGATTTTGGAAAACTTGAGGGCATCAGACATATTGTCCAAGTGAGAGAAAGGAGAATCTGCACAACGATGAATCAATACTCACAGTACCGCGTACCCCCAGTAACTCTATGCACACTTACCAGGATCATAAGTTCGCTTCGGTTCCCAGTCTTCGTTGATATACATCTTCTGTGGCTGAGAAGAGTTGAAAATCCAAGCCCACAAATGGGAGAATGTTAAGAGCACCGAAAAGCTCGTATAGAATATGATAAGGAACCGGATCCATCGCGATTGCAGAATTCTCGATATACCCTTCGTCTTCCTACTCCCACCAAAAGCTGAAGAAGAATGCTTCTTGTCCTGTGGAAGCAATGGCGTGGTAGGTTGTGTGAATTTGTTGATATATGATTGTGCTCTTATTAAAACTCGTCGAGCAGACCACTGTTGGTCCTTTGTAACGTCTCCAAAGTATGAATCGCCACTATGCTTCGATGATCCGAAGCCATATCGGTTAGATCCCTCAAGAATGGTGTCGAGCGGAGGCGTATTGAGAGATTCCGGGGTGGTGACTGAAGGTGAATAAGTCAAGGATGACTTTCGCTGATGAGATGCGCCTCGCTTAGATTTGGCTGAGGACGAGCGAGTCACCGTAGCTTGTGAGTTCCCGGACGGCGACATGGACAATATACCAGCACCAGACCCTCGTCTCGTTGCCGCTGACTCTGTCATGGTTCTGCAATTAGTTGGCAAATCAGTCCCTTTTCCCTTAGCTTTGCCAAAAATAACCCACAGCAATTCAAAGTCAAAACAACGTCACACGGCCGACACTAGCAGTTGTTGGCATCGGTCGTTCAAAACTTCGATGAAGAACGTGGTGTTGGCCCCTTCCTGTCTTCAAACCACAACTCTTACTGCAAGTATCTATGAAACAGCGCAAGCTAAATAGATCATCAATTTATACACATACCTTCATCATCTAACTGAGTATAGCGGTGTTAGCTTGAATTGCGGTCTTGGTCCGCCATACTGTCTAGCAAACATAATGTATAAATATCTTGTCTCACTTTCCATGGCAGCGACAATATAAAAAGTGAAAGGGAAGTATCTATAACGCAAAAATACCATAATTCGCATGATTACTTTCATGTTATGAACAGACCTTAAACCGCTCAGTGCGTACCTTTACTCAATACAGTGGCAACAATCCTTCCCCGAAGCGCATTTAAAAATTACCCTTGAATTTTTGTTTCAGAACATGTGCTTTTGAATAAAAAACAGCGAGGGCAATATCACTTGCCGGCATTAGAGATTTTTTGTTTTCATTCGAAATGTCAGAGGTCAATAGACTTGAAAGTTAAGAAGTTAGATTCGTCATAAACTAGAGGCAAGAATGAAATATTTCACGTATTTATTAGAGCATCAGTGTCATTAGACTTCTGAGAGTTAGCCTGTCGCGAAATGGTTTAAGCGGATGCTGATATTTTCAGAATGTGTGTAAGTTGTTGTGTTGCGACGATCCGCTCAAATTAAAAAAGATCATGTATAAAGGGTCTTTGCGTAAGTACACTTTGGACATGTGTGTGCAATATGCCACAGTGGTCATTTGATCTCAGCAACACTTGGATGCAAGGTACAGTACTAAATTCTACTAAAAAGGTACATCTACAATAGGCATTAAATATTAGCTTCAGTTTGTCTTCTGTTGGCAAGGAAATTTTATGTTTTACATTGCATACGTGAGTTATGAATATAATTTTCAATGCTTACTTTTCTGTTACAATTGCTTTCTTTTCACTTTCGATCGTCGCATTTCGGACTAACCTGTAAACCTGGTTACACTGATATCGCATGCATTATACCACGTTCCCAAGTTCATTGGACTCAAGTTCAACAACTCGTTGATCCAAACCTCGTCAATACAGGTGTACAGATCGATAATTAAGTGCATAGTGTCTAAGAGTGGTGCCGTATACCCAAGTAATTGGTATCCTATGTGAAAATTCACGAAGAACCTTTTGGAGAAGGATAAAACTTTACAGGTGCCAGGAGCGGGCAATACCATCCAACATAACATGCTACTGAGCCTTAACCTTTCTTCATTAAGCTGGACATGTCAGAATGTTTTCTTCTTCATGACCGACATAGCGGATTGAACACAAGCACGGTATGTTGTACACATTCATTGTGCTCTTTTACTTGCAGCATCGCATAATAATTGACCATTATAGTGTCTACTTCCCAATCTCCTTCCGGCGCGCACTTAAGATGAAGCGGGTACCGTAGGGATGTTACTCAGCACATGTCTTTGCCTAGCGAATACTGTTCGGTGACTGCAAAACCGCAACAGGTATATATAGCAAGTATCCTGCAAAGCAAGTTGTCAAAGAAGAAATCTTCATTAAACACCATGTTTCTCAAGGCTGTGATTGCTCTTGTCGCTATTTCTGGCGTGGCTAATGCCGGTACCATCAAGAGAGGCTCTGCTGCGTATTACAACCCCAATACTGGCGCCACTAACATGAAGGCTTATGTCGTTGGTGGAACTGCTTATGAACCTGTCAACGTTATTGTTAGCGGTCTTAGCGCTGGTGCTGTGTCCAACTCTAACGATGCTGTTAAAGGAGGTATCCTCTCTTGGTTGCAAGCTATCAACTTTGACAAGGAGTGTTTAGGTCTTCATGCTGGTGACTATCAAGGATTTGATTCTGGCGATGGCCGTGGCTTCGTTAATCAAACCTTCATCTACCGTCAAAACTATGACGACCCAAGCGGCGTTGGCTCCTGCACTGAATCTCTTATTGGAGGACAACATGTTCGTGGTTACTATCAAACTACGTCTGGTGCTTGGTTCCTTGGAGCCAGTCAAGAAGAACCTGCCACTGAGAGTCACAACATCGTGCCTAATGGATATGATCTTGGACGTAACTACGTTGCCAAGAATGCTTTGGTTGGTGGTAAAGGCTTCGATGGCTGCGTCTATGGTCCTGCAACTGTTGTAGACATTACTGGTTTGGTTGCTGCGAATGATGGTAGCGGATATAACCACGATATTGGTACCGATGGAATTGTCAAGCTTATTACTGTTCCTGCCCCAACTGGTTGTTAATCAGATGCTGGTAGCCACATGTGAAATATCTCTCACTCTATCTATTAATATATGCATTCAAATAGTAATAGGAAGTATTCTTTACAGAGCGACCTTATTATCTAACCCGTATGCTTCGCCTGTGGCGGCGCTGCACAATAAAAATTTTCAGGACAAATAGCTTCTATAGAAAGATTCATTAATATGAGGCGGAGTGGGTTCATATGGGTGAGAGGTTTAAGGGCAGAAAGCAGCATTGTTACTATACGGAAGAGAAAAAATCGTGGCTTGGTTAGAAGGGGATTTTGGGATCGATATCATCAGCATTTACCAGGTAGCGGGCAATGAGGAAACGTGACAAAGCGTAAGAAAAAAGTTTTTCTTGTGCTTCTCAGGTCACTTTTTTAAAGAGGTGAGGTAAATAAGCTTTTTGCAGATGTAACCAGCCAATGTGAGTAGGAACGGGGCTAAGCTCTTCAGAAGAAGGAGGTCTATCACTTCTTTTTTTTTTACGTGAGTAAGTTACTTAACCTGGTTATAGCGCATCAGATACTATGGAGCGGGTGCCCTCGACCTTTTGCCATCACTACCCCCTGAAGTGGAGTTCGCGGGACTTCGTGAGAATCATGGTTAAGGGCAGGCAAAAAAGGTCATTTGAAAGAGGGAAAAGTCTCTAGATGATATTCACCTACTTGCTCTATGATTGAAATGTGTATGGCTCTCCCTATGTGCTAACAAGAATGATTATCAGTTGTGAGTGTTCAACAGAAAGCCTAAACGGCATATTGTGAAGGGCCCCAAACCTTTTTTCTGCAAACACGTTTTAAATTGAGGGACCGCCTGCACCGAAAATAAAAAAGAGACAAAAGTGTGCACTACATACCACCTTCCCGATATTCCTTTCACCGCTCTCCTCTTCTAAAACCATGTCTGGATACAACTATCCTCCTCCTCCCCAGCAACAAGGCGGTAACTATGGGCCTCCTCCACCACAGTATGGTGGTGGTGGTGGCTATGGACAGCAACAGCCTCAGGGTCAGTATTACAGTCCTCCTCCTCAGCAGGGTGGTTATTACCAACCAAGGTAAGACAGACGAAAAAACAATTCATTGGACTTGTAAGTTGTAATGACTAACGCTGAAAGCTGCTGTATAGCCCACCACCACAAACTGTCTACGTTCAACAAGCTCCTCAAAAGCAAGACGATGGATGTTGTTTGGGATGGTAAGCTATCCTCTGACGTGTGAAGTGTTAAAGTTTGTGCCTAAACATAGACTCTATGTCAACAATTTCTAGTTTGGCGGCAATGTGCTTCTGCTGTGCTCTGGAGACGCTGTGTTAATTGGGATGAAGCGGTGAGCAGGTCATAGCCTACAGCGTACAATACCAAACCTTGGATCGAAAAGTCATGCTCATGAGTATGCCATTGAGAAAAAAAATCTTGATTCTCCTTCGTTTCTCAATCTTTCTTCTCTGCACTTCTTTTCCTGTACTCTCCGTCATACACGTAATTCTTTTTAAAATCAAATAATTGAAAAACAAACCTTTTTATCAGCGTTGATATGTCGTACTGCCATGAAAAGGAGGCGGAAGCGGGGGCAATATTTCATGAAATTGAACTGGTGTGACGGGTTTGTTCCAATCATAGAAGGTTGATTGGACCGGCCATTGAAATTGGCTTTTATCGCCAAAGCCAGGTATCACCTACAGCCATTCCACAACTGTATCAGCAAATTAAACATATACAGAAGACGGAATCGTCGTTCTTCAGTGCATCATCCATTTTTTTAACACAAGCAAAAAGGCTATCATGGTTACCATAACGCTTTCTCGTCCTTTCAAAATCCTCTCTGCTGTGTCCATCTTCATTTGTGTCATCTTTCTGTTACACCATTCCAGAGAAAGCGGTGACAATAACACCACATTCCAACATGTCACGTCCAATGATGTGCGTTTGCAAAATCAACATAAGATTAACAGGGTTATTGCACACTTGCGGACTAAATACGTAGCCAACCGTACACCCTACGAAGATGCACCACCCCTTATGATTCTTTATTCTTGCAATAAGCTGCCATGTGGTACTTGGGTGCAACGGTTGAAGGATATCACATCAGCCTTCTTCTTAGGTGTCTCGCTGGACGGGACAGCATACGCAGTGGATATGACAGCACCCATACGCATGGATTGGTTTTTTGAGATTGATCCGGCTGGATCTGCCATGACTACGGACCAAGCTCATCACTATCTTCAACTTCATGGTGTATCTAAGACAAGCGTTGCTGTGGACGGATCTCTCGACAATGCTTCCCTTGCCAGTAAAGATCTTAAGGCAGTATACCAAAAAGAGGGAGCACGAATTGTTCAAGCTCAAAAGTTAGGAGACTGGCATCAGATAAGCAAAAACCCTGTTCTCTTCAAGACACTTAAGGGCTATGATCTCCAAACCTTGACGGAGCAGGAGTGGTTTGTGGTAGCCAGACGTTTCTTATTCGCAAAGCCTTCTGAATGGTTCAGACAAGTTCTTGAACCTTATCGGAGCATAATGGGTGGGCGCGTTGGACCACCAAGGTCATTGTCACTGAATGACCCAGATACACGACTAACCCAGGAGGAGCGTACCCTGTATCGTATCGGAGTTCACATCACAGATCCATCGCAAGCACATTGTTTGGCCAAATACGCTGACCAGGTTTGTAAGAAGCAAGCTGGGGAAAGGAAATGTTACTTGTTTGTTTCAGCCGGTAATGCTGATGCGATGCAAGCCATGCGTCAAGCCGTAGGTGATAAAGTCACGATACGCACTGTCGATTCTACATATGAATACCAAGACTTGGACAAACCGTTTAGTGGAAGTGAGGATGATGCCAAAGTATTCTATGCCAGAGTGATCATGGATTGGACTATTCTTACAACTATGGATTATTTGATCGGCGCGGATGACTTCATCGAGACGGCAGCATGGGTAGCTCAAGTGCCACTAGATCGAGATGCTGAAGAGGAATGCCAAGCTGCAACTGACTGATGAGCGGGTAGCGAAGAAATTCCCCTTTCCTTCCACTGTTTCTATAAATCGAGTATTGCCAAGACACAAAAAGGTCTTTGGATCATTTCCAAGACAGCCACCATCTTACCTGAATTAGAAGCTGCTCAACCCCAATCAGCCACCGTTACCAAAGCCAAGACGGCACTCGTTCTCAAAAAAATTAGTACCTTATGATTGTTTACGCTATGCCTGCTTATGGTGAAAGCATGATGTAACGGCGTTAATTTCTAAAAAACCTTTAAATACTCGTCTAGAAATATTTCTTTTTTATCTTCCTGATTTCTTGTCCATCGTTATAATATAATCCAATACAGTAATAATGTTCAGTAACAACAAACATCAACAACAACAGTATCAACAGGGAGGCTATTACCCACCACCACCCCAACAAGGTGAGTTTTGTGAACCCAATAGAGTTTGACAGTACAGGGCAGGGAAAATCTTCCCACCTGCTGCTGTTCACAGTACGTACAGCAGATGAAATAACACGCTATTGTCATAGGTTATTACCCACCACCCCCACAGCAAGGTTACTACGGTGGCCCCCCACCACGTAGAGATAACGGCGGTATGATGGGATGTCTTATCGGTTTGCTTGCCTGCTGTGCTTGTGAGGAGTGCTTGGATATTTGCTGCTGCTAAGGAGCTCGGTTGAAACACTGGAGGACTTTTTGGGATGCTTGATCCACACCCGTCCGGTGCTATGACACATTTAAATATATAAATATATCCTCCTCTTTTCTTTTTTTCTTACATCACATTGTACGTATATGACAATAAAGTAAACGAGCTGTTCATTACAAACACATAGAAAAATGACGTGGTCACAACGTAGTGCACACTGAGCGGACTGATAGCGAATAACTGGTCTGTGCCACTCGTTCACAAAACACCGAAGGTGGAGGCCAAACATTCGTTCGGAATGACAAAGGCTATGGTTACTTTTTTGGTTCAACGGTTCCGATGGTTTACGATGGGGAGGATGCTAAGAAATATGAAACTGTCAATTAACGTTGTGAAAAGCTTATGAATATTACTTGTACGCATGTGAGTCGCGTGCTACATTCTGACTAAACCGCTTTCTGAACGAAAATTGAGTTTATTTCTACCAAGGACAAGGCCCAGGGATTACAATAGCAATATTGGGAAAGAAAAAGGAATGAGATGTTACAAGGAATGAGCAGAGGGTATATTATCAGGTCCTCAAGGGAAGGAGAAAAAAAAATATGCTATGTACATTACAAATTTTGGGTGTGTTGGTTGGGACGATATTACGTAGAAAAGGGGAGGTCGGGTAGGAGAGGGGTATGTATGTGTTTGGATTGTAATTTTTTTTTTTGATTACGGTATTACCATGGGCCTCCTTCAAACGACAAGTCAGACCATCCTGGAGCAAAAGTGTCTGATTCTACTACGTGTGGTTGCTTTTGTTTATGAGGATAGCCGGCCGCCGTGTTTTCTCGCAAGAGGTTTCTTTTTAAGCTTTCAGAGAGATAAGAGTCTTGTTGTGGACCATGATGATCAGCAAGTTGATTTAAATCGTGGTACACAGGGGCTCGAGATCTTCTTAAAAATCTTGGAGGTTCTGGGCAGGGATTATTGGCAAGCATGGAGGATAGAAGGGATCGTTGTAGGCAAGGTCTAGAAGGCTGTGGTTTCTTTGCAAAGTAGCTAGATGGGGGCTCGGTAAAATCGGCTGGAGAAGCTAGAGTTGAACCAGAATCGGTTGATGAGGAATCACTGCAGCGATAGTCCGAATCCCAATCAGACGTCCTTGGAGTTTCGGGATGTGAAGGTCTGCGCTTTCTATGACGACGGCGTTGTTGACGGTGTTGCGTTGATGCTACTTCAGCTTCCGAATCGGAGGACTCTGAATCGGACGGAATGAAAAACTTTCCTTGAATACGAGAAGTATGTTCAGGAAAAGAGGGAGCAGGCGTTTCCAGCTGAGTGGGCTCTGTTCGCTCAGCCATAGAAGCAGTTTTACTTGGCAGCAGTTGATCTTTGGAACTGCCAAAAGTTGAAACAATTTCTTTGAACGAAGCCACAGGTGAATCAACAGCGGCTTCCGTTATCTGAGACGATTGATATGAAGTGATGTTGCCCATAGACGTTTGACGATACCAAAGTCGCCATGACATGTTCTCTAGACGGCGACCATATTGCAGATTGTTTTTACATCTAGTAAATACTGATAAGAGAAAAAGATAATAAAAAGGTTGAATGTGTTATTATTACAGTGATTTTTTTTGACATCGACAGAGGGGTAAGACACTTACCAGTCCAGAGGTCGCCAACGTCAATGGAATTATCCATCGAATGTAAAGTAAGCGCCAAAAGAGGCTGCTCCATGGTTAATGCCATCAAAAAGAGAAAGGATGAGATGAAGAAAGAAGAGTGAGATCTCTCACGCAAAGAGAAGGCCTTTTTGTCTCCCCTTGGTGTTTAAAGAGGGAGATAGAAAAGATAGGCTCTCGTGTCGGAGTTACAGGCCCAACATCCCCAACAAGCGGGAATACAAGGTCAGATTTATGTGTATGGGGCAGGGTCACAAACGCAAAAACTTACACCATCATAATGCATGATTGTCACAGACCCTTTCAGTGATAGATCACTTGGCATTTAGAGTATTATGCGACTTTATTTCGTCTATTGAGAATATTTTAGATAAAATTATTTAAAATTACTTTCGCTTTGCTATCATTCGGGAAAATCCGTGCAGACACATTGTCAGGGTTCTCGACAAGCGGACATTGAATGCCACGAAAATTTCAGCCACTTTTATCGAAAAGCATACCAAAGTTCTCCTATCAAAACACAGCAAGCTCCAGTAGCTAATACCGGCATAATAACCAGATTCCATTTCAGAAACTGGAAATATTGGAGAACGTAAATGCCTTTGGTTTTGAGGATATGATCGAACCTATCGATAACAGATAAAGTATTAGGAAATATAATATATGGTAACAATGATGTGGTTATCACTCCATATCGCGACACAATAGGTCCGGGTTGGTAGGGTTGCATGAAGTTGAGTATAATATATATAATGTAAACTACCAAATATATAACACGTTCGCTTTTTCTAGTCCACCCCCCATCATCAACAAACAATATAAAAATATACACTTACATTATACCAGCCAAGCTGCCCACTAATGTAAAGCAGGCGCCCAAATTACTGCCGACTACCAAGGAAAAGATACAGCCTTTCAACACTTGAGGCGTAACATTTGCGGCTTGATAAAAATTAGGGTGTTGCATAATCCGAGTAAATAGAATCGTCATAGGTAAATTGTTCAGGAGTTGACATGCCATTAGCGTGATAAAGGTTACGGAAAAAACGGCAGCATAATAATTTGGCGTGATGCGTGCGAGAGCGATGGCAAAGATCGCTGTCCAGCCTAAATCAGAAAGAGCCTCGACTAAAATAAACATGCCTAGTGCGAAAGGAAGAATTTTCCACGGCATTCGAGTGCCGATATCATACAGGGTAGGAAATCGATCTCGGAAGCGATGTGATTTTTCTGCCTTGCTAGAGTTTTCTGAGCGAATACTGGGAGCATTCGTTCTTACAATAGATCTGGATGAAGCGATGGAGACGCTCGTGGACAGAGCCGGTGGTAATGGAGATTGGGTGGCAACTTGCTCAAGCGGAATACCGTCGGTGGTCTGAGAGCCAATGGATCGGGATGACGAGATATGGTCAACCGTTTCATTCGTGGACGGGGGAGCACGCTGTCGCCCAGATTTGGCCCACTGTAAAATGATTTTTCCTCCGCCTACGTCGTGCACCACGTCGCGGACAAACATGACAACCGAAAACGGTAGCGTAATCTGCCAAACTTCGACACCTGCGAATGAAGTTCCTATCAACGTGCCCAGACAGCATCCTAATAAGACTACTCCAAATACTGCTCCGAATGGATCGACCAGTACGCTTTTGGGGTCGGCGTCTGGGCTCAATATAGTTTTTGGTATATATTTAGGGTTTCGAAATAAGATCCGCATTGTAATGTAAGCCAGTATAGTACAGATAACGGTTGGGAGGAGCATCCACGCTGAGTACTCTAAGAATCCAATGTTGTATGCTTGCGAGACCACCACGTTGGTTGGGTTTCCAATATAAAGCGCCATAGATGCTGCAAGGGCATGGTGGTCGGCGCGGGTGCAACCACGGGCATTAGGATCCCATTCACGAACACATAACATTAAAGTGAAAGGGACATCATACCTATGTTAGCGGTTGTAAACTCGCTCATCAAAAACGCTGTAGGATGAATGTCCGACACTCTTGTAAAGTAAGATAAGAAGACTGTTCCGGTGAGAATGACCACATCGTTACTTGTCAAAGCACTCATGACTGTAGTCAATATGAAGAAGGCTGTGAACACAGTGTGGCCATTGGATCCTGCTCTTCTCGATATCCAAAATGCACAAAATTGAAATAATCCAGTCAGATCCAGTGAGATGCAAATGTAGGCCTACAAAGCAAAAAGCGTGAGTTGGTTTGACCCGAACCCCCCAGTAGCCACAAACTCCTAAACATTAGCCATGCTACATAAAATAGATTACCAGTGAATAAAACTAGTATAGATAAGAATTAATGCCTTTGATGGTGTCAAATACCCATGTCAACCGTATATCTCACCAGAATCATGACTCCCCAAGGTTGAATTCCTGCTGATCCTAAGAACCCTCGGAGTACCACATATGGTTTGATAGTAGTCGTGGCTAATAGAAAGATTATGCCGAGAATTGGGGCTGTCGCAATGTCAAGTGTAATTCGCCAGTTTGGCTTGCCGCATGCTCCTAATTTTATGCGAACTGGAAAAACCACAAACACAATGACAACTAAAAACGTAGCTAGAGCCACCCAAGAGAATGCATTTAGAGTATCATTATCTGCCATGTGGTTTTTTCAGAGGAAATTTACAGCTAATCAAATGTCAGTTTTTTGATCCAGCCACGTTTAATTCACGCAGGCGATTTTTTTTCTTTATTGTATGGCCATATTGAGAAACTTCGTCATTACCGAACAAAAAAAAATGAGAGCTGATGTCGATCTTCAAAACGACTTTTCATCTATACAGAGCCCGTTCACTTCTTGAAAAACCCTTTGGCCTTGTTCAACAAACCACCGTTCTCTTGTTCCTCGCCCTCGGCAGAACGTGGACCGCCAAATGCCTTTTGCAGTTCCATGACGGTGTTCATGTCCATCTGGATGCCAGCTGCCTGCATGTCCTGCGCAAGCTTTGCTGCCTTTTCCTTAACTTCCGGGTCTGACATGAGTTTCATGATCTGTAAGGGATGATAGGAATTATATTAGTACTCCTTTGTTTATGCCAACAATCTCGTCACAAAAACACTCACTTGTCCAAAACCGGGCTGCTTTCCGCTGGATGCATCCAATCCTTTCTCTTGCAAGAGTATAGTGAAGTCAGCTAATTGCTGAAGAATTTGAGGATTGCTCTGAAGCTTTTTTATGAACGGGTGACTAGTATCAATTCCTTGCATGGGGTCTCCGGCGGAGGCTCGCACATATGCAGAGCTATGCAGACATTGCACTGGCAAGGACCGAAGATTAGGTCGTACCGATGGTGAACCTATAGCCGTATATTGAGCTGAAGAGCGTAGAGCCAATCTACTTGTGCGGGTGAGTAATGTGAGTGTTCTTAACATGTAGAGGTGAATTGCTGGCTGAATGCTAGCCCGTCACGCAACGCCAAATACGCAGCTGCCCGACCTGCGCTGTTTGAATTTGCTTCAAATGCACTGACAGCCGACGGTCGATTACGCGACGGTTTGAGCCGGCCAATGGTCACTTGCGCTGGCTGTCAAGCATGGGTCAGACGTGATTTTTTCATCTTCTCCGATACGAGTTTGGGGAGAATACCTTGTAGAGAAAATGCACAATAGTTATGATGACGGTCATCAGAAAAAAAAATTGTCGGGTCGATATACTTGACAAGCATAAGCGTTTGATATCCTTCAAACACACGAAAATTTTGCAGCGGATGATGTCAAACCATTTGACCAATTCTGAACAGTGCCAATACGTACATGAATAAAAAAAAGTACCATCATATAATACACAATCATCAAGCAGTACGAGACTAGTTGAAATTAAGGAAACATTTATTTCAGGGACATTGACTGAATATCCCTACTTTGCGAATGTTGACCAATGGAGCCATAACTACTACGTAAAGTATACTTTCCTACGCTGACTTAATAAGCTCGATAGTTCAGAGACTTGAAAATACGCAGCAAATGGACCCTGTCAAGGGATGGTTTTCGTGGGTTCTACCTGAGACAGAAAAGGCTGATGGACAGGAGAACCACGGAACTGCTGACTGACAAAGTAGAACTAATGACATTATAAACCCAACAATTCTGGATACACTTGCTTGAAGAAAAAGCTGTTTTCATTCACAGCGTGTGTCATGCGAGAGCCCACCCAACAAATTCGCCATTTGCATCAGCGCAGCTAGTACGGGTGTTGGATCTCGCATTAAAGAGCTTGCTAAGCGTGGCTGTGAGAAGGTCACGGCAGAAACTGAAGATATATCCCAATTGCGATGGCAATGAATTTCGGACATCACACAGCCTGTTTGCCTAATTTAATCTCCACATTTATCTTATGCTACCAAAGCTGGTCGAAGGTACGTGGAAGAAAGTTGTAATAATGGAACTGCCGTTGTAATGACTCTAATATGTTCAAGATATCAAGTTGGAACGAGCTCTGTTATGCCTTGAAGGCAAAGTATTTCATTCTTCTTTTTTTTTTTGTCGGTTGAGGCAGATATTACCTACGACGGACGATTTTCAGGAAATGTTTATAGCTTGAATTTCAATGCACATTGATGAATACTGTATAATCGTGGGAGCAATTTACAGATGTTTTGGATTGGAAGAAACAAAGCAGCTAAAAGTAATTGAGAAGGGTAGAAAATGTGAATATTAAGATGCGAAGAGCAAGAGACTATGGAAGAATATTGAGTTGATTTTTAATAGTGTTATTACAAATAAGTGTAGTGCTTTGTGTGTTCGTTTATGCTTCAGTCATTTCGGATTGCGATTGTAAAGGGGTTGTGTCTGCATACTGGGTAATACGCCTGTTAGGGTCAATCAGTCGTCCATCCGCTTCATCGCCCAAGTCTCCTACGCTTGACACCATTAAAATACATGGCAAGCAGCAGCCCGTACAGCAGAAAACAATTGACTATTTGTGGAATGATGACGTGAATGTTTAAAAGCTGTTATTTCGGACATCGTAGTATTGCACACGAAGTTGACACTTACCAATACGATGAAAATTGGAATGAGGACATTGGACATTTTGATATATTCGTATCCGTCCAGACGTCTAGCAATAAGACCAACAAGAGAGTAGAACAAGACACCAACGATTGTCAGGGCAATAAATCCAAGCTTGACGGTGAGCTTGCCCTGCTGGGCCATTTCTTGTTGTGGAATAAGTTGGAATCGTCTGTATGCGAAGATGAGCTGGATGGCGTATTTGACAAAGATAAGATAGAGGGGGATGAAGATGATACCCCAAGAGCAAGTTACGACTTGGTCGATCCTCAAGACAATGAGAATGCCTTGGACCAAGCGAATGACAAACCACCAAAATCCTTCAAAAAGCAACTGAAGGATCAATCGAAGGCCGACCTTGTGATGTTCCGCAGCCATTTGCATAATTTTCAAGTTGATGAAGAAGTCGACAGAGGTGAACATAAAGTTAAGGCCTTCCAAAATGAAATAAGGGATGAATACCATGGCGGCACTCCACATAACAAGTTGATCCAGTCGAATGACGATGAAAATTTGGAACAGGAGGGCTAGTATGACATAGATCAAGGAAAGTGAGATGCGAACTTGTGACAAACGTCGACGCTGTCTTCTTCGTGCAGCCCGACGATTCGCACGTTGCTCCTCAGTCTCATCCTCGTGGGCCATGTCGGCTTCCTCATCATCGTCGTCGTACTTCTCGTCATCATCGTCTCGGAAAGATTGAACAAAATGTGTCAAGAAGGACAGAATGACGATGGCATCACATATCCAGAGTGGGATCCAAACCACGGACCATTTCCACAGTACCATATTATCAATACGTAGAGATAAAAATACGAAGAAAATAATTAACAGCGCAAATGCTGAAGCCAAGGTCATGAACAGAGTGCATAGCATAGATTCAATTTCGGGATCGAACAATGGGCTAGCGACAGTGCCCATCATATTGAGACCGAGTTCACCATAGCGGTCATAAACTTTCCTCTTCTTTTCGTCACTGAGTACCTGTTGGTAATTTGTTGTTTATATTAAGGCATATCCAATTAGGCGATATCGGATTCAATTGGAATGTATGGAGTCCGCAGTGCAAAATTTTACCTCATAAGCATGGCTGATGTTCTTAAACTAAAGTAATAAGTGGCCATAGAAGATAAAATGTTAGTAATAATCCATAGTGAGTCCAAATCTGCCCTTCCTTCGACTCGCATGATCGAACAGGGTTTCATAAGGGAATTCAGCCACATTACCTGCTCGGCACTGTCTGGGTTCTGGAAAGGTAGAGGACCGCAAAAATGGAAGGATATGGCTGTTAATAGACTGGAATTTCGTTTCATTTATATGGTGAACATAAATGTATATACCTTGTCGGGGTGGTATCGAAGAGCTAGTCGTCGATATGCCTAGTGGCAAACGGGAAAGGTTAGAGGTGGAGGTTACGCAAGTACTGTCATGTAGGGGTGAATTGCAAGGTGGGCAATAACATACCTTCTTAATCTCTTCTGGGGTGGCAGCTTTCGAGATACCAAGAGTCTCGTACAAGGCAGTAGTATTGTGATCCATGAGGGATTAAATGTGCACCACAATGGAAGCCAGGGACAAAGATTTCGATAACGTAGGGTTATTTTTTTTGGCTGTGTTTGAGTCCAAGAAAAATTTCCCAAAATGTACCAAAAGTCGTGAACTCGAAAAATTTGTGCCCTACCCAGAATGTGGCACAGTGCTCCTTGGCTTGGCAGCAAGGGACAATACGAAGTTGCATACACCTACCATAATGCTAACAATAATAGAAGCATAACAGCGTCACATACATCAACAGAGCTACGATTCATGCTATCGGTGCAAAAGGAATAAATCATATATCATCGCAAACGAAGAGTAAGTCAATATCAAAATCTTATCACTGGTTCTAAAGAACTACCTTAGCGAATTACCAAGTATTTAAATGACCTGCAGTTGATGACCTGTACAAATTTTACACATATCTTAAAAGGTTTCCAATACGTCGCTTAAGCTACTTAATAAAGTCATTATATCGAGGACTTACGATATGCAAAACTGTTGTACGTCAACATATAATGTTTGTCTGAGAGACTAAGGACGAGGCAGCAGGTGCAATCCCTTGTAATGTTTGTTTTCTGAACATTTAAGTTTCAGGACATCCACAAAGCTCAAACTGCTTAGCATTTTGCATATGACCAGCCGTAAACAGCCTATTGTATGACGAGGCTTACACCAAGCACCGTGAGCCAACAATCGTATCCCCGTTTTTCGAGAAGTGGCACATCCATTCCGCTCAAGACAGGATGTAGTGCCTTGAAATGAAAGCAGCCACATTTATATATTGGTTATCGCATAGGTGAAAATAAGACATACAGCTACGATGGATTTAGTATATGAATGCTAAAATCAGAGGAAGAAACTACGGGTACAGAACTGGGCACTTGATAACAAGAACCGGTTGTGGAGTAATATACATAATTAAAATAAGCTTGGATGGCGCTTCAAGAGCAGACGTAGGCAGTTATCGACTTCCAGGCGCTCAAGGTCATTTTGGATGACCTGTCGTTTGTCACTATTCCAAACCGAACGTATTTCCAACTGTGATTTGAGTTCGATTCGCTTGCCGTCGATGCTGTCCATACGACGACGGAACTGATGGAAGAGAATTTCTGCACGTTCCAGGATATCATCGAGATCCAATGTCATCGACAGTTCATTGATATACTAATGAATGTTTTAAGCGTAAGTATGTCTTTGGCTATATAACTAATAGCACCTATTTTTCATGATTGAACTTACCCTCAATATTTCATCAAATTGGTTAAAATTGTCAATGATGACATCTCTGTGTTGATCTAGGATAGCCAAAGCAATGAAGAGATGATAGCTGGTGCTGAGATAATCGGTCCAGATACACTATTCAAAAGTAGGTTTAGTCAAAAATTACACTTGACGTATACGGGTTTCAACCTGAGAGCATATCAGCTCAACTTACCTCCCACAACTTCATAACATCTCCCCATTCAAATTCGCGTTTGAACCAAACCAAGACCCAGCGGAAGCAGAAGAAAAGGTTGGTGCTTTCACACTTTTCCAAATGTGCGTAAAGCACTGGATCCATAAACCGAATTAAACTTTCCAGAGTTGTGAGTTGTTGGTGCATACCAGATTGATCTACGTAAAAATTGGATTTCTACAATTTGACAGAAATGTATTAATAAACGGTGCATGTTTTAAAAAATGGTAGAACAGACCACTCACCATGCGATCCATGAAGTGTGTAAAGGCCCAAAAGGTCATGGCTTCATCTCCCATAACCACAAGGATGGGAGCAACCAAGTCAGACATGCCTTGTACATAGCCAAGCTCAGGATTATACGCCATCACGTATGTCAAGAGGATATCTTTCATGGTCTCTAAGTTGGCGTTGGTCCCATATTGTGATTCGGGATCAGGATTTGGTAAATCTTCTGCAGCAAAGAAGGTGACCGATCTGTCTGTGCGGTGAACATCTTTATTGATTCGATGCTTTTCCTCCTCGAACTTGCTCGTGGCTTGTAATTCGGAATCGTTGAACCACTTGCTCTTCAAATCAAAATATTCTTCATTTTTACTCTGGCGAATGGCCTCTCTATCATCATAGGTAGACTTCCATGGATACAATCCAAGCAGGAATTTCCAGCCTTCTATTCGTAGTTCGGGATCCAGACTGCCTTGAAATATAAGTTGCCGTATGTCCCCCTCCGTTATTTTGAACTCTCCTTCACTGTCCAACATAGTCAAGAATTCCTCTGCCGAGATCGGTGGTCGTCTTGTATGTTCAACATTTTCCACCTCATTTGCCTAAAAAGTCATTTTTAGGACAATGAAATCGCGGTGTTGTCAAATTGATGTGAGGATTACTACTTACCAGCACAACTTCAAATCCATTCAGTAAGCTACCATCAAGGTCCTCTCGCTCTACACCAATTGGCAATCGTGGTTTTGACTTTTTGCGGTCACTTGGTTCGATTCCCCTGTAGATGGAATGAAAGAGTAAGATGGGTGAACAAATACAAATTCGACGCTTTTCCAAGATGCCTACCATTGCGCTATGTAAAGACTGGCAGAGTCAAAATCTTCCAGAGTTTCCCGTACAGTATCATTGGCAGCAAATTGTTGCACAGAAGGAGGCAGGAAAGGTACAATTGGTTGTGCGTAAGGATGACCTAAGACTTGATCTGAACAAAACATTAGCAAAAGCGGATCAAGCGTCGGTCAGAGTAGAATATAAAGAATAAACTTACTGGCAGCATCCCTTGAAAACCTTGTGATGTGTGATAATCGCTCCAAAATGGTCCATCTGGCTTGTTCCACTCTCTCTACCGCCTAAAAAGAAACATGGGGTTTAATGTAAGAGACATAAAAACATAAGCTAGGTTGGAGCGTTATTTATGATATAGAACGTACCTTTTGAATTGGATCCACTTTGTTGCGTCCAGTAACTGTGGAGGAGGACGAACCGTACGATCTCAATGACCGTTGGTATTGTCGATGTGGGTCTTCATTTGTCTTTTCTGAAACACTGTATATGCTCTCGTCATCCCTGCTTCTAATGAACAATAACAATTTACTTAGAAAACTCATATCCGTATATTCTTTTTGCATATTTTCCAAGTCGTGCTTACTTGTCCACATTGAGAAATAGTCGCATCACTTCGATGACATCGTTACCGATCCACCATAAGTCATGTGCCGACGACGTTGGAGTGGACGAGGATGCCCCGTGGTACCAGAGTGATGGCAGCACGTCTCCTTCTTTCGTAGTCACAATGATACATCCTTGTTTTTCTTGCTTTGGAGCACTTGCATACAGTGTATGAATGTTGCTTAGTTGAGTGATCTGCAACAAATCATCGTCCCTTCGTAGCTTGATTATGGCGGATCCTAAAATCGGGGGTGGGTCAGTCATTTTTCCAATGTTCAAACACAAAGTGGTGCAATTCACATACCGTCAATGCTAGGTGGTCTCTGCCCATCTATGGAAAGGATGGTTTCCAAATCGTCGCTCTCTATAAGATATTCCGGGATCCAGAGAAATAAGTAATCCGAGAAAGCCTACGACAGAGGGAATGAATTAAGGAATTGCGCTATAATTTTTTAAGATACTGTATTATATACTAACATTTCGGGCAATGGCTATAAATCCGTTGACATGCTGGCTTGTGTTTGGAGTCGGATGTATGTAGAAGTTCGATTTGGCATAGACGAGTAAGACTTGGTCTTTAGCGATTTTTGGTGTTTCTAGTGTATATTGATCGGCATGTGTATTTTCTTCATCTTCGGCGGTATCAATTACAGGGTATAAGCGATTGGTAAGGTTTTCATTATCTTTACTCTGCTACATTACGAAGAAGTTAGTAGGTAAGCGGGATGATCTGACTGTTTCGAAGGCTACAGTCATTTCTTACCGAGAAATCAGCGATTTCCCAACTCCATGTTGGGCTGTTCTGTAATTTAGAATCTGGTGATTCAACCAGTTGTTTCTCAGAGTCGTGTATGGTCATTTGCTTGGGTGGAGAGTTGCTAGGACCACCTCCCATGTTAGATCAGTTTGTAACAGCGAAAGCTTGGCTCCGCCAAGAGCCCAAATTGAGCCTTTATATTTCAAAAATTTCGGGGCCGTCACGCCCAGTCAAATTTGGTTCCAAATTCAGGACAATGGCCAGACTTACTTGGCATCTGCCAACTGCCGATTTTTCTCTATATGCTCTACATTTGTGCCAAGGGTTTGATAAGCATATATTGATATGCAAACATTGGATTGTAATTGTCATATGTATGATACTATACTACTCGGCAGACTGTGCTCTCAACTTATACCAAGTGTCGACAACCGTAGTACCAATTCGCGCCTCGAAAACTACTGCACTTGCCGTGGGTCCCTTTCTACTCTACCATAGCAAGGAAACGCACATGCAACCATTAAAGCTCATTTATCCTTTTCATAGTAATTGGACGTAAAACAAATCAATTTTATATTGATACCAGTAAGTTTAAAAATTCCAACACAATGCACATCTTCTACATTTAACTAATCAACAGTAATTTTTGCATCAAGCTCAGCAAACTTGAGGAAGAAAGCCTAGGGACAATAATTCAGAATGGAAAATAGAAAAGAGTAACGAACAAAAGAAAAAATATCTTACATCGAAGAGCTTAATAGCATTGGGGATATCTTCAGTGCCGCCAACTTCACGGATAGAGTGCATGCTCAATTGTGGATTACCAACATCTGAAACAAATTGTCGTTAAAAGTCTGAAATAGATGCTGAGATGATTGAAGCAGCAAGTACTTACCAACTGTGCGAAGACCCAATTTAGCACTGAGCATTGGTCCAATGGTAGAACCGCAAGGAGAGTCGTTGCGGACAACAAATTCTTGAACGGGGATATTGTGTGTTTTGGCAAGTTCCTTCAAAACCACAGTGGTCACAGCTGTAGTAGCGTATCGCTAGCAAAAAAAAAAGGGCCAGTAAATAACCACTCTGCATTGATGATCCATTCGTTCTTTTATTTACCTGGTTAGCATTGATCTTGATGACAGTACCCTTGTGCATCGCGACCTGATGGTTGTCTTCATGCTTTTCGCTGCAGTTTGAGATATTAGTTAAAATTTCTGCTTGCGATCTAAAGCCTGGTAGGTAAACTTACGAATAATTGGGATGAATGGCGTGTGCCATATCAGCACTGATCAAATAACTCTTGTGCAGGGATTCCTCGAATGCCGTAGCAGAAACATTGTCAGATCCGATCTTCATAGCAGTGAGTCTCTTGAGGGTGGATGGCAACAGGTTGGAATTGGCACCATGTGCTGTTGTACTTCCTATTTCCTCATTATCAAACAGAGTAACAAGGCGAATGTTGGGTTCATCTGCAAGCTGATCGGCAGTATTGACAAGAGCCTGTGCATGAAATCATGTTTAGTCTTGAAAGCAATGTGAATCCAAGCTCGGAACACCATCTATGTAGATACCTTAATAGAGCAGAAGGACATCTCAAGATTGTCCAATCTTGGAGAATAGATGAATTCGTTGAAGGCTCCTCCAATAGCGGAAGGCTAAAAAAATGAATGCAAAAGTCAATGAAATCGCCCCAGAATACTATACAGCTTGGTTTATCAATTTACCTGAGTGTCGTATAAAGCCAATTCAAAGTCGCGAATCTGCGCAGCTGTGTATAAACCATAGGTAAATACTTGATTAAGCAAATAACGCTTACTTCATATCAACTTACGTTTCACGTTAAGCTCTCCGGCCAAAACCTTGATAAGTACAGGGTGGTGGTTCTTCTCTGACTCAGCGTTTTCGTCAGAAGGCTTATCGGTACCATTCAATGCACTGTATATATGCGTTAGTATATCATACATAACAAATATAATAAAGCACTACTTACGACTTGGTAGCAGTGGCCAAAATAGGAGTCAATTGAGCTTCAGAATTGAATTTGAACTGCAAATTATAAGTTAGGCTATGATGAGAGCAGTAGATGGGGTTTGCTCGGGCTGGAGAGACTCACCTCAGTAGCAGCGCCACGGTCAAGATGAATGGCCAATGTAGGAATGCGAAGGATGGGTCTATATTTCTCAGAAACGTCAGAAGGTATCATGGAGCCATTGAGCTTTGAAAGCTGCAAGTACTTACCTATCAACCTTGACCAAAGTATGCTTGAAAGTGCCGTCCTCATGAGCAATCAAAACACGTCCAGCAACACTGAGATCTCTATCGAACCAAGTGTGCCAGATACCACCACCGTACAGTTGAACACCGACTTCAAGGTAGCCAGCTTTCTCCTTCTTTGACACAGGCTTAACCTACAAAAAAGAAAATCAGTCAGCTAAAAATCCCCCTCCCCACGCAAGATCTAAGTGTCGCCCCAATCAATATGAGAAATACAAACCTTTAGGCAGGGTGAATCGGTATGAGCACCGATAATGGAGAAGCCATTACCAGACTTGTACTTTTCGCCAACAGCAAAGGCTACAACGGAGCTGCCGTTGCGTGTAAAGTAGTATTTGCCACCGTTCTTAATTTTGCCTTCGTTCCAGTTGTCTCGTTCCTTCAATTCTTTGAAGCCAGCCTGTCTCGCAGAAAGTTTGAGTCATGTTTGGTAATTTCAATTGGATGAAGCGTTGTGGTTACCTGTTTAAGAAGCTTAACGGCTTCATGGGTGGCATGGAAGGGCGATGGTGAGGCATTCACGAAATCAAGAAATTCTAAAGCTATAGACAGGTAGACATTAGTGCTTGTTTGTTGCTGCGACTAGGGGATCGCTTGATACGCACCTTCTTTAGGTGGGGTCATTGAGCTCATGCGTGCGAAAGAACTGTAAAAGCGTGGCGAGCCAAATTCGTTAAAAAATCCCCAAGTAGGGAAGATTCTTTGTGACTTTGATATGCACCGATAGAAATTCAGCTCAGGACCAAGGCGAACCGCAGATTGAAGAAGAAAGTACACCATATAAGTGTGTCTTGGTTCGAGAAAATACCAGAATGTAACAGACGATGGAAATCGAAATACAGCGAGCCTACAAGGGGTGCACCAAATGGAAATTGGAAATTGCTGACGTCTATCGGTACATGAAAGCGATTCTTTCATGAAGAATTAACATACTGAAGCCAGCTTGGCCACTTCGGTCAATGAATGACGGGATATACATTACGCGCATTTTTTGTCTTGCATTCACACAGGTGACTACCAATCTTAGTCTTTCAAGATAGACAGTACCAAGCCGGCATGATAAGTGGTTAACACAATGTTTAATAGCCTTCGTTTACATAACTTTATATATTTTTTTCTTTTTAAATTAATACAATTTATAGAAAAAGTTAATGTTGGCGGTATAGTCGTCCAGCGACGGATGCAACGAAATATATACACATGATCCGACTCTGCCACGCCACCATTCAAATTGTTCATGCTCACAGACTGGCTTCTGCAGCCACACAGTGTTGATCATTATCTACTTCCGGACGAGGTTGACGAAATCGGCGAGCAGACTTGGGGCTAGTAGAAGAGGAAGATGAAGTTTCCAGTCGGCGTGGCATCATGCCAAACCGATTAACTAGCTCGCGCTCAATTTGAGGGTATATTTCGTCGCTGGTGTTGCCTTTCAAGGTAATCATAACCTTCTCGTAGTGTTCGAGTAAAGGCGCTGTCAAAGTGTGATAATTCTGAATACGAACTTTGAAAGTATCCGGGTTATCATCTGGTCGCTTCGATAGAGGCTCGCCTGTCACGTCATCGTGGCCAGCAACTTTAGGTGGGTTATAGGACAAGTTGTACACGCGTCCCGAAGGAATATGAACCCAGCGATCTAAATTATTGATAAGAAAAGGAGTGTGAAAAAATAAACTTCAAAATGAAAAGCGAGACGAAAACAAAAAAATTCTTCGGTGATTAACTTACCGATGATACGACCAAGAATAACTTCTTCGGGAACCACAAGGTTAATAACCAAATTCAGAGGTTGCATATTCTTGATCAACATGCTATCAAGGATACGGGCTTGTTCGATTGTTCGCGGGAAGCCATCCAGCAGCCAATTCTGTTTGAATACCGTTTAGTGTATGCCGTTATAATATCATACGCCCAACCACATAATTTTCTGTCACCTACCGCGTTATTCACTTGATCTAGCTCGCTCTTAATCAATAATGTCATAAGGTCATCTGACACAAGATTTCCCTTGGCCATAGCGGCTGCGGCTTGTAATCCGATATCACTTTTCTGGGCAACATTCTTTCGTAGACTATCACCACTAGAAATATGGCTAACCGAGAAGTTTTTCTGTATACGTTCCGACTGGGTTCCTTTTCCGCTTCCCTAAGTATGTAACCGGTTTAACAAGAAGTATTCATATATGCCGATACAAGTAAAACATTCATGGTGATACATACAGGACTGCCAATGAGAAGGAGGCGCAACGGCTGTACAGCGTTGCGTGGGCACTCAGCTACGTGTACAGCATGTTTCTGTGTATGCAGTTGTCTAGAAAACTTCAAAAGACCATTGAAACGACGAAGATAAGGCGTACAAAGAACTGTAGGCATGGGAGCGGAAAAGAAGGTCAATTTGTTGGCGCACAGAGTGAATTCTCAAGAAAAAAACGGGGATTTCAAAGCCCGATCTTTATCTTATCGCATCACGTGTCCCCCACACTCACGGGTTGAAATTTTGCCATTGTTGGAACCACGGCAAAAACCCTAATAGATCAGGTCCGGTAGGGAAAATAGGACTCCTAAATTTTTGTACTTAAGATGTTCAAGTATGACCTTGTTTTGATTCGCTCTGTCATTAATGAAAATCGTTCATAAACGTTGTTCCAATTTGACAGGAGTCATCCACACTCAAAAAATTTAAGGAGTTTCCTCTGTTTACGTTTGACACCAATGATGCGCGTGGTCGAAAAGAAAAGCTTGTTTCGAGTTGATACTATTGTACACTCCACGACAGAAGGTGAAACTGATAGCAAATTGATGGTGAAAACAAATTTCCAGTCCTACAGCTTCCTGCGTACCAGTTCAAATGTGTTCACAATGAGAAATGACTAGAAATTTATGTGAATTTTACAAAGAACAAATTGGGACAGACTCTAGAAGAACATAGGCACACAAAATACATTTGGGGATTTTTTTTTTGTTCTATGCAGTTCAAACTCATACCAGATATAAGAGACTTTTGTGATATTCTGCATTCCTTTTAGGAACAGACTCTGCAGATAAGAACATGTAAACAATATTTGACAATTTGTTTTCTGATCTGCCCTACATACTGTCTTGAACCTTAACTCCTGACTGCGTAGGATTATAAAGGTTCATTGATGATTTGAAAGTTAGATATACTGAGCTTGTACATGGACAGAATTCTCCATTTCTTGGCGTCGACCATATTACCAAAGCATATAATGGTTTTTGCAGAGCGATCTAGAAACAGCCACCCAGCGGCGATGATGTAAATTAGTCACGTGTAACTATGCTGTCACTCTACAATCGCTCAAAAAGGCATGTATATTCTTCCATTGGAAGGGCAAACGCAGTTGATAATGCAAACTACTTTTAATCTTCTTCTTCTACAATGTCTCAACCAGTTCTCGAATACTACGACGTGATATTGAGACAAGAGGCAAGTGATATAGTGCCTTATGATACGGCACATTCAGCGATGCTGATCTGATGCATTGCACAGGATGTAGACACCTTGAGAGAAGGAGAGTGGATTGCCGACACCATCATAGAATTCCATGAAGAATATCTCGAACGAACTGCCTTGAAGAAGAGTCAAGGCATCAGATTGTTGAAACCAAGCGTTTGCTACCTTGTGGCACATATGCAGGACACGTCTGATCTAACAAGCGTCGTACCTGCGGATCTACCAACATCCCAAGCGATATTTATACCAGTGAATGACGCGACTGATTTAACATGTGCAGATTCAGGAAGCCACTGGTCTCTACTTGTTTACGCTCGACCTTTCAATGCATTTTATTACTACGATAGTTTGCGCGACTCTAATTTGAAATCGGCAATAGCGGTAGCCAGCAAGATTGGACCCCTACTAAGTCCCACAAAACCCAACTTTATCCATCAGAAAACCGCACCGCAACAGGAGAATGGAGCTGATTGTGGAGCTTGTGTTATTGGTGTGATAGATGTCATTGTCAACCGCCTTTTACAGCCACAAACACCTGGCACGGCGCTCAATCCAGACGCCATCATGTATGTAAACGATCAAGATATCCTCCCACCATCAACTGTGCGCCGTGCTCTACGAGACATCATTATAAAGCTTGTCAAAGTTGCTAATAATACTCCTGGAAATGCACTTCGTGCTGGTGACGATGTGCCTGTTAGTACTGCATAGATATATAGCATTTTTCTTCTGCTCACATTTTTTCACACCTGTTAACAATGCAAAGTCTAGTATATAAAACTGTTTAAAGAACAAGTTTCCATATTTCGAACAACAGTAGCTTTTTAAGCAGTGGAGTCACATGCTTTTTGTTCCCATCACGCTCTTGTTATGCAGCTGCACATCTAAATCTACAGAACCGAGGTATAAACCGATTACATTCAACCTTTTTACCATACTGGGAAAAACGATATAAAAACGATTATCCTACCAACCTGTCCATTTATGCTTGGAATCAGCTCTTTACAGAGAATGAATTTAGAGTATACATGCAGACCAAACTGCTAGTGACTATGCTCGTTGAAAAATCGATAACGACTCGCAGGGTAGCGCGGAATCCACCAATTCCGAGTATATGGGTAAGTCAAGGTCAGTACCCCGCCAATACCGTTTACCAATAAGCAATAATGCAACCAGTCAACTATTCAACCTTACAGATATTTTCCTTTGTTAACGATGCTTAAGTGCTCATACAGTCTATAGTATTGACATAAGTGTGAAAACCTCTATGTTATACCGCTTTTCTCATGGGCGAGGCGCGCTCAACGACACCGTGGCGGTGAATTAAAAAAATTAAGCTCAGCTTCAAAATGTGGGACGCACCTGAATTTCTCATCCGTGGCTGTCTTCTCTTCTTCACTTCTATTAATGCGAGGGTTGTAACCAACACACACACTTCTTAATAATGAATTCTACAATAAACGCCTCAGATGCCGCCTCGTATCTTCTAACGGGATTCGGTCGTTTGTTCTATGTTGTGTCGCCAGCAGCAACCTCGTTTTCAACCTTGCAAGAGGTGCCGGACTATATCGCAGAATCCATTCCATTCTTTATCATAACGATTGTGATGGAATTCATGGCTTTATTGTTCACCAACCATGGAGAAAGCCTTGAAAAAAAAAGAAAATGGGATGCCAACCGTTTCTCAATCAATGATGTTGTTGGAAGTATTGGTGTAAGTTTTGGCAATGCTATTGGGAGATGAACGAGGGCAATTTGGCGCTGAACGTGGGACATAACTTCCAACTCAAATATAGGCAGGCATGCTTCAGCAGATATCAAGATTCTTCATCTTCAACATCCAACTTGCCTCGTATTTGTTCATATATAACAACTTTCGCATAATTGACCTCGACCCAAAGAATGTGTATGTGTGGATTGCTGGATTCTTGATCGTAGATCTCGGCTACTACATGTTCCATAGGGGGGCGCATGAAATCAACTTGTTCTGGGCATCACATGTGGTAAGTTAATAGGAAAGTACTGAATCAATCAATCGATCGCACGCAAGAAACTCATCGTTCGCTACCGTAGGTCCACCATTCGTCAGAGTACTATAATCAGACAACTGCCTTGAGACAAAGTATCGTCCAGTCATATTGCTCATGGATTTTTGACTTGCCTGCCGCATTCTTCTTGCCTCCTTCATTGTTCGCTGCTCACAAGCAGTTCAACACCTTGTTCCAATATTGGTAAGTATCTAGGATTTCCGGTAGAAGAGGATGAATTGGTGCTATGGAAGAAACTTTTCCTAATATGTTGACTAAACCATCATGTCGTCTAGGATTCACACAGAAATGATTGGATTTCTAGGCCCATTAGAGTATATCATCAATACGCCTTCTGCTCATCGGGTACACCATGGTCGAAACCCTTACTGTATTGATAAGAACTATGCCGGAACTCTCGTCATCTGGGATATCATGTTTGGTACCTTTGAACTTGAACGTGCCCCACCATCCGTCAAAGCTGGCACGTCTGATATTGAACCGGTTGCCTTTGGTTTGACTCATCCAATCAACACATTTGACCCCATCACCATTCAAACCCACCATCTTCGACATGTGCTGACGACATGCTGGGCTACACCGGGATTGACCAATAAATTCAAGGTTTTGTTTTATGGTCCAGGATGGCACGAAGGTACTCCGCGCACCGGCTTGCTGGAGGAAATACCCGTCATTGCCAAGGACGTGCCCCCGGAAAAATACGACCCATTCGTGCCCAAGGCGGTCAATCTATATGTAGTCGCTCACTTTGCCTTGCTGATCGTTGTCAATTCCATCGTCCTGAACGGAGGAAAGAATGCAATCGAATTCAAATATGTCTCACTTGTATCTGCATACGTGCTCTGGTCTCTCACTTCCTTTGGGTGGATTTTCGATCACAAAGCCTGGGCTATTCAGCGGGAGTGTATTCGTGCCGTCACTATGGGTGGATTGTTAATTTGGGCACAGAGCGTTGGACTGATGGGTGCCGCCGCTACCTATCTTGCAGCATTCCATGCCGTCAGTGCAGTATGGCTGTTCTCTACACAGCGCAACTATACCCAGGTCAAACAGAAAAAGGAATAATCATGGACGCAGTGGACTTTGTTGTTGTCTTTGGATTTTATTTATAAATAATGTCGTTAACCAAATTGGTGCTTTCTATGTGGGAGCATGTAAAATAGTCTAATATTTCATCTTGGTGAATGGGTATTTGAGCTTGGCTCCAACCAATGGCTCCCATAGTTCACGAGTGGATTGTAGGTCGACATGGTTCAGTTGTGTATGGAGTGTGTTCAGGCAATTCGAAGCCAAGTGTGTTTTTCTGTGCAATGCCAAATGAAAGGCATGGAGGCCAAGGCTAATAGTTACATTAGTGCTTGAATCACTAGGCGCACATAATTCCACTGTAACACTTACTACACAACAGAGCGGGAATTCAGCTTCGTTTTGACCAGATAGCTTGTGGTTAATATGATATGCCAAATTGCCTCTAATGATAAGTGGAAAGGTAAGTGTACACGATATCACTATTTACGATATGAGCTGGTTACGTACTCAGTATGAAGCGTTCGTTAATGTAGGCAGCGCCGCTGTACTTCAATATTGCAACTTGAGAGAAAAATTTGAACGCACACAAGAGAAATGCTTCAAAGATGTTCCGGCCAACAGTGGATTGGCGATTGAAATTTGTATTAACAAAAATGCGTCGAAGCTTTGGTTTAATGGCGCTAGAGTAATGATTGCTACTGTCAAATGGGCTCAAAAGTTTATAAGCTATGAGGCTCAAGAGGCACTTACAGCATGGCCTTGTGTATCAGAGTCCATCCTGGTTGTCGGTTGAATTCGGTGGTAAGGGTATCTTGCATATCTACAAAAGCGAAACCATGAGAAACATTTTCAAAAACTTTTCATCAGACCTGGAGGCCAATTTACGTACGGCAATGCAGGTATTGTTGGTAGTTGGAGAATACTTCCAAGTCCCGCGTATCTATTAGAAAGCCACACCAAGGAAATTCTGCATTAAAATCGTTAGGGCATTGTGTTAAATTTCGGCGTATGCTAAGCAAAGTTCTTTTAATACCGAATGATCCTTCCAGCTTTGGAACAGAGTCACCGTTGAACATCATATCAAAGTTTACCAAACTCTTAGCATGCGATATCTGGCAGCCATACTGTGCAAAACCTGATGTATGCTTGTTGAGTATGCAATATTAGGCTACGATCGAAGTGCAAAAATGGCAATACCTTTATGCATAGCGGTGGTAAACCGCTCAACTGTATCTTTTCGCGTGCTGATACAAAGGAAGTCATCGACGAATCTCATCAAAAGCTGAAGACAATTTAAAAGTAACTGTAAGTACTAGGATGGTAAAAAAATTCACGATTGGTAGAGTACTCACTGCATCTGAATCGCTTTTCAAAAAGCCAAGCTCTGCTCGCTCCATGTTTCCATAAAAGTAGCTAAGTGAAGACACCAAATAAAAGGCATCAGAGATACTATTACTTGTTGAGGGTCATTCGGTTAAACATGTACCTGCAAAGTATAGTCGACAAACAGGAGCCTTGTGGTATACCAATAGTCTGTTTGTAATAAGAACCCGAGATCTGAGAACAAAGTAAGGTTAGCATGTACTCAATTGCCACACTTGTGTGTCACTGCGCCTACCTTGACGACGTTCGATTTGACATGTTCATTAATCAGTTCTAGAAGTTCATCTGTGTCCTCGTAAGAGCATAACACCTGCATGTACAAATATGGTTTAGTAAGATTTGCGCAATCTTATTTCCGATGACAGCAATACTTACGTTGTCTATGAAGATTGTATTCGGAAACGTTTCCGCCAATTTCTCAGCGTATTGAGGGAAGCTTACAAAGTTATCTAAAGTCGAAAAATTAAAAAGCAATAAGGATCATATACGCATGATTGTAGCACCTACCGGGAATTTCTGCAAACTTCTTATGCTTATAGTAAACGTGGCCTCCTGTTGTGGTAAAAGCAGCAGAATAACGCCTGATAAGGTATTCGTCCTGCATGAAAATGATGTATGTTAGAGAAACAGAGTTAAACTCTATATGAGTAGTTTGCAACCTGAAACTGGTACCTGAGTCAGAACTTTGTTGATGATGTCTATAAGAATATCTTGGTTGATTGAATCGAAACAACTTTTAATGTCCACCTTCGAAAAGTATAACGGTGACCTATGGTACACATGGACATCAGATGTGCGACCATCATTCGTACTTTAGGTGACTAGATCAGTTTACCTGGCTTCTGTCTCAAAATTTCTATTCAAGTGCTCTTTCTTGTACGCGGAAAAGACGGTGTAGAACTCTTCAAATTTCATGATGGAGCTACCAAGGAGTTCTGGATGTGACTCCTATTCGTATTGGAATGTGTTAGTGAACATAGGATGCTTATGAAAACAATTATTTTCATGTTTCTTTCATTGATTTACCTTTTCAAACGTTAAAGCACGTAGAGAGTTATTTAACACTGAATTAGTAGAAGGCGTGTGTGTTGGGAATCCACGTTTATCCTAAACAAAAGAGCGTCAGATATGTTGAAGAGTATATGACATACTAAGGCTATCATTTACTTACAGCAAGCGGTCGTTGTCGCATGTTAGTAATGGGCCGAACGCTGTCGCTGCCTTTTGGCAGCAGTCGTAAGTTTGCATATTCAAGGTTAGAGGTTCCTAGAGTAGCCTTTCATCCCGAATATCAGGAAGCCTTTCACATTTATGCTACCGGGTGTTGCTTTAGCTTACCTGATCGAAAGGCGTAAAATGCACGGATATCAGTCGTTCCAGTGCCGGTTTGGAAAGTGCGTTCCAAACGTCTTTCCGAAAGTAGAACGTGCGGTTACGGAATTGCGAATTGTCTGTAATATAAAATGTTGTCTACAACATGGCATGTCGTATAATCAGTCTCATATTCTTGCTGGCAAGGGCAAACTGTCATATTATTACTAACCGATAAAAGAGGTAGAACGTAGCTTTCAAAGAACCAGTATAAAAACTCCATCAGAATTTCTTCTCTCTTCCACATCTCCGAGGGAGGCTGATGGTGTTGCTGCGATATCCTATTAGTACGGTCACTGGAGAGAAACGCATAATCCTTCAGCTGATATAGTGTATAAACAAGTCAGTTGATGCTATATGTAAAATCTCCAATTGTAATCATCCTACATACTCTAATGGACTGAAAGAGTTGCTTCATTGACAAAGTCTCATGTTTTCTCAAACCAATTAACGTGCGTATGACTGTAATCATGTTCAGAAATCAAATATGTTTGGCCGTTAGGTTTCCATACAGAACTTACCCATGAGAACCCGCTTCAAGTTGTGTTGTGATCCCCAAATAGATAATGGAAACACTGCCTTGATACAATGTTTCAAGAATGCGTCCACCTGTCATACAAATCAATATGAATGAATTATAGGTCTCAACTACACAGTGTTCATATTATGATCCCGTACCTGAGCATACGACGAGCTTTGCCTTAAAATAGGTTCGCAAGGCTAAAATCATGTTAGATATAGAAAATTTCATTGAAAAATCGAAACCAACGCCTGCCGATAATACCTACCTTTAAAGGACAAAAGCGATTAAGAAGGCGGTAATACTGACAATGGCTATGCCGTCTACATATTGCCTCGAAGTAATTCTTGAATTCATGGAGCCGAGGGGGTATTGTGGGCGGTCTCCTACTCATCTAAGAACCTGTCAATCAACTGATAGTAAAGCATAATACATAAAATTTGATGACTATCCACCTTCCAGTGGCCGCTATGTGTCCATTTTGATGTCCTGATCAAACTTTTTTGAGTTCTATCAAGCACATTGGGCCTACCAAACTGCTTTGGAAATATGTCCACGAGGAGTGAGCGTACCATATTAGAGAGGACATGGTTGTCAAGAAGATTATTCTCATCAGGTTTCTTCCTCTTGTTTCCGAAAGTACCAACTGGCATACTGAGCATATCTGTATTGGAGACAATTGTTCAGTGGACCAAAGCAGATTTATGCGGCTGGTGCAGAATATGCTTACAATTCTTGGGCAAACACATGTGAACTTTATCTTGTTTGTCAACAACAGGGTTTTGATAGTATATGGCAGACCTTTTTAGCAATATAGATGAATTGCTTGGTCTAGAAGACTTGCTATTTTTCATCCATGATCAGTTTCAAACAAATAGTGAGCCAATAAACAATGTACTAAATGATACTTACCTCGACGAGCCTGTTGTGTGCTGTGAAGGAGCTTCATTTTGATGAAAACGGTTATATGCACTATGTATGCGTTTTGCGGGATCAATATTGCATTCAACACCGGGAGTTTCTGTACCATGGTCAGGCAATGCGTTGGCGATCAATAAATCAACATGTCGTTCTGATTCCTCTGCCAAAGACAGCCTTTTTCGCTTTCTCTGTCGCCGGCTGGGCCGATACTCTGTTTCCGGTAGGCTCTCTTTCACAGTAACTTCTTCTAGGTCTGTTAAAGATCCTGCGGCCAGAGTCTGCTCAGTTTCATCATTTTTCTTCTGGTGCCTAGATGACTTATGTTTGCGACAGCGTTTGCTTTTACTGGCAGAGGCATCGAACGGAATCTTTCGTTTTGTCTGCGTAGTGTCTCTACAGCATTCAGCCCGCCCAACACCTGCATAGATGTTTTCAACCCAATTCGGAATGTAATGAGGTACCTGCACCGGTCCTGGTTTAACGCCTAGCTCATGGATCATGATCCCTATTTTGGTGGGAGGTCATTATGAGCGCGAGTGTTATGGCTAGTGACAGGAGAAGAAAAAAAGGGTTACCTGTGATTTGGTAAAAGCTACTATTTTGGAGCTTAATAAATATGCAGGTATAGAGGAGTAACTGTCTCATTATGGTAGGTCCAACCCTACATGTCCAGTATGGGTTTGGAGACTGTTATTAGTATGATTGAAAGGTTTGCAGCTGTGCAGACCAACATCTTACATTATCAGCAAATCCTTCCAGCAGGTACCTTTCAGTTCGGTAACAAGTGTATTGGTGTGAGCTTGCTCAATTGGCACGAGTCTACTCAGTCCATGGAGACTTGACTGTGCTCCTCTTGTTATCTACGTTTAAAAAGTCAGACGCTCGTTGCTCCGTAACATTCTGAAGGATCCCAAATAAACTAACCATCCGAAAACCTTTTGCCAGCAAATGATTTTTGTGCGACAAACCAGGGCAGGTATTAGACAACAGATCAAATATTGATTCATGGACTAACTGTATGCAAATATGACCATTTAAGATAGGGTTTACAGCGCCTATGTAAAATTTTAAGGACATTCACCTGCTCCTGAGAAACAGACGCGGGGTAGGTGGTCGCACTTTTAGCTTGTGGTACAACCAAGGCATTATTTGAGTGATGTAATAGCGTATCAGCATGGTTGATTATCGGAATGTCAGCTACAATGGCAGTTTCTAAAAGTGCTCGCAAACGCGACTCATTTGGCGCCGAAGTAATATTTTGACAGCACTCTGGAAATCGTGAAAGGTATTGTCCTAATGAAACTGCATTGGGAAAAAAGCTTTGAATGACTGGACAGGATAGATTTTCATCCAATTTCATTGCATTGCTATCAAGAAACAAAATCAAAAAAAAAAAAAAGGAAAGACAAAAATGGAATCCTTCAGGCTAAAAGACTTTGGGTGAAGACCTTTGTGTTTTAAATACTTTATTATGATACTCTAATTCAAAATATGTCATTTCATTTACAAGTGTTTCTCAAAGGGAAATTCAGTGGTGCTATTCTACATAACCGTGAATAAAATCATTGATGCCTTCCCACTCGGCCGCATTATCGCCATGGTAGTTTGATTGCGGTTTTCTGGCCCAAGCCATATGCCAGTTGAAATAGCTTCGGTATAGGGGTCCTTCCTCCAGTATGATGCCGATTCGTTTTTCCAGTTCACCAGTATTTATACCAATAGCAGGGCCAAGCCATATTCCATATGCCTTTATGGCACTCGCGAGATTATTCAAGGCAATATCACCACATTCGCCCCATCCACTGCCCACTTTTACTAGTTCATGATGCAAGTCAGCAAATCCTGCGTTAGTGATTATACTGGTGAGATGTTGAGCTAGTGCCGGATCGATGTTACGGGTTGTTCTTAAGGTTGTTATAACTAAAAGCACAATACATTAGTTCCATTATTGTGAGAAGTTTAGGATTCTGTCGAGGACTTACATAATGTATTAACAATGTCTGCTGTTATAGGACCGGGATCTTGTACCATTGGATTGATTTCACGGAATTCAACATAGCCTCCTGGTTTAAGCAGTCTCAACAGTACTTTCATCAGAATCTAAGAAATGACAAATCAGTCTCTCGAAACCATGTCAGTAAGGAACAAACCGGAGACAAATACGTACATCCCATTCTACCACGGAAAAACATCCATAAACATGTCTGACAAATATGTAATCAAACATTTCATCTTTAAATTGCGTGCACGTTAAAATATCATCTTGCAAAAAAAAGGAGTTTGCAGGCTTAATGGTCTTTGGGTATATTTCAGCAATGTCCATGCCATAGAAATCAGCTTCTGGATACTCGGTTGCCATTTCCAGAGTCCTACATATTTTTGAGTTAATAAAACACAATATCATCATGAGACACAACCGGTTTTAAAAGTTTACCATGTTCCAGGTCCACATCCGACGTCAAGGACGTTGAATTTCTCTCCATTTGGCCGCTTTTCATTCATTAAATGACTAACGGGTGCTGAAAAATTTCCATTAAACATATGCTTGACTAGAAAGTGCTATAACGAACAAACAGGTGTCAAAGATGATCCAAATCGTCATTCCTACTGTTCAATGTGTTAAAGCCACTCACCAGAGTCATCATTCTATCTTGCTCTTCTTCATCACACGGTAAACTGTATTTTGCGTTACCAAAGTTGTGAAAAGGACGATTTTGTTGCGAGATAGTATTGACCAATTGATCTGACGAAAGGCTTTTATAGTTTGGATGAAAATATGAAGTGTCGCTATTGCACACGGACGGAGTCGATTGTTGGCTGAGTACATCAGCAGTCGAAGAGACGGAACGAAAGGATGGAGTCGATTGGCGTACTTGTTCCAAGTTCTTTCGTAGTCTCTTTTTCGCACTTTGCATTATGTTTGTACTAGGAAGTGACTGTCGTCCATAGCGCCTTGTGGATGAAGTCTCGCTGGGGGGTCGAGTTACCGGCAGAGACTGTGAGCGTGATGCTGGGGTTGGAGGGACATTGCCCATGGGTATGATTAAATGTTTAGGTAAGGAAAGAAAGAAGTAAGTAGAGAGAAAATAAGTTTCTTAAACATGATATGACGGTTTTGAAGGTGGTCCATAATATTGGATCTCTAATTTTCTCGTTCTGTTTCAAAAAAGTACCCCAACCCAACCCAATCTCGAGTGCTGCATTACCTAAAGCGGACTATTGGCCTGCCTACCCGTTTAAATCCCCCATGACCAGAAAGTTCACTTTGCCCACGCAGCTTTTTATCCTTTTTCCTTGTTCCTGTCCTCTCGCTCTTTAACCAATCCTCCTTCTCCTGCTTTCTCCCTTCCTCTTCCATGAACATAGATCTTGACTGGTGTATTGTATGCGATTCAAGAACAGAGGTACAGTATGGTTATCCTATCACACCGATGTTGAATTCTGGTCCACTCATCAAGACCAACTTTGTAGCGCGGACTTTACTGCTCAGACAAGTGTTCCACTCTGGACAAACAGACCATACACCAACAACGTATACCATCTAATAATGAGGCATCCGTACATGTCTCGGCTAATGTGGAGGAGTCCACTGCAAGATCTATTCAGAAAGACGATTGTTTGTCCGCCTTCTATGCCAACCACGCACCGTCTCCTCCACCCATAGCCAAATCACCATCACCATCAGAGATATTATCAAGCTCTTACACCATATATTCTCGATCTCGTCGATCGAGTGTCATGGCTATACCCTCACCATCTTCACTTGGACAGTCTACTTACTTTGTCCGGGACTAACCAGCCCCATGGAGAGTCATCCTTCTCCCATGACGATATTTAATGATTTCCTTGTATACTCCCCCTCTCCAAAAGTTTTTCTCTCTTTATTTTTGATTAAACGTATCGGTTGATGCCCTCTCCAGTCTAGCAAAACAAAAGTTATTGCACCCAAGGAGTTGCAAAGCGGACCGTGTACTTTAGCATTATCTTTCGTGATACAACACAAGGGAACAAGGGCGGCAATTGAAATGTAAGCCCAGTTTATGTGGTCCGTACGCTTTGGAACCGGGCGAAGAGTTATGTGGATGAGACCATTGAGCTCCATTCTTTCTACCAATGTATATACCTTAGATGGGTTGTATAACCGAAGATCATTTCACTGGTTGTAGTAAAACATGGCTTGTCTTTGTTTGGTAGCCTATTGGGCGGCCAACTTTAAATGGTGTCCAACCGCGGCTCATCCCAGCCATGGTATTATTGTTGTAGGTGACTCAAATCGCACAACAGTTTGATGTTTCCATCCAGCAGCATCATTTACTAAATGCAGACAGACAGACAGACAGACAGACAGACAACAGCATTTTCATACGAGCGTCTTCAATCTTCGATTTGAGATCTTTTCTTTTTTCCGAGTCAACATAATCGTTAATTAAGCATGATAAACTGTCACAAAGGTTTCACTTTATTGCCTCCATAAGCGATGCTGATCGCTGAAACAAGCTTTTCAATATGCAGATTTGGAAACCCCCAACCTTTTGGTCGTCAGATCTTTTGACTCCTATAAAAAATTTATCACATTGTCCCCAGCTAACTTCTCTTTTATCTGTTTACATCATTTCACAAACAAGCACTCGATGCCTCCTAACCCCGAAATCCCTATCCACACCAACAGGCGGTTCTCGATAACTGCTCTTCCGCAAGGTATTTACCTTGGACTGGACATTAGTCACAATACTGGTGATCACACGTACAACTTTGCTGTCTCTGTCCATGATGGAAGCTACAGCAGTGACTACTATACGGACACATTGCCGCTCAACCAAAAGCTTCCCTACAAGGAGCGCATAGCTGACGCTGAGAATAGATTGATTGAAGTTATCGCCAACTTCGCTCGTGGTAACCATTACAAGGTACAAAGCGTTGGTGTATCACTCCAAGTGAATGACGCCGACAGTAGAGAACTGCTGTTCAGCCCACCTAGCATCACCAGCAAATTATGGTTTGAGTTGGACGCAATACCTTTTATCATGGAGACAAATGGACGCGATATAGACGAACGCGCTAGTTCTGCTGTTCGAAAATCCGTTATCTGGTACGTATTGCCCATTTACTTCCGCATTACCGTTTTTTTTTTTTTTTGACCGTTCTTGACCAACTAAACTCGTCTCACCGGAACCTTTTTGGCTCATGTTAATCTATAGGCTCAGCCCACAATATCCTGGAAATCTACCGCGCATCAGCGTAGGTCATAGGCATGTGGTACAGTATCCTTCCTTTCATTCCGCATTAATGGCACCACTTTTAGCCATCTTGGCTGACGACATACTGATGTTTGTTATTCTTCCGTTGTTCTCGTACAAATTACAAAAATAGGTCGAAGGTAACGTATTATTTCAAGTCAGAGATGGGTGGATCTAAGCTTTAGGCTAGTGACACACACGGTTTCACTTCCATCCAATTATCAAACGTCTCGCTGAAAACGTTCGTTCCTTCTGACGGTTTCCTTTTCTGGATACATATAGTGGATCTCAATGATCAAATCCATATGGTCGATTTGGAGAACTACCAAAATACTGTTTGCGATGAGACTTGGCGTGTCATCTCGGAGCTGGCAAATGAAGTTAAAGACCGCAAACTTCGAGTTTCATTCTTCAACTCTACACCGCAAGGTGGCGGAGGTAAGGCTATTTCTATACCATTGATTTCATGTTTGTTTCAAACTCTAAACTTCTATCGCATTGTAGTTGCATTAATGCGCCATGCTCTTATAAGATTCTTACGGCTTATGGGTATCGATGCCAATTGTACGTGTCAATACGTTTTTTGAAGGTTGGGTCGTTATCTGAGGACTAATTGAGGATTGCCGTATAGGGTATGTGGCTAGACCGAAGCCAGAAATTTTTGACATCACCAAGCGCAAGTTCCACAATGTCCTTCAAGGTGTTGCCGACCCCAAAGTCAGGTTAACAGATGCTGACAAGGAAGCCTTCATCGAATGGTCCAATGAGAATGTCAACCGGTTCTGGGGTGATCGTAGTGGGCCTCTGCAGAACTCTGACGTTATCATCATCGATGATCCTCAAGGTGAGGCAATTTTTCTTACGCTATTCGGTTTCTCGCTTTTTTCCGTAAATGCTAATTTAGAAAAAAATAATTCCAGTCTGCGGTATCATACCACATATCAAGCGTTTAGCTCCACAAACTACTCGCATCATCTTCCGTTCTCACATCGAAATCCGTGCTGACTTGATTCGTGATAACCCGGATGGACCTCAAGCTTGCACTTGGAAGTATGTATAGGTCATGGAAGTATACCCTTCATTACATCATCCCACTTACCAACACCGCCTTCTTAGCTTCATATGGCAGTTCATCAAGCAAGCCGATTTGTTTATATCGCATCCAGTAGACAACTTCATTCCTGATGAAGTTCCTCGTCGCAATGTTGTCTTACTGCCTGCTGTCACTGACCCTCTAGACGGACTCAACAAAGAACTTAATGCAAACAATTTAAGATACTACCGATCTGTATTCAACCGTGTCTGCATGGACCAAGGTTCAAACGAAGTAGATTGGAGCAGACCTTACATTGTACAAGTTGCCAGATTCGATCCCTCTAAAGGTACGATTTGATGCAATGATAATAACGAAACTAAGAGACCGTCTTATCTAACTGACACTCGTGTTCATCCATCCCCTAGGCATCCCCGATGTCCTCGAGTCTTATAGACTTTTACGTATGCGCATGGACAGTGACGACAGATTTAGTGATGAAGATATACCACAACTAGTTATTTGTGGTCATGGTAGTATTGACGATCCAGACGGTACTATTGTTTACGAGCAAACTTATGGTACCATGGTCACCGAACCATTCAGCCAGATTAGCTCCGATATCGTTGTTGCACGCATCCCTCCTTCCGATCAACTTTTGAACATCATCCTGCGCGGAGGTTATGTTGCACTCCAGCTCAGTCATCGGGAAGGTTTTGAGGTCAAGGTCACTGAAGCATTGGCAAAGGGCGTTCCAATCATTGCTTATCAAGCAGGTGGTATTCCACTTCAAATCATAGAAGGTGTCACCGGTAACCTTGTGCCCATTGGAGATGTCCAAGCCGTTGCCGACAAGTTATTTATCCTGTTTGAACAACCTGAAGTGCGCCAGCGGTTGGCTGAAGGGGCAGTCAAATACCTGACTGAAGAATATTTTACGGTTTGGAATGCTATCGCATGGCTATTCATGTGCAATGAAATCACTAGAAACACCACTGACAGTGCTGGTTTGGTGGGCGAGGAAGCCACCAGAGACCGCAATGGCGGTCTTGGCGACAGTAAATGGCTGCGAACATTCTGGCAAGAGAAATATAACTACAAGGGTCGCAAGCACGCCAAAGATGTTCAACTTTAGATATTTGCTTGCTGAACTGATTATTTTATCTCATTTTGATTCGTGGAATGGCCGATCCATTATTCATGTTTCCTTTTTTTTTTTTTTTTTCTTCTTCTACCATTTTAAATGCTTGAAAACTAAAATATAAAAATTCCCTTATGATTTCCGATGCATTTGCTTCTGCTAAACTAGATTATATTTTCTCTAATTTGCTATCAGCCTGTTCATTTCTTTCTATGATAGCTTTTACTTTGTGTTCTAGCTCGAATACGTGATCGTCACGACTTTCTGGAGCAATCTCGCGTAACGCATGGGCGAGATTGAGGAGGTATTCGGCGTTCCAGCCAGACGGCCCTACAGAAAAGTGTAAAGAGTAATGGTTAATTTGGATTCTATCATAAGACAGCTGTCTCATCTATCCCAAAACATGTGAGACCGCATATTCGTTATTCCCGTACCATAAGATTCATAAATTTGTTGCGCAATGTCGTCTACTGGGGCGCCGCCTACAAAAGCTTCATTATCCGTCGTTCCAATGTAAACCAGTGCCTGTGGTTGACATGACAGAGAAGTCAAAAGAACGGAATGAGTTAGGAAAATATGACAATTGAATGAGAGTCATTTCTTGAATAACTGAGCAGCTAGACTTACATTTCGGACGGCAGGCTCTTCCTCGTTAGGTCTATATACATCTACAGTGTGCACGGTGTATCCATTCTATCGTACGACGTTAGTTCCATTACCAAACGGATGAGATGCTATTTGAGATTTACCTTCTCTCTATGGTCCAGATAAGCTCTAGTAGTTTCAACATCTGTGCCTGGTATTTTGAACGCTACTCCCCAACATACATCGTCGTCCTTATGATCATGCTGGGCGACCAAAGATTAATCATCACATCAGCAAATGCCAGTGTCTAAAAATCACTTTACATAGTCATCCATCGTCTTCCATTCCGCGTGGGGCACTAGAGTCACAACTCGTCCAGGTGCTTCTGGAGTTCCACGATGGTCGGTACTATGCTATGAGGTGGTCAGCGAAGAAAGCCCATGCGCCAGGAAAGGAAATATACGAAAAATATAAACGTACCTGCCAGAATCTCCTCACATAATTCTTGACATATCCTACGACTCTGCAATTGCGTCCATGGTAGGTATCAATCCATCTTGTGCGCTGTCTGAAATCCGAAGACCCCACTTACTTGTCTTCGTAAGAAATAGGCGGTTTCCATATGAGCGAGCCATATCCAAACACCCAAATGCCATTGTCAGCGACTGATGAAGGATTTAAATCTGTCGAAACGGCCATCAATGTAAGATGAATGTGAAGGAAATGAGAAGGACATTCGGGATTCCGTCAAGGCATCGAAAGGGCAGTCACGATCAGATTGAAATTGAGATACTGTATTTGGTTTCAGTAAAACACAATGAAGGTTCATAGCGTCGACACTTTCCGTCCAGGAGCTTACAAGCAATCTAAGTCGTGATGCATATCATTAAGCAAAGCAACGGAGTGTGTAACTTGGCTGATACTACTATGGAGTAAGCTTGTAACGTCCGACCAAGATAGTGTGGTGGAGCTTCGTGCATTACCGATTATGCGCTTAGAAAGCACTGTCTTACTTAAGAACTCACTGACGTGATGGGTAATAGACGTATAGTTGTTCCTTTTCCTCTAACGTAAGAATGCTATCGTAAGGGTAAAAGTTCTGGATCTGTTCCACATACACCAAAGAGGAAAATCCACCTTTCTACCTTGAAGCAGCCACCTTCTATTAATACCTATGTGATACGTTGACATGCAACTTATTTTCGCGATGGTCGTTTGAGAGTCTGCTCTATCCTAGCAGATCAAAAGTAATGGCAACAAAACAATATTGAATGATCATTCCTAAATTCGACACTTTTCGGCGGACAAATGTGATTCAGCATATATCTGCATTGTATTAAGTGGGTGTAAATTGTGTAAAAAGAAGTGTATTTGTCAATTGTAGCATTTTGCTTTTGCCTCTTTACAAGAAAGAGATGGCAGCGGCGACAGCAGCAGCAGCGGGGACAGCGAAAGCAGCAACGGCGGAGCGAGATCCCCCAGAGATGGTGGTAGTGGGAGCAGCAGATGCAGAGGCATTGACAGAGGCAGAAGCAGAGCCTGAGGCCTTGGAAGCGGAGATGGTGCTGGGGAGGGCAGCAGTGGAGAGGGGAGCGGCGGTGGAGATGATGGCTGAAGAAGAGACAACACCAGCAGCATTAGCAGAAGAGCTAGGAGTAGACTTGCCGATGGTAAAGTAATGGGAGTAGTAGTAGTTGGGGGCGGTACCGAAAGCAACGGTGTAGTCAGCACCATCAGCAATATCAGCGGGAACGGTCCATGTGTACTTTCCAGAGGCAGAAGCCCTAATTCGAAAATAGGAAGTATCAGTTAGCTTGGTGGCGGGTTGGACAAAAACAAAAAAAAACTTTTTCCAGGCCGACTGGATGATAACCACTTACTTTTGAGCATCGTTGATGGTAGTGACGGGTTGAAGGGAGGTAGCAGGGCCGTTCATGAGTGCAATGGGGATGGTGCCAGTAGCATCGGTACCAGTGGCGGTCCTATAGATTTGTGTGTAAGTTGGTTGCCCTTTCTTTTTTTTTTAGTACTGCTTTTTGGGATACATACCAGGTGATGGTGACCTTAGCGCCTTGCTTCCAGAGAGTTCCAGCAACAGGGTTGGTGATGGAGACGGCAGCAAGAGCAGCTTGGGCGAGGGCAAGGAGGGCAAGGGTAGCAGAGAGCTTGAACATGAGGGACAATTTCAAATGAGTGGAAAGAGAGTAAAGGTAGATAGAGCACCGCAGGATGTGTTAGATATTCTTTCCTGGGTACATTCTAACGTTGGACAAAATATAACTATTTGAAAGGCAGCCCATATTCCCGCCTAGCGAGAAGTTACACTAACACGTGTTCAAGTCCAGCTCCATACCAGGAAGCCGTATAGCCACCGAGCCATAAGTTTAGGGGAAAGGGGTACATTGTATTAAGGCATCAAATATAAAAAGAGGTTATTGGAAGAAAATGGTACAAGTGTAAAGAAGAGAAGTGTTTTGATTTCAAAGAAAGAGAATGGCAAAGAAAGAAAATTCAACGTCATGGAATGTCCGTAAAACATAAAAAGTTGCCATAAATGTTGTTTGCTCTATGTTAGCCGAAGTTTTGGTTTCTGTCTCATAAAGGGGAGGGGAAAAAAGGTCTGGGTATCCAAATGGCGAGTGAATAAAAATAATATAGCATTGTAGTATAGATCTTGTCTCTCTCCTTTCTTTTTCAAAATAATAAAAGAAGGCATTTGTTGTTGGAGAAAACATGAGTGCGAAATTGATGGGTGGACACGTTATACTGCCTCTGATCCAGGCTCAATTTTGGAGCTGATCATGGTGTCCAGCACTTGAGTGACATCGTCCACAACGGTCAAGTCGGTAAGGAAGCCAATAAGATCGGTCAACTCCGTGTCATGGGGATCGTTGAACCATGTCGATACCGGTACGGCATTGGAAGTATGGAAAATATAACTTGCTGGCGAATTATCTAATATTAAGGTTGACGCCAAGTCGCGACCCAGCTGAGATAAATCCTGTAGAAAAGGTAGAGACGACATTTAGAATATCCGGAAATTGATAAAAAAAAAATAGAAATATGTATATGCAGCTGAAAAGACTCTTACCTTCACGTAATTGCCTTTGTGGTTGTAACATGAATCTCTGCATAGTCTGTGACTGATGACTTTATGTATGTCTAGGATATCCAGTACTGGATCAGCATACTGCAGCAAAGACGGGAAGATGTTAGCCTAACAAGATCAAACCGTACTTTAGTACAAACAGTTTTTTGCTCACCTTGGCTACACTGGCAGTAAAGACAACGATCTCATATAATTGTCCCATTATTTTCAAAAATTCGTCGACTCCGGGACGCTTCAGTACATATACATTATGGTATTGATTTTCAATCTCTACGGGCACAATATAATCTGGATTGGAAATAAACTGAATCAAGGCAACACAAAAATTGGTGAGTAAAATGCCAAAAAGCATGATTAAAACAGGATTGTCAAATTATCCTTACCTTGAAAGAACTATGAATTAATGTCTCGTCCAAATCTAGCACAAGGCATTTCTTATTTTGGTGCTCTTTAGATAATGGTGGTAATAAGGGCTTATGGTCGGCCTATAGAATGAAAATCCGCTTAGAAACAGAACAAATAGACAGCAGCTTGAGATTGGTGTGGGAAGGAGCCACTGGAAAAACTACTTACCGCCATAGGCTGCAATGGAATAGATCCATCTGCCGACGAGGACGCTCCAGGATCGGGTGATAGTATATCAGACGCACTGGGTGCTGCGTGGTGAGGTGTAGTCAAATCGTCGGTTGTCGCTCTCATGTCTCCTCGATTTGATGGCCGGTCCAGGACTCTTTCAGTTTGAGGCTCCGAATCGGACCTATCACCACCTCGAGAGCCATCCTTGTCGTCAAGGAGTGATCCAGATCCAAATGTACAGCATAGCAAAAGGGAGAGAAAGTTGCTACCCTTTGACGATTTTTTGGATCGTGTTTTAGATTTGGTTGACATGGCTGACGATGAAGGTCTTGCTGGCGATGTAGCAGATACTGCAGTCGGATTATTCCAAGAAGCTTGAGGATCTACGAGGGATTCATGCAAGACAAAATGATCATGGTTAGTATGTGTCCGATGGTAATGTTAAATACATGCGTTTACGCAAGTTCTCTTCAATTTTCGTTCAAAAAAGTTGCTGTAAGCTGGATATCCAGCTCAAAGAGATGTGCAACGTCGATGGTACATAAATGTGGGTATATGTGCGAAAATCGGCATTATTTGTGTTTATGACTTGATACATGAATATCGTAAAAAGTCTGTGACTCACCTGAGGCGTTGGTAGGAGATTGAGAAGTAGTGATTAATTCTTCGGGAGCAACTTGGGCTGGATTGCCGAGAGTGGTAGATGCAATAGTAGATGAGGAGGCAGCTGCTTTGGATGTTTGTTCCAATGGCACTGTTGATTGGTCAGATTCCCGTGGTTTGCTGTTTGGCATTCAGACAGGAAGTGAATTCGAGTGCTGACGACCGTCAAAACTCTTTGTGAGTAAAGGAAAGGGAAGGGTGGGGAAGGAGACGGTAAGTTGAAAAGAAGGGAGAAGGACAGCAGACGGTCTTTCGATTTTTTTTTTTTTTTTTTTGGTTGGTGGGCTACCCAGCACCTTTTTGAACGAATGTGCTACAAGAAAGAGATGCGAGGTAGATAGGGATGCGGACTTTGGCAACAGTGATCACTTTTTCAAACAGTTAACGATCAGAATTTCAAGATTAAAAACGAGTTATTGTCATAAGACTTTGGGCTAGTTCGGTTTTTGTGCGGTCGTCACCCGACGAGTGCTGTGGAGAAAAGATTTTGCCATAAAATAAATTACACTTTATTGTCTGTGACCAAGTTCGATGGCATCAGCCGTGGTACAGTTAAGTTTTCTCAAGGTGATGCTCACTCTAGAGCCACGCTGTATTATGTCCCCATTAACATCATCTACCAGTCTTGCCGGTATACAGTGTGCCCAATCCCATCTAGCTGGTCCAATCATTGCCAGTACATCGCCTGGTCGTAAAAGGATGGGGATACCGTCATCCAAATTGCCTTCTTCACTATAGCTTGTAGCATGTTTTTGTGCTTCGCTAGCTGGTGTCATGATCATGACACAGGAAGATAAGAGGGATACGATAAGTATGCCATCATCAAACTTTTGTAGGTCCACATGGCTGCGTATGCCTTCACCTTTTGAGAATAACGTAGATTGTTAAAAATGTGTACAGCTCACAGGTTTTTGTTTTGTTTTCGAGGCAGGTTAAATAAATTTCATACCTGGACGATACAAGTTAAGAATGGCCTGATCAAATAAAGGTTCTCTATCTATACTTTCAAGTAAGTCTGTATCTCGCTTTGCCCATTGTCCGATATCTTGAAACTGCTGTGGGAGATCGCCAAAATGCATGGCTTGATTATTAGTTGCGCCATTGAAGTACTTTGCTGAAATGATAGTATCAAGTAGCTTCGTTTGCACACTGTGGGATAGGCCTTGCCTCAAAAGCCGAAGTCCAGGTATACGGCCAAATTTTTCGCTCGTCAGCATACGAGCGGGCGACCTGTTTCGGTCCGAACCTAGCCTTGCATCCATTCGCGTCTGATCATCAGAGAACGAATCATCAAAATCTGAGTTATCAGAGCCAAACAGTTCTTCTAATTGGTCAGTGTTCAGCTCATGCATTCAACTTTGGTCTTTGATTGAAAGAGGAACGCTATTGCATTTGTGATTTTTAAAAAAATAAAATAAATAAAAAAATGATACCCAAAAAAAATTTATAACATCGTGAACGGCTTGTTGTCAACAGGTTGATTAATACAGGGTCGAGATAGGGCATAATCTGCCTATTGAGTTCTGAAGTTAATCGATTTTCTCAATCAAGAAATCCATGCCTCCTTCATCGCGCAAACGAGCCAGCAGAACATCACCAAAGGCAGTGGCAGGAGTTAAAACACCTCCAGCTTTACCAGGCAATTTATCGTATCCATAGACAATAGACAATGCCGACTCTGCAACCATACGGCAGGTGTCACCATATCCGGGGTCCATTCGTCCTGTTATTTTATGCATTAGTTAACAATGTCACTTTTCTTATACAGTGTGTCTGATCTTTCTTATACCTCTCACAATGCCGCGAACTCGAATTGGGTTTTCATAGGGTTCAGTTTCAGCGGTGCCAATCAGCTCCAATTCGTACGATCCTTTGGTAATAGCTTCCCTACTTGGGCCAGTTCCTCCTTGTGGTAAAAGCGAGCTAACAAGTTTGTAGATGGGAGAGAATTTAAGTAAGATACCAAACCATGGGAGGATGCCAACTGCAATAAATGTCATGGCAAAAGCTCCAAGAAAAGGGAACGACATTGATTCTCTAATATAGCACGGGATGTTAGCAGGTCGCTCAAAACAAGCTTAGATATGGCTCTCAACAAGATGTAATTCTTTACTAACCTATACTTGAAAGTCTTTCCATAGGTACTGCCTCGGGTCGTGTAGATACCATAACTACGACGGACAACCAATTCATTCACCATGGACATGATGTAGTATGCTTGCCATCTTTTGAAGTCAACATCCCAACGCATCCAGGGTATTCTAAATTTGTCGATGCCAACGAACGGCGAGAGGTAGTAAGGGTCCTTTGCTTCGCCGGCTTTTTCGTGACGAATAATATTTAAGGATGTTTGTATAGTTCCGCCAGAAGCTCCTCCACGGAGTCTTTTCACCGACAACTTGACATCCGACGTATCGAGTCCGAACTTGTTGCGAATATAATTGACCACCATGTAGGCGCCCATGTCGCTTGGTACACAGTCAAACCCACAAAATGGCACGATGATAGTGCCGTTCGCTACTGCTGCGTCGTGGTACTTATCGATAATGGTTTTAGCCCATGTGAATTCTCCAGTAATGTCAACATAGTGTGTTCCTTGACGAATGCACGACTCCACTACTGGCGTACCATACTTCTCGAAGGGACCTAAACAGTAACCACCCTGCGTGAGTATCGCCGGTCTACAATATATTAACACACCAAGAGTGATGAATTCATACCAACAGTCGAAATGATGACCTTGGCTTGTTTAAATGCTTCATCAAGGGAATCCGGATTGAATGAGTCCACGACGAGAAGATCAAGGTTCTGTGCGCAGACGAACGGTTAGATGTCACATTTAACGCGTGCCATCCAGTTGTCACTAAGAGAGTCAAGTCCAATTACCTTTAGTTGTTCGTCAATGCCGGCCAAGGTCTCTCGCACTTTTTCGAGTTTGGGAATACTTCTGCCAGCGAGAGCCCATTTCAAATTCTGAACAAACCATTAATGTACCGTTTTTACCTGGACGTAGTTTCGATGATATAGCATACCTTATCATGTAATTTTGCGATATATTCGGCGGTATACGCGCCTGTAAAACCAGTGGCACCGTAGACCACTGTTTACAACACTGTTAGTATTATTGACATAGAGCCAACACCGTTACGTAGCTTCTTACCCAAGTCGTATTTTCGATCACTGGACATAGAAAGCAATACCTGAAAAAGCAATGTGTCGGAGTTCAGTTGCCAACAAATGGTTTTTATATAATTTTTTTGTGCCAATCCTGGCGGTAACACGTGCAATGCACTTGTCTTCCTCGATGACAGGGAATGACGCGTTCACCTTGGCTTTGAACTAACATAATGTGTATCAAATGCTTTTAGAAAGACTACTAGTTTCTTTTAAGTGAGATTACTAAGGATATCGACTACGCCGTTTGCACACAACTACACCAAACCCTGATGCTGACCTCACGAACCAAGCCGGTAGTGGCGCGAATTAGCCTGGTGAACAATTATAGCTGGCACAACTAAATGCATTATATCTTCCAATTGCTAGTCAAATGCATAGATGTGTATGAAGAACAGAAAAATAAGTACGACGGAGATAAATGCAGAAAGCATACGTTTCATGCATAGTGCTGATATAAGGCGAATTGTGGGCATCAGGCGTTTGCGCATGTTAACAAGAATACAAATGCTAGGTCGGTCAAAGAAACTGGTAGAAGCGCTGCAGGAATGCTTTGTTTGTCACACGATGCAACCTGCTCTCCACATGGAAAACCGTAATTAAGGATCGGAAAACGTTGCTCGTAAATGTAATGACTTAACTCCACTTTTGAGAACAGCCATGATACTAATGTTAGGATAATGAACGCAGCTCAGTTATAGTCGAATTGTTATTGATTATGTAGTACAGTGTAAATTCCTGAAAGTTATATACAAGGGCTAGGGACAAAATGGACGCTGATTGTATGATTTAGGGTATAGCAGTTCAAAGTAGGAAAAGAAGGGAGGGAGTGACGTTTACAAATTGCGCTATGAGATAGCAGATAACCTGGAAATTATGGCGAGCTAGCGGGACGATCGCTTTCGTTTTCATTGGAAGTTTGATCGTTATTAGAAGCATGTTCTTCAGACAGCCGCCGAGATAAAGAACTGTGGCGAGGAAGACTGGAGTATTCTGGAGGTTGATGATGAGGAATATGGGACGTATGCTCAAGGGATATCAACGGCGACTCCTCGGGAATGTCTTCGTTTCTGGGTCGATCAATTGAGTTTCTTGGAACACCAGTTTGTAACAGAATGGAGCCTCTTTCAGATCCGTAAGCCGGTGGTGGGGCTAGTGTGCCTTGCATAGGAGCCAAACCCCACTTTTTGACATTAGCTTCAATGAATACAAAGCCTAAAGAGGTTGATAGAATGAATTAGTTATAGAGTCAGAGGCAGATCAGAGCTGGTCTAACACCTACCCATTTGTCCCAAGTTAACATGTACTTGGCATGGACCGTTTGCGCCAATAGTGGGAAAGAGGTTCCATCTCAAGCCAGAGTAGGCATCTTCTATTTTCCGTCCGTTCCGAGTAAAAAATACGGTTCCGGTTCGGTGTCTATAGCCTACTCCAACTACATCTCCTTCATTGAATGGCATACCATAAGATTTACCCTCAAAGGGGTTATTGAACATCTTGCATCCGTTGTGGCTGAAATAGCCCACCGAATGTTTATTCCAACCTAAAAAGGAGGTTGTGAGTGGTTTGTGGAGTAAATAAAAGCGAGAATAGTGACTTGACCTACCTGGCATACGCCAATTTGGAAATGGTTTGGTTCCGACTCCAACAGCTACAGTAGTCGATATAGGTTTTTCATACATTTTTGCCTCAAAATAATAGACATCTTGATTCTTTGGAAACGGCAAATTTGTTTGAACACAACATTCATCCCTGAAGAATTGGATCTCTGTCCGGCCAGAGACAAAAGCATTGGTTTCTGTCATATCTGCTTCAAATTCAAAGGCTGCAACGCCTTTCTCTTGTATAATAAGGTATTGTGACAAGGTAATATCGGTTGGGACACTTTCAGGAGGGTAGGCCGTCTGCCAAGCTATCGGCGAAAAAAAAAAAAAAAAGGTAGAGTAAACATCAGCAAGGAATTCACAATGGACTCAAGTACTTGTGCATTCCCAGTAGTATAGGTTGCCTTCATTCTTTTTACGTAAACGCTGCGGTGATACAGTTGTCGCCATTCGGTCACTGCAGCAAGCGACACTAACAGTCGCACTGTTGATAATATTCTGCCGAGATGCGATTGCATTCCTATATTACCCTCGCTATGCTCGTGAAGTGACAAATAGTTACCTTTGGCACGCTCATAGCTAAGTCTAGCGTCTTCAGATAAGGTTTCCAGCATGGCAGGAGTTTCAACGAATTCGGTGCCCAATTCAGGGTCATTGGTGGAAATGCTGGAGAACAGCTGGCTGCCACTCGCCTTGGTGAAGCATAGCAGCACAACTATTATCAAGAAAAAGACGATTATGCCGACAATAAAGATCCAGGCGTAGGAGTCCGCCATTCTGGAATGTCTTGATTCTTGGCTAAAAGGAAAAAGAAAAGAGAGTAGTGCGGCAGTATGACACACTGCAAGGGCTTATGATATCAGCGGGTTTGAATTTGGTACTTTTTGATTTTCGACCAATCAAAAATATAAAATAAAATGGTCTCATTTCAAGCTGTTTTCCTTTTGGTTTTATTGTAAAAGTAAGCTAACGTTTTCTAAAGCTTGCTGAGGTTTATCCTTGAAATATACAAAATGACCTTGTAGGCTTGCGGTGCTTACGGACTTGTTCTTCAAGCTGCGCACAAATCGGTCCGCCAAGTCTGGTTCGTTTTCATAAAACCGAAGGAACATACCCCGGATTTGTGACTCGGTGGCATTTCCAAGGAATTCTTTCATGTCGATTCGACCAGGGCGGACCAACGCAGGGTCCAACTGTTCGATGTGATTGGTGGTCATAAAGACGATTCGCTCTTCTGCAGATGCTACGCCATCCAGAGCATTTAAAAGTCCACTGAACGTTAGCATCGACTGGTAGCCTTGATGGTCCGATTGATTTCTTTTCGCAAAAGCAGCATCAATATCCTCCAGAAGCATGATGCTGCGCTCTGGCACATTACTGAGCAGATGATTAAGTCGATCATCCGTCAGTCCACGTTCCGACAAATTAAGGATACAAATATTATACTCCAATTCACCCTGAACCTTACAGTTAGTACATGGTAACACTCTTATCTTATCTACGCAAAAGAAACTCAACTTACAGCAAGAGATTGGATAAAACTGCTCTTTCCAGATCCTGGAGGTCCATACAATAGGTAGCCTCGTCGATAAGGTATTCCTAAGATTAGGTAGGTCAGCGGTTATGTGGCAACGGTAGTACAAAAAGTCAGTCTGTGCCCTTACCTCTGTCATTATACCACTTGCCACTACCAATGAATGCCTGCACATCATCAACGATTCTTTCTTTAATTCCATGGTCCAGTATGACACTATCCAACATCCTTCGCTTTCGTGGCATGCCGAATGGTCGCCATTCCGGGCCATATGAAGTATATATGACGGTTTTGCCTTCTTGCTTTGCGATTGCCATCTGTTGCGCTTCCTTCAATAGCGCTGTAAAGACATCTCTATCTCTTGACAAGGTTGTCAACGTGATTGTTTCCCATGGACTCCCTGTCGTCAAGTCCATCATCTTTCCATCGCGTTGTCGCTGTACCTGGTGGATGGCCAAAAGATAAGTGAAAGCCAGCCACATGCCAATGACTCTTTTGCTTACTTACCTGCAACCACACACCTCTCCATTTAAAAAAGTGATTGCCAGGGCCCGGCACAAGTCCAAATGTAGTAGAGACACTGCCGTTATCGTGCTGCTTGTAGGACGTCTCGACGGCAAGGTGTTGTGTCCTTCGAGCAGACTGCTGTGACATCCACTGTAAGAACCAAAGATAAGATTTATCCTTAGAGGGTATTTCTAACGTGACTAGTAATCGTCGTCTAAGAAGGGATGTTCCCAAGTTGAGCCCTTGTCGCAATACAGTCAGTCCGGCACCAACACCGATCAAACCAAAGCCGGCTGAAAAGTATGGATTGCTGGTAATGCTATCCCACAAGCTATTCTCCCCCTTTATTGGAGGTTGAATTTGCTGAGGTTCTTTACTTTCAGCATTTCCGAGCGTAGTATTGGATGGCGACGGCCAAGCATTGCCGGTAACTTCTGACATGGAACAACAGCAATCGAGACGGAATGGCAAGAAAATTGTGACCGACAAAATGTTGATGTCCACAAAAATTAATTTTCAATCCCAGATACAGATTCTCTGACGGATCAGCGACGTTGATTGCTCAAGAAAAGGGTGAATATCGATCCTTTATCGCCAGGAATACATGTAAAATAGCAATGAAAAGGGAAGAAATATAACTCCATTGCGCACACCGTACCTACCGACCAAGATATATTTCTTTTCCGAACTAAATACTGCCATTTTTTAACATCTCATATAATGAAATACACTGCTATATTCATTGCCGTTGCATTGTCTGCTATGGCGGTCAAAGGAGATGGCAATCGTAACAAAGAGAAGGCTATTCAATCGCTCAAATTGAACCATAATATCGACTGCTATACTCTGACGACCTATTTTCCCAACTGTAACTTTTCCTCGGAATACCACTCTGTCGTACACAATATGAATGGCAGGCTGCCAACTGAAATTGGAAAGATGAATATGAACGACATATACAGTCTGAAAATTGCTTCTTTCTGTCTTGGAGTTCTCTTGACCATGCTTGCAGTCAGTATCCGATTCTCATTGTCGCACGATGAAATTGAAGCACTGATCCATGGTGAAAAGTGACTTGGCCAATCGCATGCAACCACAGCAGCACCAACTGTAACTCGTCAAAGTGAAATACTTAGTAGATTCAGAGACAGCTAGCCAAAAGACAGTCTGCTCTCGTTTATATAAATTGCATTAAAACCGCTTTTTTGCTTAGTCGGTCATATGTAAGGGTGAATACATCTAGTTGAGAAGGTTGTAGGCGGTCATGGAGGAAGTGTAAAGCAAGGTCAAGAGACCGAGGTAGGCGAAGGAGCCACGCATGCGCTTAGCGGGCTCGCCAGTAGAGTAACCTTGAGCGTAGAAGAATTTACCAGCCAAGTAAACAGCGCCAGCAGCTGCAGAAACGGTGGGGAAACCAAGACCACCGGTGAACAACAAAGTCAAGAACATAGGATAGCCCTCGAGGGTGTTCTATAATGGGTAAGATAGCAATATGTCAGCCAATTGATTTTACTGATCAAGATGTTGGACTCCACCAACTTCTTTTTTTTTACGTACCTGGTGAGCACGTTGGGTGCAGTTGAAGACGTTCTTCTTAGCGTCCTTCTCGGCCTCAGACTTCTCAGCGTACACTATAAGAAAGTAGCTAGCCGTTAGCCATGGCTCGCGTCGTTCTATACCATAGAATAAAATCAATTACTTACTGTAAGGGTAAGGGATCTGAGCAGCCTTGCGGGCGCCACCAACCTAAAGGTAAACACAAGAAGAATAAGTACACACACCGACATATTAGTAGTTTGCTCAATCGACAGCTGTTGACTGTACCTTAAAGCCAAGATAGGTGATGAAGAAGGCGGATGCGACACCGGTGGCAACAACATAACCATATTCGCTGGGGATAGTAAGAGCAACCATTTTGTGTATGTATTGGTGTAAAAAGGAGACAAGGTGATATTCAATTCAGACAGGCCGACGCTTATAAGCAATTTGAAAATAATTGGGGAGCCGAATGAATGACGCGTGCTGGCGTCAACAATCGCTACGAATCAAATCTTCTGGGACTTTCCACCACTGACAGCAATTTTTCTATTACCAGGCAGATTCTTACGAAGCGTGCGACCATTATTGCAGTATGATGATTTTTCATTGTAGATTTAAATATAGAGAACATCAATGATGAATTCTCTTTGAGTAGGCTGCCAAACTTACATCAGGGGCATGCCCTTGAAGAAAAACGATTTGGGGAAAGTTTAGAAGGTTCTCAAAAGATGGCCAACCATTCGCTGGAAAAATAAGCGGTTAATTGCCGGATTTCAGACGGAGTATGATTTTCCACAGACAGATATTTTGCTTTTTCAAGTGCCTGAAACTTACAGGAGGATCCTCGCACTTGGCGTAGTCCAACATGTTTGATGGATCACGTAAGCGGTGTCGTGGCATTGGCTTACGTCCTTTATTAAAAATGGGATAGACATGACGTGTTAAAATGCCATTAACCTACCATTTGAGAACTTTAAGTGCCAAGCTACGGAATGAAATATTGCGATGGCTTTAGCAAAGTATTCGTATATTAAGAATTATTTACTATGTGTACATTCAGTGGTACTTCGTATGTATGTGGCCAACAATTACTCCGAAGTTTGAATTTCTCTGCGAAAAGTAAGCTTAAATATAAAGCAGATTAAAAGTACATGCTATTTTTACCATCTTGTGTAGGTCTTCAATGCAATTAGTTGAAAGAAAGGGCCGATAGGGTAGAAAATGGAGACAACTAGCGGCGAATGATATTTATAAACGTCGACCAGTGCATATTCAAAAATGTGCCACACAGGATCATCAGGCCAAGAAACCCGTCGGTTGGCTGCCTGCAATATGATCACATTCACAACGTCCTCAAAATGGTACCTCGGGGGCTTCCTGTTTTGGGGTGGGATAAGTCTTTCAAACGTTAATAGATCAATATACGACAAGGTTGAACTAACTGTGGATTGAAAATCTTCTCCACCCTTTCCAGTGAAGTAGATCCGTTAGGTAATTTATCCGTCTCGTTACACAACAGAGTCCATAAAATAAATAAAAAGAGTAAAGTCTCTTAGATCTCACACTAATATCGCTCCTATCCTGGTTTTAGATAACCATGAGCAAGGCTAGCAGACCGGTGGTAGCGGGTCGGCCAAGCGGACAGTCTACCGGTCATAGTTAACGTATTAGCATTTGTATGAGGTTATGTGACACATTAAAGTGGCAATCAGATCACACCACCTGGTATACCACACAAATGCATGCCATGGAATATTTTTTTCATAATGTAAGGGAAGCCCTGGTTTTTCAATCATACTTTTCCCTTTGTAAGAAATTCCTAACAACGGTTATGTCTTTGAGAATGGAAGACCTGCAAGCAGGCACTTGTGTAATTGGTCACATGGAAACGTGATATGGACCGCTGCTTCTGCTGTTAACTTACAAAAAGAGTGTAGCAAGGTGAATCTGAACGACTGCGGCTTTTCGATAACCAATAGTGGACCGTTGGTCTAACGGCTGAAAAAAAAAAAAAGGTATAACATGGCTCTTATCTGTCATCATGTGGCAATATTGAAAGGGCGGGGAGGAGGAGCGTCCAGGCTGTGGAGGCGTTTTCTACATCAGTGTGAAGCGATATTGAATGAGAATCTCCAAATGTGGATGGCGGCACTCTATATCGCATGCTAATAGGTTAATGTCTTGGCATATCGACTTCGCTACGTTGACTGATAAAGAGCAAGTAGTAGTGCGGAGTTTAAGGGCAATCAAAGATAGTGTGTGTGTGTGTATATGTGTGTATGTGGGTGTGAGACGCCATGGAACCCACTTTTTTTTTTTTATTTTTTATTTTTTTTTCTTACTTCTCAATTCCCATCGTCTTACCAACGTTCGGTTCTTCCTGGATTTTACTTATCTTTTCTTATTATAATCTTCTCTGTTGTACCCTTTGTCAGTTTGACAACCTAACATCTAGTCTTTCTCCAAATATATCCGTGAGAAGATATTATGGCATTTGCCACGGACGATAGTAGAGAACCGAAACCCACCAAAAGCTACAGAGAAAACCAATACGTCCCTTTAAGTCAACCACAGATGCAGGCTTCAAATCGTCACAAGCCCTCCGATCTTCCATCTGCACCCGTCATGATACCCAATGATATTCCTAATCTCGATCAGTGGAACAAATCGTACGGTTTTTGTTACATTCCTCAAGAACACAGCATGACCATGGACACAATCCCGCTGTTTTCGTCAGCGTTCAATTTTCTTGGCGACATTCATACTCACCCTATCGCCATGAGTCCACCACAAACGCCTCTTACCAATGCCTATGAAAACAACGGACATCCTACAACTCCAACAGAGTATTCAGCGGCAACGTCCGAATATTCAGGCTTTGACGTTAATACGTTGATGCCTGCTTCACCACCAGAGAGTTATGCTTCTGCCAACTCTCCAACCCCTGCAGCAACCGAAGTCATATTGAATGAAGCTCTTTCAAGTTTCCATATCTCCTATGGAGAATCTGGTATTAGCATGGAAACCAATGTTTCGAGCGCTAGTGGCTTACGTTCGTTGATCGAAACGTTTAGTCAGATTGGTATAACTCCCAAGTCTCCCACTTCCCACAATCGAATGTCGTTTAGCAGCACAACGAGCGATAAGAGCAATGTGCTTAGTAAAAATCGACAATTTTCTACTCAGCCCGTCAACTTTTTTGAGAAACTCGGCCGAGCATTGTATGCCAACCAACGACTTGAACAAACTACTGCTTTAAAGCAACAAATTGTCAGTGGTTGTGTCGATGCCTTTTTCGTATGTTGGATACGCTATTCTCCGGTCCTCAATCGTCAGCAATTTGAAGAATGGTATCATTCTGAACCCCTACCTACCGATACTTTTTTGGTCAACGCTATTTGTGCATTTACCGTCAAGCATATGATGATTCACCATCCGTGTGCAGCCAGCGCTGAAATTCCTCTGTCACATAACCATATCAAAGACATGGAGAGCTACTTCTTTGAAAAGGCAAAGCAAGCTTTGGAACAAAACTTTGATCATTCGGATCGATACTCTGTCATCGGCATGCTGTTAATGGCTTTTCGAGCTGAAGACAAGAAAGCCACTGTCTATTCTGGGATGGCGACTAGAGCACTGCATGAGTTGGATGTGTCACCAAGAATGCTATCACAACATGCAACAATAGACTACAACGACAATGCAGCGTATGAAAAGGAACTTGACACTCGGCTCTGGTGGTTTGCCTGGGTCACCGATTTTGCTGTTTACTCAGGAGGTGGCTTTTCCAAGAACACCCCACAGACCCGATTTAGAGGAGAAGTCGATTTACCTCAGCCGTTCCCTCAAGACAAGAACGAGGCCGCGCATGCTATTCCGATGTATCGACATGGTTTGCAGATATGGAGACTGCAAGCAGATATCATTTACAGTCTATATGAAAGCTCAGACGACGATGCTCTCACCACAGAGCAATTAGACAGCTTTGAACTCACCTTACAAGAGCTACGCACAAATTTACCTGATCGCTACCGACTAGACACTGGATACCAATTTACAACCCCGTCCGCCTTCATTGGCTGTTTAAGGATACAAATTGAATTATGTGCTACCCACATCATATTACACAAGCTCTTTTTACCAGATGCCAGTAACATCGAACAGATGTCAGATAATTCTCTCATCTCTTTGAACCGCTGCTTATACTCTGCTATCCAGCAACTCAAAATGTTGAAGACGACCCTCGAACTTCCCGGTGGAGCATGCTCGTTTGATCGAGATGAGTTATGGCGTTCATCTGAAATCATTTCAATGGCTTTGACGATACACAGTAATTGCTCAACCAAGGCTCAGCAACTGATCATGGAGGGAATAGAATTTTCGGATATTCAAGGTGCATTGCCATTGGCTCTTCAAATCATAAGAAACACTCGAGAAGATCGGTTTGGAGCGAACTTGAATTTCAGTCAATTAAAGGAATGGATAGAAGAAGAAATTAAGAAGCACAACCTGACGGTTCCCCAGCCCATTAATTTTTCTCAGCATAAGCAGCGACCTGAGCCAAAAGAAGTAACGGCAGCCATCAAGAAAAAAACATTGTATAAGCAAGAAACAGATTACGATACTGTATCATTTACCATTTCACCTTCCACATCCTCACCACCTTCTACATCTCATCCACCGAACAAAATGCACAAATCATCCCATACCAAATCCACCAGTAACATCGCTGTTCAATTTCAAAACAGCTTTGGTCCTCCACCTTCTCCTGCCGTTTCTTCTCCAATGTACACCAAATCAGAAGCCAAATCACAGCGAGTGGTGGAAACTCGTGGCTTTGTGAACCAAGTTGGATGGTCATCCACTTATGTCAAAGGTCAACCACGGTTCAGATATTTCAGTCCCAAAACGTCGGACAAGCTCATGTTCATTGATGAGAACCCAATGGTATGAATAGGTCAATTAATGGTGATGTTACTATAGTTTCTGCAAATCGTTCTCCCATTTCTCCTGCTCATTTAATTCGTTTCGTGTTACATATTTTCCTTTGTCCTTGTACGTTTAGTTTTCTTATTTACCTTGTTTAGCCAGCCAGTTCATCTCATATATATTATTATCCCTTTTCTTGTTTTCTTTCAATACCCTCCACATTTTTCAGAACAGTCTCTTATCTCACGAGATGTCACATTCGAGTACCCCCTTGTCACAGTGCAAATAAAACATACAATTCATTTCATTCAACAGACCCAACGATAACATCTTATAGACATTTTTACGATATGATACACAAAAGGCACAGTGCAAAAGATAAAGAGAGGAAACATCACAGGATAGACTTTATACAAGAGAAGCTTCGTTCGTGGTTGCTCGTACGCCATGCTTGTGTTGATTTGAACCTGACCCCTGTCCTAAGCTGAAATGACTAGGTGAACCTTCGTTAAGCAGGTCGTTGTTGCTATCGTCAGGCATGGTGGCATATACAGCACCATTGGAAAAGTCATGCCTAGGTGGTGCAAAGTCCAGATCGATACGAGGAGCGAAAGGTTCGTCACAAATGTCGCTCCAAAGAGGTGGGTAATACTGTCGGTAGGCAAAGAAAGCCAATCCAGTGCCCAGAATAGCGCCAACTGTCACATCTTGCCAATGGTGACGATAGTCCACTGTACGAGAGATAGCAACCAACAAAGCACCAGTCCACTATAAGAAAAAATAAACAGATCAATCTTTGTATAGTCAATGAGTAATTGCTCAAATTGAAAACGTACCGGAGCAGCAAATATGAAGCCCTTGTATGTATGGCCACGCTGGTCAAACAACCGCATCTTACCCGCCAAATAAAGACTTAAGAATCCCAGACCAGCAAATGAAACTACAAATGAAAGACATTGAAGATAAATACTTCATTTCTTTTCAATATCTCGCCTTCCATTTCAACGTCTTCATACATACAGGATGAGTGTCCGCTGGGGAAGCTTTTGAAACCGTCTCTCATTAAATAGCCGTTGAGATCGGTGGTGCATATGGTATAATTGCTCAATCCCAAAGGAGGATCAACACTTCCGGCGGCTGGCTGACAGCGGTCTAACATATCTGGCCGTGGGCGTCCAACTGTTATCTTTACGATATCTGTCATCATGATCGTCATCGAAAGTCCAAGGCATAATCCTAATTTCAGCGGTGTCGGGAGCGATCGATATATTAAAAATTTGGAGATGACACTTCATTTGATGGCTCAGTCCATTCATTCAGCCTACCTAAAATGCCATTATGGAAGTCCCGAACACTTTTGCGCACAAGCAGAGAGTATAATGAGATGGTGACAAAAGGGACGATAAAGCATAGCACCTGCGATACAATACACAAAAGTCCGGGTTAGAGTCGTATTCCTGATCGAAACGTCCAGTTTGGGGACTATCTTACTAAGAGTAACCAAACTGGCACATGCTCGTGCACAGCATATGGGAACATGATAGTTTTATCTTCAAGTGAGAATTCTCGTCGATACGGAGGTAGTTGGTCAATAGCAAAAAATATCGCAGTCATAACGACGACAAGCACCCTGAAAAGACCTCCGTTAGTAGCAAGCTCGAGAGAAGATCGACATACAAGAAATGCTTACCAATCCTTGAGATAGGATATGAATAGTCGTCTACTCCGTGGATTACTCAACCTACTGAATGGCATGCTGGAGGAAAGAATGAGGAGAAGGATCCGTGTTCTCTCAATAGCCCTTTTTCTCAAAGCATGCTTTAGACTCAGTCACGTGTACCGCCCTTCTTGGCAGTGCTGATCTCCTTTCGGGAGGAGTGGATAATGTGAGACCTCGATATTACCCCATCCTTAGTTGTTCATATAGGAGACTAATCGTGAGCCGCTTGCAACTTGTGAGAACATCTCCAGATATGTCGTTCTATTGACGCTTTAGTTTGCGATTGCTGATAATCAGTCATGATCATGCTCTCCGTTTAGCCGTTGGTTATTTATGGGTCTATGTAATTAGCCTATCAATCAGCTATTAAAGCGACGCCGGAACGCTTCTGTTAATTGAAAAAATGGACGCAAAGCATACATTCTTGGTAGAACCTAACGTTCTACCGCTTTTTATAGCAATAATTGAGAGCCTATGTGTTTGCGGTAACCGTAAAGAAATAGGCATTTACAATATACAAGGCCGCGGGCATTTAAGGTAATGGTAGTGCTACCATCCTTTTCCCCTATTTCCTGCACTTCCACAATGATGACTTGCTTGAAGTCTATATTCGTTTGTGACAACTGACCTGGTTAATCAAAAGTTGTCTCGTCATTTTGACTAAATTTTTACAATAATGGTTTTGCGAGCCCTAGCAACCACCAGTGAGTGATGTAGGAAGCTTTTTTAGAATCCGATTTTTGCAACTGTAGTCGCACCGTTCTGTTTGAACGCAGTTTGGCTTCTCTGTTACAGCAAATTAGCAAAAACCTCAAGCGTGCACGCAAATTACAACTTTGCTCTCGTGTTGGCCCAGGACATTCGATGTGTACATCCGTCCAACTATGTGGATATGACTCTGTTATGCGTATTCGATGTACATTTTACATTTATTTTCACATCAGTTGACAAAATTTTGTTTTCGGATCAGCAGTTTATTAGATTTCATGTGTTCAAAGAAACGCAAAATGATCGTCATCAACATGTTTCGCTTGGGACAACAGAGTAGGTGCCATGGATCCGTGCGGTGGATGCAATGAGCGATAAACGGGTGTGCTTACGCCACTCTTGGTTTGTCAAAGGACACCAGCGTAAACTGAAGATCACGTTAATTCTTCATATAAGCATCCCCTCCAGATTAATGCACTCATTTCTACATGCCCCACCAAGTTCCAGGACCCCAGTCCAGTCTCAAGGTCCTCTCAGGGGCGAAAATATCCAGGGCCCTCCTCGGCTGGACATCTTAAAGGTACGTCAGAGCAGAAAGTGCCGCGGCATGAATCCAGTGACCAGTAACACAAGTTGTTCTTATAGGTGCTCCAAGCTAGCATATTTCGTACGGCTATCTTAACTCTGGATACGTTCGGCAAGTGTGATTTGGAACACAATCGCAATGGCAGTATACAACCGCTGAACTAAGTTGTCGTCCATTTAGCCAAAATTGAAAATAGCAGAAAAAAATCAGGAAATCAGGATAAAAAACCTGTCGGTTTCAATTTTAGTCCCAGTTTCTTCGCTTTCATGCCATTGATAATTCATTTCAAAGACGTTCAACCGGTTATACAAGGCATCCAATTAAGAATGCTAAATTCAGGGCGCCGCTTTATTTCGATGTTTCAAGGCCAATGAGGTATTGGCGTTCAAGTCAAAAACATTGACGCCACCAACCACTTTACGACGCAAACAAAAGCATAATGTACTGGTGGAGTGAGCAAGTGAATTGTTACTTATCACTCGTACTTCGAAATGCGACTTTCAAAGACGCAGTAAAGTATGAGCTCGCTTCAATCCATGATCGATGAATACGCTAAGCTGTGGGGAAGGCGTCATAAATGGTCTCCATGTATTGCCATTCTCAGGAAATCAAACATTGTAATGCTTTCACAGAGTGAAAATAGACAGCGGTTTTAACATATTTCTCCACAACAGATGTGCAAGCGAACTTGGTCACTTCTATGAAACTGATGATAATTCTATATGATACGAACTATTTGTTTTTCAATCTTCAATACCTCACAGCAAGCAACTCTTCTCTCTCTGTGATTTCGTAACGGCAATTGAATGTATGCCTACGTTATCCCAAAATCAATCAACGACTTGCATTTCCGTAATATGCCGAGGTATAAGCACTACATGTCTCCAGTAACTCGGTTCGGCAAAGGGGTACTGCCATATGTTCCGAAGCACTCGAGTGAATTGAATGGTATCGCTTCTGGTTGTAATCAACCTCAATAATCCTTTGCTGATGACACCAGCATTTACAACATAAGCTACCAAGTGGGTGATCATCAAGGGCAGTTGTCCCCTCCACCATTCGAGAAAAAGACGTTGTCTGTGTTCGTACATAAATTGGAAATTTTGTTGTTGCCTGTCACTTCTTTAGGCTCACCTGAACGGCAGCATGAATTTAACGCTTCAGATGATATCATTTCTTTTGGCTGCGAAACCGATGGAGCGAATTCATCAACAAGTTCTTCATTAGATGAAGTCATAATCATACCGCTGTTTAAAAGTCTGTAACGTGCTAATATATGCCTTTCATGCCGAACGATAAGGATGCTATGTTTGCATAATTTTTCCAAGTGAATATTCGCTGTATTCAAAAGCCTGAAAAACATTCTTTGATTTTGGATCTTTGTCTTTTGAGCTTAAGCTTTTTTCAGCAGTTACTATGAAAACAAAACGAGCGTATGTTATCGCGCTAAAGCGATACCTTTCACAAAGCAGGAAACCATACACGGTTTTCCGACCTCCCCACCCCCGTCCTCCTCCCCGGCCAATCCGTTGGCGGCCGAAACCGATGGCAGTGGACATCCCACCACTCGATGATCTTATGGACATCGATGAGCCTTTTGAGCTTGAGGCGGTGGGATGTTCACTTGGCCCAAGTGAAAAAAGTTGCCTCCTGGAGGAAATGGAGATTTGCCCGCCTTCCCCCGCTTGCTCTTCTCGAGTTCTGCGGCTTGAGGAAGCCTCTGTGGACCGGTGTGTCCTTCCCGTTGGGATGGATGTCTACCCACCTTCCCCAGCTCGCTCTTCTTGTTTTCTGCCTTTGGCGGAAGCCGATACCCCTTCTGCTCCTTTTGTTCGGCCCTCTGCCGTATTGGTAGCCCCTCCCGCTCCTTCCGCCTCTCTTTCTGCCACTTTGGCAACCCCTTCCGTTCCTTCCGCCACTGGCTCTGCCACTTTGGCAACCACCCCTTCCGCTCCTTTCGTCTCGGTGGCAACAGCAGCCGCTATGGCTGCTGTTTATCAGTACCGACGTCCCGCGAGTCCACCATCGCGGGACGAAACTCCTCCCAAGGCATCGCGCGATGGGACCCCACTGGGTAATGAGAATCAGCTCAGCCCAGTGAACGTTCCTGTCGCGCCTCTGGAAGATGTTGAAGACGTAAGTAGCTTTTCATAGTGTAAGCAAAGGGACGGGAGAATATATTTTTGTTAACGTGCTCTTCTATCATTAGATCGACCGGATGGTCCAGGGTTCTGGCTGGTTCCAGGACTTGGACGATGTCTGCTCTCAGCTGACTGCAGCATTCGCTGAGAGGGAGGAGGAGAACCTCCAGCCGTCGCTAGAACAAATCGGCGAAGAAGAATTTGATCGCTTCTTGGCCGTAAGTAATCTACCTACCATTTTAACAACGCATACACTGTCTGAATTCCAATTAACTTTGCCCTCAACCAATTGTAGGATTTTTATAGCGACGGTGTGGAGGTTGAAGCCGGTGGGATCAATGATCCTACCGGCTAAGCGGGGGCGCTGTAAGTAATAGCAACCTTTCACACCATTTGATCCTGCAAATTTGACTCACCATTGTATATCTACTCTCTAATATTAGGGTCGCTCCCGCGAAGCTCTTAGTAGCTTGTTGCTTGGCCCCAACAAGACAGCGTTGTAAAGTAGGTGAAACTTAGCGTGGTTGATATAACAAATGGTCACCTACTAACCACTCTTTTTTCTCATATCGCCAGAAAAAAAAAATATATAATTATAAAGTGAGTATTTCGACTTCAAGCTCTGTGCATATAATGCTTTTCTATTACAACAAGAGACTAACCGAACCTTCTTCATCATGCAGAAGAAAAAAAAAGTATAAAATTATAAAAGTGAGTACTTCAACTTCAAGCTCTGTGCATGTAATGCTTCTCTATTACAACAAGAGACTAACCGAATCTTCTTCATCATCCAGAAGAAAAAAAAGTATAAAATCATAAAAAACGAAAAAACAGTACAGTACAATCAGTGATAAAACCTTGGTGACAAAAAACAAGAAAGTAAGCTCATACTCACTTCTCCTATAACGTTGTTCAATCTCTGATTTGGTTTAATAACATCCATCAATTACTGTAGATTCAGAAAATATTAAAAAAAAAAAAAAATCAGTGTCTCCTTTCTGTTTCTGTACTCTGGGCTTCAGTTCTGCCCCAAAAAACGCTGTCTTGTTGGGTTTCAACATTTATCCTTCGGGATAAGAGGTATGTACAAGTTTATATCGCAATTGAGAAGTGGTTTTGGTGATACTGATACCTACGCTAACCGCTCTGAATTTCACAGCTCTTTGTCGGCGCTTTGCCGACTTTGCTCCTGGGGCCAATGTGGCCCCACATTCTGGTCTCTCTGGAAGGATCGCAATGGTTGTGCAATGCCACGCTGGTAAAGTGTCATCCTTTTATAGCTATGCACTTTCCACCTTACCTTTAGGAACCATACTTACCGTTTTTGACTGTTTTCAGAGAAAGCGTTGTCGATCGGCCGGACTCGACTGATCCTGACTGCTTGCGACCCCGAGTACTGTCTGGCTCTGGCTTCACTGGATTGCTGGTCCTTGCTGCTCCTATGTCCTTCGGATTGCTAGGCTGAGTAGCGTAGCCTCCTTTCGAACGTAGTGTGTCTACACTTGATTTCCTCGGATTCCCTGGACCTTAAGGCTCTTCCTCGCTCTCGGTTGCCCTTTCCTTGGTGGCAGTTGTCAAGTCTACTCAACTGCCACCCAACCTATTTGGCATGCACGGTAAGTTAATTAACAATGATATCGGCTAAATTACTTCGTATCACTGACCATAATCTTTCTTTTTGTCGGCACGCCTACCGCTCAAACTCAAGCGCTGATGATCCTAACAACTTAGTTGAAGCACTTGAGATACAGTTGCGTGCCGGCACTATATTTCTGGTATTTTCGAAAGAAGTACCTCTTGGGAAAGGGCATCCCAGACTTGGTCGTTGTCCAAAAGTCAAGAACTCCAGTCTTCCACAAGGCCAAGTTAGCTCGCTTCGTTCTTCGGGAAGTGTTTGCTCGTTAGACCTAAAGCAACCTTGGGGTTCAGTAGTGGTAAGTGATTGGTGAGAAGGTGATGTCGGATGTCCAGCAGGAAACGGTTAGCTCGTGGAAAGGCGACGTCTTGGAAAGCCTTTCGCTTCGCTTTCTCTTCGTGTGCGGCGGACTTCCATTGCAGTGGCAGTTCCTTCCAGAGGGGCCATAGACCTCATGTCCTGCATCGGAACATGAGGTGTCTTCAAGGATCTTTTGAAGACCCCGGGGCTCTTTCATCTTTAGAGAGAGATCTTGGAAAGCTGCGTAACAAGATCATGAATGCAGCAAGCAAGTTCAGAAGAAGCAAAAAGGTATATATTAATCAGTCACATTTTCTCCTTTTCGACTTCCTTTATCAACCACAAACTGATGGTTATTTCCTTCAGCTTTCTTTCTCTCTTCTTCTTTATAGGAAAGCTTCCAGTTCATGCAAGCTTCCAATTCATGCAAACAACCATCTTATGCATCCTCATGTAAGATATTCTATTACAACGTCATCACGTCATTATTCCTATTAGATCTAATTTTTTTTAACCGTAGTCTCAACATCACCAGAGTCTGACGGCCATGCAAACTCGATACTGATACCATCACCATTTAATGAACACGGTATCTTCGACAATTTAAATCAAGCCTCCTCTCAACATTAATGAACAAAACATCATCATATTCGAAGATATCACTTCAAAGCGTAGCGACTGGTAAGTATATCGTTCTATATAGAAGGATGGACAAAGAAAAGTTCTAACTTTAGAAGATTTTGCAGAGCGAACATTGGAAGCACTATTGTGATAAAGCAAGACCAAAAAACATTCCATGCAAATCTCTAAATCGGAACGCCATACTCTACCATCAAGCCTTCAAGCTTAACAACATAGTGCTCGTTCAATAAGCAAGTCCAACATCATTCAATGCAAATCTCAAAATCGGAACATCATACTCTACAATCAAGCTTTCAAACTTAACAACATCACTGCTCGTACAATTAGCAAGTTCAAACATCATTCAATGCAAATCTCAAAATCGGAACACCGTACTCTACAATCACGCCTTCAAACTTAACAACATAGTGTTCGTACAATTAGCAAGATCAAACATCATTCCATACAAATCGCAAAATCGGAACACCATACTCTACAATCAGCATACAAACTCAACAACATAGTACTCGTAAAATTAGCTAGATCAAACATCATTCAGTGCAAATCTTAGAATCGAAACACCATACTCTACCACACGCCTTCAAAATTAGCAACATAGTGCTCGTACAATTAGCTAGATCAAACATCATTCAACGAAAGCCTCAGAATCGGAACACCATACTCCAGAATCAAGCCTTCAAACTTAACATCATAGTGCTCGTTCAATAAGCAAGTCCAAACACCATTCAATGCAAATCTTAAAATCTCAATACCATACTCTATAATCAAGCCTTCAAACTTAACAACATCAGTGCTCGTACAATTAGCAAGTCCAAACATCATTCAATGCAAATCCCAAATTGCAACACCATATTCTACAATCACGTCTTCAAACTTAACAACACAGTGCTCGTATAATAAGCAAAATCAAACATCATTCAATGCAAATCGTGAAATTGTAGCACCATACTCTACAATAACATCTTCAAAGTTAACAATATCAGTGCACACACAGCTGACTACCTCCTATTCCTTGGTGAGTACCTATTCCCAGTGACAACGATTGGTAAAGTGGAAGATTCTAATATGATTTTGTTTTGTAAAGCAAATACAAGAAGTGCGATATAATCAGCATCATATATCATCTCTTTGATACACGCACAGTAAAGCACCAAAAGGCTATCCCAATGAACGATCACAATACTCATATGCAGCTTGTAAAGGCGACGGTGTCTTCGTAGTTTAGTAAATGAATAACTTAGTAATAAATAAAGCTTAGAAAGCTTAAAATTATTCAACTTATCTCTTGGGTCTGGAAGTGGAGAGGGCAGTTTTTGTAAGTGCGTTAACCATTTCCTCTAACGAGTAAGGCAATGTGATGAGCATCATAATCATTCACAATGTAGTACCCGTTCCACAGTCGGTGCGTTTACAGTTGGACATTACATTTCATCTGGCTACTGTGTTGTTGTATCAATGAAGCTAGGCTTTCGTAAATTAAATCCGCCATTACAAAGAAAGCTATTCTATGACAAGCTTGACGTTAGAGTCAGTTAAAATACTATATATAATTTATTCAATGGTATCGAGCCGACATAGAATGTCATGTCAACAAGGAATAAGAGATATCACTTCCCTATCCAGTAGCGCTAGCTTGTAAAATAATCACTCAATCAATGCGTTTGAGGGTTGACTCTAGATGCTGGGTTAAGTCTGTCGCTTCTGTAGCCATTCCCATGGTTGAATGCAACGTGCTTTCTTCTACATTGACCTGAAATCGCCGGACAAATTGGGTCACATACGGCGCCTATACAGTGGATAATAAGATGTTAAATTGTGGAATTACACGGACGTAAAGTGAATAGGTAAAGGTACCTTTGCAGATGACGTGCGGGCCAAAGAGATAGTTTCAACTTGAATGACTGTGCCATCAATGGTACCTTCTTCGACGCTGACAACGCCTATCATATCCATTCAGTAAAATAAACCAGTAACGATACAAAATAGTGACAAGATTCGTACCGGTAGGTTGTGAAATAACCATTTCGACCTTTTTAGGGTTGGGCACACGTACATAGCCTGTTTCAACATGCAAAGGCTTCTTCACCTCATCAAGCGTCCAACTTCTTTGCCTGTGGACACCGTTACCACGACGATTTCCATGAACGACGAAAATGTTTAGAACTTACGAATAAATCAGGAACCCTTTCGGCGATGGAGTGAACGATATCTCTTCCTCGTATTCAAAAGGGCTGATAGTGGGGTAGACACCTTGAATCCAGGAGTCAGCATGGTGAATGTAACATTGACGGCAGCTGGCAATTATGTACTGTCAGTTAAAACCAACCTTTTCCCGTTCCCTTCCAAGTTCCAAACAGAAAGTTGAGTGGATGACTTTGCTCTGCCATTTATATGATCTTGCTATGGATTGTGAAAACGGAGTTGACCTGCCTTCGGGCAAGCCGTTTCCGGTCACAAAACTAAGAGCAAATTTTGGGACCCTGTAAGCCCTTCCTATTGCTTCTCTTCCCATTGTGAACCCTGTTTTTTCCACTGTTTCACTTGCCCGTATATGAATAAACAACCAATATAATGCTGGATTACTGCCAGAATAAAGTTTGAGCTACGAAATTTGATGTTCATGCAATTGTTATCTCATCACTGTGCAGAATATGTGGTCGAGTCAAGTTCGCCACTATAGGTCGTAGGTGATAATAATAGCAAGTCATTGTAGTCAAAGACAGACGTAATTAACCCGAAGGAAAATGAAAAATTAGTGGTAAGTGACCAACCAGCCAGGTACTACAAGTCTTACCGCGGGCAATTTATGCTGCAATTTACAGAAACGTGACTTTTCCAGGATATTAAAAGTTTAACATTAGGCGTAACTTTATCCTTAACGGCAATTCACCGAAACTTTTATGATAGTTGTGCCTTGTTGTGAGCGACGGCGATGAAACAAGGCACACTTGAAAACTATTTTTCCTGGCTCGCCGCGGTGGTTCCTGGCAAGTTTAACAATAATGAACCTTTCGTGAGACACTGAAGAAAAGGTATTTAAACACATGGACATTTGTTGGAAGTCATAGTCATTCACTCTCACTCATTCATTACATCTAAATATGCGCATCGCCACAGTCCTCTCACTATTTGCAACTGCTGCTCTGGTTGCTGCTCAAAATGCTATTGGAGCAACCGCGACCGAGCCAATCTTTATCACCAGCCCAGTGGCGGCCACAGATAACCTTCATGCCGGAAAGGTAATATAAACTTTTATAAGTTAGGAGTATGCTACCATAAGTCAACATTGATGTTTATACAAACCTTTAGCACCTGGTTATCGAATGGAACTCCCATCCAAGCGCCCCGGAGATGGTTGACATTGAATTGCTCCAAAACTTTGTCGTGAAAGAAAACATTGGCAAAGTCAAGTCTGACTCTCATCGGTTTAATTGGGCTATCCCTGATAACTTGAACTCTTCCAAGAATTATGCCATTCGTATTGGTAACTCCACATGTGAGTTATAAAAAAAATCTTCAAAAGGTTATATGGTAACAAAACTAACTGTTTTCTTGACTGGCCGATACAGACACATCTTACTCTCACCCATTCTCAATCAAGGGTGAAGGTGCCTTCCCTGAAAATGAACCTACAGCTCCCCCTAATAGTGTCATCGCTACAGCTGTTATAAATACCGCTGCAAGCACAGCTAGTGGAAGTGTCCTCGAAATGGCCTCTTCTGCTAAACCCATGTCCTCCATTTCTTCAACTGCCTCTGCCTCCTCCACCTCTGCCGCCGCTACTGCCACTGCTTCACAGTCCGGCGGTTCTTCAAGCAAACTAGCTGGTGCCAGTTTAGTTGGTGCCGCTGCTGCAGGCGCTGCTGTTGTTGCCTTTATATTGTAATATATTTGATATTTTTCATACGCCATATGCCTTTTATGCTTGTCTCATATATTATTAAACCGAATTAGAACGTCACAGTTTCCAACGACAGCATATTATTATAGATATACTTGAATAAAGTGGAAGTAAAGAACAAAAACAATGATTGTAGCTCTCTTCTAACTATGGTGCTTTCTTTGTAATAGCACATCATGTCAGATTGACGTGGACGGCTGACGGTTGCACACTTGTCCATTCACAGCCAAAAAATAGCCCCTCAACTTAAAAGTCAGTCACAACGGGGCCCAAAAATTACCAGCGTAGCCGGGCACCGTGCAATTCAATCTCTGCCAGAACCAGTTCACAAAATGTGGTTGACCGATACGCAGAGTATGTCTCTCATCTTGGCAAAAAAAGGCACCACCACCGCGCCGTATTAACGTCTTTTTGACTTTCTCTTCATTTAGAAATTGGTGCTGGTCTCACGGCATTCGGCACCTTCTTCATGCTCCTTGGCATCATGATGTTGTTCGATGCTGGCCTTATTGCTATCGGAAACGTAAGAAATAATGACAAATATGAATGAATAGGCAGTTCCGGCATGAATGGTTGCTAATCAATCCATATTTTGTGAACAGATCTTATTCTTATCGGGAATCACAGCCATTATCGGACCACGTTCCACGCTGTTGTTTTTCATGCGACGTGAGAAAATCCGTGGTACTATATGTTTCCTTGGAGGAATATTGCTTGTCTTTTTCAAATGGCCCTTTGTTGGAATTGCTGTGGAGATTTTTGGTTTCCTCAATCTCTTTGGGTACGTGTATCGATAGTTGAAATCAATCATGTGAATGTCCAGCTCCTGATAATCGTTCATTTGGAATCCCCTCCCTCAGCGACTTCTTCCCTGTTATATTTGGCTTTTTGAAGAGAATGCCCATCATTGGCACCATACTGTCTCATCCCGCTATATCGAGGGTAAGTACGGCTTTGTAAGTGAGGCAGACGATGCAGCCATGGGAGGAGGTTCTAACATGTTGGAACTGCAGGTTTTGCCTAGAGAGTCTCGCACTCGTGTGTAAAGGATACGCTGTGAACAGGTTCTCATACCGAAACATTTGTAAAATCTCCATCCACCCTGCTTCGATTATGTTTACTTTCTATGTTGGGTTACAAAAAGTTACGACGTCCATTTTCATGCAGAAACTTCAAGAAAGGAAAGTGTGAAGTGGGCGGCGACGCGCCGACGTTTAGATATAATAAAAAAACAAAAGAACGAATGAATCAACAGCACTTTACGATTTAATATACGTTAGCACCCTGCGTAAGTGTGCGTTTATAGTGATTGGGGAAAGGTTAAACAAGCTCAGACAAGCAAAAAGCGGATAATGGAAAAAATGAAATTAATGCATCGCTGACGTTCAAAATTAGTGAGTGGTCGAAGTTGTTCCCAATTTGTACCTGAATATCGTTCGCTTCGTAATCTCACTGCCATATTCGTACAAATGGATCCTTTAGCTAAGAAAAACCATTGTCATGAAGAGTATTGCCCTGAAGTGAATCGTCTCGATCAAAAGCAGACAGTATAGTGTTGGGTAGGATCACAATGCTGTAGGACAAGGGCGGCAAGGATAGCGGTTATCATGTCGATCTGTCTCCAGAGAACTATTTGTCAACAAAGCTAAAGAAGGCGATAGTCTAAAGCACCTCGTGAACTGAACAGCACGCGTTCTCTAAAAGCAAGTGAAGGGCCACCTTAGAAAAAAAAAAAAAAAGTTAGGCGTTGCACAGATTCAATTTGCCTTTTCAACCTCCCTTTCACCCCTTTTATAACAATAAGAAACCTTCAGCAAAAGGTCTCCCTTAAGCAATTCGACTCTGCTTTATGACGAATGCTGAAAACGGCGGGTACTATCGCTGTCACTCGTCCACCAATGTGGTTTCCATTACCACATGGCGCCAATGACCTACTTGTCATTGAAGACCATCTACTGTTGAAGTGGGTGAATCAGCAAGTTGGACCATCATACGCCTCAGATTCAACTGAATTACGGACAGTACTCTCTCAGGAATCCGTTTTGCCACAATTACTGTCACAAGTCATCCCACCAGAACACCATCATTCAACCTTCACGGCATACGAGCAAGCTAGAGCATGGCTCAAGGACGATATGCCAACCCTAGATGATACCATAGATGATGCCAGCTCTGAGGAGGTTTCCAAATTTGTGCTTGCGCTTTATTTGAAGCACTTGTCTGTTAGCGTCGAACGCGCTCTTGCACAATCTAATGTTTGGCTTTCGATGGACCAATCGGTAAAGTGTTTGTTTTGACTCATCCAACCCACCCACCAGGACAGTATGCATTAAACAGTCCTGCAAACCTTAGGTACTCAGTGATATCTCGTTTCTGAAATTGCGACAATTGCTCAGCTCATGGTACCAAGTTATCGCGCTGGAGTACCTTCCAGTATTTCCATGGGTAGCGGATGATGATCATTTTTTAACTTCATGGAAAACCGGAGCTGCGGTGTTGTTGATACTGCACTATTCTAATCCAGATTGTGTAGATCTGCATCGTGTGAAAGACGCTTACGTCGCAGAAGGTTTGGCCGAAACCACCAACCATGTCAATTTTGCATTGGATACCGCCTTTAGCGAATTTGGCGTAGAGAAGCTTCTCTCTGCACAAGATATAATAGGAACAAAATCATCAGATGAACTTCCGTGCATTATATACCTTTGCAACTTTTGCATTGCAACCATACCACATGCCGATGATTTCCGAGAGACAAGACAAAAGCGAATATATGACGAACGTCGTCAATCTCGACCGCCATTCTCAGGTGATACGGATGATTTGCGCCGACTCACCGACATGACAATTGAATTGGATCTGGATGGAAACAAAGCCACTTCCGCTTGCGAACAAAAGATGACCATGGATGAACTGGAGGATACCGTGTTCAATATAAAACATATGGTATCCATGTTGAGGGTCAAGCTCGATGATTGTGTACCACGGCGATCCATTGCATTTCGACGAGATGATGTTTCTTTGAATCTATCGAAGGATCGATCTGCAACTCCTTCCACCTTTTCTGAAGCAAGTTTGGCCAGTGCTTCGGTGGAAGACGATGATGTTGCCTCGCTACATTCTGCTCGCACCGTACACCCTTTGCAAGCTGTTGACGATGACAACCTTAGTTACGAAATGACGTTGGAGAACACCATTGAAGCCGCTCAACGATATAGGAGTCACGATATGCAGCATTTTTATTCGGCCGCTCAAGAATTGCAACGCGAGTTCCCTGAATACGAGAAGCGGATTCAAGTTATGTCGGAGAGTATCAAGGAACTGGAGCAATCGTTAGCTCACGATATGATTGAAGCTAAGAACGCATTCCAATTATTCGAAAGAGGTTATCGATTCTCCAAGCAAGCTAGGTCTGTGCGATCTGAACTCGATTTTATCCAAGCCAAAATGGTCAAAACCACTACTACCAACACTGGCATCACCGAGTTAGAGGATCGAGGAAAACATGCTTTCGAAGCTATTACCAACTTGCAAACTGGTTACGGTGACCTCTTGGCTTCAGAGTTTCCAGATCAATCTTATCGAAATAATTTGGACGCCATTGTACAGAAATATGAACTCGTGCAGGCATGGGTTGAGGAAGTCCGAATTTGGTTCGCAGAAGCTGAACGCATTAGGGTATGGATCGAGTCTCGTATTGCTATACTGGAAGAGAAGAAGATCACCGACCCATTACAAGAAGATGTACAACTGACGCAAACTGAAGTGGAGACTTTGAACTGCGAGCACGAAGCACTAGAGCAGGATATAGAGCTCTTCAATAAGGAAGACATGACTCGACTTAGGGCACATGTGAAAGCATTGACTGGATCTGACCGTGGCGATAAAGATCTTAGTCCAGCTGATACCACTACGATTGAAATTACACTTACTACCCTTATGACATTGGATCGATTGATGCACTTACTACGACAGAAGACTTACACCTTACAAATTCTTACGTTGCGCGTTCTATGGGAAGATGAATTTGCGATAGCCACCACGTGGGTCAACGATGGGGATGAAGAGATCACTTGTTTCTTGCGAGGTGAAGCACGATGGAGACGACATGTTGACTTCTTGGAAGATGGATCATCGGAGCACACGTTACGAAAGTCTCAAATGGATTTGCGAACCGCTGTTATCAATCAACTGTTAGCTCTTGAACATGGCATTGCAGACTTCGACCAAGGCCAGTTTACCGCGACTCTCAACATTTTTCAAGATTTGGAAGACGCACATGGCGCTGACTTACCTCCACACCTCGAAGCTCGGCAAACAGGACTCGAATCTGCCTTTGAAGTGCTGACTGGACGAGTATCTTTTTCAAGAAAAGTAGTCGAACAGCGACTCACCATGATGGAATATGTGCAGCAACTTACCTTTGTTAAGAACGAAGGTACAAAATTGTTACAAGATGTCGATCATTTGTGTGCGCATGCTGCGCCAAATATGGATGTTACAGAAATCAACCAGAGGTTTGAAGTGTTCCAGAGTAATTTGGCTCACCTCGCTGGCCCTGTTACCACCCGTATTACTTATCCACACCACAATACTGCCATTGATGAAGTTGACAATGCCGATTCCAATCTTACCATTCAAGAATTTTTGGAGTCCAGTAATTCAGATCTCGACAGCATGGCTGTATCGATCCTCGCTAAGCTCAACCAACTTCGAAAGCTGATTGAGGAAAACAATGAAGCCAATGACATTTTACTCAATCTCGATGCATTAAAAAAGAATGTATGTGGGCTCATGGAGGACGCGGAGAGGAGTGCTGTCGACATCAGTGCTATGAGTGTTAAGCACACGGAAGCAGATGTGATTCGATTGAAAATTACATACAAGGAAGCTCTGGTACATTCCAAATCCATCAAGGATACTGACTACGAAGCCTTACAATTGCGTCTTCATACCTTGTCGAATGTGGCTGACAAAGATGTATGCTCCATTGACTTTCCACAATTATTCAACAAGCTATCTCATTTGGAATCCAAGCTGGATGACTACACAGCATTCCTCACTCGGCAATCTCTTCTCCTTGGTGCCTTTGAACATCGCCTGAAATGGGAATTCTTCTATGGTCAAACATGCGATCAAATAATTGATACAAATGCTAGATTATATGATGAAACAAAGATAATGCGCTGGCGACCTGTGGAAATGCTTGCATTGATGGCGGAACTAACCAAAAGCCCCAACAGCGCTTCAACAACTGGACTACAGGACTCTCATGAAGACCTGGAGATGACTTTGGGTGATCTAAAGGAAAACTCATTGACCATGACAACTGGATTGTTCTCTACGTTCCTGGCCTCGTACTCGCAAGTCCACAAGGAGATAAACTCTCAAGAAAACCGAGCATTTGTAGATCACATTCAACATCTACACGACAAAATGCATCTCATGTTTGACGAGCTAAAGACTATCTACGAATTCAACGGTGACTTGCTCAACCAACGTGGGATAATATGTGATCTGCTGGACGATGTTGCAAGACTTGAAAACGATGGTAAAACTTGGCTTGAGCAAATGCAGCAAATGACAGCCAGCTCATCACAGCAGAAGATCAAGGTTGACTTCACAGTTCAGATAGACCAATTTGTTAAAGGCATCAGTGCACTCTTTCCCTCACGTATTACCGAAATTCCCTTGCTTCGGCAACCCAGTGTACAGCATCTACCTTGCCTTTCAAATGAAGACGATGATGCTCTTGACCAGGCCGTTCGACTTTTGTTAGTTCGACGTGAAAAAGATCTCCTGATGATGGCTGAAGACCTAAAGAATTCGCAAGAGAGATATAGAATGACACTAGACTTTAAGGCCAAGGTGTTGGAATATGAACAATGCGCTGCTGATTTGTGCACGTGGATGCTGCAACAAAGCCAAGATTTGGTAAATCAAAAGCTGCAGCTAAAATCCGTCGCTGCTCCATTGGATCAAGCCAAGCTGGATTCTGTCATTCAGGCTCAAAGCCAACGAAGCCGCGAGATTAATGATATTGCTCGGCAGAAGCTAGATGATCTAGGTTCGAATATCACGGTACTGGACGACGCCCTAGTGAAAAAAGGGGCTTCAGACGTTGATATTTCACCGGCAACCAGTGCTTATGATCTAGCAGTAGCAGATATGGCCATCTTGATTCACGTTATGGAAGGCCATGGGCGAGACATTGATGCTCGCAAGCAACATTTACTTTTGCACCAACTGTTGTTAGACAGCCAACAACAGGCTGCGGCATACTCGGCGCAAATCAATCAACTATCTGACGAGCTGGACCACCTGATAGACAATGAATTGACCAGCGATATCCAACAGTCTGAAGTCATGGATATAATGTCGCGATGCAGTAATGTTGATGATGAATTGATGGAGTTTGACGCTCGTATTGGAACGGAAATTCGAGTAGCTCAAGCCGATTTGGAACGGCTTTGTTCACAGTTACTGGAACCTGAAGGTCCCCCTATGGATCTCACCCGACGAATTTCGGAATTCGATGATGGCTATATCAAACTTCGTGAAAGCACTGGTCTTCTTCGTGCCCGAATCGATCGCCTGAACGAATGTCTGAATTGTCTCAATGCAGTAGCCGATAATGTACGTTGGTACCAAACGCAGGAGGACGAGATTCGAAGGTTTGTCGATACCAAGGCCCGATGGAATGTAGATATTGATCCAGCTGAGGTTGATATCCAAAAGCTCGGTGAAGAAATTGACAATCTTAAAATCAACCTTGAAATCTGCGAGAGTCAAAACATCGAACCCTGTGTAGCAACGTTGCGAGAAATCAAAGGATCATTCAGTGATTTGAACTCGGTCAACATGATCAAACGATTAGATTCTGCACAGGATGCATTAGAAATTGGCCTTCAGAGAGTGCATGACCATACCTCATTTGCACACACCATCATAGCGCAAAATAGATCAGCGTCCTGGTACCTTGTTAAGATTGCCGGTATGCAACAACAAGCAGAAGCAATCAAAAAGGACCTACTCTGCCATTCCACAGACAGTGCTAGCCGCCTGGACGAAATGAGTGTCTTAGAGGCTCAAATGCTGGCCACTCAGCAAGAATCCAACATGCGCATCAGCTATCCCGTTCGATCATTCAATGGGTATACAGAACAAGATGCTCAATCAGATAATGCTGTCAACAGTGTCTTGCAAGACACGGTTAAGGCTAAGAACGTTCAATTGCAGCAGACACTAGCCACCATCAAATCCATTGTACAAGCGAACGAAATAATGTCCCAGCGGATGGAAGCAGTTCAACACTACAACGATCAAGCTAATACCTTCTTGAACTGGCTACAGTCTAAATGCAATGCCTTGTACCAAATTTACCGAGAACCCTGCGATGTTTCCAAGTTGACCTTGGAGGACAAGATGATCTGTCTTGCACAGATACAGGCTCTTGATTCAGCATTTAAAGCCCACCAGCCGACTTACCATGATCTCAAAACGACAGTTGTGGAAACCATTGTATATCTATCATCACACGATCCTGGTGAAACTTCATCCGTGAATAGCATAGAGCTCATCAAGTCGGTTAAAGATAGCCAATCTCACATTGATGGAAAGTTCGACGAATTCTCGACTGCTTGTGGCAAGGCCATCGTGGTGTTAGAAGCTGATATAGAAGTACATCAACTTGAAAAATCACTGTCGTCATTAGTGAATACATGCGACAATCTGAGGACGGAAATGAACAATGCCAACGGAGATGATGTCAATGACCAAACTATCTCGGAATGGGCTGAAAAAATGGAGACGTTTGGTTTGCAGCCAATCGCCATGTTACGAGAGCAATATGCACATATAAAGGCACAGCGTGAGGGACTATCATTGCCACCTGCGGACCAGAATCAAGTGCTCCTTGATCGAGCTGAACAACTGGCAGAGCAGATGAAGCACAATCTTCAACAACATGCCCAACATCTGAAAACAAGAGACATTCTTGATTTGTACCTGAACGATGGATCTGACATCCTAAAGGATCTACATGAAAAAACTTCAACACTATTCAAGTTTAACGCCACCTCTGGATATCTGACCAAAAATTCCAAAGTGGATGCTGAGCAACAGCAAACCATTCTGACCATGATCAAGCATATGGAGGCCGAAGTAGGCATGCTGGAGGACAAGTACCAACGTTACTGTGAACAAGTTCCATCAGAACTTGCGTCTCATGATCAGGTGGCGATTCAAAAATCAGACATTGAAAGCGCTATCCAAAATCTTCAAACCGATTTGTTAAAAACAACTAATATCTCAACACGCTATGCAGCAGCACTCTCTCATCAGGAGGTCTTCCTCAAAATCAAGTCTGAAATGCTTCCTCAAATTGATACACTGCTTCAAACCTTGTCCGCCGATGATACATCCAGTGCAGAGGAACTCACACAAACGATGGATGCTATGAAAGTCATGCTCCAACGTCTGGAAAACGAGCAACGCCATGATAGTGAAGATCAATTTGAGGATGTGAACCATGAATGTATGCAGACGCAGTATGCTGAAGTACAGTCTGCATTTGAACAAGCTTCCTCTAGTTTACTAGAGATCAGGGCAAAACGAGAACAGGCATCACCCTTGAAGGCTTTTTCAGCGGCATGTTCAACCTTACAAGATTTGTGCAAAGAGCAAGCCAACCTTGTGCTCATCACAATGGAATCCACCTCTAAATCTCAATTTTACGCCAAAGACTCTACGTTTATAGAACGGTTACTGCGACAAAGCATCAATGGCCACAACAGTGCTGAGACAGAGTACAAGAGGCTAGGGTCACAACTTGATTACCAGAAGGTGGAATTGGAGCGCATTGAAGGGGGTTCTGAACAAGCGATAGCATTGGATGAAGCTTGTCGAGCCTTGGATCGACTAAGGACGATGTTAGATCGTGAACAGCTTCAACTGGACTTTTTAAGAAAAGCATTTGCCTTCACCAAAGCATGCAACGAAATCAACGCATGGATGGAAGGCTGTAAACGGGCTCTGCATAATGTGAATACAGCCACTCTTGATGACCAACGCTCCCAATTGGATGACATGCATGCTAAAGTCAATTCATTCGAAGCAACGATTAAGGCATTTAACACCATGGTGCCAACTCTCATCAAAGACAAGAATGACCAAGTGATTGATTTCAACGCCATTTGTGTCAAGGACGACGATGTTTTAGCTGCTATTGACATGCGGTCAGGTCGAGTCCTCACTGAATGGGATGCGCTTAAAAAGCAATTTGTGTCTATACAATGCCATGCCGAAAGCAACCTACAAGCCATGACCATTGCCCGAAAAAGCAAAGAAATCTTTGACCTGGTTGATAAAATCAAACATCACCTCTCATCCCTCTCGGTTGTTCAATCACGAACCCCCGTTCCTGTCAATATGCAGGAGCTCCCGTTGTCTCAACTGATATCGGAGCGCGATGTGATTGTGGTAGAAGCTCAGATGACGAATTTGGAGAAGGAAGTAGAATATCATTTGAACAAAAAGATCAATGACTTGGATATGATTTTGGCGTCCTTTCCTCATTTACAAGATGATGGTGGTGAGTTTGTCCAACAACGAGCGGAGATTGCCAAGGTGGTGACAGAACTTGCCAACCACATGGAAGAAAAACATCAAGAGATTGGAGCAGCATTAAAACTTGCCGGATTTGTCAATGTGGTGGATGAATTGGAGGTTTTGTTAACAGCCGTGCAAGATGCCCTTACTCCCTGTACAAACCAGCCAAAGACGGGTCGTATGCCCAGTAAAGCCGATATTCAAGCATTGTTGATTGAATTGGACACACGTTTCAAATACTATGGACCACGCATTCGAGAAAAATTAGATGAAACGAAACACTTGGCGTCTGTGTTTGTCGATGATACAAGGATCGTACAAAAATACCATCAAGTAGAAAAGCAATGGAACCAACTCCATGTTCAAGTGGCTCAAGTCAAAGCTGAGTTGAATGGTAAAATCAGTGATATGCGTCAAGCGACGCCTACTCCAAGTACCCATTTGGATCGGCAACCACGACCTCATTCAGTGGCCGGCGTACGTACACGCAAGATCTCTGAACAAAAAGTAGGACGGGCTATGACGCCCACGCCTAGATCAAGTCATTCCAGTCTAACTTCACGTAAAATGGAACCCGTGTCGGCCACCCAAGTACCTCGTATGCGACGATCCACTCTCACGCCGGTACCGTCCAGAAGCAAAAGTGGAAAGGGCACATCTGTTCCTCCACGCTATATACCTGATCCGCGAAGTGACCTGGATGTTCAACTTGGTAAAGTGGTGAATGAGTCACCTTATAAAATTCGCATCAAGATGGTACCTGGCGAAGTGGGCAAATACTGGTTTGGCGAAGTTGAACCTCGGCTTGTTTATTGTCGAATCCTACGTAGCAACATGGTGATGGTTCGAGTTGGCGGTGGATGGACGGAACTTTCTCAATTTTTACGAGACCATGCTCTTCTGGAAGGACGGTTGATTCCTAATCGGCGTGAAGAAAAAAAGCAACCGGATGTACGTGATGCATACCTTCGTACCACGCGACCGAAAGAAAACGCCAGTATGTCTGAGGAAGTCCCGGGCCATGAATCATCCGATCCAGTGAAAATGTCCCGCTCAACGCCCAGTCGCGGAATAACGGGGGTTAAGGAGGGGAATCGATTTCTGATGACGGTCGATGGTGAAGGAAACCAACTGGAAATTTCCATGAAGAAAGCAACGGACCACGAACCAAGACTCGTCTCTACGCCACGCCGATCTCATCAGCAGTAGAATGAATGTTTGGAGGTACACGCGCAATTTCGGAGATATGTCCATGGCAAATGCTCTCTCGCGGGGACCGAAAATAAGTCACCATGAGAAGGTCCATGTGTCGATCTATGCGACCTTTGTTACACACACCCAACCCACAATTTCTTCTCAAAACTCTAACCTTGTACTTGGCCCTTTTAAAGAGGTGTAAATTTGTATAAAAAAAATTCTCCCCCTCCCAAAAAAATTCAAGTTCTTTTCGTCAATTCGCTTATTGTTTTTTCAGCATCCATCCCATACTTAATCTACTGTATAATAAATGCATTTTCCTAGTGGCCATGAACCATGACCGCGGGGGGAGGCTCGTCCGTGCGCGAGATTGGGGATCTTGGAACCCTCTTCCAGCTGAGGCTTTTCCGTGCAACCGTATTGGGTTGTTATTGCCGCAATAGGTCGAGTGTGTCACGTACGTTGGGTTCTTGTTTTAGTTTACTTTTTTATCAAGGCCCTCCATTCGCTGGGTGGCTGAACTCGCTGGTTCTTTTCGGTGGTTTGCCACAATGTTGCTTGCAGCGAACAGCAAAGCATTCGACACCATGGGGAACGCTGGCAAGCAGGTCTGTCATAGGCCGTGGCCAGCTAGGTTGACTAGTGAGAGAAAGGTCTCCGTGTGTCCCCCCAATCAAATCAAATATACCACGCGCTTTCCCAATCAGCACTTGACTTAGGGAGGGTTTTTACGAGATGTTATTATTGCTGGGCCTATTGCTATGGCTGCTGTGTCGTTGCTGGCTGGCTCTCTGTTTGCAGGTTTTTTTATTATTTTTTTCCTCTCTTTATTTTTATATTTTCGCTTTCTCTTTTTTTCCCCCTCTTACTTTTTCACTCTCTCTTTCTCTCATCTCCATCGAATGAATGGGTTACATAGAGAATGGCAGACGCCACCCGTCATGCCTGACCAACCACCGTATCCATTGATGGATTCAGGCTACAGTTTGCCCTCCCAGTATGTCAAATTTTCTGGCGCTTTTGCCGTCCTGACTGATTTATTTTCCACTAACAACCTGGATTTGTTTGTTCCTGACCATCTGACTTAACCTAAAAATCAGTCGTGATTTATCGCCTTCCGAGCGCCCAGATCTGGCATCATCATCATCGAGGTACGTAGTTCTCTTGAAGCCCGCCCACTGGTACAATGCACACACAATTTATTGAACTCCCCCATTTGGCCCAGCTCTCGTGTTCTATCTCAACCAGGAACGCCACAGCCGTCAGGAAAAGATCCCTATAGTCCTCCACCAAGACAAGCTCCATATCCCACTTGGATTTCCAACCCCAAGAAGAAGCGAGCCCTGTCATCTCAATCGCAACATACTGAACCTTCGCCCGTCGAAACGGAGCTTCCTCATAATGGCCCCATGTTCACCACCAAGGACAGGTACGGTAACCTGTTCGCACTTGATCAATCTACCGTGTAAGTTTACATGCTTGTTTTGAACCGATGAACAAAACGGGTTTATATATAGATCCCCGAGGTAAATAACATGTCATCCCTGAACTAAACTGTTCCCTTCCCCCCTTAAAGGTTTGATCCTCGCGTGGACGCCAAAATCGACCGAGGGTTTTTTCTAGCCGATGAGGATTGGACATGCTACAGAAGAAATTACTTTCAACTCAGTGCTACGTTTTCCATCGATGGCTTAGGTAGCTATAATGAGCATGAAATTCCCTGTTTGGTCGACTTCAACGGAAGATTGCATCGGGTCCAACAATTCATGCTCGGCATCAGCTCTCACATGTATAATAGTCGTGACAAGGTCATCGATTTGATACAGCATACGGCCAAACGCGATCGTGGTCCACGCAACACGCCACCGCTGGTTCCTATTACCGCTGGAGGCGATTTACGGCTAAGTTCAATCGGTACAACTCAAACCATCGCCACGTTTGAAAGAGTTCAATTCAAGACCGCCACCGCGAACAACGGACGAAGAAGAGCCGCCCAGCAATACCATATTCTCTGTGTAGAAGTCTATGCTCAGACCGAAGCGGGTCAGCAAATTAAAATATGTGTGGCCGAATCCGAAAGGCTTGTCGTGCGAGGTAGAAGCCCTGGTCATTACAATGATCACAACGTTAGGTATTCGACTCAATACAGTCGTAAGCAAGCCAGTGAGGCCGCACAAACCGACTATTCTTCGTCTTATCCCAAACCACCCATCCTGTCGCCTTCCGCTATGACACCCACTACGGATTATGGCCCTACGTCTTATTCTTCCTATGGTTATCATGCGTACAACGGTATAGGTGGCTCCCCCTACCAACAGCAAAATGGCCCATCTTATCATCCTGTGGTCGTGACGGAAGGTTCTCAACAACCGATGGGTATACCAAGCATTTCTGATCCGTCCTCCTCGGAATCGTCTTCTCCTGACCTCCACAATGCGGAATTTGCAGATAACCGAGCTGGACCTTACCATCATCCTTACGATACACAAGTGGTTCGCCCTCTCCCATCCAATGCACCCACGGGTGGCAACGCGCCCCCGCCTTACTATGGTGGTAGAGAAGGAGGGGATGACTCGCATCCAGATTGGCAACGAAATCGCGCTGCATCAGGTTCAAGTATCTCAACTGACCACTCTGCATACACTTATCCTGCCTATTCTTCCCCTCACCACTACTTACCTCGTAATGGACAGTTCGACCTGCGGGCAGGTCATCCCCACCAGCAACCACCACAAATGCAAGATTATCCATCCAGAGAACCTCCACCCATGCGATGGCATTCTTCGCACCATCATGACTATGTTCATGAATCTGATCATTATCAAGCCCAGTCGATGGCTCCACCGTACTCTTATGATGATCGTAAAGGAAAATCAGAACTTGCTTCTTCATCCGCTGATAGACATAAGGACGTCAATAATTATGACGACAAAAACGCTTCGGAACGTCAACAGCTACCATGATGGTTTCCGTGTGTTGTTTTTCTATATACTTCTTTCTCTGGCTTAAATTTGCTTAACCATACCTTCTTACATCTACTTTATAAGCGCAACTATGTCTCTCCTTGCATTCCTTTACCTTCCTTACTCCCCTTTTTTTTCATTTCACGATGACTTGTGAAACGGTTCTTTACATACCTCTACTCTTTTTTTTTTTTTTTTTTTTTGCGAATAACAATTCGTACTTACAGCTACTCTACGGCCAGCTGGGCATCAAAAACTGGTTCATATACATATTTTTTTAATCTTGCAACGCTGCTGCTGGTTTTTTCCTTTCATGTGTGAGGACCGATCGCGGAATACATTCATTTATTTTATTTTTCTGGGGAGGTTTTTGGTTTCCAGCCACCTTTGATTCCATAACCGAGCTGATTAGCATAACATCGTTGAAACGACGTCGCGTGGGAGCCAAGTTTGTACATGGACTGGCAGCGCTTTTCTGGGTTGATTAGTCTCTGCTGCGATGATCTCGGGTCAGATCCTCCGCAATACCCACCTTTGAACGAATGCGCCGAGCTCTTTCGACAACTTTTGAATGTGAGTGCAAGGATAGACTACGTTGAAGCGCAGGGTGCAACAGACTTACAACCATGGCTCGCTTTTCAATAGGCGCTAAGAGAATGCGCGTCCGTGGACGAATGCGCAAACCAATACCCGCAGGCAGGCACGCTGTTAACACGCGCGTCGGTATGTTCATGCCATATGGCTTGGAACCCCTCCTGACCGGTTACTCACTCTACTGCTATAGCTCAGTCCTGTCCTAAGTACAGATGAAACGAATAGTAAACTCATCCTTCAATGCTTGATGGAGTATACGAAAATATGGCAGGCGCGTCATGCCCCTCTAGGTCAACAGGATGCCTCTAAACGATGGTGCCTGACCCGTATGCGACGATTGATGTACGGCCCATCCCCTGCAGACTTGGATATTGACGGTCTGATCCACAAAGTTTATTCAGAAATCGTCACGTCCAGTCTCATTGTACGGGTATGCCACAGCCCCGTATGACCATCTTCTTTAGTCTGATATTGACCGCTCTCATCCCATTATAGCCCCGCCAACTCTACGATATATCTAATCTTAGCATACCGTTATTACCGGTGCCAAATTCCACAAAGTTGTTCCGAGAACTCATATCCACAGCCTTTGATGTAGCTCAACGCGACAAAGTCTCCAATGTGGAAGAGTATACGCTTTCGAGCCAATTCATCCAAGCTTTCTTGGAAGAGCGACCAGATCTATACAAGACATTCGCCCACATGTTTTCATTGTACGTAAGGCTCTTTCTTCGGTAATACGTATATACCACTCAATAACTTTGTCTTATAGCCAATGGTATCGCTGCGCTCAATTCGTGGAATACGAGCTAGTTGAGCTACTGATCACGGTGACTCATTTACCATGGACTCCTCGGGTCGACTTTGATGTAAAACAGCTACTTCATGATGGGACCAACCCGGATTTTATTACAACCATGTATGATCGGCCTGACGTTTATAGGCATGCTTTTCGTTTTATGGCCAGCATTGCTGTATGCAGCAAGGATTGGCGTGTGATGCAAATACTCCAAGGCTTCCACAGCCTCCTGTTCACTACAGTTGCCCCCGAGACGATGGATAAAGACGAGATGCAAATGGTATTCCCACCCTGTTCCAAACCATCTCAAATTGCCCTATACTTTCCCTCGGAGCTTCAGATTTTATTTGAACCACCATCCGTCACATTTGACGAATTGAATCAAAGGATAGAGCAATGTTTGTTCGCGTGTCGCGAAGCTTATCCAGATGTGAGAAACCAAATCTGGCTTATACTCATGATGTCTACTTCTCTGCTGCGAGCTACTACAGCTCAAATTATAAATGGGGAGGACGGTCAAGAGGTGAGTTTGTGCCCGCAGGTGTCTTCGGTGTTCACGTTTTGGTTTCCCGCGTGAGTGAGCCTTGGCTAAGCAAAGGATTTCTCATTGACAGAGCCTCTCAGCCATTCGCCTACTAAGCTGGTTATGCTGTCCTTCGGATGATGAAAGACTGGATCAAACAGAAAGTGGCATTTTGTCTTGGATAAAGGTGGTGAAAGGTGAGTTCTGTCATGGCAATTTATCATGGTCAACCTAGGCTAAACCCCCCGGCATGTAGATGGCAAGGCGGCGGACCTGAGGCAAATGGCAGAGTGCTTCGCAAATGCTAAAGAAAATGTATTTAATGGTAACCTTAATTGTTGGTATCACTGCCTCTTTTGGATCCTCTTACCTCACAAACTGGAAGATATCTACAACTGCATTTTGTGCATCGTTACTGGCGATCTGTATGTACAATATGTTAAGCAAACATTTAGGCACAAAATGCTTGCTTACTAACTAAACCCCACCCAGCCCACTCATCCAGCTCGCCATCTGGCATCTTGGCTCAGACCACTGTCCTCTCCCTGAATCCATCGCCTCGGTACTCATCGAACGCCTAATGCAGAGTAACCTTCCTTCGCTGTAAAATATTGAACTGAATAGAATAAACATGTCTATGGATGATGTTGGATTTCTCTTTTTTATAGTGTGTTCGTCTCTTTCGTAACGAAGAAAAAAAGATCAGCAGCCAAGGAAAAAAAAAAAAAAAAGGGCATGTAAGAATGACACGGACAGAGCTAACAGAAAAAAAAAACAAACTACAATAAATGGCGATCCAGGTCAATGGAAATGCGTGTGGTATAGTATAGTGTACAACGAAGTATATTTTTGTGGGGGCACAGAAGTAAGCAAGCCGAATGGTCGGCGTGGGGGGATATCAAAGAGTTTACAAGAATCCAGATTCCTGCAAGAGTCGAGCGATTTTTTCGTCTTCGCGCTCTCTGTAAAGTGGGTGATGCGAAGAAAAAAACCATGAGTATACGATGCATTTTGAATTCAAAATGGGAGGGAGCCTTCCCGCGGCTTCGTTCGGCACTTACTTTGGTTCAAGAGCAACACTCAGGCTGTAGAGAATCTCTTCGTCTCGACTATTTTCCAGGTGTGTTTTGATGAACAATTGAAGTTCACGAACAGGCTGCAACGAGTATGAAACAGACTGGTACTGCTGAATCTCTCGAATGACCTCGGCTGTTTTCATGCGTTTGGCAAAGTTGATAAGGTCTTGGGTTTTCTTCAGATAATTACTGTTGCCGTCCTCGATGAACGTCAGATCTTGAAGATAGATACCCAAAAATGGGATACAGGGTGGGTTGATGGAATGAATGATTTCACGGTACTCGATGAAATTCTTTTCGTGGCCCATCAATTTTCGAATTTGCACCAACGTCTGGTTGGTGCGAGCACCCACAATCTAAGCAAGACAGAGGTTAGTCAAAATGTTTCATGCCATACTATGCACAGCTGGCACCATTACTTACTTCCCACGTTCGCTTCAGTCTTCCAATAGCACTATTGTCAAATGCAGACAGAATAGCCATGCATGTATTAAAGTTACCTAGCATTCGGCAACGTTCTGCAACCTGGACCCAGTGCTTGAGAATGGCTGCTCGTTTCTTGGCTTCGTGCTGACTCAAGATGGAATCGGAAACCCATGCAGTTACTTGATTACAAAACAGAATCGATGCCTTGATGTTGCTTGCGGTTTTTCCAGTTTCATCGTCACGGGACCATGCCTTGTCCAAGCACTCGATGGGTCGGATGGCACTGTATAGTTTAAAGTCGATAACTGTAAGCTGTCGTGCCAACTCAACCGAATCAACATCCAGTAATCGAATGCGTTTCAAGTTACGAGGTAGAATGGGCATGGGCGCAATGGAATTATTATTGGAGATCATTTTCTTCATTTCCGATTGTTTATCTTTTTCAAGTCGCATGTTGATGAGGCGTTCAAGTTGCTCTGCAGAAAACGTCAAGGTGTCACGAATGACAGTAATGGTAAATTGTCGAAGACTTTCAAGAACACCGTAGTCTTCTTGATAATAGTAATTCTCGATCCAGGTCTTGAGAACGTTGAATACACGTAATCGAACCAGTTTTAGCTTTTTCTCCACCCAGATTTCCAACTCCTCCATAGTCAGTTCTTCTGGAGGGGCCAAGGTATATCGTTTCTGAAGATGCGATATCAGCTCTTCCGTAGTACAGAATGAACGATAGGTCAAGAGAAAAGTAGCAATGAAGTTCATGTCTAGAGGAAAAGTCCAATCAGAAAACCATGAAGTGGCAAGGTCCCTTAGACAGTTTTGTAAACTCACCGAGATAGTCATGTAATGTTAATCGCTCGATAAGAGCTTCCAATGTACCGCCACGTACACTGCCTTCCATACTGAACATAATGTCGTGTGGACGATATCCATAGCCAAGGTACCAGACATTGCCGCCAACGGTTTGCTTGGGGCTGTAATTGGCAGCGGCAGCCGCTGCAGCATCTTCACCAAAGAATTTTCGAAGTTTGTCAGTGGGAGATCGAGACGATGCGAGACTGGATAGCTCGGCGGTTTGATCACGCTGTAAATTTTCGGAATGCCTAGGTCCAGTATCACCATGCTTCCTTAATTCCTTGTCGAATTCTTCCATCAATGAATCGTCCGATAATTCGTCATCGTTCGTACTCTCGATCGCATTCGGTTCATCAGTGAAGACGCCATCATTTGGCACCATTTGCTCCGATGCTTTGACATCGCCATTGTCATGGTTTGGCCCATGCATGGCCGTCTCATCAAACTCCTCTCTATATTGCTCCAGGATATTCATAATTCTTGTAATTCGAACTTCGATATCCTTACCAACATGGCTGACTTCTGACACTTGTCCACAAGTAGAATCATCGGTTGCGAGCTGAATGGCAGAAAATAGTAAACCACTGTTATTATACAACTTTTGCTTGTTGACTTTGATGACATTCTGATCGAGTGGTTCGAGGTACTGTAATTCCGTGGTTTCCAATAAAGCGAGCCAATGACCTAAATGCTTAATGGTTTCCTTGAACTCAGCTACCAGGATGGGTAAATTGGCTTGAGATGTGGAATACAGATCACCATCTTTTGAGTCAATCGGGGTTTGAGACTGTTGCTGGAGCATTTTTTTAACGCAAGATTGGAGGCTGTCCAAGTTGGCTTGCAGTTTGGTATCGTGGGTTTGTAGTCGGGTCATCACCTCGGTTGAAAGTGGACGTCTATTACGCGTTGGGACAGGAACGACGATGGGACCGGACGAAGCGGTATCGCTTCGTCTGTGAGTTCGTGACTCGTGGTCAGAATCGACTATTCTAGGATCAATGTGTCTAATTGTGATATGCATGTCTTGGCATTGGGTCACAAAGTTTTGTACGGTGCCAAGTAAGTCCATAGATTCTTCTTTAATTTTGGCCACCAATTCTTCAAATTGTGGAGGAAAGGCTTCAGAGGCAGCCTTGGCGGTCAATACAAGCTTGGAGACAGTTGTCATGATACTGCGATGCTGTGCTTTTAAATTTCGGCTGTTCTTCAGATGAATCGATTCTTTATCGAGGGTATGGGAGCCGAACAACATCAGACGAATGGCATTCACCACTGTCGTGACGCATTTCTTATAGTCGGTGGAGTTGCGTAAATCAAATGTCATGTTAAGGTTGTGAATAGCCAAGGCGATATGGGAGAACATGCGAGACCAGGTAAGAGGCTCATTGAGATCTATTAGAGTTGTTCTTCGTGCCACTGCCTGGCGTGATTGTGATCTCGGTAATGGTATAGGAGCATTAGAAAGGGCACTCAAAGAGGCACTTCTCGTAGACGGACCGGATGTTGTATCGGTGACCTTGACGACATGCAGTTTAGTAAGATTTTGGACTCTGCATGCCAAAGTAAAAAAAAAAAAAAAAAATGAGAAATCTTACCGAATTTTGAGTCCCTTGTAATAGACTTTGCATGTCCCATGCTATATCATTCGTAACTTGATGTCTAAAGTAAGTTCTTCCTTGCGGTGTGATTTCGCTTACCCAATGTTCAGGAAGCTGTGAAAATGATGTTAAATGAAAAAAAAAGCCACTGTATCGTTAGTATTGCACATACATGCATAATCACGAATTTGGAAAAAACAAACTGCATACCATCACGCCATCTAGCGAGTTGGGCATCCCAGTTGACCCAGCTTCAAATACACTCGATTCGTCCATACTTTCACTGTAGACGCTTCGCGCATTGTCTTCTCGGAATTGTGACTGAGAATCTCTACTTTGATGCGACTGGGAGTCCCGGCTTTGAGATAAAGAATCTCTACTCTGATGGGACTGCGAATCTAGGCCTTGAGATAACGAATCTCTACTCTGATGAGATTGAGAGTCTCTGCTTTGTGATTGAGATGGTTCAGATTGATCCAATAATTCATCATCTTCTGCTGATTCGCTAATGGAGCCATTGTCTTCGTCTATTTCCAGATTATGACGAACATCGCCTGTGACTTCGTTGTAAAAGACATGGCCATGGTCAGTTAATTGAAGACGCCACCCAGGTGGTAATTCGGAAGCGTTATCCAGTAACAACGTTTGTTGCTCATAACTGTTTGAACTATCTGATTTCGGATCATCTGATGCCATGCCTGTAAAACTCAAACGATGATGCTTGATATCCAGTGGAACTGCAGCGGTCGTAGAGATTCGCTGAGTTTGGAGTTCTCGAGAACTTCTTCGATCCGACATTAATCCTCCAAGCTCGAGACCATCTTGTTGATCTACTTCTTCGAGATCTTCGCTTAATTCGTCGATGATTTCAACATAATTGCTTGGAAACCATCCTCGTTTGCCATTACACCTAAATAATCCATGGTTATAATGGCTGAAACTAATTCAATCGGAGAAACCAGTGTCAGGGACACACGTACCATCCATCCCACCAGCCCGAATCGAGTTGGGCGAGTACATCAATACTATCGCCCTTATTAAAACTGAGTGCGGTGGGCTCTGTTCCATCGAATGTGTATAGCGCTTTGACCCTGCACAGAATGATGGGGGACGACATCAGCGTTTAAAACAGACGGTATTATCTGCAACGGGAAATTGCTCGGGTTGAATGACGAGATGGGTATTTGATGCAGATGAAAAGGGATGCGATGTGCAAAAAAAGGAAGAAGATTCCTTCAGCAATAAAATAATAATAATAAAAATGGCTCGTACCAGCCGGTGGGCGCGTGCAAATCCCTAGAATTACTCCTGCTTTTTTTTTTTTTTTTGGCGGCGGAACCATGCTAGACTCCGCCTGCAACCGTTTAACAAGCTACTTTATGCTACACAAGTGAATACGGTAGTGGAACCAATCCATTCCATTCTTCTACCATGTCATCTTCTATAAACCACCATGACCAAGTCTTTCTTTGCTGCATTTGCTTTCTAGAAACTCCTCCATTCGTCGCTTTGGGCAGCCGTAGCCATTTATCTGGATGAAAGAAGCGCAATGAGCTAGTTAGAATAAACTTCTTATTTGTGGTGATTTCTTGGTGCACAGATCCTCCAAGACACCAGGTATATTTTTTTTTTTTCATGCCGTGCAACTGACCTGGAATGCCTAGGAAGTAGTCCAAGATGGTTTCACAGAACCGCGTCTTGTATTTGTTTGGCGATAACACTGTGACTTCCTTGTGAGGTTGCAGAGCAGATTTGCTGGTGGACTCTAACTTCTTGAACCACGTAAATGTGCCAATGAAATCTGTAACTCAGAATATCAATGGGGGTGTTGTGATGTGGCAATAGCCCTTCCTCCCCCCAAATGTTTTAGATTACTTGTTTAATATTTTTCTTACCTACAATGCCCACAATCATCTCCTTTTTCTCATCATCGATGCCTACTAGTAGCGAGTAGTCCATGATGTTGCACTCGGATAAAAAGGTAGCGTCATTCTGTAGAGCTTGTTCGATGATGGCTTTCGATTGCGCGTGTACCATTAAAGTTGCTCGGAATCCTATTCTGGCGTTAGTAAAATTCCATCTATTGATGCTTTTCCTTAAACTGATTATTTGTCACACGTATCCGGTTACCTTCTACCCAGTCCCCATCCCACAAGGTGAGTTCCGCCGACTTCTTCATTTCATCAACGTGTCGACCCTGAATACCTTTTAGATCAAAGCGCTGCGATACCCAAAAAAAAAAAATCCCCAGTCAAAATTTATCTGCAGCGGCATACCCTTTTCCAGGCTTCCCGATTCCACTAACATTTTTAAAATTGGGGACTTACCCGGCTAATGTTTTGACCATAGAATAAATGTTCCATAACTAGTATATCCATCTTCAGGGTCGTCTTATCTTCAGCCAATTTTCGAATCTTGATGGTATAAAAGCCGAATATTTTTGCAAGTACAGAAGGCGCCTAAAGGTAATGGTTAGAAACCCACAGATATTTCACAAGGAATGTTGTACTCATCTCAGAACATTTTTCTGCTTAATCCGCGGCATCTAAATCCCGCACACAGAAGGGAATCCACGTTTACTATACTTACCCCAGCAGAGCGTTTAAGATAGGCAAAGTACTTTGGCGCAAATCGTAGCAAAGCGTCTCTCTCAGCTACGTTCCATGACGACACCATTTGTTTCAGCACCAGTCGATTGTCTGCAATAGAAAAAACGAGTCAGTAGAGTGGCCCAACCCAATTATCTGCAACAATTTTTTTTTAAAGTTCAAATATTTGACATGAGTAAAGGTAAACATTCACCTTTGGTCTTGAAAAATGTACTTTTGCTCTTGCCGCCTGAAGCGGACCAATTGTCGCATCGACTCAGGGACTGTATGATTAACTTTTCTATACCGCATCTCTGTCGTAATTCGTCAAATTCTCGAGCGAAGTAGACGGTACATGAAAATTGTGTACCATTATGGACATATTCTGCGAAACAAAAAAAGCATGGCAATTGTTAAGCATGGGTAGCCAAGAAAGACCAGACAAATAAAAGGTTTGGGCGGGAAATTATCGCTTTTCAATACATACTATGCTTGATATGTGGAGATAGTGGCTCCTGTGATTTACTCTCTCCTCCTGTTTCACTAGACTTGACCGAGCTAGGTTGTCCTGAAGGTGGCACACGAGAAGCAGTTTCATTGATCACAGATGTAACCTTCACCTCTGTAATGAGAGAATTGGATCGTTTTGGTATTTTTCCCGACGAGGTTCCAGACACATCAGCGGTGACATCCAATACTTTGCGAGAAATATCCTTCATTCCCATTGCAACGTCAGCCTCAATAGACTTGAGTACCCTGTCATCCATACCAGTAGGCAGAGATGTATTTTGTTGATTTGTGAATGTCAGTTTGTGGCTCAAAAGCTCCAAATCTCGATCGTTTTTGTTGGTTTCTGCTGGATTAAAGTTCGTTAAGCGAGATCCGAGCCGGTCGGTCACATTCATATCGCGAATCGTCTCCAATAATGTTGTTCTTAACGACGCTGGAGCATGTGCGGTGGCAAGAGAATTTCCAATCGACACCGTCTCTCTCCCTACTGTGGAGTAGAACCCATGCAGAAGCTCCCGATAAACTGGGGCATTCTTTTGCTTTGTACTTGTGGTGCTGGATTCTGAACTCGGCATGTCCCCTATAGCTTTTTCTTCCGGTGTCTTGGATTCCGGAGATTCTGTGAACAAAGCGGCCGCTGAAGAAGTGGAAGAAGATTGTAACGAACGTGTGACAATTGGTTTTTGTTCCAGCTCCTCTTGATAATCCTTTGAGCTCAGTGTATGGGCGATGATGGAACTGGGTTCGTCTTCGCGGACAGGCACCGATGAACCAGGAAATAGGTGAACAGTTTCGGACTTCATCCAGTCTGGCATAGGATCCCAAATGCATTCAATGTCAAGTTCCGGACAGTTCGTCTCTTGCCAGAGCAACAAGCTGTCCATGATGGATTTGACCTTTATGGAGAACCAGCGATTAAAGTCATTCATCTCATCGCCGACGAGTTTATCCAGTCCTCGAAGTAGGTTTTCCCTCTCTTGGTTGAACAAGAGTTGCAATTGGTCCAATTCCGAGCGAAGCCCTTGTGCCTTGCTTTGACCTAAAAAGAACGTAGCTGATTGTCGTTCCAATTTATCCTCTGCAACTAGATACTCTTGCAGTAATTTGATGTGACGGTCAACCGCTGAAAAAAAGGAATCCACTTCGCCTTCAGCTTGGAAGAGAGATTCCTCGCACGCGTTCAATTCAATGGCGACATCCTTTACAAATTGTTGTGGTTCCGCTCCGTCGCTGCTGCCATGCTCGATGTTGTCGGAGTCTTCTATTGCGCCTACTTCCTCGGGGAGCACAACTTGCAATCGCGGAACTCGCATTTCGAAGAGCTCAATATCTTCATAATCGAACTGGATAATAACACCCTTGTGTTGAAAGCAGCGCAGAACAGAGTGTCGGTCAGTAGAATGCTCGCACATCGCCTTGGGAGGCATAAATTCTTTGTCGTACAATAATAACTCCAAATACTTTCCAAATGAGTATTTGTACGTGGGTAATGACATGGGCAATGGTTTGAGCTGCTCCTTGCAAACCTTACAGGCTGTCCACATAATGACCCCCATATCGTCATGATCAGCACCAAAGTCATCTTTTTCTTCGACAACTTCATCCTTGTCATTTCGACGTGTTCGATCCATTCCAATAGTGACATTGATACGACTTGAGCCATGACAAAATGAGAAAATATGGTCTTGAATGGGTCCATGGCATTTGGGACATCCATTATGTTGTTCCACAGCATCCTGGTTCTCATTCTTCTTTGAACCGCCACCATTTGGTTTCGAAGGTTTCTCTGGAATTGATCCTGAAGATTTGAAATCGCTGGTGGACGCGCTTGTTCGGAAGGTAGATTGCGATGCTTTGTTAATCAATGGTGGTTGTTGTGCCTCGTTACACCAGTTCATGATTACTTCTCCGAGGGTTTTATCGCCAGTAGGATGGTAATGTGAAGAATATCGATAAAAGTCTATTGCATATATAGTGGGGCCTTCACACCTAACCATGGTTTCTTTGGAAGTAAAACTAGAGAAGCTGACCGCCAAACTTTGATGATTCATGATACTGTGAATGTCATTGGTCTTGAGGTTGAGGTAGTTCAATTCTAAGCCAGTTTCTACAGTCATTTTGGGATTTCTGAGTGTCGAATATGCCGTAATAGATTGAGGAACGGAGGTAGTGCTTGTAGCATTCGAAGTGGTGGACCAGGTGTCACCAGTTCGTGATGTTGATTTCCGCGACAGTCGTTGTCTTGCTGGAATCCCAACAATGCGCTGCAATTCCATAGCTCTAAAGCCTGATAAGGTTCGAATGACCGCTGCATTGTTGGGTCGTAAGCTGATCCAAGCATCAGCCCCAATAGCGTTGATGGCTTCCTCGTCTTCATGCAAACGTACTATGAGCCTTGGTGGAGGATAAACAATGCCTGGCGAGGAGGATAGCACTGCCTGGTTTATCGATTTTAGCACATTGGAAAAGTGGTGCATCTCTGATTCAGAGATCCCTAGTTCACTCAGGAAACTTTGAGAGGCCCTGAGCTGTCTACTGCTGAAGAAATCAGACAACTGAAGTTTATCGTTTGTGAGGCGACTAGACTCCATAAATGGTCGAGCATCCTCTACCGGTGCTATCCGAGCACTGTTTCGTTTATTTACTGAAGTTGTCGTATTACTCTCACTTGCCTTGCTCTTCTCTCCTGAGAACCTGTCGATGAGTTTGCGAACGCTGTTCCTTTTCGCTGATGGCTTTATCCAACCAAATAATCCGCCACCTGTTGCCGTTTGATTCTTTTCCTCTTTACTACTGGGTGTTTGCGGAATAGGCTTTGTAATTTTGTTAGCAGGTATCGAAGTCTTGGCTTTTTTATTGCTTGTCTGTCTGGTGATTTGGTGGTCCCGTAACACACAGCTCTCCAGCGTGAGGTTATAAACCACGAACATGACAATGCCTAAAACTACTGCTGCATTCTCCAGAACGGCCACATCCGCACCTTTTAGCAGGACAGTACCACCAATAAAGTTATATTTGTTATCCTCAGTATCAAGTTCACTGCCTAAATGTACAAGCGTCAACAAAACAAGGTTTTTCACATTTTTGCCGCAGGCACTGTCGATCCTCTTACCATATTGCTTCGGCAACTGTAATAGAGGGCGCCCGAGAAATTGGTCAGGGATAAAACTCGAGGTTGACGGTTGACCGGTTGTGTCTATATCGATACATATACAATAGATAGTCTGTCTTTTGACCTTATGATGGTCATCAGCTTTTCCGTTATCAGAACTTTCGTTTTGTCTAAATTTCTCTAGATGCGGTGTGTCCACAAGTCCGATCACATGAGGATACTGACTGGTAATGGATCCCAGAATATTCGATAAAATACGCTCCCAAGGATGTTTCGGCAAATGCAGTTGTTCCAGCGAACGTAGCATGACAGTGCTCGCATGGTCTATGCAGCGGGAATCCAAAGGTAAGAGAAGTGCTGCGGTGGAAGTCCGAAAAATATGCCCGCGCTGTTGGTTCGTGTCGACCACAGATACATAGTTTGAAGCTGGTAAAGGTGGTAAAGGTTTTGAAAAAGTTCGAGGTCTTTCTCGTACTGTTGGAAATGACGGATTAATCATCTGAGGCAATTTCCTCGCTGCCATGGAGTCGGGCATGCTAGTTGTACCTAGCGTTTGTGATCAATAAACAAGGGAAAAAAAAGAGGACAGAAAAATTGGTGGGACTTTATATCTGAAATGGAAACATTTTATTACAGGTAACGTCATGGGCCTAAGCCCAGCTTTAGGAGGTGTTGCCGATATCAATAGGCACATTGTTTTTCCCAAACGCGAAGCAACGTGGTACCTGATTGACATTTCATTCAGAACAGTGACTGGTCCTTGCGGCCACTCAAAAAATGGCAGCAATTTTTTTTTTGTTTTTCTTTTTTCAACCTTCAGCTTTTTTATCCACACTGTCTTTCTTCTTTCCTCTACCAGTTTCAGCACATACTTTACTCGTTTACATAAAGGTAAGATTCATTCATGAATTCTTTTTCAAATCCCCTTCCCATCACCAAGTTTGATACACTCTGCCGCTTTCCTATTCACTATGGAATGTGACAATTTTTTTCACAAACAAGAACAAATGGTTTCTTTCTACTTTGTGCTTTGATATCAGTGCAAAGCATACTCATTTTGAAGCCAAATATACACATATCACATTTTACACGGATGATGATCTCATTTTACTCACACTTCATTCTCACTTCATTAGGTATTTGTTCTATATTCAACAATAAAAGTTACTTTTTCTTTATAATTACAATATGCGATGGGATGGATGTCTTTGTGGTGAAGGGAGACTCTTGATTTAATCATCCAAGTCAATAATCTCTCTTGGCGCTGGTGGTGTTGATCGCGCTTCTGACGTATCTTCAGCATCTGATATTTCATTGTAAATAGACAAGTCGATTTCAATTTCATCATCGTCATAGCTGTCGATATGGGGAACTTGAGGGGTGGTGGCCTTTGATATTCTTTTTCTCTTTGCTGGTCGTGGAAGGTTTGCTTCGGCACTTTCATCCACCAAAAAGTCCATCATGATCTGTATTGGTTGCCTATCGCCTTGAAGGTCACTTTTCCTCAACGATGACAAACGCCTTGCCAATGGCCCGGGTTTGAGATAGCTAGAACATCAATTTCAGTCATGGTTTGCAAGCTTGGGAAATAATTCATTTTTCACTTACGATATGGAGCTATAAGGTGTAAAGTGAAAGTCTTCCCAAAGATATTGTTCAGTCAATAGATAGTTTATCATCATTTCCAATTCCTGGTATGCGAAAGGTCAATAACATGATTAAACCATTATTAACCATACTACTACTTACGGCATCTGTCCATTTCTTTTTTGGCGCTGCCTCTACATCGTTGCTTTTGAAAAGCTCCTCAAGTCCACCCTTTTTAAGCCCTCTGCCTCTCATATAATTAACCATCTTCACCATGGTCACTCTTTCTTCAGAACTCGTTTGTGCCGCGTTCGCAATTTTGACTGCCGTCATGGCTTCCAGTGTAATATCTTTGGAAACGACGGAGTGACCATCACCTTTTCCCCTTCGGCAATTATCACATAGCTCGCAGGGCTGATCCATTGAGGTGGTGTTCAGTAATTGACCGGAATATTCAGAAGATGATACAGTAGGATCGTTGGAGAAGTACGATTCAAAGAAAATTTTTCGACATGTTCGATAATCTTGCGCATAGCGTATCATACCATACACTGAGATGAAACATTAGCATAGAACTAAAACGATCTCGCAATAGCACTGGGCTTACCATTGTCCTTTCCATTCAGATCTCCAACTACCAGTGTGGTAAGGCGTATGGCTAAAATGAACACATGGTTATCACGGTGATATAATCTTACCATTTGAAATGACATTGGATCAACTGCTTACCATCTTGTCCTCGATACAAAGCTATACAATCAGCCGGTAAACCATCGCGGCCTGAAAGAAAATTTAGTGACAATTCAACAGCCATATGCATTATATAATTCTTCTATTACCAGCTCTCCCGCTCTCTTGATAGTATCCTTCAACAGATTTAGACATAGAATGGTGTATGATGAATCGGCAGTTAGGATGATTGATACCTAAGCCAAAGGCTATGGTGGCCACTATAACATGCAGTTCGTTTTTCCGCCATAACGTATGTATCCTCTCTTTATCATCCTATCGGGAACATCAGTAACCATAACTTTACAACACGCTATAACAAGCTATGTACAAACCTCAAATAAGTCCGAATGATACACGCCGCCTTTGATGCGACCATTGCTCTCCTTCATGATACCTTCACATACAGCATGTGTGTCTTTCTTGGATAGACAATAGATAATACCAGATTCACCAGGGTGGTAATTCTGTATCCAAGCGACAATGTCCGTAATGACTTGATCTGCCTTATCCGCTTTGGGAAGAACTTGGTATTTCAAATTCGGCCCTGAATACAATTGCTAAGTACAGAGCTAGCACGCCTGTCATAACCAAAGGATACTTACGATGTAAGGGTGCAGAGAATAAAAGTGTGCCTTTTGTTGAATCTGTAATTTTTGGCATTCCAAGTATGTTCATAACGTCTGTCATTACCGTCGCTGAGCAGGTCGCCGTCAAAGCCATTATTGGAGTTTTAGGGAAGACAGTCTAAAAGACACATTTGAGCAGGTTGGTCGAGCAAAGAGGATATGTCTGTGATGGTTTTCTTACCCTCAGCACATTGAGCTTTTTGTAGTCTGGTCTATTTTCATTAGTACAAATACGATACTGTACGTTAATTTCATATGCAAAGTCGGTCAGACAGCGGTGGCATTTCATTCAAGCTTACCGAAAGTCATGACCCACGACAGAGCAGCAATGAGCCTCATCGATGACAATTCGAGCCAAATTTCCCTTTTCATAAAGTTTACCCAGCTTTGCCATAAACCTTTTGCTTTTGGCAATCTTTTCAGGAGTCACATAGATCAGTTTGAGCGAACCTGACATTAGGCGAGCTGTGACTTGGGCCACTTCTTCCTTGGTTGACGCACCGATGAGGTATCCTGCATCTACTCCAGCCTCATCCAAATGAAAGCACTGATCTTGAATAAGACTAATTAAAGGACTGACAACTACAGTAACACCTTGCTCCAAGACAGCTGGTAGTTGATAGCATAATGATTTGCCTCCCCCAGTTGGCAGGACAATGAAAAGATCGCGTTGACGATCCATGGCGGCATTCATGATAGGTAGCTGTAGCGGCCTAAAATCATTGATTTTGAAATATTTATTTGACGCCTCTTTCAACTGTGGGTACCATGGAAACGCTGTAGAGTTGTAGTCAGGCAAAGCAGTGTGCTGTTGGTGGTGTTGAAGATCCGATACAGCTCCAACCTTCGATCGTAAATGGTTTCGACGTGATATTAATTTAGTCCTTTTCTCCTTCAACAAAGATATTTCAATATCAATTAGGTCGATTTCGTGTTCAACATCGTCTAATTGGGATTGCGAATCGGCCATAGCATGCTCGTAGTCGAGAATGATATAACAGCGTAAAAGAGCGCAGTCCAACAGCGCTTTCTGTAATTTTCAGTCGGTAGCCGGAGTGACTTCGTTGTATCTTTGAGCAAAACCTGGACTGTAGCGACAATTCAAGCGCTTTGTTACCATGGCATCCTACGTGGATTCAGAACCAACCCTCACAGTTGGCAACGAAGCGATCTCGAGAAATGCAATTGAACGAGACATCTTTTTACTAATTGGATCCTTTGCAAAGGTACACTTATTGCATTCTTTTTAAAACCATATGATTCATATATCATTCCGCTCACAACTCGATCACCTCGCTGTAGCAAAAAGTGCATACCCTAGAAACTTTTTCAAACATATGGAAGGAATACAACTTTTCTTTAATCCACTTTGCCTGCCCGGATCAACAGGGTCGCCCAATGTTCATGCAAGCCATTAATGAAGCGATACTAGGTATGATAGGGTTGCATTAGAATAGGAGTCTGCCACCGTAATCAAGCCTGACCGCTTTCTCATAGAACACTTCCGTTTCGAAACCACATCAATCCGACTCGGAGTGATATTTTCATTATATCTCACATATTTCTCGCAACCTGATATATGGCCCCGTGAGCCCATACGGGTGACTGCAGGTACCTGTTATTAGCAAACTTGCACGTACGTACTTGAATGCTCATCAAAAAAATTCAACCTACTTAGAAATTTGGACCTCTATCCTCGATTTCATGGAACAATGTGATCGAAACAAGTCTGGAGGCGATGGCTATGATGCATTGAGCAAACTAATGAACGATAACGCGTTCAAATTTTGCGCAACGCAAAGTGTCGTAGACACCAATATCTTTGACCAGCATTCCAGCTATGAAGTACAGGCGTAAGTTATCCGCTTGCGGCTATGTAATCTGATTGGACTTGTACTGACTTTCCTTGGATATAGTATTGATGATTTCTTACGAGATGTACGGAAAAGGCACTGGAAGAACAACATCGTAAGTATGTTATCGATTGCGTTCACTTACAAAAGGTTGATATAACCATTGTCGTGCATTTCAGAGCTCTTACATGAACAATGGAAAGCTTGATGCCGTTGATGCACTATCACGAAAATACATGGATGCTAAAAAAGAACTGTTCAACACGAGGCAAGGCACCCTGGCTGCACAGAAAGTTATGAAAGATCTTGCAAATATCCAAGAAACAAATCCAACTCATCTTCGAAGAGTACTGCAAAGCAGCTCTCTTGGGCATGGCGATGAAGAGTTTGTGTCCTCCATTAGAGAAATTGTTTCTCGGTATGAAGATGCCCGATTCAATTCCGTCGTTCACAAACAGCGAAATGCTTCAACAAATCAATAGGTTGTCCCAATTTCTCAGGAGGACTTGATACAGACTACACTTTAATCAAAATAACATGTAATATAGAAAGACATGGACATGCTCTGCAATGCTTGCCTCCTTGTCCATTGTACATATCAATATCACGTAACTTGAATGCAGCTATTTTTTTCTTCCGATTCCTGTTTATGCAATGTCGCTTGGAAAGATTGCCCATTAGGACTCCCTCATACTACTTCAATCATCCATCTACTGTGAAGAGCAGAAAGTCATTGCAGGGGAAGAAGAAACACATATGGTTTAGTCACGATGATCATGACCCGCCACTGTCAGAATCGGGAAACACAATCCCAGTTGACGATGATTTGCTTTCCGGGGTGAAAGATTGGCGATCAGAAGATTGGATGCACGGACATGCTCTGCTCATGCGGATGCCAATCACACCATAGTCTCCATGATGAGATCAAGCCAATCGGCCCTAGAAAAATGCATGCCGATCATTCACCTTATGGCAAATGGAAGAGTCAACCCCATCATTTTCCATCACACAATTCTCGATTTTGATGAATGGATCCCTTGGGGACACTTGACTCCTGGCTGCTTGACATAGACGTTGCTGTACGCACTGTCTAAAGTGGCCAGAAAGATTGCGTTATGATCTTGCGACTGCAATCTGTTATTCCATGCGTTTATCGCCTTCATGGGAAGATACGAGCATCCCTGGATTTGAAATTGGTAGAAAGATCGCCCTTCTCTGACAAAATAGTAAGCTAAGCACTGACCAAGCTGTTTCCAAAACTTCGGTCACACACGCAAGTGAACACGATGGTTTTCTATTTTTTTATTGCAATCTTGCTAAACTAGATGATCTATCGAACTCTATGGATGCTATGTAGTGCTCCTCCTTTAAGCGCTCTCGTACAGTTACACCCCCTACTCTCTTTACTGCCCTCCTTTTAACAGCTGACATGCATATGATTCCTTCAGATAAAGTGAAGTTTAGTAGCTCGTCCACACGACGTTTGACAGAATTGCATACTGAATACATGGTGAGGATTAATAGCTTTATTTTTACAAATTGTGAGGTAGGAGGAATAATGGTTTCCACAAGTAAAATATGAGGCCATGAAGTATTGGAAGAAGCACTTTCGCTATTAAATAAGGATAGTAAAAGGGGGAGGGGGATTGTTTAACTACTCGGGCTCATTGGTCAAGCTGACTACCATTATAGTCAATGATAGAGCTGTCAATGCAGATACCGAAAAGGTGTGCATGAACATTAGCTAGAGAGTTAAACAACGATTAGATTTCTGGAGGGTCATAAAAAAGGAGTCATCACTAAATGAGGTGTATCTTACCTTGTTGTAGTTGAGTACATGTGGATCAATGATGGACTTCATATCAGAAACACTTTCAATGTCCAACGTTTTGCGCTTTTGATTCTTCATGAGATCGGCGTGTTCTTGATCCAGTTCGTATAGAGGCACTTGACGTTTGTTTCTTAATGCTCTTCTGAAACACATACCAGCTCTTCCAGAAAGAACATAGAACATGCATCCAAAAGTACATGGAAAGACGAAAAGACGGTACCAACGCGAAGTATGGAATAAGAAAGTGAGAGTCAAAGTAAGGGTCACGCATAAGAAGAAGAAGAATCCCATGGAATAACGGAACACAATGCCATCGTATCGAATGTTTTGAAGAGCATGATGCAAGAAGTTTCGTAGCGATGACTGTTCCATGATTTGATAAACTTTTGCATGACAAGCGGCGAATACTTCAGGATGTGTAGTTCTGTTGGCGTGGTACACGATATATCTTCGAAGGTACCCATCAATGTTGAGTTCTTTTTCTGAATCATAATTGAAGAACGTGCGCAATACAGCATTGACCTCTTCGCGGAATGGTTGATTTGCTGGATCTTTTTCATTGAGGAGCTCACTTGGCTCTTTCTCTGTACAATAATCGGACGGGGGTTCTTCGGAGTCTCGTGAGGACTTAATGCTAGGTTGTTTAATGAGAGTTTCTAGCGGAAGGGCGTAAGATGCAACACTTGGCTTTTCGGTCGGAGGCATTGACATTGCCCTTTCATGCTCTGGAAGTTGGTAAAAGCGCTCGCTGTAATCGATAAACCAGTAGTAGAAATCCAGATTTTCAGCAGAATGCTCTTTGTTTTGAAGAAAAAGTTTAAACTCTCGCATTGAAATAGGTTGACAAGTATTGCCTTTCAGAATGGTTTCTATATGATTTAAGTTGAATTAAAAAAGAAATGGTACTTTATGGGATTGGCAAAGTCCCACGCTTTGTAATGGTACACTGTACCTAGACTGACATCTTGTAAATCGCTTTGTGCTTGTGTGAACCATCGAGCAAAGGTTTTAGCTAAAGCGGGTGGAAGAATGAAGGGCATGATAGCATATAATTTTCAAAAGAGTGGAAAGGATGACAAAATTTGGGACTAGTGTCTTATCTTGCCATTATATACCCCAATCGTTTCATAGAAAATTAGGGGAAACATCAACTTAACGGAGACCCAGACTTATTTCGGTAACGGTGCTTGAGAGCTTAAGCAGGGAGCTTGTATGGTCAATGGTGACGAAGGGAGCAAAGTGAACTTCGATAAAAAGCAAAATGTGATCAGCACGCATGCGGGCGAAAAGGCTTGGGACTCCCTTCAATTCCATGCATATTTAGAACAGCGCATTTGCTATTGAGTGTTACTGACCATGCCGAAAAGAAAAAGTCCCACTTTAGCTGTCAATATACCAAGCTGGTCACTATCTGATTCCTTTTCCATCCAAACATGATACTTTACCATCTTTTTTCCTAATCTATGGATGTGTCAGACATTGAATGCTCTCTTCACTGCACCATGGCCAACTATTGGCCTATAACATTGATCGAGTGGTAAGGAGATGTGAAAGGGTCGCAGCCCTGAAATTCAAAAGCTACCTAAATTCCCCAGTGTGAGCGGTTTAGAGGAGGTGATCTTGAGCCCCTACTTCAAGCTTTTGATTACCTGCATATGGAAGTTGAGCACAGGCGGTCCAAGTAAGACTTTTTAAGATCTACAAGGGTTACCAGGTATGGGATCGACTGATGCCAGGAAAATACTTGATGACAATAGCTATGGAATCGCTCTATGTATGTGGCTGGTTGCAGTCATGCAAGCTAACTTTCCAAAGTAGAAGAACTTTATCACAACCCATAGCATACCCTGACGAACATCGGCAACATAGTATGAGCAAAGGTTTTTCATATCAAAATGTCCATCTCCTTTGTCGCTAATGCTACTTTTATATCTTCCTATAGTTTAGCCCACATGTGAGAGGCTTTCTGTACCAAAAAGAAGAAACAAGTAGGTTTACTTTCAAGGGATCCATATCCACCATCATCATAGCAATCTGCACGCACTTTGTCATATCTCCAATATATTCAGAATATTCACTTGTTAATGTACATTGGATGCAGCGGTAAAGGAAATCTATATTATTCAATATTTCCAAAGAGAGACAACATGGAGTGTTCAACCCTCTACCAGGAGCCAGTAAAATCATCATTTACCTACCACTCCTTCGGCTCTAAGTTCAGAAATTTTTGTTTGCTTGTAGCCTAAAACTGTCTCCAAAATTTCTGTGGTGTGTTGACCCAGAACTGGAGGAGGTAGGCGAATTGTAGGTTTGGATTCGCTATATTTGACAGGTATGCCAACTACTTTGATCTTGCCTGCTCTAGGATGCTCAACTTCTTGGACCATATCTCTAGCAAGAACTTGTGGATGGTGGAAGGTTTGCTCAATATTATTGATGGGGGCGAAGGGTATTCCTGAGCCATTAAGCTGTTCAAGCCAGTGCTCCGTATCTTCCTGAGTAAGCCTATCTTCCAAGAGTTGAATGAGTTCCACGCGATGCTTGACTCTTTCACCATTCGTTCTGAATCTTGTATCTGCCAATAATTCCTCTCGGTTAATGGCTTTGCAAAGTTTGGCAAATTGGCCATCATTACCAGCCCCTATCATGACAAAGGAGTTTCTGGTGGGCATGACTTGGTATGGAACAATGGACGGATGCGACGTTCCCATTCGCTGAGCCTCCTGGTTACCCACAAGATAATTTGACGCGATATTGGCAAGCGAGGCTACTTGGCAATCCAGTAAGGAGCAATCGATATGCTGGCCTAATCCTGTTGTTGCTCTTCGAATGATTGACGCCATAATGGCGCCATGCGCGTATAATCCTAATAACAACGTTTGATGAGTCAACGAGTCATTGCATGTCATTGAAACCACTTTCGAAGTTACCTGTTGTTAGATCTGTTGTAACAAAAAAGTTGTTAGCATATTGACAATAAAGTAAAGTGACTAGTTCCCAAAGTTCAATTTACCTGTGATGGCAACGCCTACTTTTACGGGTCTTCCATCCCTTTCGCCTGTGATATGCATTAGGCCGGCTTCAGCCTATGAAATTGACATGGTTGTCTTAGTTCGTGTCATTCCATATGACATGTAGGCATCTATGTCCACGTACCTCAATCATCACATCATATCCTGGTCTGTTGGCATAAGGACCGTCCTGCCCGTAACCTTTGCAAAGCGTGTGTGGTTAGCCTGGCTGCAGGTTCACATACATCCATCCTTACAACTCCGATGAAACCTTGAGGTCGGAATAGGCTTCATACACATAATGTACCAACCAAGGGGGTTTGTAAAATAACTTACCAGTGATAGAAGCATAAATGAGCTTTGGATTGATCTTCTTCAATTCCTCATATCCCAACCCCATCTTCTCCAACTTCCCTGGTAAATAGTTCTCAACCAGGACATCACAGTGCTTAACGAGGTCATGGATGATCTGCTTTCCACTCTCAGCTTTCAGATTCACAGTAACAGACTTCTTGTTTCGGTTGACGCAAAGGAAGTAAGCCGATTCAGGATTGTGCGTATCTGAGGGGTCTTCGTTAGCAGCCCATGGAGGGCCCCATGCCCTAGTATCGTCTCCACTCTTGGGGTTTTCAACCTTGATGACGTCTGCACCAAGGTCACCTAGAAGCATTGTACAATATGGACCAGCTAAAACTCGAGTCAAATCCAGGACTCTTATTCCCTGCAACGGTCCAGTGGATACGCCGCTGTCAGGTTTCACGAATTCCTTTCTGACATTATGCGTGGTGGAGAATTGACTCGCTTGCAATCTCGGAATAAGAGCTTTGACCGCGATTGACGAGGATAATGGCTTTCGTGCCAAGTGATAGAATGAGGGGATCATGAAAACAAACGAATAGATGCAAGCTGTTCGTGGGATAACAATTTTTTATGTGCAGCCATTGTGCTAAAGGATTTCCCCCGCAAATTGACGTACCTGCCCGAATCAGCCAATCATATAAACTTGCTGACAATAGCAAAACCTGGGAAGTGCACATCCCATCCAATCTACAAAAACCACACCCCACCATCGTACTTGTGACAAAAACAACTTTAATGGACGATAAATTCACATGGTTACATGATTTTTGAGAAAAAGATGACTTTTGTACACTTATTCGGCCTCTTCTTTAACCTCGGATGCGGGTTCCGCGGCTTTCGGTGAGGCTGATGGCTGTACAGGAGATGATGTCGTTGAATTGACAGGAGCAGGGGATGAAGAGGCGTTTGTGGTGCTGGGAGCTTTCTCCAAAGTGGAAGTATTATTTGTCGATGATTTCGGTGCGGTAGCAGTAGGACTATTGGACTTGGCAGTTTCAGAAGTAACGGTCGCTGTGGTTGCAGAAGTTGTGTTTGCTTTGGCCAGAGTAGTTGCATTTGTGGTGGTCGCACTGTTAGTGGCTTTGTTAGCATTATTAGCAGCAGCCCCTTGACGAAGCGCCGACTGTAATGTCGCTGATAGCTGACTTGCCAGTTGTGGTGGTAACTGTGCAATAGCCTGAGGAAGAAGCTGGGCAATTGATGCCGGTAAAGGATGCCGTACAGGATCCAGCAAGTGTTGACGAATGGTATTTTGTAATTGGACTTGCAACTGTGCCTGGATACTCTGTGGAGTTGGGTATGCTGAAGTAACGCTGACGGCCGGTGTTGATGTGTTGGATGCAGCTGGTGCTTTTGTAGTCGTACTGCTAGCAGTAGTGGAAGGAGCAGGAGCTGCCTTTGTAGTGGTTGTGCTGGTGGTAGCGGTTGTATTTGCCGATGAAGGGGGTGTGGGCACTGAGGCTTCGGTCTGCGCCTTCTTGGGGGCAGGTTGGTCTTCACTCTCCGTATCCTCCCTCTTGATCTTTCTCTTGGAAGGATTCGTATCATAGCTTGTCGGTGTTGGCGTTTTAGAACCCGTTCTTCGATTACGTTTATAAACTCCATTGGTAAACTGACTCTCTGCTGCAGAATCTATGGTCCAGAATGCTCCCTTTCCGGGCTCGCTATCCCCACGAGGAACTTTGACAAACGCTTTGTTGAGCGATAGATTATGTCGTATAGAGTTCTAGATAATAGGGTTAATACCATACCATTAATGTAGAAGCTGATATGGTTTAGGTGATCTGTACCTGCCAGCCATTCTGTGCCATCTGATAATAGGGATAATGTGTTGTTATATAATTGTATATTCCATTCAACGTCATTTTCTTGGAGACGGTTGAGTTGATGGCTTGTGCAATTAGTGATGCATACGAATACGGCGGTTTTGTGTCCTTGTTGTTGTATTGACTGTCAACATCATTCATCTCGTCCGATGCCACACTATCCTCTTTGGCAGCAGCATCAGCTCCGTTCGCTGTATTCTTTTGACCGAAAGTTTTGTTTTCAAGCTGCTGTGGCGTGGCTATATAACCCATACTTTCTGTTTGTGGTGGCTCTTCCAGATCCATTCGAGGTAGTAGGAATAGAAATGCCACTTCACCGATTTGAATCTTGGTTCTGGTAGAAACACAATGAATTGACGGATTTAAAAAAGATACCGCAGTACGAACACTGACCTATTTTCCAGGGGAACTGTAACACCTTTTTCAACAAAGTGCTCGTTCACGAAGGCTCCATTTTTTCCGAAAACCATCATTTCAAATCGCTGTGTCGTAAAGTTGTAAAACAAACGAGCATGTTGTCTAGAGACTGACTTTGTAGCTCCAAGCGGTATGTCTACATTTTCGTTTTTTGATCCTTTTCGGCCCAAGGTGACTTGTAAAGTTCTTATATAATAACAAAACTCATCTCCTTCCAGTTTAGCGTAAGCTTGCACAGGACCAGAGTCTAAGTTTGTTGCACTAGGCTGAGCAGTAGTCTTGGACGCTGCAAGGGATTCCGTCGCTTCTGCCGTCGTTGGATCGACACTAGAACCAGTTTCAGGCGGTGCCATTGTATTTATTGTTAGATGACACGATGATCAGTTGATTTGGTGTTCGAATTCTGACAATTGAAAGTGTAATCTGCCTTTGCTAATGAACTTGGCCTCTGAGGTGGTTTGTTTGTTTTTCTTTTTTTTTTTCGGGAGATGTTTGTTTACTGGACCATTTCGAGCACGTGCGCTTTGTCCACGTGACGCATGCAACCACCCGTACCGTATGTAGACGCTGTACTATTGGCAATTCACTCTAGCAGCTCACTCACGGAAAAGTTTCGCCGGCACGGCTCTGTGCTGCCAGCAAGACCGTCTGTTCGTTATCATTGAGAAAGTTTGCCATACCTCGGAAGGTAAGGTTTTCCGAGTGCGACCCAATTATTAATGTACCGTTCCGATGAGCTTTTCACAAAATATTTATGGAAGATATTCATTCAGCCAATTAAAGATATACAATGCAAATAAAAATCCATCCATTACCACCTGCCTGCTGCCAAAGTAATTCATTTCCGATGGGTCGGCGAACTGCTTAACTAATAAACTTGACAATTTTATGTCAGCCACGAAACTCAGCCACCACCCTGTAACCCTTCTTGTCGCAATTACCAAATGCCGAAGGGAAAGCAACAAGGACCAGCTGGAGGAAAGAAAGGAAAAGGCGGCGGCGATGGTTGGTACGACAGCAACGAGTTAAACTCTTTCAGCATGTGCTAATTTACTGTGGTTTCCAGATGAATCTTCTGGCGGTAAAGGCGGTAAACTGAAAGCTGCCACCAGCGTAAAGGTATGTACTGCGGTTGGCTGCAATCACGTTGCTCGTATTGTGTAACAACTATTGCTTAGGTCCGCCATATTCTTTGTGAAAAACACGGCAGAGCAATGGAGGCCCTCGCTAAAATCAAAGAAGATAATATGCGATTCGACAAAGTAGCAGAGTTGTACTCGGAGGACAAGGCTAAAGCAGGTGGATCCCTTGGATGGATGGTTCGTGGTTCCATGGTTGGACCCTTCCAAGACGCTGCATTTGCGTTGCAGCCTAGCACTTGCGATAAGCCTGTCTTGACCGACCCTCCAGTCAAAACTGTACATGGTTATCACATCATTATGGTTGAGGATAGAAAATAAATGATAGGACTGGGGCGGCTATACGGCGCTTTGTCAAGCTCTCTTAATTAGGATAATAATAATCGATCCTGAATTTCGGATAAATATAGCCATCAACTTTTTGAACTGATTTGGACATCATCGTAGCTACTCGATATGCTCTGTTTTGCAGATGTTATTGGATGATAGGGTTATTTTAGGATCCAGTAAGCGTCTCGGTACGACTGTAGCAACGAGGTGCATTGCGCCAGTGATACGTGCTCGCGGGCTACAACATGATGCGATGACATATCGGTGAAACGTACAAAGGCAAAAAGGTTTATATAAACTGGTGTTGGATGCAGCATTATTTAGCACAGCCACTAAGAAAATGAGGGGAGTCAATACCATAATCCTTCTTACATCTTGCCTTAGCTATCTACCCTTTTCACATGCTGTACTTGAAGCTCCAGTGGTTGACCTCGGTTATGTTAAATACACTGGAACTTCAAATGCTACAGTGGGTATAAATTATTATTACGGTATACGGTATGCCAGTCCTCCTATCGGAGAAAGAAGATGGAGGAAACCTGTCTCCATTGAAAAGGATAATTCCTATAATGGCAAAACTATCCACTTGTCTGAGCCTTCACAAATCTGCTACCAAGCCAATCCAGGGCTTCCACTGGCTATAACAGGTGTTGCAAGCGAAGACTGTCTCTCTTTAGATGTGTTGGTTCCCAAAGACAAGAAAGAAGGACTATTGCCTGTGATTTTTATGATTCACGGAGGAGGTTTCAATATTGGCTCCTCAACCGCCCTCACCCCAGCTGAATCTATTCTCTATCGCAGTAATGGCAGTGTCATCTATGTCGGAATACAATATCGCTTAGGCATGCTCGGGTTTCTAGGCGGAAGCGAGGTTGCAAAGCATGGAGACTTGAATGTTGGTCTTTTGGATCAACGTCTGGCCCTTCAGTGGGTAAAGGACCATATTCAAGCATTCGGAGGAGACCCAAACAAGATTACTCTCGATGGTGGTTCCGCCGGAGGTGCTAGCGTTACCCTTCACTTGCAAGCTTATGGTGGAAAGCGAGAGAATCTTTTCAGATCTGCTATCGCGGAATACCCTTGGTGGCAATCATTGAAGCCAGAAAGCTACCAAAATGAGCAATACCAAACCGTTCTTCAGCAGTCCAATTGTACCTCCATTGACTGTCTCAGAAATCTGTCCACCGATACAATCAAAGAATTGTCTGCAAGCACAGAACCAAAATGGGCCGACTCCAATGACAAGAAATACGCCTATGGCGACTTTTACTATGGACCTGTCGTTGACGGTGACTTTATATTGGAACTACCTTCTGTCGCGTTTGCTTCTGGACGGTTTACTAAGGTTCCTATATTGATTAATCACGATTCTGATGAAGGCTTCGTGTTCAGTGATCCAAATGAGACCTCTCAAGAACTTGTTCAAGATCTGAATGCTCTTTTCTTTAACCCACCACAGCCATTTTTGGATACGTTGGACCTGCTTTACTCACCTTCTGCATATAACAACTCGGTATTTAACCGACGCAAAGCTATATTTGCAGATAACTACATCAATTGCGGTACTGAAATAGTTGCAACGTCCAGCGTTCATTATCTGAAGAATCCTTCTTCTGTTTACAAGTTCATTTCATCCGCCTCCTACGGCTACCATGGGACTCTATCCCAGTACATCTACAATGTAAATCCAGATGGTCCTTTCGGTCTTAATGACACACTTGGCTACTTCTTGCAAGATTACTACCTATCTTTCATCAAGCACCAAGACCCAAATGTGGAAAAAAACGTATCAGCCCCACATTTCCCCTCGTACGCATCAGGAAACAAGATACTTTTGGTGTCAGACGAAGATATAACTACCGTTGTGGATCCAGATCAACGAGAGCAGTGCTACTTTCTCCATAGATGGTCAAATCATACAAGAAATTAAACTGTAGACTTTCAGCCTTATAACAATAAAAGCGGTTTCGATTGGATGGTCGATACAAACGGTTTCCACTGCATACCGAGAGTATCGATGAAGTGGCAGTATAGTCGATAAAAAAAAAAAGTGATTGATGTACTGCAGTGTACATAGGGATATACAATTTTAGGATATCAAAGAAATTTTATCTGTCTAGCTCTATATTCCCTCTTGATATATACTGTGGTTTCAGATTCCTTGCACTGTGGTATAGTTACGATTGGGTTTGCTTATCAAACAGGGACGACGATCGCATTCAACTCAGAACAGGACTTGAGCGCCACGCCATTGTGATTGGTCGCAAAAATATGGACAGCTTATTTTGGTGGAACCCTTTTCCCCAGGGTCCTTTTTCTTTGACAATCCCTTTTTACTTTCTTCCATAATGGAACTACACGCTTATTCCAAAAACGACTATGAATTCGTCAAGAAGCTTTATATAGGTGCATTGCAAGAAAGCACAAGACGAGCAGTCAAGGACGTACTATTGCAGCCCCGAACTATTCGTATACTTTGTATGGTGATACCTATCTCCTGTTACCTGATATATCAAGGATTCACTACGATGTTGCGTTGGGAACCTGTCCAAGCTTACTTGTATTCAATGATGGCTGTTTTAGTGATATCTACTATGATACTGGGAAGTACCTATCAGATGTTTTCTTCGGGGATCAAGAAATCGGTTCTGGCCACGTTTGAGAAAGACATGTCCGACATACCAGCAACGTTTGATTTGGTTATGAACAACGACGAATGCTTCGAGCCAACTGGCGTTTCCAATGTATGGATTGCAACAATCAATGGCGAGAAGGCTGGATTTCTCACAATGCATAACGGAGGCAGTAAATCTTGTGAAATCCGGAAAATGGCTGTTGTCGGCAAGCACAGACGACGGGGACTGGGTGAGTTGATGACTCGGCAAGCCATCGTTTGGGCCAAGGACCACCGGATGGAAACGATTTTTGCATTGAACGTCTCAAGTGCGCAAGTAGCAGCTTGTGAACTCTTTGAGAAATGCGGATTCACAATTAGCAAACAAAAGCCTGTTATACCAGGATTTGGATACCTTGCTTACGAGCTTTCCACAATAAATCGATGAAAGATCATCTTTGTTTGAGACCCCGAACGCTCCCCTTACTTACTGTTCTTATACCACTATGGAGAGCAAGGAATCGCCTGCTATAGATTTGAGTATGTAACATGCCTTGTTGATTTTTTTATTTTGAGATGGGAACTAATAATGGTTGTAGCTCGTTCTCAATACGACCTGTCAACATACTTTGGACGAATCCGACATTTTGTGGAGATCACTGATCCCCGGTAAGTTATGGAGATTGCCGCCTAGCTTAGGATGTCCAATTCTAAATTTGTCGCGCAGAACTTTACTTGTCTCTCCAGCAGGTGTAAAGAAAGCGCAGGCACTGATCGAGGACTACAATGCTGGAAAAGTCAAAGGGGTTGAACCTGCTCAGCTGTTGAAAGCAAAGCAGAGTAAGCATATGATCCACCGCACCTAGTATATTGAAAGTAAACCTCGCATTTGACCACGCTTCATCCAGTTGTTGATTCTACAATTCATCCCGATACTGGAGAACCCGTACTGCTACCGTTTCGTATGTCAGCATTCGTGCCTACCAATTTGATTGTCGTAGCAGGCATGCTTATGCCAAACCCCACGGTAAGGATCGCCTTATGTCGACATACAGTGGAACACGCATTTGATGATATGACTCGGTAGATCAAAAGTGTTATATTCTGGCAATGGTGTAATCAATCTCTCAATGTTGCCGTGAACTACTCCAACTCCAACAAAACAACGCCCATGAGTATGCAAGAAACAGCTGGTAAGCGAGAGGAAAATGTCTGCCATTACTGCCAATTAATAATTGTGTATATCTAGTGGCGTATGTGTCTTCGGTTAGCACATCGTGCTTGATTGCAGTAGGGTTGACGCAGTCGGTACCAAAATTGAAGATAGCGCCAAGCGTCAAGAGCTTGCTCATGAAATTGGTACCATTTACTGCCGTAGCTGCCGCCGGAACAGTCAATGTCTTTCTGATGCGAGGCAAAGAGATTCGAGAAGGAATTGATGTATATGACGAAAACGGGAACTCCGTTGGAAAGTCCAAGATTGCCGGCTTAAACGCTGTTTCGCAGGTAACCGTTTTTGTTGACATTGTTGCTGGATAAACAAACCCATTAAAATCATTCTTTTAGGTCGCCATCTCACGTGTACTTACCAATGCTCCCGTATTAGTCATTCCGCCGCTACTTATGGGTCGTCTCCAAACAACTGAGTTCTTGAAAGCACGGCCCGGTATGTCTGCGCCGATTAACCTGGGTAAGTAGAAACCACGAGTACATAGCACATGATAATCAGATTTTTTGTCCAGATGAGCTAAATTACATTGGATAGGTTTGATCGGGTTGTCGCTGATGACAGCACTACCTGCAGCAATTGCAGTTTTCCCTCAGCGAGGTAGCTTGAAAACAGAAAAAATGGAAGAGGAGTTCCGTAATATTAGAGATAAAGACGGTAAAAAATTGAACACCTTGTTTTACAACAAAGGTTTGTGAAATTGCGGTGTTCACTTGCGGGTGTTCACTTGCGGTGTTCACGCCTTAATAAAAAATAAAAATTTAAATTTTGCACAAGCACACAAAACTTGGAGCTTCCTCTATACCCCAATGCACATATAGATTTCAACAAACCATCATTAGAGTCGTCCAGAATTTGTCTTTTATAGTGCGCTGAAAAAGATTATTCAACATGAAAGAAAAGAAGCATCCAGGTGATGAAAAACCCAGGCATCTCACTTCAACAGCTCAACATCGCCGCCAAATGTCAGGGATGGACCAACCAGCATTTCACGGCATCCAGATCAATATCCGATCCGATCCTTTTCAACATCGAATCCCATCGCATTTAAATAGGCTGTGGCAGGAATCACGCTTTCGAAAAGCTCTTTCTCGAGGTCGTTACCGAGCTTTAAGACGCTACCACCGCTTAACTTACGCTCAACGCATCGCAACCATTCTGGGTCTCATCCTGTGTTGCCTGTTACTCCTCTCACATGTCGGGTTTTTCAGTGGTCAGAAATACGACAACCTTCATCACGAAACTCACGAAAATCCCAACCCTCCTCCCCCTCCTCCCCCTCCTTTGAACGAAATTGATTTACTCGAGAAAGTATATCCCGAAGACGGCCGAGGACAAGCTACGGCCATTCTCTTAAATTGGAGTCGGCTCGAAAACATGAAGATCATTATTGACAATCTCTGTCAATATGATATGTTTCAAAGCATCATGGTTTGGAATAATAACGGAGCAGTCAATTTAACCTCACAGGTAAGTTTCGGTTTCAGGGATCACACCGGGCTGTCTGTTTTGCTGACTCGGGTTGAATCTGTTCTAGATGCTAGCTACCCCATCTTGCCCGTCGTCGAAAATTTTGATATACAATTCCCCTGGCAACATGCATTTCATTGCCAGATACATGGCCTGCGCAATGGCACAAACTCCATATTGCTATTTCCAAGATGACGATTGGATCATACAGCACTTGCGAAGCATGTATGCCAACTTCTTGCGATTCCCACATCTCGTTCATACAGACACCAATGCCGACGTTTATTCTTTGACGAACTGGAAATGGTGCTTTTATAATAATCGTAAGTGCTTGTGACAAATGCCGCGCCTTTCCACTGCTGCTGCTACTGTTGGAGGATCATGTTGCTGATTCTTGGCTCACTTCCCTCAGCTATTCATTTGCACACTTGCTTTTCTTGGGTCGGCACCGGAGCTTTTGCTTCACGGGAAAACGTTGTAAAGTTTTTGAAGTTGGCCGCCGTAACTGACATGGATCCATTGGAATTTGCGTACGGAGACATGTATTTTACAACGTATATGAATCAGCCACCGTACCAAATCCAAAACGACTTGCGAGAATTGCCTCAAGAAAACGCCTTCTCAGCAGGTGATGGTAGAATAAGAAACAAGATTTATATGGTACGCTCCCGTATGACAATGCTTTGTTTGATATTTGAAGCCTTATGAATCCGATTACTCTATAACAGCACAAAGCACTGGCCAGAATGATGGATCACTTGAAAGCAGATAGCAGTGCTTTCCCGCGACATGAAGTTTCCCCAACCCTATATGAGCGAGATATTAGGTAAGCAAGGACGTGGTGAGGAGGATCAAGACGGGAATGTGAGTGACTGAATGATCGCCCTATTTTGCAGAGCTCCTTGCCAAGACGATAGATGTTTGATGATGACCAATAGGCACGCATTCCCTGATGTTCGGCTATTTCTCTATCAACCTGCTGTCAACATTAGTGAATCAGAACGCATTCATGACGAGTACTATAATTCAGATTATTTCATCGCTCATCCATATTCCCATGCAGTGGACGGAAACGACAATACCGCGTGGAGAACACTAGACAGTATGTGCCTCTCAAGTTGCTAGTGCATCATGTACGTTTTGCTAATGACATTGTTGCATAGATATCCGAGCGGGAGATTATTTTGGTCTGGACCTGTTACTCCCAATTCCAGTACCTGTAGTGTATCGCTTGCTTGTTGATCAACCTAGGGAGTATTTTGCAAACACCGTCATTCAGACTTCCATCAACGGAAAGACTTGGGTATGTCTGCCATATCGGAAAGAAGTCCATTGGAAAGTAACGATGACACTGACTTTATCCTTTTCAGACCAATCTCAACCCAAGACCTCGAATAACTTCTGAACCTTTCACCAATGCAAAAGACCAACTTCTTACGCTATGTAAATTCCATGTACCAAGTACCAAGTATCGATTCATTCGGCTACAAACCCAAACCGATCTGGACTATCCGTATGTCGTAATAGATTTTTCCTTTAGCGCGCGAGCACGCCGAGACGCCAACGGTCAGCTTCTGGGTTTGGATACTGAGAATGATGGAGGAACCGCCTTTTTGGAGGACTACTTTGAATCAGGCGACAACAACGGTAGATACGGACATGAAGCTGAAGATCGTCAAAACCGATAATCTTGTTTGAAACTCCAGAAAGATAGACATGCTTTCATAGGATGGCTTAGAACCTCTTGTACATTTATTCTTTTTCCACTAACAGTGTAATAATGAGCGAGCACCAGATGCAATATTTCCTTTGTTGGATTTCGAGTGGAGTGAGAGCATCTGCACTGATGCAAAGCACCGGTCGGTGCGCGTGACTTGTAATTTTTCATTTAGCTTTTCTGCGCTGGTGCCATATCACCTTTTTTTGATTCATGAGCAACATCTTTTTTCCCCAATTTTTAAAGCGATTCCTTTCTTTGCCTCCAACCGAACGTATTACATACGCCCAGGGATGTTTTCGTGATCTGCAGGTTTTGCAGTCAAAGCGCCTGAAAGATGCCCGTGACCCAACATCCACATTCTCTCTTTCCACCGCGCTCTCACCAAGCCTACAGGACAAAAACCGTTATTCAGATATCATACCCTTCAATCATACTCGCGTTGTGCTTGATAGTATAGCAAATGATTATATCAATGCAAGCCACATCACACCCCCCTATAATATTCCTCGATCCTATATTGCTGCTCAGGGCCCGGTGGAAGAAAGCATCTCTGATTTTTGGGTCATGATTTTAGAGCAACACAGTACAGTCATTGTATGTTTGACTCCAGAAATTGAAGGCGGTCGCCATAAATGTGCGCGATATTGGCCAACGTGGGAGGAAGATAGAATACAAGTGTTCAAACTTGGCCGATCCAAGAAGCTGGTGGTGGAATGTGTGCAGCAAGAAGAATATCACAATGATGCAGAGTGTCACATTCGTCGGATTCAGGTTCAGCTATTCGAAGACGATACTTCAACGTCAACGTTGTCCGTCACACAATTACAGTTCTTGGGATGGCAGGATCATAGTGCCCTAGACTCCACCTCTAGTATTCTGCAACTGATTCAATTATCCAACCATCTGCAAGCGCAGAATGCCCAAAGCGGGCCGGTGACAGTTCACTGTAGTGCCGGATGTGGAAGGACAGGAACCTTTTGCGTTATCGATTCAGCTCTTGCTTTAACCAACATGATGGAACAAGGCGTGCTCGCAGATGATGGACAGGATTACATTTTTGAACTTGCAGATTCGTTTAGACGTCAACGAGTGACCATGGTGCAAGCACCTTCTCAATATTACTTTTGTTATTTAGCTCTAGCAGATGCCCTGATGTCGTAGGTGGCATCCCAAGGACCCGGCTGTGACCTTTTTAATTATATAACCGTAAATATACTACTGTATCCATTGCTATCTAGTGTGTGTTATATCTAGAGTGATTGCGGAAGTGAGCATTAATATGTTTTTCAATGGTGGTAGCGTCATCCATTGGTATCTAGTGTGTGACATATCTAGAGTGATTGCGGAAGTGAGCATAAATATGTTTTTCAATGGTGGTAGCGTCATCCATTGGTATCTAGTGTGTGGCATATCTAGAGTGATTGCGGAAGTGAGCATAAATATGTTTTTCAATGGTGGTAGCGTCATCTCTGCGATGAAAACTATCCCTTTTCTTTTGATCTTGGATATATGCAATTTACAATGACAAAGTGCAATGACAAAGAGACACTTCATCGGCTTTATTGATCCAATGGAAGAACACTGTGTTTTCATACACCATGGCCGGCCGCGCGAAATGTCTGCTCACGTTCATCCACCATCAGGCCAAAGACATCGGATCTAGAGTAATGACCACTGACGTCCATATCAAACTTTCCACTGCACACACATGGTTAGAAAAGCCATATGAAGCATAACCATTTTACGTTATCACTTACCCCGAAATATCATCCAGATCAATATCCGCCACCAACAAGCCTTCCGTTTCACGCAATGGGCCAGCCAAAACGTTGCCCATGGGTCCAATAATCATACTTCCTCCGGCAATGACAATAGCTTGAGGGTCTTTTTCAATAAACGGATGGTCCTCGGGATAATGCGATTGCTGAGTAAATTGGCATGCTGATAATACAAAGCACCTGCCTTCTAGAGCTATATGCGTCATAGTCGACGCCCAGACACCGCGATCATCCACGGTTGGCGCACAATAAAGTTGGACGCCTTTCGAGTAGTAATGCGCTCGCAGCAAAGGCATGTAATTTTCCCAACAGATGGTCGCAGACGTACGGACTCCAGTTTGTGTTTCAATGACGGGAAGAGTGGAGCCGTCACCGCATCCCCAAATCAATCGCTCAAGGCCGGTTGGCATTAGCTGTCGTTGAAATAGCTTGGTGTTCAGGAAACGGGATGGACAAACAAAACTCTAAACGGCCAACGTACCTTTCTATGTTTTCCCACGTACCCCCGGTCGGGATGAATGAACACCGCAGTACAGTATAGCGTACCACCGTGTTCTTCACGTTCGATAACACCAACGACCATGAACATACCATGCTTGCTGGATATCTCGGCCAATTGATCGACATAACGTCCTGGCACTGTGATAGCACCATTAAAGTATCTGGTAAACTCCTTGCGGCCTTCAGGAGTACGGTTACCTACATAAGCGCCGAAGGTGGATCCTTTGGGATAGCCTCCTATATATGCTTCAGGAAAGACGATATGCTCTACTCCTTGTTCTGCAGCATCTTTGGCATACTCGCGTAGCTTCGTTATGGCGTCTTCTGGCTTCCAAGAAGCTGGTGTACCGACTTGAGCAACTGCGACTTTCATTGCAACCGTTGAAAGGAAGAGTAACGGTAAGGAAGAGTAACGGTAAGGAAGAGTAAGGGTAAGGAAGAGTAAAGGTAAGAAAGGTTTAGTCCGTCCCTTCGGGCCAAGCCAGGCCAAATGCATGTTGCGTGACTGACAATTCTTTCAGTAGCCTGGGCGGGAGCTGCTAATCTACCTGTGTCTTGCTTTTGCGTTATCCCCCGCAGTGGCTACAATAGCAATGTGTCGTCTCCACTGCTGGAACAACATGCCTGAAACAAACACGTCAAAATGTACCCAGGACAATATTGCACGTCGAAATATACCCAGGACAATATTACAGCTCCTGTGGAACAGCAGACTCGTAGCATTTCAGCTTATCACGGGGATTATCATGAAAATTTTTTAGCAGTGGGAGGTAATCAAACCAAAGGTGAAGAAGACTGGGATGGATGAGATATCTCAGTTTCTGAATTCGCAGTTGGAAAAATAACCAATATTCGTCTTCCGAAGCCGGACTCCACCTGCAAAGAGATTCAAGCTGGCGCCTCTGCCAAAATGATATGCATGGATATCACTTGGACTTTTTCGCCCCCCCCCCCGAACACTCTACCGACCTACAGCAAGTGTCGACCATCAAACACTTTTGCCAAAAGCAAAAAAAGTGATATCAAGGTTGCTGTGGACTTTATACATCGTTATCGAGCAAGTGTAGGACTACCACGCAGCACCTCCACCGAGGGAACGATGGATATCCTACTGGCACCGACTTCTTCCAAGGTCAAGCGTTACGTCTTGACAGGAACCAACGCGATATTCTGCAGGTCCTTGGATGCCTCAAAGGACAACAAAGAGTACCAGAAGCAGCTACAGCCAAAGATTGAAGTGACCCATACACTGTAAAGTTGGTGCTCACTACAGGGATAGAACCAACTCTCCGACTAAGCTAAGCAACGCAACGCAACCTATCTTTGTAGCATGAACAACGAGGCAACATTCAACAGAGTCTGTTCGGGCCAAGACCCAAAAGCTAACAAAAGTCATCGGCATTGGAAAAAGTCTCCCGGTTGCTACAAAACCAGCCCAGGAGTTGTGAATCTCACCATCAGCAGGAAGGCGCTTTACTAACTCACTCTGAAGGCAAGATTCGACCGCGAGCGTCGCAAGACACGGCATGTGTATCGGACAGAATCTCTTTTTCCAATGAGAAGGCAGTTTCCAAGGGACTAGGTGTGGACGAGTTCTACACGTGCTGCCAAGAGATTGTGGGTACGCGTCAAAGGTCACCAGGAAGCAACGCGCAGCGTCTTCAGCAATGTCAAGCGAGCCCATATGTAGTCCTTTTTTCTACATTCTGCCGCTTGTCTCTCCCTGGGCCTTTGATTCCTTACAATGGTCTTTACTAAATCGCACGGATAGATTTGTAGTTCTACTGTTTCGAAACTCCACATATAAATTTAAGCGATCCCTTCTTCAAAACTCCACCTATAAATTTAAGCGATCCTCTTTCAAAACTCCATATAAATTTAAGCGAAACTCTTTCAGGAGCACATGGAAATGCGAGAGCACCTTACTTTTTTTTAAAATCGGGTCCTAGGCGCCATGGTGTTGGGGCAGGCTTAGCCCGCGGTACAAATGGGGGGTGATATACGATTGACTTGACAATAAGGCCATAATTCCTTGGATTGGTAAAGATTTAGTAGAATTCATTTGGGGAGGATATATTCAGTACGTGGACAATCTCGCGTAGTAACTTTTGGGTAATTGCATCTGCATGTGATCACTGACTTATACTATCGTGAACTTTCTACCATGAAGATAGGCAAATAAAGCGTTCCGCAAAGCAATTCTTCAAACATGGCCTGCATAAGGCCAGCCAACAAATAACATAATATCATGAAATGAACCCTGTCGACCGTAACTGAAAATAGGGTCGACTTAACTCGCTCCCTTGAAGGTAAATGGCGCCAGGGAAGGAGCCATTGGATGATCAAATAACCATACAAATATGTGGTCAAATTGACTCGCACCTAGCACAAACAGAGTAGCATCTACCCAACGCAAGCAGAGTTTGGCCCTGAGCTTACTGGGTTCCGAATGAACGATGCAATGCTGAAGGAGGTGAAAAATTTCACAATGTGATGTACCACATATAAAAATATTTAATCATCTATCGGGGACTGAATGCATTGTTCTTTTACATTTCCACTATACTTTTGTCTATTTGACCTTGCTCTCTAGAAACCTTACAGTACAGTACACTGACTGGTACAAAAACAGTAAGAACAGGGCTAAAGTCTATCTTACGCCATGAATACGCTCATTTGTTGCCAAGAGCTGGCCGTTACAGCATCTTTCTTGCGTAGACAGGCTTCCCTGTTAATCAATTACTATTTGGCGCATGCTGGTAATACTGAAAACTTTTCTCTTCTCAATGGCCATGATTGGAACTGTATGTTGTCTGCTCCAGTTTCTCAATATAAAATGTGCTTCACTAGATTATCATTTACCTGCAAGCACCGCTCAATGGCAACCGCTTTTCACGTATGCACAAAAATTGTTTCTGGACATTCCAGACAGAACAAGAGTCCAGCCAACGGACACTTTGAGCTCTTTACGATGATAACTTCAGTCAGCATCACATAACCCAAACGGAATTCAACGCCCTACCTTTTGTACTCTCCAAATCATGAGATATAACGCTCGTACGATGGTGGCTAATTTCAACGTTCAACTACAAGCAAATTTTCTTCAGGTATCAGGCGTTCGTCAGGCGTTCGTTGAAGAGTACATCCCCGAGGATTTGGATCAAGGTGTGTCAAGCATAAACGAATAAACCAAATGACTTTTACCCTTTTTAATCGCATTCATATGCTCGTCATTTCTGCCGCCTGTTCGTCAGACAAGCGTTATGCGGACGTCAATCATGAGCAGATACCTCCCGATTCAGACCTGGAGCAATATCATGTCTACTCCATGAAGAAGTAGTCCAAGCTGATGAAGCACCAGATGATGGAAACGAAGACGAAAATAGCGATGATGAAGATTTTGATTTTAACAGTGATGACAACTGTACTGATAGCGACAATGAAAGTGAACCTCTTGGTAACGCAACGACAGGATGGTCAGCTTTGGATAAACGAAATATATTCCTGTTGACAGACTCTATTACAACATCGCCGAGCTATAGGTGCATTACTCCTTGTTCCTCTCACACAAGACCGCCGCATAAAGTTCCTTGGAAAACGGAATATGGGAAGGCTAGCATTCTCCTTTTGTCCAAGCTGTGTTATTTGTCATTTTTGAAATGTCAAAATGCTCTCCGCAACTCTACGCGCTTTGTCCTCTTTCCGGAATACAAGATGACAACCAAGCTGACCAGGAGATCCTTTTCTATTTACGACAATCGTATATTCAACCGTGCAATGAAGAAGCACTATACAAGTTGGACGTCCATCAATTGTCGTACCAAGAGGTCGCCCAAGACGAGGTCAGCTTGTCTGGGATGACGACCAGTTGCCTGTGGGGGCAAATCTTTTAGTTGTCAACTCTTGGCATCCATGAGGATTTTCACACATTAGCAATGACTACAGACGGGTTTGGGGCCAATGTAACAACTGGTGAAAGCGGAACGGCTGAAGAAAGTGATGATGAGGATGAAGATCATGAGCAGCCATCGAATATCAAGGCGATGTGGGTCATATCATGTCGGAGCAAGCGGCTATCCATAGCAATGGATCGCCTAGAGCATATTTACTATGCTGAGCGAGACAACGTAGAAAATTCCTTGTTTGATGATGGCCATGTCATAGACGGTCGCAATAACAGTGCTGGTAAGTCGGATGGCCATGCCATAGACGGTCGCAATAACAGTGCTAGTAACTCGGATGATGCTATCGGCCAACCACCACACATATTTGAGCTACCGGAAATTGTGCGGGACAGCGTTGAGGGGTGGGAGCAATACCTTACGATAATTTACATAGCTGGGCCAGTTCTATAGACGATGGCACAGAACAAGGGAAATGTCACTTCAGTCAGCAATGGCTACCTTCAAGAACACACTATTGACACCGGAAACCCACATGCCTCGTATGAAAAAGGTCAGTGATCCACCACGGCAACTTCCAGTGTCTCCTGCAGAAGTGACAGTAGTGGCTTGGGGAAATGGTAAGAAAGGGACAGCCACCAATGCCAAATGAAGCTTTGTGGAACTGCATTGCGAAATTCGCAACTGTTCTGCATGTGGATGAGTACAAGACGAGCCAAGTCTGCCCATGTCGAAGACAAACCTTTCTCTATGAGGTATTGTAACTGTTTAACCAATGAAACTTCAATACTTTGTAGCTAATGTCTGTACATACCGCTACCCAAAAAAGAGTCGTAAATAATCAAGCGTTATTGGAGGTGAACTCTTTTTTTCACTGTCACCCAACAACATTGGTAGCTTGCCTTGACAACATGTCCCACAGGCCCCACCAGGCGGCGCAGGTTCCTTTCAGATATTGCAAACGCCCCAACAGCCATTGTAAACAAATGTAAAGCTGAAGACATATATAAAGCTGGCCGTTTGCGCCTCTTCAAACCCACATCCTCTCTTGGCCCCACTTTTTTCAAAAAGTCTCCAGGGCTCCTTCGCCGAGCAATGCATACCTCCAACTTGAGCTGCAGGAAGGGAAAGGCGAGCTGCATCACAAGGATATATGGGTATCGATTGTGCCGAAGGAAATCGCAGCTGTTCTCATAGGAATCTACGAGTCCCTGACAGAGACAGTATGCGAGAAAGTGCAGTACGCAAAAGGTTGCTGCCAACAGCCACTTTCATTGTGCCGCTTGTCTCTACCAACAGAAACATAAGCGCCAGAAATTTATTTAAAAGTACCGGCGCTCAATAAATTCCATACAAAAAAAAAAATCTACCAACAGAAACATGCCGCATATGTTGCATGGCTCAAGGCAGTAAGGCCGCAAATACTGCCCTGCCTTTCCATTACTCAATGTTATGTATTCACATCACGTGCATATAAATCTATATAGCTTTCCGTACTTTAGTAATAAAAAGCAACTTTTCTCCTTGACATCAATGCTCCAGAGAATTAATACCAAGTCTAAATAAAACATCATTTTCGAACCGTAGCAAAAAAAAAAATTTTAGTCCCGATGGACAAACGTGTCCTATTCAATTTGGCTGCCACAAGCCGATATATCATTTTATTCACTCAAGCATGGCTTCAAACCATGCAGTGATAAGCGCCATGCCATACCGTTGGTCCTCGGTAAGAATTAACTCTACAAGCTGTGTCAGTTTACTTCCTACAGACATTTACACAAGGTTGTTACAATAAGCGCTAAAACGTTTCTGGGAACACTGTATCTACGAAGCTTCTCCATTACCCCTCATTAATTTTTTTCTATACAAAAGATAACATAGTTGCACCACGGCATTCGACTATAGCCTTCGCCTCTGCCAAAGCTGAGGTGGAAACCACACTCAAAGTCACACTGAAAATTTTCATTTCGGTGGCTTGGCTGTTTTTCTTTCCCCGCCTAGACATAAAAAATTTTCCACTCTTCGCACCATTAAAACTTTCTCTCTCCCGCAACTCATTTCAATGGCTGGCACGTAATGTATCGCTTTTGTTTATCTCACTCTATCTTCTACCCGTTCTAGGTCTCTCGCGATCCAAGCATTCGATTCATTCGATTCGTATTGGGGAGACTCTTGGTGTGTCAATACTTTTGTCTGGAGATCTGCCTTGCCAATCTCCAGGAAATGGGATCTACGGAAGTCCTTTCTGTTATCCTGAAATACAGCATGTGGTAGTGCCAGAGCAATCTGGCCTACTGTCATCCCAGTCTCGTTCTGTCCAAGAATCAAGTACTGGGGATTCTGTTGATGCGATGTACTGCCTTTGGACCTGATGATTTCTGACTCTTGCGATATACAAAAAAAATTTTCTGTATCCCTCGCTCGTGCAAGATCTTTCAAACCCAAACAGCAGAAACAACACATTGCTTCAACTAAATACATTCATCGGATTACACTCTTCTTTTCGCTAAGAATCGCCCTCGCGCTTTTCACAGCATCCGATGTTATTGACAAAGTTTTCATGGACACTGACAAGTATTGATTTCATCTCGTATGTTCTCGTTGCCAACAACAGTACCGTCCCCACCGCTGAGCAAGTTCTCGTTCCCGAAACTCTTCTCAAGAAGAGAAAGTCCAACGAAAAGTCCGCTGCTGAAGCCGCTGCCAAGAAGGTCGAGCTCAAGAAGGTAATTATCTCTCTCCCGTGCCATGCGGAATGAAACTTGTTGCAAGTGTGATGATACGGAACAACCAAACGAACGACTAGCTTAATTGCAATGTGGTCTTCAATACCATCTTTCGGGGCTGACGCGCAACTGTTTCATTCCTCATCGCTACTGCATGCCTCTACACATATAACTAACTCATCCCACCACCAGGCTCAACGTGCTAAGCGCAACGTCATCTTCAAGCGTGCTGACCAGTACGTCCGTGAGTACCGTGCCAAGGAAGCCGATGAGGTCCGTCTCCGTCGTCAGGCCAAGTCCAACGGTAACTTCTACGTTCCCGCCCAGCCCAAGCTCGTCTTCGTTGTCCGTATCAAGGGTATCAACCACATCGCTCCCAAGCCCCGCAAGGTCCTCCAGTTGCTCCGTCTTCTCCAGATCAACAACGGTGTCTTCCTCCGTCTCACCCACGCTACCGCTCAGATGCTTCAATTGGTCGAGCCCTACGTCGCTTACGGTACCCCTAACTTGAAGACCATCCGTGAACTCATCTACAAGCGTGGATACGGAAAGGTCAACAAGCAGCGCATCCCTCTCTACGATAACGCTGTCATCGAGCAAGTCCTTGGCAAGTACGGTATCATCTGCGTTGAGGATCTCATCCACGAGGTAAATATCCCCCCCCCTGCTCTTCCTTGACTTGAAATGCTACCCTCTTTAGCATTTCAAACTCCGACTTGCTCATCCTACTTCCTTGACTTGAAATACTAACCTCTTTATCATTTCAAACTCCGAAGATCACGTGTGTCGGTCCTAACTTTAAAGTGTGCAATAATTTTCTTTGGCCCTTCAAGCTCTCCAACCCCAACGGTGGATTCCATAAGCGCAAGTTCCTTCACTTCGTTGAGGGTGGCGACACGTAAGTTTAAAGAATAGATTTGTATAAATTTTGTGACTGCACATCCGAATTAGGAAATAACTCTATTTTTTTCTTTCTCCGATCAGCGGCAATCGTGAGCACTTCATCAACAACCTTGTCCAATCCATGAACTAAGTTGCTTAGGTGCAGTTGCTAGCACTTTGCTTGATAGCTATATAGTACTCTATGTCGTTGCGGGCATTTCAATAAAATTTGCAATTTGATTGTACGTGTTGTGAAGTAATGTAGTTTTAAGAATGTCAGGTGAATGCCAATGACTTAAGGTTTTTTGGGAGAGAGAGATTTTTACTGCTGAAGATACTGATGGTACTGAATAATATGAGTGCTATGCTATTGTGACATTAAGTAAGAGTCGGCTATTTATACTGCTTCATCTTGTTTTTTAGCTTTGAGTCGTCTACTTCTTGTTCTTCGGGTTTGGGTTCATCGCTTTGTGGCTCATCCAATTCTTCCGATTTTACGACAGTCTTGACGGAGGAGGTCGAAGCTTCGGCCGCCTTGGCCGCGGCCGCTGCCTTTCTACGCATCTAAAAGAGCAACAAGGCTCCCTTTAGTACGGTCTTTTAAAGCGAATATGCATATGCCGATAGCCAAGAGTGCCTCGACGTGTCTTACGGCGGTACTCTAAACATTCACTTGAACGGAAGCGCACATACCAGAGATTGCCTATTTTGCTCATTTACTTTTTCGCGATTAAGTTCACGGTATCTTCTTTTGCGCTCCAGAATCTTTTCTCGATTGTCCTATGAGCAGGTGTCAGATAGTGCAAACAAGCAACCCATAGCGTTCATCTAGCTTACCGTGTGATACTGTCTGCTGACTGCTCGGTTTTTTTCGATGTTTTTCTTTTCAAGGATCCATCAAGAAATTAGGCAATGAAAGCGGAACGCTAAGTGTGTACATTCACAATGAATATGGACTTTTACCTCATTGTGCTTTTTTCGAGACTCCTTCATCTTTTCAGGGTTTTTCTTCATGCCAGCATCAGTTGAAGTGTATGGGCATGTTTGCCTACATAGAGCAAATGATATCGACTTACTGTAACCCAAGCTTTGTGCCGTTCGTTGTGTTCCTCCATGTGGCCCTATTTGCAAGTATGAGTGAAAATACGTAGAACACGGCTGACCCAATAAGCAAATGCTTTACCTTTCGGTAGCGCTCGGTGGACGCGCGAACCTTGCCTGGGTTTTTCTTTATGTGCCGGTTAATCAACAGTAGCGAGCAACATTTGGAACAATACCCAAGAGGAGGTACCTACGTCTCTCCATGCCTTCGCCACCATTTTCTCTCTTTCTTTCTCTTCTGTGGTTCTGTTTCTCCATCGCTTACGGCCGTACTCGTTTCTTGCCTCTCGATTTCTCTATAATTTTGTTTCAGTCTGTGTCGACAACAAGTGTTATAAAGCTGTGCAGATCAATCCACTTTACCCAATAATATTGGCGAGCATATTCTCGAAACTTTTCTGGATTTTTCTATTTGGCGAATTCGGTTAGCTCGAACGAACGGAAAGGTTGAACGGATAGGTTGAACGGAAAGGTTGAGCTTCCTTCAGCATAAATCAGAAGCCACTCACCAGTTGATATGCTTTGAAGCGTTGTTTGAGTTTCAAAACATTTTCGGGTTTCTAGGCATCATGTGTCAGTTTGTTTAACGAGAGCAAGATTGCAAACGGTGTTGACTTACTTGGCAATAGTTTCGCACTTGCTCGCGGACTTTTTCTATATTTTTCTGTATACAATTGTTAGGCTGGGCAAGGTAATCAAGCGTGTGCACAAAAGAAAAGGCTATGTACTTACTATTCTCCAAGCTCTCTTTCTCTGCTTGACTTCTTCTTTGTTTTTCTGTATGCATACTTTATTATAAGGGAACGGCAACAGCTTGAATTCCATGGGAGGCGTCGTAATATACCTTGTAGTATCTTCGCCACCTGGCTTTCATCTTCTCAGGGTTATTCTAAAAGTGGTGTCAGTTGAAGGCGACGAACATCACATCATGTCTATACAGTATTACCTTGCTCCACATCCTATCATATTCTCTTTTTTGCATGACTTTGTTCTGCCAAGGTGTCCTGATTAGCAGTGTTTTCAACATGTCACGATAAAAGAAAATCGCCAGTACCGGATACTCTTCTTTCAAAACCTATTTACGATTTGATAAGTCAAGATTATGTGGGCAAATTTGCAAACAGAAATAGAACTTACGAGGTTTTTATCGTCCTTCGGAGGACAATCTAACAACCTGTATTGGCAGAGTTCGATATATGCAATGAGCATTTGTATTTCAAGATCGTTGTGTGGTGCATTTTTCATTTCTCGCACGCGCATAACAAAGTCAAGATGTCTGAAGTCTTGTGGGCTGTCGAGACTATCCCATCCAGCTAACTTTTGAAGGCTGTTGTAGACTTCCAGCGGTTTGGAGTACAAGTCCCTGTAAACGAGTATGAACGTTATATGTTTATATATATTCTCATTGCCATTATTTCTTAACTTACCCAGCCATTGCCAGCACAGTTGATCGCAAGGATCCATTATCCTTTGCAAATTCTGCTTGATAGCGGTCTTCGAGAGCAGTGACAGTGGCACACCAGGAGATTCCTTGAAGTCGCAAAGACTGCTGTTGGCTTGGCATGACCAACAGAAGCCTTTTTGCATATTGTACTTTCTCGCATACTGCCTCTGTCAGAGACTCGTATATTTCTATAAGTACAGCTGCGATTTCCTTTGGCACAATCAATACCCATCTATCGAAATGATGTTCCTTCACTTTTCCCATCAGAAGTATATGAGCTTTGGAATGGATATCAGGGTATTGCGATGTGATGAAGACGTTGATTTTTTCCATCAAGACTTCAAGAAGGATCTTGTCCGTCAAGACAATGCAAAGGTGCCTCAACTGCCTTGTGGCATCCGTGTAGCGTATTTGACTAACAACGCAGCCATCAGACATGATGAGTCCAAACAGAAACATCACCATCCGGTCAAAGTCAGGGAAAAAGGTCTTGATCTTTTCAGGATCGGTCCTCAAGACTTTGGAAGAGGGCAGACCAAGCTGACGGTAACTCTTTTCAAAATCCTTGTTCGGACATGTCCAGCGCATACCGCTTGTTGTGACGTTGCCCTTCTTCAACAGAGCAGACTTCGAAAGTGACGAGTTACGAAAGCTAAGGCAGATCACATTAGGCCACCATATAGTTCGTTGAGAATACGCAAATGTAAATTTTTCGCTTACACAAACTTTGGGTTGGAGACACCAAGCATTTTCACCACCTGCACTACCTCCAAGTACATGAGAGATTCACAGACAATACCCAGAGTTCCATCATTGACAGTATGGCATCCATCGCCAGCGAGGTAGCCCAAGGCGTAAAAGTTTTCGAGAGATCCTTTGCTGAAATCGGCTAGATAGTCGTCATTATCTGATTTAGTGGCAAAAGGTTAATAAAAGCAGCTTTACAGAAAGAAATAATAATTTCATTACCGTCTTGGACGTTGACAGGTAGAGCGTTTGTTTTAAGGAGTCCTATTCTTGTATTATCTTTGTACACTGGTTGAGGAACCATTTCGCTTTCCCCAATATCAGAGTCCATCTCTTGTTCGTCTTCAAAAGCCATCTCTTCTTCATCTTTTAGGTCCAGCAGCTCTTCTTCATCTTTTAAGTCCAGCAGCTCTTCTTCGACTTCAAAGTCCAGCTCTTCCTCGTTGTCAGAGTCAAGCAGTTCGTCCCCTGTCTCATCATGTTCGCTGTCGTGTTCTGAAAGAAGGTCTTCATCCTCCAAGACGAACTCGTCGAACATGTCCTCGTCTTCCTCGTCTTGCTCATCACCTTGAGTCATACGATCCAGCATGATGTCGACCATGGCATCTTCGTCATCAGAAGAGACATAGTCTGACGGGTAGTCGTCCTGTTCGCCAAGGTCAGTGTCGAATTCTGACGGGTAATGGTCCTGCTCGCTAAGGTCGGTGTCAAAGTCTGACGGGCGGCCATGGTCTTGTTCGCCAAGATCGGTGTCGGATGAGAATTTACGCTTTCCAGAGGACGTGGATTTGGCTTTACGAGAGCTATCGCTTGCGGCACTACAGGGTAATGGATGTTTGTTAGCAGCATGTAATGGGCACCTTTGTTTCTTTTCCATGGTAATTGTTTTTAGTACAAGAGAGAAGATGTTGTCAAGAGAAAGCGGTTGGGCGGGGGCTCGCCTTTTATGTATTGCAATAACAATAAAAGGACAATTAAAAGTAAATGACATTTTTGTGTCCCGTTACTTTTGTTGGATGATGGCGGTACGCTGGTTATTGAAAAAGGTCTTTTTCTGTAGGGGGACGGATTGTGAGATGGGTTATTGAAGAGAAGGGTGTGGTGTGATGGAAAAGAGCTCTGCGGCTCCGTCAATGATTTTGTGATAAAAAGGTTTTGGGGTGTGATGGAGGGGGTGGTGGGTACTACATTATATATGATAAAGGTGTTTTTTCGCAGTGATTTCTCGATGCAAGTGGTGGTGTTTCCACGGTAGCCATGGTGTTTGTGCGGTGTCAGTAGTGTCTGTGCGTAATTTTAAACTACACAACGTGGCGCATGCATCAACCTTGCGTCCGATATTGCTTTTTTTATTTTTTTATATCTCTCGAGACTATCACACTGCTTTGAAGAGCGTATTGAGGTAATTGATTGGTTTATGAAAAGTGCTAGGTACGGTGCGCAAAGGGCTGCTTTAGTCATTGGCCATTCTTCGACATTTCGACATTTCGACATTTCGACATTTCAACTTTGGGATTGACCCTGTATTGATAGTTTCCTTGTAGACACATTATTATTCATAAAAGGTTGGTCAAATAATATCTTTTTATCTCCCTTTTTTGATTACACATTAGCTTGCTTTTAGGCACGACTTTCACCATAGCTGACTTTTAGGTACGCCTCTCACCATAGCTTACCTTTAGGCACGACTTTCACCATTCTCCCGTAAGGCTTCAGCTTACCTTTAGGCACGACTTTCACCATTCTCCCCTAAGGCTTCAGCTTACCTTTAGGCACGACTTTCACCATTCTCCCGTAAGGCTTCAGCTTACCTTTAGGCACGACTCTCACCATTTCACGCGTAAGGCTTTAGCTTACCTTTAGGCACGACTCTCACCGTTCTTCCGCAAGGCTTTAGAGTACCTTTAGGCATGGGCAGCGTTGGTGCAGCAGCTGTCATAACTATCCACCGCCAAGTTGAATAGGACATGTCCGCGCAAGGCTATCAATAGTGGTTGCATGCGTTTTTTCACCAGCAAGACCTTTCCTTCGCATTTTGTTAGCGACATACGGTGGTGGTTTCCTAATTAAGAAGTTGCTATCTAGTAGCTCTATCTCAAAGGCTTGGATGATGAAAACGCAAAAGCAATCTAACAATTGTCGCTGTATCCAATGTGATGGGGTGGCCTGGTGCAGTCTATCGCATTACTGAAAGATGTCCACCGGGCACATGAGATATAAGCATACAAAACGGACTGATGATGGAAATACGGGAAGCCAAATTTACATTTCGCCATACCCTCCACAATGTGTGTAAGATCAAAAATGCTTACTCTCTCAGGTTATTGCGTGATTATACCTTTTTCTTCAACATGCACTTGGACATGTTAGGCGTTGTCATTAGCACCTTCTGAACAGCCGTTTTGTTCGTTATAAGAGTGTTTTTTAGATTATCGAGAACTCGACATTTGTAACACAAAAAAGGCGCGATTTTTCTCTGCTTTGTTGTAAGTGTACCGACATTCTTTATTTAAATGCCAAAGAGCTTCAAACCATATCCTTTATAGAACCCAAAGTATCTTTTCATGCCCTCTGAAGCAGCTTCATTGGATACGGTCATTGACCGAAAGGTTGACCAAGACGCCAAGGTTTTAAACGTTGAAGACATTGTCCTCAGCGAATCGGACTTTAGCGATGATAAGCTAGCTGCATACTACAAACCTCTTGAAGAGTATGAAGGGTATCACCGCTTCGATCCCAAAGCCGTGTGGACTGAAGAAGAAGAAAGAGTACTAGTGAGAAAGATCGATTGGAGAATCATGGTGTGGTGTTGCATCATGTTTGTCGCTCTACAGTTGGACCGTGGCAATATATGTATGTGTAAAAGTTGACTGAAAGAAAAAAAATGAATCATGGCCATGCTAACCTGTATCTCCAGCCAATGCTTTGACGGATGACTTTTTGACCGACCTTGGTCTCACTACCAATGATTACAACACGGGTCAAACCATCTTCTTGGTATGCTTCCTGCTGATGGAGGTAAGCAAAGATGGAACCAGAAATTGAAATATTTGATTGACTCGCCATGGGTTGTGACTAACTTATCAAGCATGTATAGCTTCCTTCACAACTTGTTAGCAAGAAACTTGGACCCGACAGGTGGATACCTATCCAGATGACTTTGTGGAGTATAGTGGCCATGTCCCAAGTAAGCGATTTTTCAAACTCTCGTCTGCCTTATACCATACCGCCTCATCCCCTGCACTGTAGTCCCGTATCAATTCAAGATCTTCATTCTATGCTACTCGTGGACTGCTGGGCGGACTTGAAGGAGGATGTAAGTTGATCGTCAATATGCCAGGTGTTACGATTGTGTTACTGATGTGAAATATATAGTCATCCCGGACATTGTACTGTATCTGTCCTATTTTTATAAAGGAGATGAATTACCTATTCGACTCAGCTACTTTTGGGTATCTCTCACAAGCACCACGGTGATAGGGTCATTCTTGGCCTACGGTCTATTGCATCTACGTGGTGTCAATGGATGGTCAGGTTGGAGGTACCTGTTCTTGATCGAAGGGTCGTTGACACTGATTGTCGGCGTGGTTTCTTTCTTTTATCTTCCACCATCGCCAACTCAAACCAAAGGTTTTCTAAGGGGCCAGGGATGGTTCAATGAGCGAGAAGAGATTATAATGGTTAACCGTGTACTTCGAGACGATCCTTCCAAAGGAGACATGAATAACCGAACTGCTGTTGGCCCCCGAGACCTTTGGCGATCACTGTGTGACTATGACAATTGGGGACTTTATCTCCTTGGCTTGGTGGCGTATATCCCTATGGCTCCACCTGCTGGTTACTTGACGCTGACCTTGAAGAACCTTGGGTTTGGAACGTTCAACTCAAACCTGCTGACCATTCCTGGAAGTGTGTTGTTTATGATAAATGTAAGTTGAAGGACGGGAGTTTGTCTCTGCATTGCCTAACGTGAAAAATAATCCATACCAGAACTTGCTATTAGCATACTTTAGCAAATGGGTAAAGGAAAGGGCACTTACGTCCATGGCAGGAGTAATTTGGGCTCTTCCACTTTTGATCGCTTTGGAAACCATTTCGAACGATACGAACCCTTGGATCCGATATGCTGTGCTTATTCTGCTAGTGGGTTACCCTTACTGTGAGTGTGAAGCAAAGTGACCCCTCTTTTCGGTCATGATGACTGAGACCGATTGTTTGCTTTGTACAGGTCATCCAATCTTGGTGGGGTGGAACTCGATCAACTCCAATACTGTGAGGACAAGGACAGTTAGTGCTGCTGTATATAACATCATGGTTCAAATTGGTGGTATCGTTTCGTCCAATATTTACCGGGCGGACGATGCACCGTTCTACAAGCGTGGCAACAAGGTTTTGATAGGCATTTGCGTGTTCGATATCTTTTTGTTTCTTGGCGTAAAGTTGTATTATATTCAGCGTAACAAGTATAAGGCAAAGATTTGGGGATCCTATACTGCAGAAGAAAAGGAGCACTACTTGGCGACCACACCGGACAAAGGAAACAAGAGACTTGACTTCCAATTTCATCACTGAAATGATAAGCCCTGAGCTGCGATAAATTCTTTGATGCATTTCAGTACTGTATACTGTATCTGCATCAACCTGGTACACCTTTTTCATTTACCTGACGCATCTTATTTTACCTGACACATCTTATTTAAAAACGACAAAATAAATTACCAGTATTACTTGGACTCAAAAACGACAAAATAAAATTACCACTATGACTTGAATCCAAATTTTGTACAACTTTTTCAAGACTTTTTCGGTACATCATCGAGACATTGAGTAAAAAGAACTTGTAGAGACATTCAGTAAAAAAGAACTTGTAGAGACACTC